TTCTGAATGTTGTAGTCGGACAGAGTGCGGCCGTCTTCGAGCTGTTTACCAGCGAAGATCAGGCGCTGCTGGTCTGGTGGGATGCCCTCCTTGTCCTGAATCTTGGTCTTAACATTGTCGATGGTGTCGGACGACTCGACCTCGAGGGTGATGGTCTTGCCAGTCACTAATTTTGCGTCAGCATCTCATGCATTTCAAGGGCTTGGCGGCGCAAAAGAGCGTGCGACAGCCAAAGGTAGAACTTACAAGTCTTGACGAAGATCTGCATGGTTGTTGATATCTGTGTTGCTTCTGGTATGCGTGTTGTAGTGAAGTAGATGGCAAGTGTAGTTAGGTCTCGCGGGAAGATCGTTGAGTTTTGCTTGTGGATGTAGGAGTTTGCGTTGGGAGAGGGTGGTCAATCGTCTTATATGGAGCGGAGGTGGTGGAAGCCGGAAGAAGCGTGGCTAGGCAACGATTGGTCAAAGCGCCACCCAGTCACTTGAGTAATCGCAGAGGCGAAAGTCGCTCAGCTCGTCCATCGGCAGCTGGCACCTTCGAGAAGGCCGGGAACGCAAATCTGTGCCCTGCTGAGCAATACAAAGATCTTTTCCTCCGCCCTTGACGAGTGCATGCTTATAACAGCCGTTCCGTCGTTCATCGTCTCTCCGTAACTGTTCGATAATGGAACGGATAGCGCCACCTGGAACGCGCCAGCCTCGAGTGAAACCCCGCGATAAGCCTGGCCGGAGAACGGCGCCAGCGGCAAAAACACCGCCGATCTCGCCCCCCAACCAACGCAGAGTGGCCACCAGAGCACGATCACCCCTCGCGTGCTGCGATCAGCGGACGCGCAGAAAAAAGCATCCGGTCTCCAACATGGCATACTCCTTCGTCGCGCTGACTTCCCTCCCTCCCTCGCAAAGGTGATATCAACTATCAAGGTCGTACAAGGCGGACGGTACGTCGCCTGTCCAGGGTCATGGAGGCTGAGTGACATCATTATCACCACCACCACTTACTGCCGTGATGGGATCGACGTCTGTGCGCAACAGAGCAGGCATTGCGCCATTTCCTGGCCCGACCTGGAATCAGCCTCCCCATGCGACGCTGCCTCCGCGACATGTCACCGGTGTCCAGCTGGTTGAACATGCTGACTCAGAGGTTGTCCACAGGCTTCATCGCATTTCCCTTCTGAGACTGCCAGGACGGAGGATTCCCGCAGAAACAAGATGGTGCAGAAGAGCAGGCGTATGTCCCACGTGTCGGACTTTGACACTACCGAATGCCACAGTGAGGTGAAGAAGCCTGATTGACGATCAAGCCAAAATATGTTCTCTCAGTTCATCATGTTGCGGTGTGTCCCTTGCCGAGTTGATGATAGCCCTGGGGCTAGGCATTGTGAAGGAGGTACTCATCCTCCTTCACTGATGGCAGCGTCTGACTTCTCATCCAGCGCCACCTTGGCCTTGTTCTTATTTAAGCCTTCGAGTAGGACGCAAGCTTTGCAGATCTTCTGGCTAGAAAGATAGCCGCATTTCTCACACTCGCCCATCGTTTGCTTCGCGGGAGGCTTTCTCATTCCAGTAGTCTGCCGTCTCTTTTCCTTTTCCAGTCGTATAGGGAGCTTAACAGCATCGTCAGGTGTATTTGATGCAGTCGTAGTCTTAGGTAGCGTTATCTCAGTCTCCAAACTTTCATCGTAGGCCATCTCCGACAGACGTAGCGTAGCCTCCATCGGCATCGTGCGGCCGTTTGCATTCCCACATCCACCAACGTCTTCCTCCGCAATGGGGGTGCTAAACATCGTAGAATGTCCCCCTCCACAATCCCCTTTGCAAGTCTCCTCGAAGCCCGGCACAAGCTTTGCCATGTCTTCCCCACTCCTCACAATGTCCAGTATAGCACTCGGCCGCACCCTCTCGAGATTCTTGATGAGCGCTCTCGCGCTCCCACGAAACGCCTCTGGCGAGTATATACATTCTGTGCTGAAGTAGTCCAACTTCTTGTGATGCGCGTACAACACGATCTCTTTCTCATACGCGTACTTCAATGGCTTGCTCCTCTTGATGTTCGTGAGACTCAATGTATCCATTTCGCCCTCACGCTTCGTCGAACTAGGCGTACTCGTGACAATACTCGTCGTCCTGCCCAGCCGGGGGAGGTCTCCCCGCAAAAGATTCATGAGCACCGTCTCAGCAACGTCGTCGCAGTTGTGACCTGTCACCACGTGTCGAACACCTAAGCGTAACGCGCCGCGGTCTAGCGCCTGCCGTCGGAACACACCACAGTACGTGCAATTCCCCTTCTTGCCCACCGTCTCGACCACTTTGTCCATGCTCCACCCGTACAGCTCTTCGTAGCTGACAATGCATAGTTCCATCCCATACTGTGCCGCATTGCGCTTCACTGTTTCCAGCGAGTCGTCCCTGTAGCCCTTTATACCTTCATCTATCGAAAGGAGGATGAACTGGACGCCATAGTCATACCGCTCGTTTAACGTTTTGAGAACCGAAGCGAGGACCGTAGAGTCCTTTCCACCGCTGGCGCCTATAGCTACTTTTTCACCGCGTGTGAATAGCGCGTTCGAGGTGATGGTATTATGAACTTCGGTTTCGAAGGCTGTGTAGAAGCATTCTTTGCAGACCTTCTGGTGGTTTTTAGGACGGAGAATAAGCGCACGGTTTGACTTGCAGAGCGCACACGGTGACGGCGGCATTTTCTTTCACCGTGCCAAAAACTGTCCTATTTCTAAGGTATAGTTGGGCGAAAGTGGGATGCACAGAATTTTTGACTATCCTATGTTTGAGGCGGAGACGTTCCGCTTGCGGCTCCTTGCAGGAACGCAGGCCTAACGTTAGTTTTTTCCTCAGGTGCTGAACACCTGCAGCTCACTTTTCAAGGAAAAAAGAGTTCCATTAGCTCTCCTCCCTGGCCATCAATGCAGCCTTGTTCTGGAGTGTGGTGCATAAGATCTCAATACTTGCATCAGACATGGACGAAGAGGCTCGCGCGACGCAACTCTCCTCTAACGGGGCTTCGAAGGATCCAAAACGCGGTGAGAAGAGGAAGTGGGAAAACAGAGGCGGAAAGAGGCAACAACAGGGAAGTAAACGCCATAAGGGACGAGATATGGGGCGTTCCGAATACTTGTATGTTTTCGATGGTCTTCAATTGCACACCAGCTCTTCTCCTGTAAGGGTTCGGTGCGCATGTGGAAGCATGATTTTGCAAAGGCATCCCTAACTCACCACGAAAGTCGGCAAAATTTAGATAAACGCAAGCGGAATGAAGAATCGCAGGAGAAACTTGCTGAGAAGCGAAACGGCGAAGATGTTACAAAAGCAAATCCTTTCACGCAGGAGGAGATTGAGAGCGAGACTCGGCAGCCGAAGCGTAAGGTTGCTGTCATGATGGGCTACGCAGGCAGTGGCTACAAGGGGATGCAGATGATGCCCAATCAAAAGACAATCGAGGGCGATGTCTTCAATGCCTTCGTCAAAGCAGGCGCCATTTCTAAAGCCAATGCGGACGATCCTAAGAAAAGCTCATTTGTGCGGTGCGCGCGGACAGACAAAGGCGTACACGCTGCTGGCAATGTGATCTCGCTGAAGCTGATCATTGAGGACCCGAAGATTGTGGACAAGATCAACGAGCATCTGCCGAAGCAGATACGGATCTGGGGCATCGAGCGGGTAATTGGGAGCTTCAGCTGCTACCAGGCGTGTGACTCACGATGGTACGAGTACCTGATCCCGACACATTCGTTTCTGCCACCCCACCCAAGAAGCTATATCGGCCAGAAGCTAGTAGAGCTTGCGGAAGAAGCCGGGGACTTGGAGGGATATAGGAGCAGACAGAAAGAGACGGAGGGATTTTGGGAAAAGGTAGAAGAAGAGCGCATAAAGCCCATTTTGGATGGTCTTGAACCAGCGCTGAGAGAAAAGATCGAGCAGGCATTATACCACGTGAGTACGGATGAAGCTGAGCTGCAGGATGAAGAGGAGGAGGCGGAGGAGTTCGTCGATGAAGGTGAACCTAGGGACGGTAAGCTGTCAGACGAGACCACTGCCGCCGAGGAGTCTGTGAACGAGAGTGCCTCAAAAGCAGGAAACGACGATGCTTCTCTACCAAACGCCATAAATTCAGTCAACGAGACTTCATCCACTTCCGCAGCTCCAGATGAGCTTGCCTTCCGAGTAGCGATAAAACAGCTGAAAGAAGCATATCTCCTCGCCAAGCGGCAATGGCGCATCCCCGAGGAACGACTCAAACGCGTCCAGGAAACCTTCGCGCTTTACAAAGGCACCCACAACTTCCACAACTACACGATTAGAAAATCGCCGCGTGACCCTTCGGCTAAACGGCACATCCTATCGTTCAACGTGAACACGACGCCGATCCTCATCGGTGACACGGAGTGGCTGTCTCTCAAGGTGCACGGTCAATCGTTCATGATGCACCAGATCAGGAAGATGGTGGGCATGGCTACGCTTGTCGTGCGCTGTGGCGCCGTGGCGGAGAAAGTCATGGCCGACAGCTTCACGGAGAAACTGTATAGTATACCAAAGGCACCGGCCCTAGGCCTGCTGCTGGAGCGGCCAGTTTTCGACAACTATAACGCCAAGGCAACGGGGAAGTTCGACAGGGGAGAAGTTAGTTTCACGAAGTACGAGAAGGAGATGGAGGAATTCAAGCGGAGAGAGATTTACGAACGAATCTTCGGCGAGGAAGAAAGGGAGAATGTGTAAGTTCATTTCTTTTTCTTTTTGTCTGACACATCCTTCTTAAATCTGCCCGTCGTTTGCAGGACACTGACCATGGGATCAGTTTCCACTCATTCTTCTCACACGTGGACAACTTCCGGGTGCCCATCTTCTTGTACTTGAGCTCGAAAGGTCTGGAAGCCTGCGGTGATGCTAGGGACGCGTCCACAAGGAAGAGTCTTTCACGTAGCCAGAGATCTGGGTCTCAGAGGAAACGTGGTCGTGACTCGGACGCGACGCAGGAAAACATCAATGGCGATGAGTCGACGGAGCCGCCGAAGTTGTCAGAGCCAGAAGAGTCGACAGAGTCGACGGAGCCGCGGGAGGCTCAAAAAGCTACGGCGTAGATAGTTCTGAGAATTTGATACCCCATACTTGAAAGTCAAATCACTTCTGCATACCTCCCCCGCTCACCCACGATACTTTGACTGGCTGTACATTCTCGCGAACGTACTCAAGCAGCGCCGTCCCGCTCGGTGCATCGCTGAAAACCCCTACCAGACCCACACGTCGGATCCCAAGCGCGCCGCTGAGCTTAGACTCCGCACCAGCTGGCAGTGGGATCAACAAGATTGGCGCTGTAGCATCGTCGTGCTCCGCTATCGTCGCTGTCATGGCGGGTAGGTGACGGTACGGCAGATAGTCGACAGGTTGAGCGAGGAAGACGGCAGCGAGGTTGTGTTGGCAGCCGTCGAAGCGAGAGCCGTTGGACTCGAGTCGTCGCAGACGCTCTTCCAGATGTCGGGTTGTGCTGCTGTGACCAATGGTGACGTACTTCTCTATTGGCGGTCTCGGTGGCTTGCCCGACGCCTCTTCGATGTCCGTGGAGGGATCGTCACCTCGTTCTGCGTCTCTCTTTCTCTTCCTGCTTCGCTTGCCCTTGGACCGGGTCACGTGATCTTGTCGATATTGACCTATTGGACGTACCAGGCTTCATTCTGTCAGCAGCGACAAACTTTGAAAGATATGTTCGCGGGAAGGCCGGCAGGGAAGACTGGCCGATGAGGTCACCAGGCACGAGAAATTTGCGGAGAGCACGAAGGCACGTACTCGAGGAGAAGTTGAAGAATGGTTCCTTGCGTCGAGGGTGATATGACAGGCCTGACATCCGACCGAGGCTGTTAGGTTGTGCGCATTCGAGCACTGCAGGCGAAGAGACTGACCACTTTGTCTCTGCAGAGGAAGAGCTTAACTGTAAGGGAGCGTTCTTCACGGATCTCATTTTTGCAGCTGAGGCCATCTTTCGCAGAACAAGGCCAAGGCAGAGGCCGTCACACTACGACGCAGCGTGGCTCTTCCCCTCAAGAAACCCCTCAAGAGAGCCCTCCGGCCCTGACTGTGCGCTGCGATTGGCGATGAAGAAACCGGGCGAGTGATATCAAAGGCCTCAAAGTGACGCTCGAGCGGGCTGCCGGAAGAGCTGCCATTTCAGCGCTAAGCCATATTAGTACTAGCGTCTCGATACGAGCGCGGCAGCCTGAGCTTCTATCATTTTTTGTTCTCTTTGTAGCCTGCATGTGACGAAAGAACAATACATTTTGACAAAAGCGTGGATGCGAAAGCTTTCTCAATCTTGTCCGCTGCCATCTGTGCCCCGTTCTCTTCGTGTTTACTCGTTGACCGCCGCGCTTTCCGCCCCTTCCCTGTTTGCTTCGTACAGGGCTGTGCTCTCGCATCCTGTATATTCAAGCAACGCACTTCACTTTACCTGGTTCCTAACCTGTCCCGCAACATGGCATCGGACTTTTACCTGTGCTTGGAAGCATAATCACTGAACTGCCGGCTGTTCCTGGGTCACTCTGCCGGCCCATCGACGCCTCCACGCGGCACATTCGCCTTAGCCATGGACGACCATGATGCAATAGGCGAGACGGAGCAAACCCGACCTTTGCGTGCACCGTGCTTGGAGTCACTCCTCGCAGAGCGTGATGTCAAGGCAGGCACCGCGCAGAACCGATCACCAAGTCGTAAACGTCCACGCCTAGATAGTGGTTCTCGTTCAATAAGGAGCGGGTCAGCTGACCGATCCTTGTCCGCACCCGACAAGGCTGTAGGTGCCGACAACGACTCTGCAATGTCTGTCGACAGTCAGCCTCTAACTCCGACTTCAAATGGCACGCCAACAACTGGCCCTGCTTTGACGCCCTCTCGCGTCACCATCAACGTCCGCGAGCGGCTGGAAGGCGCGGCAACCCCAACGTCCGACGGTCGCCACCCCTCGCCTGAACGGCCTTCCACGCCAAACACCGTCAACGGCATGGATGGATCCACACCTGCGCAGGAGACAAACACTGACAGCACTGCTTCGCCTCAAAGTCAAGCTTCTAGCCCTGTCATCGAAATCGCGGACGAAGCTTCCGGTCAAACAGACGAGATCGTCGCCGAGATCCACCTTGACAACGATGACTCCGATGAAGAACGTGTTGCCGCGTTGCTGTACAGGTTTCCGTACGGTCCGAACGGACAGTACTGTCGCGGGGCGGAGCTGATCGCTGATGAACAAGAAAGGGGTATGTTTTTTCCCACCTGCTCATCTAGCGTACTTGTGAATTGACTCGAAGGCCAGCCATCAATTTTGAAGTCCTTGCTCATCTTGATACATGGCTCCAAGAACTTCTGTCGTGCATCAGCGCCGGCTCTCGGGTATGGAGCCACGTTTTTTACGAGCACTGCCCACTGTGGGAAACTATTATCAAAACATACAGTAAGCTCTTCAACCGCGGCGTCTTGAAACAACAGAACGCAATTGCTCCGGATGTGGCGGAGAAATACGCTAGAACCTTCCTCACTACATTTATGAGGCTTTCAGGATGTATTCTCCAGGTCGACGCCCAATTCCTCGAATTCGATCCCCCCCTTGAGGTTGAGCGTTTGATCCTCTTGTCGCCTAAGATTGTCAACGCGGCAAGACTACTGCTGCGAGATGACAAAGGCTTCATCGCGAAAGTCATTCCGACATTGGGCGTCGATCCGAATGAACTACGCGCATATGCGATTAAATGTTTCATCGAGGCTAATGCGCACACACACATCGCTCGAATCATCTGCCTGAATCTCAGTAGCTCATGCAGAGACGAGGCATTCCTTCAGAAGATCGTGTCGTTCATCTCATTCACCCAGAGCCTCAGCGCGTATGCAGCATTCTACCTCGATCGACATGAAGGTCTGCCACAGCCGATGGCAGATGACTTTGCAACAAAGCTGCTAGAGATTTTTGACACCGCAGAGAGGCAGCTTCTCAGCTCGCTGGACAAACAACAAGATGTTCTGAATCTGGACATGCGCAAGATGCTTTTTGAACGTGTAGCAAACATTCTCAATAACATATTCAATCTCAGCCCACGAAGATCGTCAGAACTCTTTCTTCGAATGACCGGGAGCACATCAAATCGATTTGAAGAATACCAAAACGCTCTGTCGGTCACCCTGTGGAAATTAAAACTCATGCAAACATATATGACGAAGGCCCGCATGGATCTCAGACTTCTTGGGGTCGATACCTTGGCGAAGGAGCTAGTTGATTTCTACAATGGCTTCAAGATCAACTCTTCATCACTACGCACCAGTGATCCCGGACCTCTTCTCTGTTTTGTAGCCGATTTTTTGCTCCGGGAGAAGATTACCAACTTTTTGTTCGGCGTTGCAACGCACCCACAGCTCATTGCTCGAAGTCACAATGTCATCGGGTTTCTGGTCATCACCAACAATTTCTCCAGACAACAAGCAGAGCTAATGTTTCGGACGATCATGGATGGGCAAGATCCTCGCGTTGTAGCAGCGACCTTGTCAATCCTGGCTAGCTTGATAAAACAGCTCACAAATTTCGAGGAGAATATCATGATCAGCGAAATGTTTTTATCGGAATCTGTAGCATTGATGAGCCCGCAAGCGACTGAATTGTGGGTGGAGCTGCTTGCCAAACTGCAACAGGGTTACCAAGACTACCAATTCCGCATCCAGGAACCAAACGAGCGCTTCTTGAGAGTACCACCTGAACTCTGCATTGAACTGATGCGTGTGTTCTCCCCAACTAGACCGCAGACAGGATCCGTCCGACATGTATACGATCAAGCTAGTGAGGTCCTCACGGCGATCGGAGGCATTATTCCTGCGAACATCCGCACACAGCTCTACGAGAGATGCATCGTCAATATGCAAAACGCTTCAGAAGACGGAGCATCATCTTCACAAGCTATCAATAATATGCTCCGCCACGAACATAAAAAAATACAGTCCCGTTTGCGAGAAATGCGATTAGCCCAAATCTTGCTGGAAAATTTTTGCAAGTTTGTAGAGGACCAACGCACGCTCAATATCCGCTTGAATACGCAACAGCTTAGCTACCAGATTTTGCCTCGATTAGACTTGATCTGGTTTATTGTCCCACTAGACGAGCAGGGGATCGACCAGCACTTGCTGAAGTGTTTCTGGAGCCATCTGGTTGGTAACGATGCACTCAGTAACACTGCTCGCGATGTCGCTTGGCAGAGACTGTCCACGAGCACATTCAATCCGGCCATTGACAAGGGATTCCTTGAGCGACACCAAGAATTGCTTCTGCCCACACAAATAGAGCCAAAGTTCTTTACTGCAGGATTCTTCCAATTTCTGCAGAAGTTAGCCACAACGAGACGGCGATCCCAAGCTTTGATTGAGCTCAATCCGGATGGAACGATTAACATGCCCGGCCTGGACCTCATATGGGATGCATTTCTTCGTGCACCGAAGGGTGTTGGAGAAAATAGCACCTTACAATACCTTATCGCTCGCTACTTAGAGGATTCGTGGATCCAGCGAACAAGTCGGGATGCTGTGGAAGCCACGCATGTTGCTCTTGTGGATCAAAGTATCACCCGTCTGAAGCTAGCATATACAGTTCTCCGTCAGAGAGGCTCTGATGCAGTGAGTGGCATCGACTCCGGCACGGGTGTACTGACCTCGGTATCATCCTGCGAGGAAGCCGAGTCAACGTTCCTGCGAATGATGACATTTTTAAAGAGGTTTCTTCTTCACATTCGTACATTGAAAGACTATCGTCCAAAAGTCTCTGAAGTCATCGATCTCTCCAAGGATTCAAAACCGGAAATACGCCGCGGAATGCAGTTTTCTCTTAAATGCGAAATCAATCGTCAAGGTCAGAAAGCCGCCTCAAGGATTCTTATGATGGGCACTCATGATACTTGTCGTCAACTCTACCGTCGTATCTGCTCGATGTTAAACGAATACAACGTCACTTCATTTCAAGTAATTGGAAGTGGGAGGCGACTATCTCTGTGCCAACATCCGAGAATGACGCTCGAAGACGCTGGGATCACTCGTTCACCTATGTTAATCATTCGCGACGTCGCCAGTGGTGAAGAAGCACGAAACGACTACATTATACCGAGTCAACAAAGTCGTAGCGTTTTTGAACAGCAGCTTGTGGACAGGCTCGACGTTTTCTACAAGTTTCTCGACGGAGATTGCAACGACGTCGCCAGTTCGAGCACTTACATGTTGCTCAAACACCTACCGCGCTACCAGACCTTGAAAGAAATGGTTTGTAGAATCGACACTCCTGTCTCAGAGTTGTTCCCTTCTGGTCAAGTTTTCAAAATCAGTTATACTTTGGACTGTCTCCGTGACCTGCTAGAAGCAGACACAGTCAATGAGGAGTTTTTGATCCAAGGGACTCGTCTGGTAGAATCGCTCTTACCCGATGACAAAATGCTCGCTTCAGCAGTAGCACCAAATTGGGAGTTTGTGTGCGAAATTGTCTCTTTGCTATATGACTTCTTCATAGCTGGACAAGTCCAAGGTGTCAATGTCTTTGCAGACGTTTCGTTCACGACGCGACGGCTGATCGCGATTTGTGCGATTGCCATTCCAGTAGTTGCCAACGTTGCCCTTGCTTGGGACTGTTATGAGCTCATCTTAGACCTGTTGTCAAAGTATGAGAACGCTTGGCACGAATTCAAAACCAACTCGAAGGTTGCTGCTATCCACCAGGACCTGCTACTCAAGCATCCAGTCATATCTGTACGGCGCACAACTTCTCAAATAATCCAGCGGAGATTGCTTCAATGGGGTTCGGCGTCACAAGTTACGCGTGAAGAGTTCGCAGGATTCCTTTGGTCCAATGTTTCGAATATTATCCTCATTGTCGATGCGCTTCCACAACAAGCTGCAGAGATCTTCGATATTGCAATGTTTTTATACAAGAACTTGTTATCGGGTGAGATCTTGGCTCTTGAGCAGATTCAAACTTTCTTCGACTCGTGGAGAAATATGCTTACGAGCCATGTTCACCATGAGATTGTGGGACGAGATGAAGCCGACGTAATCATACGCGGGCTTGCAGCGTTAATTCGAGAGACTGTCGCAATGGTACCTAATATAGCAGATAACTCTACCAAGATTGATCTCATGGAATCATTGTGGTGGAAATTTCTGTTTCAACCACAACCTCGTTCGAGCGAGGAGGCTGCACGCTTGGCAAGTCAAATCCCAGCCTTGGAGACAGAGACACGTACAGAACTTGTGCAGTTGATATCGACACTCGCCACCGATGATGAGACTGTCGATATCCTGTGCACCCTTCTCGACGGTGTTGAAATCCAACACAAGTTCATGCAGCAGCAGATCGACAGGCAAGGGCTTCTTAAGTCTCCGGCTGGCTACGTCGGACTGAAGAACCTGGGGCAAACCTGTTATATGAACTCCCTTATCACAAATCTGTTCATGAATCCGGTTTTCCGGGCCTTTATATTGGCCTGCGCACCACTTACACACCCCAACAAGTCACCTCTACTATACGAGACACAGCGACTTTTTTCATACATGCAAAATACCTATCGTGGATGCGCCAGCGCTGAGGAATTTACAAAGAAAATTGTCACTCTGACCGAAGAACGGATAGATGTGCGAGAGCAGATGGACGTTGACGAATTCATGAACACACTGTTCCACCGTTGGGAAGAGCAGATGCCGACAACAGAACACAAAATGCGCCTCCGTTCAATATACACGGGCACAACGATCCAACAAATAAAGTCAAAAGAGTGCGAACACGTTTCCGAGCGCGAAGACACGTGTCTGGCAATACCCTGCGATGTGCAAGGCAATGCGAATCTAGACGAAAGCTTGAGAGCATACACTTTGGGTGACGTGATGGAAGGAGGTGAGTGACTTCGCTTTACGCATTTTCAATTGTTAATCCTCGACAAAGACAACAAATATAAATGTGAGCGATGCGACAGACTCGTCGATGCTGTCAAGAGGTATGTTTGATCACTGGCAAATGCAGAGTATTCTCTAATTCCTTCAGAACTTGCCTCAAGGACATACCAAATCACCTTATGCTCCAGTTGAAGCGTTTCGCCTTTGACCTAGAGACTTACTCACGCAACAAGATCAATGACAATTTTGAGTTCCCAACAACTATCAATATGACACCGTACACATTCGAACAGTTGGCCAACCCGGATAAATCGATGGCAGAGGATCTTTTCGAGCTCGTTGGCATCATTGTCCACAAGGGTCAAGCAGAACACGGCCATTACGTCTCTTACATCCGTGCCAGGCCCACGCCAGAAGGACAAGCGCCGACTTGGTTATTGTTTGACGATGCAGACGTCACCCTTTTTGATGTTAATGATCTACCTGAGGCATGTTATGGGGGGCCTTCGAAGGACTCAGGACTGCTCTTTGCATCTGCGCTCAAGTCTTATAATGCCTACATGCTCTTCTATCAACGTAAATCCACCTTGAATGAGCACCCATGGGCTCCAGCCGACAGTACAAATTCGCAAAATGTGCCAATCATGCCGGATATGGAAGAAGAAATCAATGAGGATAATCGAGTTTTACTGAGGGACTACGCACTTTGTGACGATTCTACCCGCGAACTTATTCGCTCTCTGCTGCGGAAGCTTGACAATCTTAGCCACAATAGCGTCATCCATGAGCTCCAATCGAAGGTACTGTCGCTCGTGTGGAAATACATGACCAGTATCTGGGCTCGCACGAAAGATCTCCCTAACTTTGAAGAAGCCATGCAGCTCCTCCGGAGTGTCTGTGCCAAATGCAACCGATGCTGCTATATCTCATTACGGTGGCTAATCCAGAGCCAGCGCAGAGGCTGGAATTTAGTCGATGACGAGGACATTCTGCGCGACATGGTTCTACGAATTACTCAGCCAAAAGTTCGACAGTTGATGAGAAATTTCATTCTCGGGTGCCTCAAACAACTACGCACGAATGTGGAAATATATGGTGCAGACATCTCAAAAGTGGAACCTCAATTAAGTGGGCACGGTGCTATCTCCATCATCACACGCCTTGCTCAGTTTATACCGGACGACCTACGTTGGAACCTACGTGCCTGGGAGGATTACTTTGGATTGCTGGCCGATATAGCCGCTCTAGGACCCCAGGAGAGCTACGTCTTGATTCTCGACGGTGCTCTTACTGCCAGCTTCGAGGCCTTGTTATGCAATGAAAACTACAGTCATGCTATCACACGTCTATACCACGGCGTCAATGAGACTTTAAAAAGAAAGGCTGCGCCATCCTACAACCAACTCATCCGTCTAGCATCCATCTTGTTTAACCACGTCAATATGCATGCAGACGCCATTCCAGAAGAGAGAGCGGGGCATCGGTTGAAGCACTACGAAAATGGTGGCGTACCATGGACTGATAACGAAGAAACCATACTTCTTGACTTTAGAAAGACTGAAGGCGGCCTAATGTGGTTGTTGGAAGTATTCCAGAAATGGAACTTCGAAAGTGAAGACTCCGCCCCCAGCGACATAGTCCGCCTCCTTCTCAACGCAAAGTCTAGCGTTGTGCATGGCGTCTTGGAAACTTTCAACATTACAATCAAAGAGTTCGAATCTCGTTATGCTGACCCCTTCTTGCGACTGGCAACGTGCATACCCTTGTATCTTGGGGATCAAGCGCTTTTAGAGAAATTCATCGAGCTTATGAAGATATGCTCCATGAGCGCGAACGGAACCAACTCTCCTGGGGAGGACTATTACGATGGTCTTTACTGCGTACGCTTTTGGAATGCCCTTCATCAAATTGCAATTGGCAATCTCGAATCCAAGATTCAAGACCCTCACTTCTTTGACAAACATTTCATAGAGGGCGCCCGTGATTGGGCACCTCCTTTACTTGTCTATAACAGAGACTACGAGGTTGGACGCATGACCCAGCGCTTGGTCCATGATGCCTTTTTTGGCAAAGGTCAAAGCCTTGTCGATGATGACGTACGAGACATTGCGGAGCAAGACGAGGCAGTAGCCTTCTTGTTCCAGGGCTGTGAACGACACGTGCGGATGTGGCAAAGCAATGATGCACCGCCTTGGAGACAGTTCATGCTACCTTTATTCGCAGTCATGCAGAGCGCTGTACAATTTGCAGAAGCTGCCATGGACGAGCTGGTTGGTCAGAACCCCGAGATGCTTCGTGAGTACAGCAGAATCATCTCTAGATTTGAAGGTATGTCTTCGATTGTTGGCACGGAAGTCAAAACACTAACTGACACAGAGGTCAAAATATGGTTCGAAAGCCTGCCTGTGCGCAGCATGGATGATTTAGACCTTGCACCGTCTAATGAGTTCGCAGGCGTGGGCTTGGAGCGATTGGAAAATGCTGAGGATAACTTTGCCGAGGCTTCTGATTTCACTGAGGGCTCAGACGATGAGATGAGACATCTGCTGACGGTGGATGCAGATGGATCATGACTGTCCCATTGAGCTAGATGCAAGCATCTCTCTCTTCCAAAGAGGTGACAGATTTTGGAAGAGCTCCTTTTTGAACTTGTGATAAGCCTAGCCAAGAACGTTCGTGCATGGCGATGCCGAGAATCCGAGTGGAAGCTCTCAGAACGAAGGTGGACCGATCAAGGAAGCTGTCTTCAGCTGCCCACAGCGATTCACTACGCGTGGTACTTTTCCTTGTCAGCCTGTTTGATTTCGGGACGTATTTGACCATTAGCGATGGAGTTACGATGAGATGAGATAAACGCAGTGCACTAGTCAGAATCATTCATAGATGCTCGGAAGATGACCTGGTTCGCTTCTTTGACAAAAGTTGCTAGGACATGTGAGAAATGCCTACAGCCACGATTTGCGCGTCTTTCGTCGAGGGTGAAAGAGTATGAAGTCCTCTATGAAAAGGTGACATTGTTGAAGTACAATAACAAAAGAAGTCCAAGGAATACACCCATCGGAGACGTCGACCTTTCTCCAGCGCGGGTGATGGACAACGAGTGACGTCAAAGACAGGAAGCAGTGCACGCCGGAAAAAAAGTTCGTATTAGATTATGGCTTGTTCGACTAGAAGTGAGACTTTCCGCTACCTGTACACCGTCACAATGCAAATTGCGCGCCCAAAACTCCCGTGGCCCTTGTCCCTTTTTGTTCGTCTCTTTCCCAGAGAACGCTGTTCTAATGCTGCCCACCCACACCCAGCCCATGGTTAGCACGCCGAATATTGTATATATGTAACATGGTTGTCCTTCCTAAAATTTTTTTTTCTTTGAAAAAAAAAAGGTAATTTTTGGTTCGAATTGCGAATAGGACCCGGCGATTCACGTACATTCTCAGCCACGGTTCAATAGCCCGGGGATCCGTTGAGATGTGAGCCGTTGAAGTGCGAAGCGTTGAGGAGAACGTCGCGATGCGCTCGCAGCTGCTCTTGGTACCTGCTGATGGGATGGAGGGGCAAGCCGGAGTCGATCTGGTGACCGAAGCTGGAGGCGTCTGTTGCGTCGCTCCCGCCGACGGCGCCGCCGGCGCCCGTGAAGGGGCTGGACGCAAAGCTGTCGGTGCTGATGCCGCTGCCGACCGCGCCGAAGTTGGAGGACATGGAGCTCGAGGCGGTGCGGAAGGTCGAGGCCATAAAGTCCGACTGGGCCTGCGAGGACGACTGTGAATGCGGGAAGTAGCCCACGGTGGAGGGGAGGGAGGCTGCCTGGTACGTCGAGTAGGGCGACGGGCTCGCCTGATGCTGCAGAGGCGTGGTGTCGGGCGGCTGCACGGGGCCGGCGTACGCGCCCGTCTGGGGCTCTGTGAAGTCCTCGTATCGCTGGCGCTTGTCGACCTCTTCGTCGTCCGATTCGGGCGTGGCCTCGCCCGCCTTGCGCTTCGAGCCGTTGCCTCGCGGCTCCTTTCTCAGACGCAGGCGGACGCCCTGGTCCGAGAACGTGCGCGTCAAAAGCGACGACTCGCGAAGGCCCTTGTATTCCTTGCTGTTGTGCACGATGAACGGGGCCGTAGCGACGGTTGCCAGTTTCCTTGCGGCGCCGGTGCCGCCGTCCGGTTGGATGTCGAATACAGTGAACATGAGCCTCCAGCTGCCGCCCACCCGGACGGAGATGTCGCCGAAGACAAAGTAGCCGAACTCGCCTCCTTCTGGATCCTTCAGTCTGTGGATGGAGGAGCAGAGATTTCCGATCAGCGTGGGCTCGTTGTTGTGTGTTTTGTAGGGCGTGTCGTCATCCGCGCGAATCAGATGGGCCACGCAAAACAGATTTGGACTGTTCATGTACAACTTCTGAGGGTCTGCAGGTTCTTCCACGAAAAACTGAAGGACGGGAGGCGGGTCAATCGGCTTGCGCGACTTTTCCTTCTTGCTCATTGTCAGAGCTGCCTCTTCCGGCTGTTGTCGTACTCGAAGTGAACATTTGGAACTGTGGCGGTGTTAGTCATCTGCTTCTGCAAGCGCCTGCCATCTTAGCGCACGTCAAACGAGTCGGCTTTTTGCGCGCATTGCTAGACGTCCGGCACTTGCGCTTTGCCTACAATGTGCGCCGAGAGAAATTCGGCTCAACTTACGGTTCGAGCTGGCGATACGTCTGCTGCGGAACAGGTAGCATGTGAGGGTTGAAGGCGCTGGATGGATAAGGCAGTTGACCGCTCGCTGCGAACTGCGCTGGATACTGTTGCGGATACTGATATCCCCAGTTGACGGTACCGTAGTTCATCGTGACGTTTCCGGCCTGTTCACACGCAGCGATAGTAAGTGTTTGCTCGCGGGTTGTACCAAACGCTACGTTGTGGAGGTTTGCGTCGGTGTGGACCGGTCGGAGCCAGGCTAAACAAGAGAATGCAAGGGCAGAATATAACTGGTGTAGTGCAAGATTCAGAACCAAGGATATTCAGCGCGAGCTTTTCGACGTTCTAAATCAGACTTTACAGGCTGGTGCCGAGAGACCTGTTGCTGGAAGGTAGGGGAAGAGGTTCTTCAACCAGAATGGAGGAAAGCTGGAGACTTTGTGGATTGGGAAATATTGTGGACCGTGGAGTGGTGATACGGCGGGGTCTTGCCAGAGATGCGAACAGTCATCGAGGTTTCCTCAGCAGACTCTTCTTTTCTTTCTTCACGAACGCTCCTGCGAGATTGGCGAAAGCTTGGGGGCTCTGATAAAGTTTAGGCGCAAAGTCATTTCTAGAGCTCCATGCCGTGAAGAAGCAAGGTGGGGGAGCAACCGAAAGTCAGAACGTTCGCTTCCCGGCAGAGCGACAGAAGAACTGAAAGTGTCAAAGTCTTGTCGTCCACGTGGATTTCGGGCGCAAGCGACCGGCTCGAAAGCGGAAATGGTCAGAAGCGCAGCCCCGGGGGCGAAAGGATGGGCTGGTGGGAGAAGAGAAGGAGGCGTAACAAGAAGGACGAGAGCCAGAAGGGGAGTGGTTGGACGTAAAAGAGGCACCGGTGCCTCGTAAGCAGCTTGTTACCCGCCGCTCGGTGGTATATAGGAAGAAGTACCCGTAGATTTGCGCCTCTGTGCAAAGCAAACCGAGGCGCTTTCTTCTGAAGTGTAAGAGAAAGAATTACCGTAAAACGCCCGACCCAAAGCAGCGCCTGACCAGGAGGTGTAATCCAAGATGGTGGGAGGAAGGAGAGGGGCAGGAGGAGGAGGAGGAGGAGGAAGAGGAGAAGGAAGATGTGGTGTTGGTGGTGGTGGTGGAGGAAGAAGAGGAGGAGGAGATGAAGAAGACGACGGCGATGAAGAGAGAAATTCCCAACGCTGGAGTCGATTAAAGCGGACGCTTGGTTTTGAAGGCGATTGACTTCCAGAAATACTTTGCAGGGGAATCCTTTGCAGAGGAAGACAGTTGGTCGACTCTGCAGGCGGACAGCAGGACGAGGTATCGGGCTAGGTTCAGATCGTACGAGACACAAGGACGAGTAGTTTGTCCCGATGGATGGTATCAAAACCCCGCCTCTGGCTGGACTTTGGGTCAACCTTTCTTGTGCCTGGCGTCCTGCAGGTGGACTGAGCGCTCTTCAGTTCGCATGGAGGCTCTCAGATCGGCGCAAGACACAGACACAGTTTTGGGTCTGCAAAAGCTGAAATCAGGCGGATCCTTGGCCCGGCACACGCCATCAGATCGACCGGTGCAAAGCGCAAGAAGCCTCTCTGAACCTCGACACCCTGGCCATGCTGAGTAGATTTGACAGAGCAGCTAGATCGGGGTTGACTCGACGGCCCTCCAATCACCTGGGGTAAGCTCCAGAAGACATCAAGACACCGTTTCTCTAGGCCTGCACGGTGGAGGCATTTGCACGTGCAGAACGACGACCGTCGACGGACTGATTGGCCTCTGGCCGACGCCACAACTGGCCAAGTCGGCACTCGCAGCAGAGACAGCAGACCCGGATGACACTGGTGTACCAAACTTTTGGGAGCCGTGCGCACATCGTACAGAAGCTTATTATGACCCGCATGCAGCTCCCGACCTGACGACGTTATAAGCCATCCCAGCTCTTGGACCGCAGTCTGCCCACCGTCTGCTGCTGTGAGCAGCAGCCCAGGGCCTGGTTAATTCCGGCCTCTGCACTGTCATTGCCACCGGCTGCCCTCACGCTGGCCGGCGTCGGCACGCCAGGATCAGTTCGGCATCGGCGCGGAAGGGGAGGGGAACGAGAAAAAAAAAAAAGAGGACCCTTCTCGTTTGTCGTTTGTCGCTTGACGCGAGCGAGGAAAAGGTCTGGTCAGATCGTGTGCGTTGCCGCGTCTCTCAGCTGTCGACGAGCCCTCTTCGCCGCAGCACGCTGACGTGCGATCCCATCGGAGCCCAGACCGTGAGCGCATGCTTGTTGCCCCCGCCGCGTCGCCGTGTTTCCTCGACGCGAGGGTGGCATGATGCCGTGCTTTTTGCCCGCCTGAGATGGGAGGCGATCGTGTTGTGCCGCGTCCGGCGCTGGTGTTCTGGCCGTCCGCGCCGTCGTCTCTTGTCCGAGCGAGGGCATTCCCTCGTCGCCCCCCGGCGGAAGGCAGTCTCAAAAAGCCTATACACAGCACGCACTCAGCACCGCAGCACAAAGACGCCCGCTCGTTCAACGGCTGCTCCCAGCGATTGGCGCGCACACAGGCCAAGCGATCGTGTGTGCGTCTGCGCTGGTTGGTCCACACGCCGACCAGACGGAGCCCATCTCCCTTCTCCGCCCCCTTCTCTCCCGGACCACGATCAGAAGAACCAAAGAATTTTGCCCGTCGCGACGTCTTCGTCTCGGCAAGACGTCGATTTGCGGTCATGATGATGCGCCCTTTACCTCGGGCCTGCGCAGAGATCTCGTCGTCGAACGGCGACGAGCTACGGGGGCCGCGAGCGGGCACTTGTTCACTCGTGTACATCACGTCAGCTTTTGCGCTGCGCTGTGATCGCGGAAATGTATCGGGCACGACGAGACGCCGTGGACATCGCGAACTTGGCAAGCATCATCTCATCTCTGTCGTCCCTCTGATGCTGGTCCAGCGCCTTTTGCAGAAAGCCAAAACGGCAGCGCTTCGCGCTCCTCGTCATGCCCCCTTCGTGAAATGCACGGGGCCGAACTGGTTAGCCCCCATCGGTCTCGTATGCTCCACCGTGACAATGTGCGTAGTAATCGCAGCTCGCCGTGATCGTCCACCTGAGCCTCAGCAGTATAGATCGTGCACCTGCATGATCACTCCATGGCCGGGTGCATCGACCCCCCCCCCCGCGCGTCGTCGTCCCAGCGCGCTGGGAGAGTAGACATCGGCTGCAGCCCGGTGCCAGCCTGGTCCTGCTAGGCGAGATACAGATCGAGGATCAGCCTGGGCGAGATCCTGGTACGCTACAGCAAGACAACCATTTACGGCGACCCCGTGCGCTCACGCCTGGCCGTATTCGAAGACGGAGATCTGAGTAGTCCACCGTCCGGAACTGCAACCGGCAAGGTTCGCAGCGGAGCTTCAAGGGTGCCTGTGGCTCGAGACATGTACATCATCACGCATGACGCTGACCGTCGATGGCGACGCCGGTCGGGCACAACACGACTCGGAAATCTAACGCCTGTTTCTGATCCTGAGACGATGAAAGCCGTCCTTCCCTTTCCTCAAGACGGACCAGAGGGCTCACGGTCGACCCGGTGCGATACCTTGTCACACCCACGCCCTCTATGGACGGCGGGCGCCGCAGTCGTTTGGTTGTAGTACACTGAATACGCAGAGAAGAAGCCTACAAGGACCTATCTCGCTTCGCACGGCTTCAACTCTGGCCGACAAGCTGCTTCGCCTTCATTCGCCCGAGTTTAAAATGAAGACAAAAATAAATCATCCAAAAATAAAATTGAGCGAAAATTGTAGCGGCAAAAAAAAAAAAAATTAAACCAGCAAAGTATCTTCGTAGATGCTGAAGTTTCAGCCTTGTCTCCTTCAGCCTGACGGCCATTCCGCAGAGTTAGCAAAAGTGGACGGGTGTCTTGAGGGAAACCGTGGTCGAGGCTGCGAATCTCTCGCACGTATCCACGAACCATGGTTCATTCCCGCACCGCTTTCCAGCGCATCTGTTTGAGCGAGTGCGATGCTATATATAACAGTCGCAGCTCGGCCGAAGTCGATGGCAGGAATCACTACCTGTTGTTTCTTGCAAGGGGTCTTGCGTCGAAACACTGAAGCAAAACACGGACGAAGACGCTGGGGGAGCGAACGCAATGTCGCCTTACGCACGTCTGCGAAGTCAAGAATTTTGGAGACGTCCCCCGTAGAGCTTTCTCTTGATCTGGCCATCTGAAGAACGTGTTCAGGAGCTGAAGGACGTCATCATCTCTGCTCTGCGTCTGGCAAACACCCTTTTCGCAAGCGCTCAGAGAGACACTCAGTCGACGGGCAGGCTGTCTCTCACACGAACCAGAATCGCAATCCTGCTTGCGGGCCGGGAGAACGACGACACAACCTGCGGGATGAATCACACGCAAAAAAAAAAAAAAAAAATAAATAAATAAATAAAAAAAAATAAAACGTTGTTCGCCGTTGCGTCTCCGCAATGCTGTTTGCTTCCACAAGTAAGTTCGATCCGACGAAAGCAGGATGAACAAGTTTTTTTTTTCTTCAACGCGGTTCAATCAAGAAAAAAAGTGTTCGGCCACATCAAAGTGTTCATTCACCTCATACAAGGGAAAGGACTATCTCGTCATGAGACGCTACACAGGATGGGATTCAACGCCAAGAGACGGGTACGGTCTCGTGAGGACCTCTGTCAGCTCGCTGAGGCCCGCGGGCCTTTCCTGACGAAGCGAGCGCGGGGACGAACGAACGAGGCGATGGATTCAGCTCTCGCCCTCCTGCACTCGCGTGCCTGAAAGTCGACCGCGGATGGACGCCGATGGAGAGGTTGCTTCGCGCCGCATGTCGGACGCCCGCGACGAGCCAAAACGCCTACGCAGGAAACGTCCTGTCGTCCTCCAGAATTCCCGCCGCAGCGCTAAGCCGTGGACGGGAGGGTGCTTCTTGTCACGGTGATGGGCATCTGCAGGTACAAATGAGCAGGGCCAGTCGTCGACGCGGAACAACTTTTTCTTTACTTCCTTTTTTTTTTTTTTTCGAACGGCCGGCGCGTCGATCTCTCCTTCGTTCGACCCGACGTTACGCTACGGACGAGATAGCCAGATGCGTAGCGGGCGAGCGTGTCTGCGTAGAGGGAATCCGGGAATCCCAAAAAGGAACAAGGTCGCCCGAACCGTCCGGAGGGCGACGACGGTTGCGGGCATGGTGGAGAAAACTCTGATGCGCATGAGCCCTGTTCCTTGCCGGTGTCTTGGTCCTTGTGTAACCCCAATGCGTTCTCTGGACGTCCTATCGCCTGCCTCCGGAGCGAGATCCTGGTGGCAAGGGAGGGACAACAAAGGCGCAAAGGTCACACGCTGTGCTACCACTGGCAGTCACAATAGGACCGCCAGACGAGGAGGGGAGAGGCAAAAAGCTCAGCGGGCGGGGCATCGAATAAAAATGGTCGCATGAGGGAAACGCCGGCCAGCCAAGGACGAGAAAAGGAATAGAAGGAAAAAAAAAAAACTCAAAATGAGAAGGCCGAACGTCAGGTTTGAATCATGGATTGTGTAAGAAGAAAAATACGCTCTTTGTCTCCGTCTGCCTTTCTGCGATACACGTACCTGATTTGCACTCCGTCGCGGTGGAATGCAAGCTTCTGCTTCATTCTGCAAGCGCCCAAAGTCCAAAAGTTGGGACAACTCAAAATCGAAGCACCAACCCCCAAAGCGCGCCTGCTCGGACAGCGCAAAATTCGCTACCAACACCCGAGACGTCCGAGTAAAAGTTCCAGATGCTCTTTCGCCGACCAAGAAACGATCTTTGCTCGCCCCCTTTTGGGGCTGCTGCATGCCCATTTGCCAAGCTTCCAATAGCATCTGCAGCAACTGCCACGAAGCGAGTTTTTAGAACGAAACGGTGGCTTTCTGCAATGCAGAGCGACTGGAAATGCATCCGAGTCGCACGTTAACGACGCCGAAGGAGCTTGGCTGTCAAAAGCTCGATCGCATCAATTCATGCCTCGAAAATGAGATCAGAACAGGAAATGAAGGGTATCGAATCAATCAGTCCTCTTCCCCCGAGGCGTCCTCGTCCGAATCGTCTAGCTCCGGTTCGGCCACAGACCCATCGGCGTCCTCCTCGTAGTTCGCGTCCTCGTCGATGCTGCCCTCGGCATCTTCGTCTTCGTCGCTTTCCTCGACATCTTCATCCTCATCGCCTTCTGTATCTTCCGGTTCAACATCTGCGTCCAGGTCCTGCTCATCCTCGTCAGCTTCTGCATCCGCAGCGGCGTCCTCGTCGTCCTCGGCATCGTCTGCATCCATCATCTCGTGATCTTCGTCCTCCTCTGCATCTGCATCCGCATTTGTCGGCTCCTTCTCATCCTCTTCGCGGTCTTGACCACTTTCGTCGACTCCATTCGTGAGTTCCTCCCCCAGCATGCTTCTCATCCTGCGAAGACCCCAGGATGGACTGCCGCTGGCGAGTGAATTCCTCTGCATCTCACGTCGAGTTGGCGACGCGGATGGCACGTACTGGATTCTAGTCCTCGTTCTGCTGCCAAATGGTCGACCCGGTCTCCTCCTGCCGTTAAGGCCAGGAATCGGAGGAAAGATCTCGTAGCGTGATGGTGGAATGTTCGTCGTACTGATCGAGCCATTATTCCAAGAGCCGTTGCCTGCACGTGGCGTAGCTGCTTTGGACGGCGAATGTGATGCTCTTGGGCTCACCTCATTCGTGAGCGTGACGCCCGTAGTCTTTCCCTCCTCCTCGTCTTTTATGGGAGGCGCGTTTTCATCCACTGTCTTGGCTACGTTATCATCATCACCTTCCTCTTCCTCTTCCCGCGGCGCAACAGTATGCAAAGCAGGACCATCCTCGTAGTGCTGAGTGAGTCCCCTATTCATGACGTACGGTGTCCAGATCAAGGCCTCAGGGTTGATCTTCGGGTAATTCTTCTTGGCGTGTTTCTCAACGTACTCGTTGCAGTAGGCATGGTCGACTCTCAGCGCATATGTTTTCGTGACCGGATCCCGAACGAGCGCTCGGAGTCCTTCCAATGCAGACACGATGTCGTCTGGCGTCATGCCTGTGCGTTCCGATATCTGGCTAATGCTGATCGGACCGGTGTGCGATCTCAGCAGCTCGCTCAGCGTAAGTCTCCAATAGCCCCGATATGACACAAGACCCATGTCTGAAAGCGGCTTTTCCGGACTTCCCATCTTCTTCTCGCGTTTGGTAAGCAGGTACGAGAAGTCAATGAGCATGTGGCCGAAACCCCGCCGCTGGTAAATAGGCATAACCAATATGCATGAGACGTTGTTCATGCTGGAGGGCCGCTTCTCCTTTGAGAAGTATCCGACAAAGTGGCAGCCGAACTCGTCGTTTTCGGTCATGATGTAGAAGAGGAAAGGCTCGACGTCGTAGTACAGAGTCTTCGAGCCGAGAAACAATTTAGCCATTAAGCATAGATTCTGGCAGTAGACTGGATTTTTGCGACCGTCGACCTCGAAGAAGGAGTACTTGCCGTCTCGGTAAATCTCGTCCCCAGGGGGATGCTTTTGCGGACATTTGAGCTGGATGTGCTGTTAGCCTTTGGCTCGGTCAGTTCCATAAGACTTGAGCGTACCTTGTGCCTCCACGCTACAAAATCAGAGTTCATATACTTGAGGCAGAACTCGCAAATATAAAGCAATCGATTCCTGCTGTACTCTTCAGGATACGGCGCGGCATTCCACGTGTCAATTTCGTAGCCCCCGAAGTTTATGCACTTGATCTTGCTCGGCTGGCCCGACGATTTCTGTTGCGGTCGCGAGGCTTCCAGGTTTGCGTTGATCTCAGCCTGGAGCTTCTTCCAGTCCTCCTCGGCCTTCAGACGAGCTTCCTCGAAGCGTTTCCTGTCCACCTCCTGCGGAAAAGTTTTCTCGGTATTTGCTTCCGCCTCCGTGAGGATACCGCCATAGGGTTTTTTGTTTTTCTTTTCGTCATCCTCCTGTTCGCGCTCAGCCGCCGCATACAGCTGTCTCGTAAACCCTGGGTCTATACCCGGATAATGAGAGATCTCCTGCTCTGGTAAAAGCGGCGGAGGAATCTTTTTGCGACGTTCCTTCTCGCGCTGTCGATTCTTGCGGGGGCGCGTGGAGAGAATTTTTTGCATCTTCATGCGGTTGAGATTGAAAGACACAATGAGGCTGATGCCCTCATTGCTCACTATGCTGCAAAGTGCTTTGTCGGCCTTCCGTGGACGGCGTGAGCGTGCTGATCTACGCACTGATTCTTCGTCTCCATCGTCCAAAGCCCCGTCGTGTCCGTTCAACACGGGCCCCTCACTCATGGCACGCACTGCCGTCGGGGATGGGTGGCTCACCGCAGACATGGAACGGTCCTGTCTAGCAGACGCAGATGCCGCTTCAGACGGCCGTCTCCTCTTGCGCATGGGCCGCACTTCGACTTCCTCGGTCGACTTTCTTTTGCGCAGCGAGCGGGAGCCATCCATCGGATCGTCATCCAGAATCAACTTTTTAAATACAGAATGCGAATTTGGTCTCACACCACGGCCCCCAGGAAAGAGGTCTTTTAGAACTTTTGGGGCAATGGCCTGCATGCGGTTGTCCGCGCTGTCTTTGTTTGCGTCCGCTGCCCGTCCATTATCAACACAATTCTTGCAGAGCCACTTTTCGGCTTCTGATTGTTCAATCTCGTCAGCAGTGTATAGCTTCAAAGAACGAAGAAATAGACGTTCTAAACTTACCAGAATCGGAACCCAGGTAGTTAGCGTCGCGCGCGCATTGCCGATGAGCTGTCCAGTAACGTGATCAGCATGTTCACCCTCGCAGAAAACCATAAATTCGTGATCCTTCCTTTTCTACACATCTACAAAACTTACCATTGCCACCACAAGCTATGCACGATAAACATTCTTCGAATTCTGGATTTGGATCGTTGTCTTCATCCTGTCCGCAGAAACTGCAATTTTATGTTAGGATATTGTTGAGTCGTTTTCCAGACCTTTACGTTACTCACATGCAGTTGTTGCGCTCGCCTGTTTCAGCCTCGTTCTCCTCCGCAGTGTCGCTTCCGCCCTCCCACTCGTTCTCAGGTTCACTTTCGGAACTTGCTTCTGGTGCATCATCCTCGCTTTCGCCATTGTCACGGGCCTCAGATTCGCTTTCCATGGGTGCATCCGGCTCTTTCTCCACCTCTGATTCTTCTAACTCTTCAATCTTGCGGGACGCTGCAAATCTCATGCCTAATGTCGGTATGGCCTCATCCTCAGAGCCCTCTGCATCTGCGTCAGAACCTTCCGGTTCCGCTGGTGTTTGCGTGCTCCTTCCAGCAGCGGCCATAGCCCGTTGCAAGTCCACTTCGTCATCATACTCGCCTTCGGCGTCAGCATCACTGCTGGCGTCAAAAGCGGGAACATGATGCTGGTGCTGGTGACCAGTCATGATGTTGGCGCCAGGGCTGGAGCCCATGGCATAGGACGCTACGGCCGCCAGTTTGGACGCGAAGTAATCCAGCGTGTGTGCGCTTGTGTGATGCCACTCGTTCAGCCTCTTTTAAAGATTGTCAGGGCCGCTGCTCGCGGCCGTGTCTGGTTCATCAATGTAATCCTCCCGCCTCGTCGTCGCGTGTTCGAGGTACAAGGCTTCGTTGGCGTGAGGTTCACTTTCGGCGTCAGCAGACGCTATAGCTCGTGTTTATCGTTTCCAATAATTCAAATCACTGATCGCGATCACTGTTTTGACGCGTTCGAGATGGCGTACCTGATGTTGCGGACTTGGTGACGCTGTCGTGTCGGAGTCGGGAGACAGGCTCGACGCGAACAAGCTCCCAAAGGTGCCTTGGCTGTAATGTATCTCGTATGTTAGATCATGCAGATGACTGAAGGCTTGCGTCCGACGCCTGCAAGCGATTTAGATTGTGTCTCGCGGCTTTGCTGCTGTCTCTGACGCTCGCTCACTGATTGAAGCTACGTTCCTGTTCGCGGCTAGTCACGTGCTTTGCGCCATGCCGTGCGCCGCACCTCACGTCTGTCCAGCAACTGCTCTCTTCCCACCAAAGCAAGACACCACCGATCCTTCGAGACGTTGCAAAAGCTTGTAGGAGCGCACACACAATATGGGTGTTCCATTTGAGGCGCTGATTCCCTACGGAATCATGATTACGGTGCGCAATGGCGAGTGTGGTATTGTGGAGCAAGGACTGACTCTTGGTGGTGCAGATGTTCGGCATAACAGGCGGAGGCCTCGCAGTCGTCAAGTCGGTCGCGAATGGCGGTAAGAGACACAGACACGCTATAGACACGTGGGATAGGCAGAGTACGGGACATACACCTTCCTGATCGTTGATTGAGTCGATGGTACTGACAAGAAGACGCAGTGATGGAGCGGGATGCACGATTAACGGGCTTCACGAGAGGGCAGACGGACAACCCGGTGGCTCCAAAAGGCTTTGAGCTGAGCAACCCATGGAAGGTAGGTTCTGGAAGTCAACATAGACCAGGGGTTCTTGCTAACAGCACGGCCAGGTCGAGACGCGGTTCATCTAAGCATAGATTTCTGACAACGGACCAAGCACGCATATCTGTACATAAGTATAAGTGTCCAAGTGTCGCTAGGTTGGACTCACCCGTACATACAATATCATCGGGGTTGAATTTCTTCCAAGCTCGCGGCAGGGTGTCCCTAGGCTGCATGAACAGTTGCGGTAGTTGTGACATCGTATTCAGTCGTCTATTACTAGCTTTGTTGAAACCCGCGAATCTGTGCACGAATGCCAGAAACTACTTGATTTCATCCACTGTTCCTCGAATTGCCTCCCTCTCAACTTCACTTAAGCTAATTCCAAAGTGCTGCTTCAAAGCATCTACTCTATCCTTCTCTTCATCAAAGTCATTTAAAATGGTTGACTCCTTACCCACCCTACGTTTCAGCTCTCTCATCAAGCCTATGGTCCCCACTATATCTTCCCTTTGGTCCCCCTCTCCAAAAATCATCTTGTTGCATATAACTTTGTGCGTGAAGATTGACTTCTTGCTCGTGCTCGTCCAATAATTCATCATCTCGAAGTCGTCGTGTCTGAACTCAAGGTCGGCGTTGAAGCAGTACATGTCTTTCCATCCCCCGTCGTTTACGTCCGGTCCCGTTCGGTGCTGGTACACCCACAGCTTGGCATACGGGTTTGCGGCACCCTCGATCGCCTTGAAGACAAGTCTCGCGGAAGCGGGCGGCACGTTTGAGAAGCCCGTCGCGTCGTTTATGAGACGCACTGGCACAGTAGGAACGTAGTTCGAGCCAAATCCTACATCAACAAGGTACCGGTCGGAGCCTATAGTCACAATGTTGAGCATGTGGTTGAATGGCCCGAAGGACTGCGCCGTGGGAGAACTGTTGACTCGTGCGCCAACGTGGTACAGAGTGTAGCCTAAACTCCTTAACAGGCAGCCGAAAGTAGCATTGAGTTCCATGCAGTAGCCGCCGCGCCTGTTGGTCACAATCTTTCTGTACACTTCTTCCGGATGTAGAACGACTGTCCGGTGCGGGGAGTAATGAAGGGCCTACAATTTGCCATTTGTCTACTCAGCATGTGTATTTACACGGTGCACGCTCTTGCCTTGGTCAAGAAGCACAGATAAACGGAGCATCGTCTTACTAGATTCTCGAATGGCACCGAAGTTAGGTGATGCTTGATCAACGACTTGACGATTTCCAAGCTCGCCTTGGCATCGAGCCCGGAAACATCATACGTCCAAAGCTTCGCGGGCAGCGAGATGCGCTCAAAGTACGCGGTGATCTGTTCTTTGGAATACTTGGCCTCCATGTCGTTGCTCGACGAATAGCGTCTGCGTATTCAGATGGGCTGTTATTGTAGGGAGCCCTGGGTGGAATGCGGGCAGGGCACAGGGCTAAACCGGCGGAATCTCGACAAAAGGCTTCTGGCTGCAGGAACTAACTTACCCCACTACGGGGCGTACGATGGATGATGGTATGATCTGGGTCAAGGATATGAGGAGAGGCCTCGGATGACGGCGTGTCGACCTTGACTTTCTGGCGGTGAGTAAGACAAAGCATCGACAACGAAACTCCCAACACCGACGGTTTTGAGCCTTTTTGATCCTTTTTTTTGCTCGCCAAAGGAACTCAGGAACACCACCCTGATCTCCGAGAAAAAAGTCTTTCGAACATCTTAGCACGATCCCGTTGCTTCTGACTTCGGCGCATGTGCATGAAAGACGTGCGCGGGCCACAGCCGCTGCCTCCAGACGTTGGAAGCATTGTCAGTATGTACATATAAGCCTCTATTGCGTTTCGAAACAAATGTCGCTTGGCCTAATATTCTGTCCTCAAGCGAGGCGGTCATTTGGCGCTGCAAATCAGCCAGAAAGCCTCACGCACGAGCGTGGCCACCCCAGCCGCTGCTTTCTGAGCGGACACACGCTGACCTGCGTCCAGAAGACCTTTGGATGCATTTGCAACCAGAACGCACGTCGCAGAACCAGGCGCCAGCGTATTTTGTGCGTCGAGAGCCTCTGCGTGAACAGCAAGGCGCGGACTCGGCCAGGGGAAGACACGCCAACGCACGCCACAGCCGCCAGTCGCTCCACTCTCGCGCGAATCCCAACCTTGACCTTGACGCATCGAGGGAGAAAAGACTCGACCACTACTCCTGAGGAAATCGTCTAGCCTCCTCCCAGTAATTGACCCACCAACGCTTGCCTCCACATATCTTTTCGACACTCTTGCGGCCTGCTCGTCTGCCTTTCCACCTGCCGAGCCATCTTGTTACACTTCTGGTTTTGTATGGATTTCGCCCGCTGCGCCTCGTCACTCCTCCACCACAACAGCCACATGTCGCATATGTCGTAGACAGCGAAGATCTCTGGACCGCAATCTTAGCGCCCGTCCAACCACGCCCCTAGGGGAACGGCGACACCCCCCAAACGTGAGCAATGCAAAATGACTCCTCGACGCGGCAGCAATCGTTCCTGCCAGATCGTTCCATGACATACAGCACTGCATCATCCTTCTACGCACGCGAGTCCACATACGACTTTGCCGGATCTGCTCCTGCGCCCGCAACTTTGACTGCCGCCGGGACGACGGGAGCGAGAAGCACGCCGTCAATACAGTTCCCGAAGCCGGAAATCCTGCTGGGAAACTATGCGCCGTCATCTCTTGCGTCGAGGAATGGAGGGCCAACCTCGCCGCCGGCGCAAAAGAGGAGGAAAGCCTCGCTGAGCGACCCTGTGCTCACGCATCTTCTCCTGCAGACGGCACTGGGCGATTCGGGCGACTTTGAAATTCTCTCCCTAGACGAATTGGAGGCACTCAAGAGAGAGGGTCAGAGTTTACGAGCGAGAATATCTGGCTTGCAGAGGAAGCTAGCTCTGGAGACAAAGGTACGCGACGCAGCAAAGTCGCTTGTACGCCTGCGATCAACGCCCTCATCCGCCACATCTTCACCCAAGTTCAACAGGCGCAGTTCGAACATAGCAAAGGAGTCGCAAGACAGGGCCCAACTCGAGTACGAAGAGGCGGAAAAGAAGTGCGATGCCCTTGCTCGCGAGCTGTACAGCCTGGAGCAGAGGGAGCGACAAGTGCAAACAAGGATATTGCAGCATACTGCTGGCATACTGCAGATGACGCATCATGGGTACACCAAAACCCAAGGAATGCCTTTCCTTCCGGGCGCGAGGCCGGACAGTCCAGCGAGTCTCGACGGGACGCAGCCACGAAACCTCAATGGAGCAGTCCAGAATTACGATGCGCTAATGTTCAATGACCCTTCACCGTACGACAACATGCTAGAAAGCCTAAACAGTACGCCGCCGAAACAGCAGCCGCTGGGCAGACTTTCTGCCGACACGAGCGCTCAGCAACGCGAGATGCTAGGATACCTAGCGAACGGCTTGGAGGATCTGAACACACGTGTGGCTGCTGTGCTAGCTAGGACCAACACGCAAAAAGCACAGAAATACGGCCGATTTCCCGAGATAATCGACGATGCTGTCAACGTATCTCTGGCCCAACGATTAGATCAGCTTGCGCAAGGGCTGGACGACATCGAGGCGGAGCAGAAGGCTCTACAACAAGAGGCGGAATCACGCTCACAGGGCGATGACAAGCAGGTTGCACAGTTGCAGGCCGAGCTACAGGCAAGCATACAAGAGAATATGGCCCTTCAAAAGGAATACGACAGAATCGAAGACTCCATGAGTGCGCAGTTGGCTGAAATCAACAGCGAACTGTATCAAGTGATGACGGCGGCCTCGTTGAACGTCGCCAAAGCTCCAGCAGACTCAGGACCCATGGATTCGCTGGAGTACACAAAAGCGCAGCTGGCGAATGTAAAGAACATGGTCCAGGCGTCATCCAAAGCTGCAAACGAAGCACGCCAAGTTGACGCTATGGTCCAAGGGCTTTGGGCGTTCATTCTTGGCGCAGAAGAAGATCTACGAGATCGAAAGCGTAAGGAGAGGGAACAGCTCGCGCAAAAGAGGGCTGCAGGTGCAAGGGTCGATTCAGAAGATGAAATTTCGGACGATGAGGATGTCGGCGCAGAGCTAGGAGAGACGTTCACCATGCAGGCGTTCAACGCGAAAGTGCAGTGGCTCGTTTCACAATCACTACAGCTGAAGGAGTCACAGAGTGATCTTAAACGGAAGATAAAGGCACATCGCGAACGCGCGGACCGAAGCCTAGAGAGCCAAGCAGGTAATGATGGGCTGAGAGAGCAACTCAATCAGACGAATGCGCTGTACGCTGCAGCTCAAGATCAGCTCCGTGATCTGGAGTCGCGGATTGCTCAGTTGCAGAGCTCTCAAGATGAAAAGGACGCCCGCCTCAAAGCATTGCAGGATGAAATCGCAAAGGCTGACATGAACGCCCGTAACGAGGCACGCCAAGAGTCCAAGGTTGAGATCGAAGTTCTGGAGCAGCAACTCAAGGATGCGCAGGGCAGAGCTGCAGCGTTCGAACAGGAACTCGCTGCTGCGCAGCGACAGCGTGAGGTAGACCTAGCAGCAACCGATGAAGCTGCAAAGCAAAGCGAAGCTGAGATGCAAGAACTCCGGGACGAAGTCGTACGACTCAAGACCGAACTCACGATCGCGCAGGCAGAGCTCGACGGCGCATATGGAAGCCGATCCGAGAGGGCTGCCGAGACGGCCGCGGCGGCGAACACGGAGGCAAGCAAGAAACTCGAGGCCATGATATCGAAGAACGCGGAGCTCACGGCCCAGATTGCCGATCTGCAGCGGGCTAGTGGCGAAAGAGAGTCTCAACTTAAGAAAGAACTTGCGGACACTCTAAAGGAGTTTGAAGAGCTGACAAAGGTGTCCGTGGAGCAGGAGAGAGAGCGGGATGAATTAGAAAGCACGATTGATAAGTACAGGGATAGGATTGAGAGCCTGGAGGCGCAGATTGCAGAAGACCAGGTCAAATGGCTAGGCTTTGTGGGCGACGGAGGAAATGGTGCGAGTCCGGGAAGCAATGTGTCTGGCCCCAGTCAGAGTATGAGTGTGATGGTTTTGAAGAACGAATTCAAGAAAATGATGAGGGATGCAAGGACAGAAAGCGCTAAACAGTTAAGAGTGAGTTTTTCCTCCTGATTTCAGGATATATGAGATCAAACAGAAGACTGACGTTTTTGATATAGGCGGAGCAGGATGAACGTAGACGACTCGAAGGAATTATTCGAAATATGAAGAAGGGCAGCGTTTCTAGGAAGGGGAGCTTGACGAACGCGTTGGCGGCTTGAAGAAGGATGAGAAGTTCGGTTTATGTAATTTCACCGCATTGGGTTGAGGGCCTGATTTGGTTACAAGAAAAGCCCGCATAATGATGCATTTTCTAGGTGTTTAGACAAAGCAAGCAGCCACCGGGAGTGCTCAAGGCCCCCGGTTGAGACTGCGGTATGTTAGATTATGGTGAAGTTTAGGATATTGTATACATACTCAAAAGACTTTACAGAAAACAAATATGTTCGCCATAAGAACTGGAAGAATGTTAGAATGTAGACCATAACGTCAACTTGTGAGAGTGCAAATGATATTCACGTGACTGAACACGCTAGTCCACTTCGGTGTATATCGCGGCCTCATCGCTATCAATCACCAATTGCCGTATGAGTTTGACAAGGCTCATTCCATTCACACCCACTATCAACCCCACTTCTCCCCTTGCACGCTCTTCCAATATACTCTCACTCCTCCTCACTCTCGCTGCTGTCCGGGCCTTGGGTAAATCACGATGGCAGCTGTGAATGGGGCGCGGAAAGGTAAACTCCCCCCGGTCTGACACGGGCGTGCATCCAAACGTCTGGACTAACCGGCCATACTTTCAGGCCTGTCAAAGAATGCGACCAACAAACTCAGCTTGGTTGACCCATCCATATACGACAAGATACTTACTGAAGCCGACCGCAAGCCGGTCAAATTGAAGGTCAAATACACACCCGCCAAGCAAAGTGATCCAGGCCGATGGAACGACGAGAACAAGGTCACGGGCGGGCATGATGCGGACAAGAAAGATGCGGCGCCCCCGCCAACGTCACCACTCATAAATCAGGTTGACAATAAGATCGCCATTGCGTTTCCCTCCGGCAGGCCGTTCGAGGACACAGTCGACATTGTGCAGTGCAAGCACTGCAAGAAGCCCGTTCTAAAGCTTGCGGCCCCAGATCACATACGCAGCTGTCTACGAAAGAAACAGGAAAAGCTACTAAAGAAGAAGGAGGCGAAGGAGGCGAAGGATGCAGCACTGCGCAAGGAACGCAACGGCGGCATATCGCCCGCCGGTTCAGACGACGAAAGCAGCATCAAGAGGGCGAGGAAGACGGCTGTCGATGGCGATGGGGTTGCGAAGAAGGCGGGCAAGAAGAGGAAAGCAGAGGACGATGGCAAGGCCGGCAGCGCGAAGAAGAAGAAGAAGGATGATCTGAAGGCGAAGAAGCCTGCCAAAGGCCCTGTCGATGTCGAGAAGCAATGTGGTGTCCCCCTCCCGAATGGAGCTTTGTGTGCCAGGAGTTTGACGTGCAAGAGCCACAGCATGGGCGCCAAGAGAGCTGTACCGGGCAGGAGCGCACCGTACGACGTGTTGTTGGCGCAGTACCAGAAGAAGAACCAGGCAAAGCAGCAGCGTACGTTCCTGCTCCTTTGTACACAGCCACTGCACACAGAGGTACTGACATGCAGATGCAGGGGCTGCGATCGACGCCAATGCCCCTCTAGCCGACGACTTCGAACCTGGCAACGTCGACTCGGACGAGGAACGCGAAGCAGTCATGTCCGCCATCTCTCGGTCTCTGCGAACAAATCCACTCTCTGGGGCGCGGTATGCCGGCTCCCCGCTTGTCTCGACGCCGTTGACATCCATCACTGCAAAATACAAATATCATCGCATGCGTGACCTGCTGCGCAATGCCCTCTCAGGTGCAAACGGTCGTGACTTGTTTGCTACGTCTGCTACTGCGATGATGATGTCATCAGCATCTGTTGGACAAGGGGGCTTACCCAGCGCAGGCTTGTTCAACGCGGATGGCGTGAATGGAACCGGTGTGCTAAGCGACGGACTAGATGGTGTGGGTCTTGGAATGAATGTTGGCGTGGGCATGGGAAGCAGGAGAGGAAGCATCGCGCCAACGAGGCAGATGGTTCCCGCTGGTGGAGGCACGAATAGTAGGAAACCGAGTATCAGCAGCAATGCGGGGATGTAGATGCACCCTTAAACTTTTGGGAAAGGCCCTTCTGGTGACGCAAGTCCTAAGCGAGCGAAGCTTTTGCGTGCCATAGCATTAAGATACCCTGTATAAGACGAGCAGAAATGTGGCATATGGGCAATGCAGGAAGGCAACTTGAGCAGAGAGGTTGGCATCCGGGTTTGCTAGAATCAAGCCCTGATGTGAGTTTCCACTACTATAGAGAAGTCTCATAACAGAGCAAACACGTAACATGCCCTGGATTTTTTTTTCTCTCTTCTTTTCTTCTCTTTTTTTTTTCTTCACGATGATGAGCAAAACCGTCCGTCTGTTATCATCTACTCCGTCACCGGGATTGGTACAATCATCATGAAGGTAGACTAGCATTCCTCCCGAAATTGGCTGGTTCTTTCGGTGAAAAAGTCCTTGGGAGTCCCTTACGCGCGTATCGTTGGCATATCACATTTCCGATGTCAGCAAGAGAGAGACGCAGCCAAAAAGACAGACCGAATTACCCCATGCCTGAGCATCCGCGCTTTCCAGTTATTCCTCGCTAACCGACGTTTTCTTCAGGCTCGATCGTTTCGCCAAACGCCTGCGTTTCACTTGATCGCAACGAACGGCAGCTTCGCAGAGGTTACGCCTGGGTGACTCACCGTGTCAAGCATGTGTGATCCAAGACGGCGGTGCGAAGGATTCGACCGTGAGATGCCGCCGGAGAAGAAAGAGAGCGTGTGTTGGAAGGTCGCTTCGAAGCGGTGGCCGATCGTGCGAGCGAGTGAAACGCCAAATCGCCAATCGAAGCAGCGCAATTCGGCGAGACAGTGACGTCGCGCTGGGAGGAGGTTTCGACCGTGCAGAGCCGCCCGCCCCGCCACTGTGGGTCCGCGCGGGGGCTCGCCCAAGTTCTCGAAGATACCCTACGCTACGTAGGTCACCACCAAGCCCACCACGACGACGACACCTTGCATCTCCCAGATCGCAGCACACTCAACCACGGCGTTCGCCCCATCACAGACACTTGCCCTGCCGTCCAAGATGCGATTACCCGTCATCACCGTGTCCAAGTTCGTCGGCACCGTCTCGCTCGGCCTGCTAACGGTACGTAATCGCTACTGATGCCCCGTCCCATCGTCATCCACCGACCCGCTCGCCTTGACTCCCTTCCCTCCATTTGCCCTTCCTCCCGTCATTGCACGCGCTCACTGTCCTGACGCCCCGGATCTGAGCGCTCGGCAAGGCCCAAAGGCCAAAGAGGACGGAAGAATGTGCTGACGCCGGGACAAATACAGGGCGTGTCCTACACGCTGAGCAGCCTCGCGCTGCCCTCGCTGCTCTTCCTGCCCACCGCCCCCGCCGCCGCGCAGACGCACGCCTACCTTAAGCAGCGCGCCCGCCGCACCCAGAAGGTGCTCTCCGCCCTCGCAATCTCCACTCTCTCCTTCGCGTACCTGCTCTCTCCCAGCCGCGTAAAGCACCCCTACCTGCTGTGGACCTCGCTCGTGTGCGGCGCCGGCCTGTCCCCCGTCCTGCACAGGATCGTCGGCCGCTACCTCGGCTCCGAGGACGTGGCGGCCCGCGGCAGGATCGAGATGGAGGAGAGCGGTGTGATCGTGACCCCGCCTGCGAGCGGCAGCTCCGAGAGCGGCGACGAGGACGCCTCCGTCAACGGCGAGGTCGTTCGGAGAGGCGTCGAGCGCGGCCGTGTCGTCGAGGCCGCCAGGGCCGGCGTCTTCGGCCTATCCTTCGTCATGGCCGTCGTAGGCCTCTGGGGAGACGGTGCCTGATTCCGTCGCGAGTGACGAGCGGACAAAAAAGAAACCGCGCCGCCTGACTGCAAGACTCGAATGACTTCTACGTACGCTGATCGCATGAACGCGACGACGAATGCATGTGGTGTTTTGGGACGGTGGGGAAAAGGGGGCGCCGATCCCGTCTCTTTCGAATGGCGCGTCACTCTTGCAAAGATCAAAGACAAAAATGATCACTGTTCGCTGCTGCTTCTGCTGGACTGGAAACGCGGAAAGGGAACCAAAAGAGTGGAAAGATCGGTTTCAATCAGGTTTCTGGCTTCGGGAGATGGGCAGGCGGCAAGGCCCACCGTGTATGATTGGAGTTTTATTCCCAGCTCTGCCCTTTTTTTTTTTCCTGTTCTCTACTTGCGAGACACACACAAACATATATATATATATAAAAGACAAGCCCTCAACCCAACACAACATGTACTTCTACAAATACCAAAAAAAACCCAGGGTTTTCTTCCAAGACTTCTCTTCGAATTGTGGATTCGTCCATCCGATTTGTGCGCTTGCTTTGTTTGCCCGTCATGATCACTCGCAGGTACATTGCCTACCTCGCATGTCTGTACCGTCCCTGTCGCTGCTCGGCCTGCAACGCATCCTTCTGATCCGGCAACGGCGCCCTCTTCCTTATTCCTCCGCTGTTTGCCCCCGTATCCTGCTGCTGCTGTTGCGGCTGCGCTGCAAAGCCGGGGATGCCGTTCCCGTTTGGCGCAGTCTGCGGCGGCACCTGGTACCCTTGGTGCTGCGACGACGGGGCCAAAGCCTGGGGCAGCACGAAGCCGGGCGGTGCCGCTGGAGCGCCGTTGCCGAAATTGGGTGGTAGGATGCCCGGTGGCAGGCCGGGAGGCAGGCCGGGAGGCGGGAACGGCACCTGGCCCGGTGCCGGGATGGGCGGCGGTTTCACGCCGAGAACTTGCGCCATGCGGGCGGGATCCATGCTGGCGAGCATGCCCAGATCCACGTCTCGGGGCAAACCCTGGAACTGAGGAGGCGGTGGAGGCGGGACAGGCATATTTGGAAGGGCAGGGATAGGTTGCGCGGGCGTGAGGCCGGGCAAGCCGGGCACCGCGTCGCCGACCGGTAGCGAGAGACCCGGCAGAGCAGGCATAGGACTGGTCTTGTTCTGGTCGACCAGACCCTCCGCCTCGTCTTCCTCCTCCAAAGCTTCTTCCTCGCGTTCCTGGCGGTATGCACTCTTGCGACTGTAGGTGCCCTGCGCCTCTGCTGCGGCTTGGCCGATGTGATATCGGTCGTTGAAGCACACCGTGTCGCCTGGTCGGGCGCGAGACCAGAAACGGGTGATGCGGTCATTTGCTCCTGAGGCCAGGATGTGACCTAGAGGGTGCCAGGCCAGCGACCAGACGGGACCGGTCGGTTCGTGAGCATAGGGAATAGAGTGTGCGGGGTAGATTGTTTGCGTTGGCGCGTTTGCAGGGTCTGCAGTGTCGTAAGGGGAGATGGTGGCCGCTTGACCGGCTGGTGGGTTTTGTTCATCGAGTAGATAGTGGTGGATGGCGCCTTGGTGGCCACCGCTGGACAGCAGGTTCTTGTGTATGGGATGCCACGCGAGGGATGTGACTTCAAAGGGATGTCCTCGACAGAGAAGCATGTCCCGCATCATGCGCAGGTCAAATATACGCACGATCTGATCTCGCCCAGTGGTCGCCAGCAGATGGCCCTGGGTGGGCTCGAACAGCGTCTTTGATACCTGGTTCTTGCTCGAGCTCAGCGTCGTCAGACACCTGGCATTCCTAGGGTCCCAAAGCTTCACGGAGTGATCCTTGGACCCTGACACGACCAGGCCCTTGGTTGGATGCCAGTCGAGGCATCGCACCTCCCACTGATGGCCTGTCAGCTGGTTCTCCTCGACGGATTTGGCAAAATCCCAGATCTTGAGTATTCCATCGTCGCCTCCAGTCACGAACTTGGAGTCGGTCGGGGCAAAAGCCACGCCTCTGATCGGCTGATCGTGGCCCTTCCAGGACTTGACGTTATTGAAGTTCGTTTGCCAATACTTGATGGTGCCTTCAGCGTCGGTGGAAACGAACCACTCGTCGTTGTGAGACCAAACGGCAGCGCGCACGGTTGTGTCGTGGGCCTGCATGATCGTCTCGAAGTTGAAGCCCATGCCGTTCCACAGCGTGAATTCGCCGCTCGACGATGCGGTGAGCAGACGTCTACCCTCGGGCGTCCATGACACATGGTTGATGGGGAACTTCTGCTTGTTAAGAGACGAATGAAGATGCTTGACAGGAATGGAGTCTGCAGCTCGGTCTGGCCTGCCTAGAGGCGGGATCATCTGCTCTGGGTTAGAAATGGCGGAGCTCATGTGTCAGATGGGGCATTGGCAATCGCGCACGTCAACTATGTAGCTGGAGCTGGGTCTTTCTGCCTCCATGTATGCGCCCCCGCGGTACTTTGGGCGGCGATGCCGCATCCACTGCACCATGGTCGAGCCATAGTCCGTCTGTGGCCCTGTAGCAACGCGCAGTCAGCATCGCGCTTCGTCACGCATCTTGCATTCTGATGATGATGATGATGACGATGATGATGATGATGATGATGATGATGATGGGGAAAGCGGCAGGAACAGGCCGTCATGAAAAGGCTCGAAAGATGCGGGCTGCAAGAGTCCGGTCATCTGTCTCTTACGTCGGCCGTAGTTCCAGTTTCCAGGGTTGGTGCTCGAGAAGAAGCTCTGGGGGTGGTGCCAGCAGACGGGACGCTGATCGAGCAGGGCGTCTGCAGCATCAGGACAGAACTGCATTCTCGCAGTGCGCGGCAACGATCGCTGGAGAGGCGAAGCAGAATGCGGTGGGCAATCCACGAAGACAGGCGACAGGCTGACTTACTTCTCGGCCGTGGTCTTCCTGGGCCGTCATGGCCGGGAATGTACTGATGGGGTTGGAAGTCGCGCTCCATACCGAATCGTGCGCGCTGAGCGTGTGCGCATCACCACGGGCGGGCCGGTGCTGGCGTGAAGCTGGCCGTTCTTCCTCGCCTTGGTCTGCGTCGTCGCGGGCGTGGTCGTCGTCGTGGCCGTCGTCGTGGCCGTCGCGCTCGGCTCTGAACGCGCTGTCCGACGGGGGATGCGCTCGCTCTCGTTTGCGCTCGCTGTCTTTGATGGACGCGATGCTGGCCGTGGACCAGCGGGCGAAAGTCACGTTGTTCGCGTCTCCAACCGTCAGGGCGCTGGTGCGATGTGCAGACGTTCACATTTCCACAAGAGGCCTAGCGCGACTCGAGCCTCAGCCGGAAGCGCGAAGTACGCAGTGCGCAGCGAGGATTCGGCCGCTGGGAGATTTGCCCCGGCCCAGACGGTCAAGGCGACGCCCGCGGCGGCGCAAGACACCGGGCCAAACCCGTCTTCCCAGCTTGTGATTCACGGCCCGGCCGCGGCAGCCCAAGCCCGGAGGCCGGCGTGGTCGCGGCGAGGACGCGGACGTCGACAGCCGTGCTCGCTCTCAGGCAAGCTCGCGGCCAAACGTCCATCCTGTGCCAGAACGGCCAGGCCAAGGACGAGACAGGCCGCAGCGCTCGCACAACACATCATACACATGCCCAGGACGCTTCCAACACCGCCCCGGGTCCCACCGTCGAAGGCGCGGCAGCTCGCAAAAAGCCTGCTAGCCGCTGTCGAAATCCTGGCCGCCCGCGCGGAAGGTAAATCATACATCGGCAGCATCCTTGTTTAGCCCCTCCCCAACCAGCCGCCGTGAGCCCTGTGTAAGGCCGTTTTCGATATGCTTTGCGCTCAAGCTTCCTGCCAGCTGCGTCTCAACGCGCCGTGAAGCTCGTAGTTGTTCCCTTACGCCTTTCGTTGGGAGCTCGACCTTCATATACGGCTCCGCCTCCGCTTCTTCACCCGTCTTCGAATCCGTCCTCCATGCGCTCTATTCTAGCATGACCCAAGCCCCCAATTGACACATTCTGGCCGCCCGTCCTCGTGTTCCGATAATCTCTGTTCCCTGTAACATATACTTTGCGCCACTGACGGAATCCTTCCTCCCGCCTAACGTCGTTCGACACATATTTTTTGTTTTTTGCTTACTTCTGCTTACTTCTGCTTCTCACGCTCACGGCTGCCATGACGACCATAACCGAGGCCAGCATGTCGACGAGCGTGGACGTGTCCAAGAATTCGTTGAGCTTCTCTGCCCACGATGCGCCCAAGACCGCTGCCGTCCTGAACGGCTCGACCAAGCCGCGCAGACCAGTCTCCGGACGGGCATACAGCAGATACAACCACTTGTTTGCGATACACGCGACATCGAAGCCTTCGCCGCTGACGAGACAGGATCAGACCGAAACACCAAACTTCAATGGCTTCCGGAACTTAATGGCGTTGGTGCTTGGTATTTAGAGCATCTGTCCGGTCGTACCCGTGTGCGGTTCGTGAATGCTGACGAATGTGCTGCAGTGGTCTCGAATTTACGCCTGATGCTTGAGAATTTTAGAAAGGTACGTACAAGGAGCAGAGCAATAGAAAAAAAAAAAGGCGAAGACTAAGCGATGAATCGAATTGAACTTCTACCGGTGGAAATGCATTTGCTAATCGAGCCTAACAGTATGGCGTCCTCATCTGCATCCGCTGCCATGACTACCGCCGCGAAGACGTCATCTACGGCAGCATGCTGTATTTTTCGGTGCCCTGCCACCTCTTCATTGCCTGGGTGATAGAGCTTGTCGCCGCGAAGCAGGCTCAGGCCGCCGTCGCGCGCCGCAAGAAGTCCGACAGCGAGCTGTCGACGGCCGAAAAGCAGCGGCGGGATTTCCAGCTAGCCTGGTACCTAATCGCCGTCGCGCACGCCATCAACGCGACGCTGAACCTAGCAATTGCTTCTTTCGTCGTATACTACATCATCCACCACCCAGGCATAGGCACAATCTGCGAGCTGCACGCCATCATCGTCTGGCTCAAGGTGTGCTCGTACGCGTTCACCAACAGGGACCTGCGGCACGCGTACCTGTATCCGGACCCGTCCGCGGCACACTCGCTGCCAGATCTGTACAAGTCGTGCCCGTACCCGCAGAACATCACCCTTAAGAATCTGAGCTACTTCTGGTGGGCTCCCACGTTGGTCTATCAGCCCGTCTACCCGCGCACGGAGAAGATCCGCTGGGACTTTATCTTCAAGCGCGTCGCCGAGATCATTTCGCTCAGCATAGTCATCTGGCTTGCCAGCGCCCAGTACGCCGTACCGCTCCTGCAGAACAGCCTGGAGCATATCGCTGCCCTAGACGTCGTCTCGATCCTGGAGCGCGTCATGAAGCTATCCACCATCTCGCTCTTCTGCTGGCTGGCCGGCTTCTTCCTCGTCTTCCAGAGCGCGCTCAACGGCCTCGCCGAGCTCATGCGCTTCGGCGACCGGGAATTCTACGGCGACTGGTGGAACTCGGTCAGCATCCGCACGTACTGGACCAGCTGGAACAAGCCCGTGTATCACTTTATGAAACGTCATATTTACAGCCCGCTTGTGGGCCGTGGGGTCCCGCCGAGGCTGGCGCAGATAATCGTGTTCGTCTTCTCCGGCGTGCTGCACGAGCTGCTGGTCGGCATCCCCACGCACAATCTGCTTTGTAAGCCTCCTTCCAAGCGGCACCGCGTCCTTTACCTCGTCGAACTGACTGACGTGTCGCGCAGGGGTCGCTTTTGCTGGCATGATGTGGCAGATTCCGCTGATTTTTCTCACCGACCCGCTGATGAAGGCGAAGAGCTACACCGCGAAGACGGTTGGCAACCTGACCTTCTGGATCACCTTCTGTCTTGTCGGCCAGCCTTTGGCGGCGTTGCTGTACTTTTTTGCGTGGCAGGCTAAGTATGGAAGCGTCAGCAAGAAAGCGATGTACAAGTGATGACGCCGGTCTAGCTTTGCGCTTTATAATGTAATGACACGTCTAATGCTTAAGGTCTTTCTAATTGATAGGTCATTGCTACAATCGCAACCTTGTCGCCTGTCAGATTTTTCTTTTTCTGCGGCTCATCCTTGAAAATTCGTTGCTTTTCGCGGAATACGTGACGAAATAGAGAGGGAGATTACGCCTTTTGAATTTGCGTCGTCACCGTGAATCAGCCGCTCGGGTGACTTGAGGGAAGCCAAATCGATTCCTTTTGCTTATTTCCTTTTCGGGACGTCCAATATTCCATCTCTCCCAAATTCCTCCATCGCTGTACAGCTCGACGATGCATTCACAACCTGTCCAGGACAGCGTCTCCAGACGTCGGAGAAAGCCCTTTCTCCAACGCTGCAGGGCATATGGGAGAACTTGCCGGATCCAAAATAACTGGCCCGCCACAGGCAATGAGACGTTGTCTGCCCAACAAAAACCTGTAGCATACGCCAATCGCAGCGATGGAACGAACCGGGTGCGACCTTGAACATCATATCGCCACACTGCGCATGCGTGCGGTCCACCCTCGCGACGTCTGGGCCGGAGCTGCAGCTCCTGTTCGAAAGCTCTGTCTTGCCCTGCTTTTTCGTGGAAGCAGACTGTCGAGAGCAGGCAGCAAGTTGCAATCTCGATGACGGATACTGCGTCCCCGCTCCGCAATGGCTTTGCGATCTTCGAGGGGATCCCCTGGCCATAAAACTCATCACGATGCAGCACCTGTCTGTAGAACCCTTCCCAAAGGTTCGCTGACGCGGCATAAGGAATACTAGGCCTTTTTGCAAGGGAGCGAATGGGGAGTAGTGTGAGTTTTCCTTAGGATGGGTGTTAAGCACTTGCACATTCAAGGGTCCGGAATAGCGGGCACAAGCAGATGCCGTGGTGAATATGGATGCACCGACCCTCACGTCTCGATACGCCACATGGATGTTTACAGCCCTGCTGAGTGAGTTTGGATAATGCTAACGGCGAGAGGGTGCACAGCTGGTCACGTGCGCGGTGATGTGCACCTACAAAATGAGCGCAAGCTGTGAGCATCTAGAAATGACCCGCTCACAACGAGAATGCGGCTGTTAGTCGCGCAATCGCAAAGCGCAATGGCACAAGTTATCCTAAGGACTCGAGCGCGAAACGCTTTTGGAGGCTCCGCGTCCCAGCTTTCGTCGTCGACGCGGGCACGACCCGAGGTCCTTTTTGGCTTCCCCTCAATTCTGCTCTGTGATTCGCCCCTTCCCGAACAACCGGATGGTTACTTGCTTGCGTTTTTAATTCTTTTTTTATGTATATATATGTTCTCTGGTCACTTAAGCTCGATGCTGTCTTTTTATTATATAGAAAAGGCTTTGATTTAGAAGGAGGTAGCAGTCTGTATTTTCCTTGGATTTTAGTGTTCGTCGTCAGCCTCCTCCCACCTCTATTCTTCTTCTTTATTTGCTTCTAGGGCACTTCAAACAGATCCGATTTCTTTGCCTAATATTATGCCTGCAAATCCTGCTTGGGTCAAGGCCCTCAAGCCTTCCGGACCGCAAGGAAGTGAACTACTCGCCCAGGAAAGAAACCGATCTCAACTCCCTGTCGAGTCCGTGTCTGAATTTCTCTTCTCCAAGGAGCATCTGGAAAGCAAACGGCGCATCTTAAAGATCCTTCAAGAAGATCCTGTCTTTGACAAAACGCCAGACTATTATGCCGGTCGTGCCGAACGGTTTGAGCGTGCTTTGGCGCGTGCCAAGCGTCTCCGTCAGCTTAAAGTGAAGCATTCATGGACGCAGGACGAACTCTACCTTGCCAACGGCCTTATCTCTGACTCTGGTGCATACCTTCTTCATGACGGCATGTTCACGGGTGAGAAACTAGTATAGATCGGAAAGATTTCGACCGAGCTGACCATGCTGATCTTGTAGTCACTATTCGCGAGCAAGGGACGCCAGAACAGCACGAGAAGTTTCTCCGGCCTGCGGAGAGATACGAATATATCGGCTGCTACGCGCAGACCGAGTTAGGCCACGGCTCAAACGTGCGCGGCCTGGAGACCGTGGCAGAGTGGCAGCCAGACGAGAAATGCTTCATCCTGCACTCCCCCCATCTGACCGCTTCGAAATGGTGGATTGGCAATTTGGGCCTCGTCGCAAATTATGCCGTGCTCATGGCCCAACTTGTTATCAGAGGGAAAAGCTACGGACCGCATCCTTTCGTCGTCCAGATCAGGGACTTGAAAACCCATGAGCCGCTGGAGAACGTGCACATAGGTAAGTTAAGAGACTTTTGTTACATGTTATCGGATGGCCCTCGTGTTGATAACTCCGAAGGCGATATTGGTCCCAAATTCGGCTTCAACTCTATGGACAATGGATTCCTCCTCTTCAATAAAGTCAAGATCCCGCACATCAGCATGCTTGCGCGCTTCTCACGCGTCGATCCGGAGACGAATGAGTACGTGCGCCCTCCATCGGCGAGCCTAGTGTACGGAACTATGACATTGGTTCGCGCAAGCATTGTCAAGGCGGCGGGACATGCCCTCGCTCGCGGCGTCACGATTGCTACCAGGTACAGCGCCGTCCGCAGACAGTTCGTCGACAAGGACGCACCCGAATGGGAGACCGCCGAGACGCCGGTTCTTAACTACAGGATGGTTGAGATTCGGCTCTTGACCAATCTTGCCGCCACCTTCGCTCTGCATTTCACGGGAAAGACGATGATGCAGCTTTATCAGAGGCAGCATGATTCGATGAACAAAAACCCTGGCAATCCTGAACTGAGTGGCAACCTGCTCGCAGACCTCCACGCCACTTCTTGCGGACTCAAAGCTCTCGCTAGCTCGATTGCCGCAGAAGGTCTGGAAACCTGTCGGCGCGCCTGCGGTGGCCACGGATATTCCAACTTTAGCGGGATCGGCCCGTTCTACACGGAGTACCTTCAGAACACCACCGTGGAGGGCGACAACTATCTTCTTACTCAGCAAGTTGCCCGGTACCTCCTGAAATCTGCTGAAGCAGTCTTGAAAGGGGCCCCTGCTACGAACGACACCACTACGATCTTGAAACAGTATCTTAGTCGCCAAGGCCAGGGAGCCGCCTTCGACGTTCTGAACAATGACGCAGACATTGTTTCTGCGTATGCATGGCGGGCATCGTTTCTGACCTTCGAAGCTCTCAAGCAACGTCAAGAGCAAAAAATGGGGTGGAACGATATGCTCGTTGACTTCTACCGTCTCTCAAAGGCTCACAGTCAGTATTTGGTGGTCAAGAGTTTCTATTCGACTCTTGAGGACCCGGAGACGGTAGATAAGTTAGACAGGTCTACCTTGGACGTGTTTCGCAGCCTCTTCCGCCTCTACGCTCTCCACACGATGGAGCAAGAAGGCACGGATTTTTTCGCCGCATCCGCTTGCAACTTGCAGCAACTCACACTCGCCCGAACAAAGTCCGTGATGAGCCTCCTCAAGGAAATTCGGCCGCATGTCATCCGACTTGTCGACGCCTGGGACTTTCCAGATTACCAGTTGGACAGCAGCCTGGGTCGATACGACGGCAGAGTGTACGAAGATCTGTTCGTAAGAGCCAGCGAGCGGAATCCGCTCAACAACCTCACCATTGATCCCTACCCTTTCAGTCCGACATTGATTCGTGTCGACAAATCTCAGAGCAAACTTTAAGACACGAATAGATTTTTTTTTTTTTTGGATAAGTACGGGGAGAAAGCTGGGTGATGAGGAATCATACGGAATGGAGGTAAGTATCGCATGATGAATGGCGTCTATGAACGAAGGCGAGATCATTCAAAGAGAAAAAGATGGCGTTTGCGAGTACCGTGATAGAAGATTTGCGCAGATAAAAGCACTTTTATCTGGAATGATCGGCTGACGAGGACAGGATCTATTTACAACGCTTTTTTTTGGGCGATTGTTCAATTCATGCAGCGTTCTGTTCTGTAGGTAGCTATCTATAGATGAGGTACATCATATTTGGTAGAGATGCAACACTAGGGCCAACGACCATGGACCAATCTCCAGTGCACTTGCGCATTATTTGGGCCTCTCGTGTTCAATGCTGCCAGGGTTGAAGCTTGCAGTGGCCGTGTTTCAGTTGTAGACGGAAGTAGGTGCACACACCCTGAATTGTGACTTCATGCAATGCGGCTTTGCTGCGCAGAATAGTTTCTCCCCCCTTCCCCCTCTCCCCCTCTTCGTAAAGATGAGTAGCGCAGCAGATGCCGGTTGGGGTCAACCTACAGTGTTGATGATGGAACGTAGCCTTTCGGCTTCCATGGTCCGTATTTATGGGATCCGCCGTCTAACATACAAGTAGGAGAACTTTCTAGCGACCGAGATCCAGAGAAGCAATCCGATGAGGTTCACGATGGCGGATTTGAGTGCTGAAGTCGTAGTTACACCAATCACAAGCACACCAAAGGATCTCTCGCTCGTCAATGGAAACTATCAAATAGAATCTCTCACTATTAGGCTTTCGGCAGCCATGATGTTGCTCTCTGGAATTGTCATCGAGCAAGACTGCCGTGATATGTATGCATTCCATGACAGATTATAAGACAAAATAAAAGAGGGGGTGAAGACGCTACCAATTGAACAGAAGCTTGATATCTTGCATGGCTGCTTCCGTCTCGAGCATCTGCGACGGTGGAAAGCACCGGTCATGTCTAAGATGTGTCACAGAGCAGTCGCTTGACAGAGCATTGTCTCCACTTGTGTTTATACCATAATAGTTTTAGACAGACATCAAGCATAACATGACCGCCATTTGTGAGACGCGTATCGGTACATTGTATACAGCTCACACAATCACCATCTTTTTTGATCTTACTGCGGGAAAAAAAAAAGAGATTACGGACATCTTCTATACGATTTCGACTTTGTTTATTAATAAGGAGATCCAGTTAATATTATAGCGTATGATTTGTGATCAAGATCAACTATTTTAATGTGCGTCTCTAATATTTCTGCAATATATGAAGAAATAAGACGAGACCGAACGTATACTCGATGCGACACGATACGACCATCATTGATCTGTAGTTCTACGGTATCGTGAGATGAAAGTGTCTTAGCCGCAGCATGCGCCACAGCGTGCACCAGGCTGCTCTTTCGAACACAGCGCAAACTAATTAATTTAACGCGTCTAAGTTATCTCAATGTCTCAAAATCAAGTAGATGAATTTTATCTCGCTTTGGCCACGATCAACGAGAAATAGGCCAGCACACGTTTTTCACGCTTTGCATGTATCTCATATGCCGTACCCCAACAAATGGCCACGATACCTTCGCTAGATGAAGCGGAAGACACTTTCACTTCAACTCGCATCCGTGAGGTGCTCAAGCCTACAAATGCCAGACCTCCAGCTACGTGGGAGCCGCAGTTTGAAGTGGAGACTTTCCGAAGGAAGATTGTTAATCGTGAGACAGGCCGGGTGAGATTATTTTCCGCTGAACAAATGTACGAGAATGCCAAAGCTTGGTGTGGCGACCTGTATGACGATTTCAAGGCCTCAAATCTGAATCTCTTATGCCTTGACGACGCATACGCCAAATTGCTATTTTGCAACTTCCAAGGAGTGCAGCATGTAGATCAGATTGTATCCGGAGTGTCCAAGTTGTTACGTAGATTGCCAGTCGTCTCGATGGAACTTCACAACCCTAAAATTGACCCTCTGTACAGCGACATGGCCCCAGAATGCTTTATAACGAACAATGAACCAGGGTGGGTTAGTCTCCGCTTTGCTCGATTCATCAGTCGAAACGTGCTATGCATGGCTGTCGAGATGCAGTTGCTTCGAAGCAACCTCCGCGACTCCGACTATGAGGCTTTGATCGACGTAACGAGCGAAGTGCTAAGGGCTGCCATGGAACTCTCCACTGCTAAGCCATCACTCGAGTGGTTCCTTATCAAGGCATTTCTTTGGTCATCATGGCAACGCATGACAACTTTGTACCATAATAGGCAGCTCCAAATCCAACTTCGAGGTTTCGACGCGCGACTACATCTCAACACGGCATTAAAGGGCGCCGAAATCTACAACACAGTCCTAAAATCTCAGTTAGACAGCGAGGAAACATGCGCACCCGCCTACATGTGTAAATGGGCGTTAAGGGTATTGCGCGAGGACAAAGCCATTGTCGGGAGAGATTTTCGAAGATTCTTCCAAATTTTCTCGCAAACATTTGCTGGTCGCATTCCGCGGTGCACTCACATCAACGGTGCCGCAGCAAAGAGCTGTGACGGACGGAAACCGAGATCTTGTCTTAGGTTTTTCGGACTGAAGATTGAGAATCAATCAGCACATTCTCTAAGTTGCTCTGGAACCTGCAAAAGACTGTATTGGGACGAAGACTCATGGAAAGCAGTTGGGGGAGGAGCTGCTGTTGCATTAGATTTGGGTCCTGGAAGTAGAATTCGTTATATTCATTCTTCAGAACGAACACTAGCAATCTCGCACGTATGGAGTCACGGACAAGGTGGGAGACCTGAGAACGACCCGGATAATGAAGGAACCGGTTTCAACAGCTGTCTCCATCATCGGTATTCTAAAATCGCGAGATTATATGGATGCGACTCTTATTGGATGGACACGCCTTGCATCCCAACGGATCATGCACTTCGGAAGGACGCAATAAGAAACATTAACCGAATCTTCACAGAAAGCAAAATGACGCTCATTTGCGACAAAGATTTAATGTCCATTGATGTACAGAATTTGAACATCTCAGTCGAAGAATCCATTCTTACCACAATACTTGTTTGCGATTGGAACGTAAGAGCCTGGACCACATTGGAAGCATTTAGAGGGAGAAAGAGTCTCTACATACTTTGCAAGGACGATCATGTAGTATCCTTGCACAATGTTGCGCAAAACGTATGCGAGAGCGGCGCAATGGAGCTATCTGGCCTTTTCCTATCTGCACAGCATTTGATACCTTTCGATCCGGATAACAGACCTATTGAGCAGCGCCAAAGACTTACAAAAGATGACACCGACAGTCGCTTCGCAGACATGTACCGAGCCGCCGACATCCTCTCTTGTCGACATGCAAGCAGAGAGGGAGATGAGATCGTAATTTGGACTTTGCTTTATAACGACATTCCCTTTGACAACATGGTAGACATCTGGCGCAACCGAGAGTATGTTCGGACCGGTTGGTTGGTGTCTGACCTGCCGAGGATCAACCAAGAAGGCCTAAGTTGGGCACCTTCACATCCCAATTTCCATCATTCCGATAAAGATTATGACCAGCAACGTATCCCATATGATGGACTATACAGCAGATTAGGAGAGGTGCTAGACGTCGGGCTGCTTGCTGAATGGTCCGCGTATGGAATCTTCTCAGGAAACCTTAAAAGAAACAGGTGGAAAATCCTCAAACAGAAAATGTTCAAGGGTTACAAGACGGATCTCGAACTTAATCTTCCAGGAGAAAGTTTGTGGTCCCAAATCACGTCAGCGGGTTTAGCGGGAAACTCAAGGGAGAGTTTTATGGCACTATTAAAGCCACTTCCTGTATCATCTTATGAACCTATCAAACATCCCCGCTGGCCATCAAAGCAAATACTTGTCGTTGTAGCTTCAGATGGCGGAATAGCGAATGTACCACGAAACCAGAAGAAAAAAATGCCTCTGCGTTCTGGCGATTTTGCCATTAGCAGCAACAATTACGTCTTTCGTAAATGGCGTTGGAAAGGTATCTTAGAGCTTGACCAATCGACGACTCCTATCGGATTCAAGGATCTATGGATTTTAATCAGTTAAATCTAAGCGCTAAGTTTATCAGTAGAGGAATGCGAAAGCTAGCGCTTCAGCAGTTTCAACTGAGCTACCACCTCCTCTCTTGTCTCAGTTTCTGTGCCTCCGTAGGTTGTTGATCAGTGGAGACAGGACCAGATGTCTGTATTCTCGGGGATCAGGACAAAGAAAAGTTTCATGGTCATCGCGAAAAAAGATTTTTTCTACAATTCCTTTGTGCAATTTTTAAAGCTTTTATACAAGATCACGAAAATTTGCAGGTCAGATTGTAGATGATTGTACGTTGAATCTGGTGGTTGCACGAGTCACTTCAGCCACGAACCATTGAGATCCGTTGTCTGATTTGAGACAAGACCACTTTGATCCGGCTCTTTGAACGTATCTTCGGATAAAGCGGCTTGTGTTCCTCATAGGGATCGTGCTCTTGATCATAATCAACGTGGACGAATGCTCGTTCTACGTCTTCGAGACCCTCTATTTTTCGCTGAAGTGTTTGACTAACATCGTGTGTAACCTTTAATATCGTATTCTCATCCATGATGATGTCGATCTCAACGAAGTACTTTTCTCCTGCGTGGTATGCTCTACACTAGCCTTGGTGTTAAAAGCAATGAGAAAATTGTTCTATCGAGAGATTACTCACCGTGTCGATGCTTTTGATTTGTTCATCATGTGTCATACTTACGTATAATACTTTCGACAGAAATTCTCTAGGTGCGGACTTGCCGACAAGAAGCCATATTTGTTCGTATGCAGTCGAGGCCCACGAGAAAAGAATGAGCAGTGCAATGAGGATAGCGCCGATAGGGTCAATATACCACACGAGCCTAGTTCCAATAATAGACATGACTAGACCAAAGGAATTCACAACTATGTCGTTGCGGTGGTCGATCTACACTTTCGTCAGTCCCGTCATTGACACTCCGAAGTCAAGATTCCCACAAAGAAAACGTAACAAGCTGGATAGCGCCGAAGGAAAAAACAATACAGCATCAAGCTGAATTTGGAAAAGACTGAAGTCTAAATCAGTGACTGTTCGAAAAATTTTGGCCTTGAAATAGGTCTTACTAGCAACGCCAACACAAATGAGTGGCACCAATTCGAGTGTGCTATCGGTTCTTTTGCCCTCACCAAGTGCGCGAGATGATTCTACCTGTGCTAACATGAGATCGTCTACTTTTATCATGTTCAAAACTAACTCACGATCAATTGAACCGCTACAGTCGTCATCAAAGCACAAAATAGAATGATACCGACAGTCTCAATACGAGTTCGTCCGATTGGGTATTTATACACACTCGGTCGTCGTGCCATGCGTGAGGTAACCATCATGACAATGGAAGACACTAGGTCCATCTACGGGCGATCAGTTCTCGAACACACAAAGATGATGACTTACGTACGAAAGCATCGGCCGCTGTTGCGAACAAAGATAAAGAACCCGTTGCGATAGCTGCATAGATTTGGATAACAAACAAGCAAAAATTCACAGTTGCAGAGCCATACACAGCTGTTTTGATCTTTGGCCCATTTGTCTCAAGATCTAAGGCAGAAAGACGCTCTTCATCGCCGCTCTGAAGAAACTGATCAATTAGCTGATTCTGTTTGCTATAGAAATTTTTCAGCTTTCGAGGTTTTGCTGTCGGGAACTCTTCTTTCAGCTTCTTGGTAGTTATATCCAACTTCTTGTGCTGAGCTAGAGCCATAGGATCATTCGGGATGACGGCCTCGGAATGAATTTCAGTTGCATTGTCTTGTAGGTCATTTTCCGGTGTCACACGGCAAACGTTCTCTTGGACTGCAGCGAAAGAATTCGCAATATCATCCTTTTGATAATCTGTCTTTCCATCGACATTGAACGACAGCGGAGACTTTATTGATTTTTCGACGGCAATATCAGAAGTTTCGCAGCTCAGCTCTAGTTTCTCATCCGCAACATTCATTTTATCCGCTGATTCCTCATCTTTCTTCATTGTTGGCATTGCAATAGTGTTATTGATTATGTATTTGTACTCCCTTGAGCTTGATCGAGCAAAACAGGATGATTTCGTTGTAGGCGTTTTGAATTACGCCGCAGTGTGAAATATGACTGATAAGGATAGGAAATGAACAGTTAACCGTCTATTCTGCAAATTGGTCACAACCATATATTATAGGTAATAATTAGTCCATAGATGCGTCTGAGGGTATTACATAGTCGCTCGTGTCGACGATCATCCTGCGACTTCTTGGGACTGTCTTGGAGTGCCCACAAGTCCTGTGTGATTGAGTTAGCCATGTATCATCACATTTCTTGTTTGAGATTTCGTCCCAGAATGATATCCATACACTCTTTGACTTGGAATGTCTAAGAGGTGAAGTCACTAACTTGGCATCTCTCGTCGTTCCAATGAGAACGAAAGTTTCGTCACGAAGCCGTAAATGTTTCCCGATAGAGGAGATACGACAAAACCTTACTCCACGATCGTTGTCGACTTGGCAGACAAGGCCAACCTTAAATCTATCGATGATATAGCCTGTCTGACTTCTTGACATTTCTTGCTTCGTTAATGTGGGTCTCTGAATGGGCACAAAACGCGACACCAATGATGGGTGAGACATTCGAGATCTGACAAATTCGTCCAAACAAAATCACGAGTCCATCATGAAACAAAATGCGCTGCATTCTGGAAAAAGAATACGTGTAGAAAAAGAAATCTTGCATGGGCTTCCGTCCTACTAGGGAGACTTTGCTGCATCGTACGTAGTAGCTGAGGCCATTTAAAACCCCATAGGATGTAGAGACATGAATTGTCATCACCCCGTGACCCTCCGTGCATCACAAAGGGCTACATGGTCCCGGCCATGAACTTTCATTGTCATAGCGCAAAATGTTCATTATGCTTTTGTGGGCACAATAGAAGGCCAAGATCCTTCTACAATGCTTCGGTAGTCACAGAATTCTCGAGATAAGCCGTTCTATATGCATCCGTAACAATACATGTCTTGGTTGTCTTAGTTGTTAAATCCAGGAGAAAGAGGAAGTAGTCTAGAAGCACAGAGGCCTCGGACGAGTACACTTTCCTCAATTGACTCTTGTCTGTTGTACGAAAGCAAGGAGATCCGTGTGGCTCTCTTGAATATTTGTTTGATAATGAAAGCCATGATGGACCAAGGACAGAGAAGGACGGCTTGGTAGAACCTGAAAGTTAAATCCAGCTCTTTGACTTAAAGAAAGTATATGACAAGCATTGAGAACCGAAAATTCCGCTTTCCTTGTGGCTGTATCTCTTCGTTGACTTTTCGGACATTCAGACATCCGCAGGAACAGAGTCAAGCCGTTGCTCGAATTTCTTCATCCGTGCTCCCTCAAGCACCAGAAGCTGCTGGTCAGCTTCAAGTTCATTGTCTTCAACTTACTTCCGTCACCTGAACTAAACTTGTCGGCTAATCGGTATCTACAAGTCCGGCGAGTTGATTTCAACTTTGACACTCAACTGGGCAGTGGTAGCGAAGGTGGCTTTTGAGATGGCATCTACAACTGCCACGCCAACGGTTGATAGTGGACCAAACATGACATCTGCTGCAATGCCATTGATGGCGGAGCAGACGAAGCCTGCTTGTGGAACAACAGGAACCCGTGAAGCGTACGATTTGCCTCTCCATGTGATTGCACTTTGTAGGTCCTTGACTTCCTATCTTTTCGAGGGCTACTGACAATCGTTAAGTCCTTGTGCTTGGAGCATCATGCTTTGGTGCTGGTTTTCCTGTTGTCGCCAAAAAATTCAAGCGGCTTAGAATTCCTCCAAAAGTTTTCTTCTTTTGCAAGCATTTTGGCACTGGGGTTTTGATCGCTACCGCATTTGTCCATCTATTACCCACGGCATTCCAATCTTTGAACAATCCTTGTCTGCCAGATTTATTCACTGATGATTATCCAGCATTGCCTGGCGTCATCGGTCTCGGGTCATTGTTCATGTTGTTTGCCATTGAACTGTGAGAAGTGCCTCCTCCCCTTTACTTAGCACTACTAACTGTAGGAAGATGGATGCATGCGAAAATGCCGCATGGCCACAGTCATGGAAGTGCCACCGGGGAAGAATTTGCTGGTCATCAGGTGTCATTACGTCCTGAATATCCCACTCTAAAGAGTCGTGCACCAACACCCTTTGAACCCAAATTAGAAAGTCCGTATCCAGACGAGAAGAAGCTGTATGGATATTCCTTGAATGAAGTTGAACGTTCTGACACTGGGCCGACTTCCGAGATGCCACCATGGTTTATTGTGTTCTATGAACAATATGTTCGCCAGCGGGAAGACATGATACAAATGATCAGACAGTATGCCCCAGCTCTTCCATCGTATCACGGTCAGCACCGTTCAGAATCTAGCGATACCTATGGAGAAGACGTTGGTACCGAGTCATTAGCAGATGCAAAGCAATACGGGGTTGCTGATCTCGAATACGGAGCTGTTGATCCAGCGATCATGAAGAAGATGTCCATGGAAATCACCCTGCTCGAGGGTGGCATCTTATTTCACTCTGTGTTCGTTGGCATGACGGTCTCGATCACAACCGATGGATTCATTGTTCTACTCATTGCAATTCTTTTCCATCAGACATTCGAGGGTCTTGGCCTGGGGTCTCGTATTGCAGCCGTTCCGTATCCTCGCGGCTCAATCAAGCCGTGGTTGTTGGTTTTTGCATTCGGCACAACGGCTCCAATTGGTCAAGCTATTGGTTTGATTACTCGAAATAGCTATGATCCAAACAGTGCCTTTGCTTTAGTTCTTGTTGGATTCTTCAATGCATTTTCGAGTGGTTTGTTGATCTATGCAGGGCTCGTGGATCTTCTCCATGCAGACTTTCTGTCCGAAGAGGCCGATCGAGTACTGACTCATAAGAAGAAAATACAAGCTTTTATTTACGTTCTTTTGGGTGGTAAGGGCATTACCCCTACAGTCTAAATTTTGATATGGCTAACGTTTTGAAAAGCTGCCGGGATGTCGATCGTCGGAGCATTTGCCTGAGCAATGTGCACCTTATTTTGTAGGTTGGAGTTCTATGGTTCACCTCGCACTGTATGAAGGGGACAATGACATCCATTTATTTGTGGCCGATTCTTTAACATTTAAGTTTGCTTTCATTTTGAGAAGAAGCCAGTCGACACTGCGCAAGTCTTGGCCTGATGGTCAAAAGAGAGCCTGTCGTTCATTATCTATAGATTCTTTGCAAGAGCACACGGATATATGCATAATCAATACGCTCATTTAGCCGACCGGCCTAAGTTCTGTAGTCTCACAAAAATTGTTCTGACGTCACATATGCAGGGCTTTAATCGCTGATAGCCTGCTATCTTTCAGCACTCCAATACAAGCAACTGAAGCCATCAAAATTTACTTACGGAGCCTTCAATCAACGTAATAGTGGCAAAAACTGCTTGATCTGCTCCTCGTAACTTCACAATGCCAGACTCTGCACAGATTAATCGCTCCATATCGACCGTGCGGACAGAATTGGAGTACCTGCGAGACACGGGCGTCCTTCTTCAACAGCAATTTGACTCTATCATGGCGCAGCTTCCACAAAATGGCCAACAATCCTCTTACGTGGATCCACGTTATGGAGGACCACAATGGGCACCCCCGGCTCAAATCTTCAATCAGGTCTCAGCAGCTGCACAGAATCCGCAGAGTCCTGCGAATCCTGATCATCCAAAGGTATCCTGGTGTACTCGAATAAGCATATTAATAATATAAGGAAGCTAACAAAGATATAGCACCACGAATGGGCCAAAGGCATGGCAAGTAAGTTCGGAAATGCCATGATGTGGGGAGCAGGAGCTACCTTTGGTGGCGATATTGTCAATGATGTTATGCAACATATCTAGTCAAAAGTCTATAAATCATGCCAAAATTGGTGAAAATTCGCACAGATTCAGCTCCTTCTTCCGTTGATGCATTTTATCCAAACCTTCTGGCTCCAATAAATGAGGCCTCCGAGTCCTAGCTCCGCAACAAGCACACCGAGCTGAATGGGGGAAAATACTGCTCCTCTGATGACCAAAAACGCGGAGACCAGACTGAAAATCACAGGAATGAGTATGTTCGGCTTGAATGGCCTTGAAAGTTCTGGTTGCCTAAAGCGCAGAATTACGTCGCCAAACACAGTAAAGAAGAAGAACGTGTCTAGATTCATCAGTGATTGGAGCAAAACGTAGTGCTCAATAGCTTACATTGAGTTAATCCAATAAAGGTAAGCAAAGCACGAAAGTTACCGATCAGCATGTAAGCACTTGCCAAGAGAGTGCTCAGTATCAACGCATTGAAAGGAGCATCAAATCGCAACTTTTCCGTACGCGAAGGTTGATGTCTTATGCTGCCAATATATGCAAAGAAGTAAGGAATGTAAGACTTATTAGCAGCCGCAACCGTCAGTCGTCCAGCCACGAAGACATTGCTATTGATAGCACCAATGATTACAAGGCATATCAGAATTGCGAAAACAATTCCCGCTCCTTTGCCCAACAGGCCCTTCACAGCATTCTAGATATTATTAGTGACACAGAATCAGAAATCAGCGGAACAGATACATACAATGGCTATGGCATCCGTCAAGCCTATCTCATTCCATGGCAGGAGGATATAGTATGCCGCATTAACAAGCACATAACTTGCAATTACTGTAGGAATTGCAGTGTTTAAAGCAAGTGGAAGTTGTCGCCCAGGATTCTGAAGTTCCGCAGCAATGTAGTTCGCCCCATCCCAACCGCAGTAGGCCCAAAGACCAGCATAGATAGCTGTCGAATAATGGCCCAGTGCCTTCCACATCGAAACGTCGTCCCAATTGATGGTTCCACCTGGCGTTACGCTTGGCCTAGTGGTGAACCATCCTCGTTCATGCCAATCTTTGCCGCCGAAGTCTTTGGAATGATCAACTCCGTAGATAATGGCGACAGCTAGACCGACTAAAACCGGGAGCGCTACAGAAAACAACTTAACGAGAGCGAAGAAGTTTCCCAGTCGAGCGCTTGTCTTGGTGTTGATGCAATTTAGCATGACATTGATTATTAGAACTAAGATGGATATAAATTTGTATTCCCATCCCGATGCTGTACCTTTGCTAGCAGAATTTGCGGCACTGTAAGCAGTCTCGACGAAAACGATGCATAGCAACGAGAGCGTAGACGGCACAATGGCGACGATCCATGTGTACGCGGCAAGAAAGCCGGCGAAGTCCCCGTAGATATATTTGAGGTATTCTTGCACGCTTCCCTCTCCGGGAAGCGCAGTGCCCAGTTCTGCAAGCGTTGCTGCGCCCGTCCAGGCAAGCAAGCCTCCAATCAACCATATGAGCAAGGCAGCACCAGGAGAAGGCACATTCGTGTCCACTGCTGCAGGAGAGGCGAATATTCCCGAACCAATAATGCAACCTATCAACAAGGCGTACCCGTTGAAAGCATTGAGATGCTTTCCAAATCCGGTCGATTGCTGGGTCTGAACGGCTCCTGGTGTAGCGTGTGCTGGCTCGTCCCTGACTAGCAGTGGTCTCTGCTCATCGGCTTGCCTTTCAATGTCTGGTCTCATTTTAATTATCTCTTGATTAATTTATTGTAACAACATAGATAAATCGAGTGGGTGAAATTGAAACTTGGAAGAATTTTGAGTTGAACTGATAACGCAATCGTCTTGGCCGAAGACGTGCGATAATGCCGGGGTCAGTAAGGACAGACACTAAACTAGAGTGATAATTTGCATGCTTAAACTTCTGCATGTTACGATGAAGGTCGTTCCTACATTGAGGTGAGAAGGTAGATGCTTTGTCCCTCTCAGATCCACGTTAGTTGTCATCCTATGCCTTACATAGAACCAAAAGCTGCTTGAAGCGTCATTGCGCTGTTCACATGCAACGTCAACTAAGACCTCAGGAATATTCAGCGGCTCGATTAGTCGAGGTAATCTATCCTTTTTTTTTCACATTGTCTTTAAATGAGAGTCGTGATCGAATGCGGGATAGAATGTTTAGATTTACTGCGCCCTCTCGCACGCCTGATGTGAGGAACGTGCATTTGTCCTATTGCGCCTCTCAAGCGGGACCTCCGTCCAGGTAGCGTTGCCGTGCTTTGTTGCTTTTTACGTCTTTAAGTTATCCTTCCCACACTCACGAACATGACTGCCCTACGCTGAGTCTGAATCCATATTGCACTCGCCATGAACCGCATCTTTGGCCAAGAAAACGAAGAGCTTAGCGCTTGGTCAGAGGCTCACTACGAACGCCTGAAGAAGAGCTTGCCCTCTGATTCATCCTCCACCAGCAATGACAGCCCAGCCATTTCCTGGCCACTCGAGCGCCCCAATGACGGCGATGCTCCCTTCAACCCCCGTATCGAAGATGAATTGCGGAAGCGACCCCTCCATATCAAAGACAACCTCATGTCGAACCAGGAGAGCGCAGTCGCGAACCTAACTGTGGCCATGACGGACTTGCTTCCAGGGCGAAAGAGAGCACAATCAGGCATTGCATTGCGCTCGTGGTGCCTGGGACAGATATTCAGCCTGTCTTTTTTCTTCGCCTGCTACGCGTTCTACTCTGGTTCGAGGCTTTGGCGTCCTCCCTTTTTCATGATGTGCCTCTCACTTTTCCATTTCCTCGAATTCTGGACGCACGCAATGTTTAACCTACCGAACGCTACAATCTCCGCTTTTCTCCTCTTCGATAATGGGTGGCCTTACATGCTTGCGCATACTTCAGCCATGATTGAAACTATAATTACGAGCATATATTTCCCGGAGTGGCAGCAAAAGTGCTCACTCACCTGGCAGGGGTTCCCACTTGGAACATGGGCTGGTCTGATGTTGGTATTTGTCGGACAGACTGTTAGGAGCATGGCTATAGCAAAGGCAGGAACGAACTTTAATCATCAGGTGCAGCATAAGAAAAGGGATACTCACGAGCTAGTGACGGATGGCATTTACGGCATACTAAGACATCCAAGCTATTTTGGCTTCTTTTGGTGGGCCGTCGGATCCCAAATCGCACTGGGTAATTCGGTGTGCCTTTGCGTTTATATCGTTGTTCTTTGGCGGTTTTTCAACAGGCGTATTCATAGTAAGCCTTCCGTCCATCGCTTTTATTCTTGAGCTAACGTGAACCATCGACAGATGAAGAGAGACATTTGATTGTTTTCTTTGGCAAGGACTACATCTTCTACCGCACATATACAAAGATTGGCATACCATTCATATCATCATTAGACTATCCTGAACTGGTCAAGCCAGGTGACGGGACAAAGAAGTCTGAGTAGACGAAGACTCACTACACTTCTTTCCCTTGAAAAACGAGCATTGATCCGAGCTTCCACCCTTTAATCTGTTGGTGCGTTTTTTTTTTCAAGATATCAATCTTGGTTGTCCACGCCCACCCCAATACCATCCACAAAGTGCTCAATCTGCTGGCCTCTCTCCATGTAATACGTCTGTATCTGTCTTCGATAATATGTATGCTATTGTGAAATGGAATCAGCATCTTAAAGGACCAGGATATTATACAACGTTGATACGCACCAGGTCTAGTTTCTCCCTGAGCATGTTTTGCTCATCAATCATCTTCTTGATGCTCTCAGGCACGTGATTGCCCTTGACTTCGACTTTACAGCCCTTGGGCAACCAGCGCAATATGTGGCTGATGTCCAACACTGTAAGCATAACAATCTGTAGAAGAAAAAGACCTTTGACATACAAGTTCAAGTCATATGCTCTGTCACGAGGCATTGGCACTTTTGTAATGATTTCGAGACTCTCGAGGCCAAAGCAGTAACGTAGTCCGTTGGTGAATATATTATTGAAGGCTCCATTGAGAACGTCGCCATGGTCGTATATCGTGATCAAAGCGTGTCTTATCAACGAGCGTGTCGGCTGACGGAGTCGAGTTAAGGGCAGAAGGGACAATTCAAGGTGCAAGTTAAGAGAATTCTCTCTGTACAATACAGGAAGGGCCTCATGGTAGATCTGCTTGCAGAGTACCAGGACCTGGGGAGCCAAGGGATCTTCTGCAGTGCGTGGAATATGTTTTCTCCGCACTTGATTCACACGGCCTTCCAATACGTCCGAATCAGAATCACTGCTCCTTCTTCCATGTCTTAGGGCAAGTCTCTGGCTTCTTGTGTGCCTTTGGGAGACTACTGGGATTTTCTTTATGAGGTTGATTGGCTCATCGCGATACAACGCCTTGTGATAAATAGCGACACGAAGCTCGGTTGGAGAATCCAAAAAGTTGAAGACATGACGGCGACATAATTGATTTGAAGTGCAGAAAGGGCAACTGCTCGATTCGGCCCCTTGGATTGCATTACTCTTCAAACCCAACGCTGGTGCCATTGTTATTTGTGATTTCGAGTCTCCTGATACTCCGATGGGGGCGAAGTTGTTGATGAATTCTGCTTCGGAGGGCATTGTGCATCCGGGTATTTTGCCTTGTGCTAAGATGGGCCTTTAAGAGCTTTTAGGTACATTGAAAAAAAAAATGAAGCAATGAGGATTTGTCCTGCCGCTGAGTCTGGAGTAAGTTACCTGATTACAAGGCAGTGTCACAAACAAGTCACGTGATTTTAATGACCACCAGTTTCTGTTATTGTAACTGGGCAAGTTACTTCGACTTTGCTGCGTCCAGAGTCCTATTACTGCACAGTCATCGTGGCAAACATAACAGGTCAATGGACTTGTCATATCGAACCCGATGTATTTGCCGTTACTAAACAAGTAGGACGAGTGAGCGAGATTGGCCACCCTCGCTTTTGCTCGTTCGCACTTCCAAGGCGCAAAGGAATACAGTAAAGTCCGGACCACGTTTTAGGTCTATATACCGTCTCTGACACCGCTCAACTTATGAAAGACCCGCGCACTGCTAGCTGAGTGCCATTTTTTAATCTGACGACATTCTTTTACGAGCATCCTGCTTCGGCCCAATACGCAACGAGTGCGATGCACAAATGTCGGCGCCTGTGCTGCAAGGATTCGTAAATCCGGAGGTTTGGATACCACCTTTCCGGATTCCAGATCACCTCACCGAAGATCTTAACCCTCCGTATGGATCTAAACCAGTCATTGGTATCTTATATGTATCTTTCATGAAACCGCATGATACATTCAACGACAGCTCAGTTGCCAATTGAACTTGTTGCTTGCCAAGATGCATCTCAGCTCCTTTCTCTCTTTGTCTCCCATTGTTCTTCCTGCATTATTCATCCTAAAGCTGATTTACAGTCGCACTGTTCAATATAGAAAGCTAAGCCACATCCCGGGGCCTTTCTTGAGCGGAGTCTCGCGCTGGTTCTTTATCAAAAGTACTGCAAAGAACACGCTACATTTGGACTGCGCCACATTGTGCAAGAAATATGGTATACGAAATATAGTGGATGCTTTGCGTTTTTTCTAACGCTTGCATTTAGGACCTCTTGTTAGAGTGGACCCGAATACATTGCTCACGAATGATCCGGAGCTTATCCGTCGCATGAGCGCAGTCCGCTCTCCGTACACGAAAGGCGAAGTGAGTGTTAATAGTATGATTATGATCATGTGCTAACTAAACGGATAGTGGTATGCGTTGACTGCTCTTGATATTGAGCGCAATCACATATTCAGTGAAACCAATGAGGAGCGTCATTCTGCGTTGCGGACTCGGATGGCGTCTGGAGTATGTGTACTTAAGAAATTTTGTGACTAGCTGCTGACCGTCGTAGTATTCAGGCAAGGAACTTGGAAATTCGTACCTCGAAGAATGCATCGACAATCGCTTGCAAGACCTTTTTACTCTAATTAGGAATAAATATACGTCCGTTGGAGGAACGTTTCGGCCTGTCGACCTTTGCCGAATTATCCAGTACTTTGTAGTAGATGCCATTACTGACATTGCCTTCCGTGAGCCATTCGGTATGCTGCTAGCGGATGACGACGTGCACGGCTATATTTCCACACAGAAAGAGCTAATTCCCATCTTTGAATGGTTTGGTGCGCTGCCTTTCCTAGCAAAGATTGTAAAAACGCCGTTCATCGCCAAACACGCCATGCCGAAACCTACTGACAAGAATGGCATTGGCTACATGCTTGGTGTTGCAAAGAGCAAAGTCGACCAACGTTTCGGACCTGGAAAGGTCGTCAAGGACGACATGTTGGGCTCGTTCATCAAGCACGGTCTGGACCAGAAGCAGTGTGAAATTGAAGCTCCTTTGCAGGTTATTGCGGGCACGGATACGACAGTTTCGTCGTTCCGCGCGATTTCCATGTATATTATCTCAAATCCTCAGGTTTACGCCAAGGTCCAGGCTGAAATCGATGCTGCCGGCTTGACATCGACGATCATTACAGATGCAGAGGCACGAGAGTTGCCGTATCTTCAAGCTTGCATCAAGGAGGGCATGCGAATCTTCCCTCCTGTTACCGGCTTGTTCAGCAAGCGAGTGCCGGACGGCGGCGACACCATTCACGGCAAATTCATCCCAGGGGGCACCGAGATAGCATATGCTGCTTGGGATTTCTACAAAGATCCCAAGATCTTCGGAGCCGATGCTGACATTTTCCGACCTGAGCGTTGGCTTGAAGCGTCCGAGGATCAACTTGCAGCAATGACAAGGGTCACAGATCTAGTGTTTGGATATGGCAAGTACCAATGTCTAGGTAAACCTATTGCACTTCTCGAGCTTGGAAAGGCCCTTGGCGAGGTGAGTAGATACTTGATCGTAAACGCCTAGAAGGTGTTTTGACAACATGCCATTTAGATATTCCGCCGGTACGACATATCGCTGGTCAACCCGCTCCAACCTTGGAAATGCTACAATCGCAATGGCTTCTTCTTCCAATCAGATATGTTTGTTCGCATCTCTGAGAGGCAAAAGTAACTCGCTTAGGTTTTGAAATTGAACAGATTGATTTTTCTTGCAAGAGGGGATGCGATGGGTAAACCCCCCGTAATGATCGTGTTGCTGCGCTTTTCTGTTAGGCTGCGCAACTATTCTCAAATGACCATGTCTTTCCATTAAACAAGATCTCGACATCTCTCTACATCTGCTATCACCGCGCGCTCGGATCCGATTAGTAACGTTTGTATACAGATAGATAGGAAGAGTTTCGCGGACTGCTTTAGCTCCCCGAGCGAATAGTATGCTCAAGCGGGACAGGCTATTGCTTATGAGAACATTTGCGATGCCCTACCTTGGCAACTTCGCGCTTCGTGCTCTGTCGTTGCTTTCATCCCTCCGGCTTGTTTCTGAGCCAGATTCGGCCTGTTTTCCCAATGACGCCTACTGCTTCCGCGTGATCGCCGAGCGGCAATCCTTACGTGCATTAAACAAAAGCCTTACTACCAGCCCAGACAATTTTTGCAAGTCCACTAATCTTCCGTAACAGCTATATACAAGATTTTACGAGAACACACTTGTCAATGTAATTTTCACCTTTCCTGAGTTTTCTATTGTCGGACGAACTTCCGGGCTTTTTTTTTTTTTAAAAAAAAAAAAATAAAAACCCATTACGGTATTCTTGGTGTGAGCAGCATGCGCAAACGGGGCACATCCCCACGAACCAGGTGTCCTTGGCGCAGCGCTCGCGAGCAGGACAAGACCAGCGGGGGGGTGGATGGGTTGGGGAGAAACGTACGTCTTCGGCTATTGACTCGATTATCTGATGCGTCGTGCATACGAACATTTTTCTCATTTTGGCTTGGACTTTATGAGGGCTCGGCTGAGGCTCGTGGCCGGCTTCGTGCGACGCTCGGCGCCGCACAGAGGGCGGCGAAGATATAAAATCGCAAATTCGGATGGAGACCGACAGGCCTCGCCCAGAAGCGATCGTTCAGATTTTGCCACGCCGCACTGCAACGTCCGTTCTCGCAGATTCCCATCCCCAGGTCGAGATCGTCAGCCGATTTGCGTCCGACCACAATGTCGTACCATCTTTGTTCCCAGCAGAACCACGGCAAGGGCGCCGGGGCGAACGGCCGTTACTTGGAGCATCGCGGTGCCCATTCGCAACCCGCTTCAGAGCCCTCGCGGCATCTACCTAGACAGGCAAATTCGCCAACGATGGCGACGCAGGACGCTGGGTACGACCAAAATCAACAGACTGGGGCTTCGACCCTGGGAAGAAGCAGGTCCAGCCTCAAGACGAGGGAAAACAAGGCACATGGTCCGGCGGGGTTCCTGCTGGAAGTCGAGAGACAGTGGGCGGCATACTACGAACAGCAGCGACGAAGCGGTGTGTATGAATATGGAGACGAGAGCGTCCAGCAAAGACGACGTATCGAGCCGGACTTTGTGGCTTTCACAATTGCTGGTGGGAAGATCTACCTCGAGGAAGGTGGACCGACTCAAGCGAGCAAAATAAGTTCGGAAAACAGTCAAAGCTCTCATCGAATAGCAGGAGAGCACTGGAGGAAGAAGACAATTTAGATCATATCCCTTTAGCTCATTATGGCGTATCCTGCGTTAGAGGCAAGAGGAACAAGCACACAAAGATCACTGCTCTCACAAAGTCAAATGATGCCGTCTGATGAGTAGTGCAAATTCTCTCTCTTATTTTTTCTCTTTCTTTTTCTGTATGATCCCATGGCAGCTGCGAACAGCACGGTTGATAGATGCCGGCTGTAGGAAAAGTTTCGGTGCGTTCGAAGATCGACATATAGAGGTGAAAAACGCGAGCTGAACGTTCTCAAGCCGGTATGGAGCCGCATGGGGAGCTACTGGATCTGCAAGGGGGCACAAAGCATTCACGCATGCCGGGCCTCTCTTGATGTGTGTAAGGAGGATCAAAACACGGGCGCATGGTCATACTGCCTGGAGCTCCGCCGCTCAATGAGACTATGCAGGCGCCGTCCATCGCCCTATAAGGAATCATTCCCTAAGTCCCCGTTCCCTCCCGATTAGCAATGTGGCATCGTGAATAGACCCGTTCAGGAAAGAGGAAGGTGGAGCGTTGAGCCTTACCCAAAGCGGTTGCCACGCAGCCCATCGCGACCCCATGTTGAGTCAGTACAAAAACTCCACAAGGAAAGCGCAGTCGACGACCAACCGACAGGCCTCGAGGCTCTTTCCCTCCCAGGCAGCAGCGATGGTACTTATAATGAACGGTCTTGCTTCATTTCCCCTCTGCTCTGTCGATAAGCGTCTGCTCCAAGCCCACAGGCTCAAATGCTGTCTTGTCGTTCTTCTTTCGTGCCCATACAACATCTCCCTTCAGATACACCACAACCCCGCCTTTACCGGATGCACTCGCCGTGATCCTGAATAGCGGTAGCCCAGTGATGTCGTGTGCCTCTCTCAGAGGGATGAGCATCAACCCCTCTTGCTCACACCATTCTTCCACTACATCTTTGAATGTAGCCTCGACTTCTTGAGCCTGCGTCCGTGCCTTAACGGGCGTCTCCACTTCCTTGCTCCTCAGAGCTGAAGCAATCGGTTTGGACGGTCCAGCTGCAGGAGGCGGTAATTGGCTTATCGCGTCGTCACCAAGATCTATAGCTTGGTTCATCATCACCAAACCCTCCTCCCACTTGTCCGAAACCGCTTTCACCGCGTTGACAGACGCTGGAATCTGCTCTTTCCACCAATTATACCACTTTCCAATCTCCTCGTAATTCGCCTCGGGCATGGTAAGCCAGGCATGAAGTGTGTTAATCCACTTTGGAAAGAACTCGGCAATGAGTAGTTGCCCCATTACGGCAGGCTTGAAGAATTTCTCCCAGACAAGAACGTGTTCTAGAGGCGTGAGATCTTGATCTGGAGGATAAACCTCGAACGACGTAGCTAGGAGTTTAGCGAGTCGCGGGAGTAGATGTTTTACCAAAGCGTCTTGCAAAGTCGAGCCTAGGACGGAGGACCATGCGTCTAGACCCGGCAGGACTCCTCGCGAAAGATCCCATGTATCCAGTACGACACGTATCTTGCGCTTGACTTCAGTCAACAGGCCCGTTGCAGACGTGGGGTCCGTGTGATGCGGCGAGAGGAACTGCAGCCACGGGAAGAGCCAGATGTGAGGCAAAGGGGTGCCGTGTTTACGCTTCAGCGAAGTCCGTGGATTCCATTCCTGAATTGCGATAGACAGTTTCGAGACGACGAGATGGTCCACCAGGTTGTGGTATATAAATTCCGGGAGAAGGTCCCGCCAACTTTCCACCAAAGTGATAAGGGGGGAAGGGTTGAGCGGGTCCCACTCGTTCGTGATAGCCGTGCGAACCTTTGGAAGCCATGAGTTGTAGATGAGTGATTCGTACGGCGTAGTGGATTTCTGCCGCCGGATGGACTGGAAACCATCACGCCCGTTATGTATTGCCAGAGCTCGTTCGTCTTTCTTGATACCCAAGATGCGCTTGATCCGCAGCAGATATGGCACGAGATGAGTCGGCTTCTCTAACGGCTCCCAATCTATCATTTCTTGCTTGAAGAGCGGATTGATTGCGGCGACAGCAACCTCTGTCAGGTGGAAGCGCTCGACTTCTGTAGCGTACTCAACTTGCAGTGTTTCAAGCTTGCTGGTGACCTGTTCCCACGCGTTCGCGGCATCATCAGCCAGCCGCGGCCGTGACAGGTCTAGGTCTTGCAGGGCCTGGACAGCTTGCAGCATCTGCTCCACCTGCTTGATCTCCTCATCCTGCTCGGCGAGCTCTTGTCGCACCTGCTCTTCCTCCGCGAGGGCAAACTTGTTGCGCTCGGTGAGCTCAGTCCATGCATCGGCGTAGCTCTCCAGTTCCTTTCGTGCTCGGTTTGCAATCTTCTGCGCTTCCGTTTCTTCAACTGCAGACGTGAAGGTGGGTGTCATCAAACCAGCAGTGGACGTGATGAGTTTAGCCTCCTTGCCGGTCGCATCGATCAGACTCTTCAGCACATTCGGCACTTCCAGGCCTTCTGCCTGACGCTCGATCTCGGCCGCAGTCCTGTACTTCGTCTTCGGCTTCCTCGCTCCGCCAGGTGTGCTGGCGCCGCTGGCGGTGGCGCTTCGTACAGCCTCCTTCCTCTTCCGTCGTGCCTTTCTCTCCTCTTCGGACGAGTCCTCGTACTCCTCCCCACGCTTGAGCGCCTGCCTCTTCGCCTCCTGCTTGTCCTGCTCTGTCTTTTCGCGGACGGCGCCCAGACCGACGCCTTGCGGCCGCTGCTTCACTTCGATGGCTTTGAGAATGCCGTCACCAGAGCGACCGAGGCCCTCGCCTTCCTTGTAGCCCATCTTGGCCATCATCTTGGCGGCGAACGACATCTTCCCGCCTCCGCTGCCGCCGGCGCCGCCCAGCTTGGGCGCCTTGCGGCTGCCGTCATCTTCGGCGTCGCTTTTGCGCTTGAACATGGCGGCGGGCGATAAGGGCTCGGAAATGAGCGGCTCTGGCAAAGCTGCTTAGTGCGCACAGGAGCCGAGACGACGGGTGCGCATGTGAGCGAAGGCTGTTATCAAGCGGCCATCATCCGAGAATCCTATTCCTTGCTGCAAGGCGCGAAATGAGCGACGGGCAGAAGAAAATGCTGGCCAGGCACCAAGGCAGGGGCGCTGGCCGGTCCTCCGGCGACCCACTGAGCGTCGCCTGCCGAGTCGTGGGGGGCAGGGAAACTCGTCGCCGGCCAAAATCGGGGCCGCACCGCAGCGAACGCACAGGTCCAGTTGGAAAGTTAAGTTGCAAGCCACAAGAACGGAGTCCGGCTCGTGCTGATCAAGCGCAGCGGCTCCCGTTCGAGTCTGTTCGACTGCATGGTGCGGCTCTCTCGATAGGGCGGAGCAAGCAAGGAAGGACGCTCGTCGCGGGTCCCATCACGTCGTGGCCGGGTCAAAAACGGCTGCTGAACACGAGACGACTGGCTTTCCCGTCATCTCCATCCCTTTCACCACACAACCCCGTCTTTCCCTCGCTGCTCTCTCGAGCTAACCCATCCTTACCCGTCCTCTCATTTCGCCCCAAGATACACATTTCGTCCTTATCGTCTTGTTGTTCCGCTGATCAATGAGCGTTATCTGACCGTGCCATGCAAGGTGCTGCAAGCCTTCATGCCTCTGATATTGGCTGTGGCGCGCTCTGTTATCACCGCGTCCGTTTCGTACAAGGTTTCTGCTCTCAACCTTAAAACCTCTCGTGAGTACCACGACGGAGACGGATCCCCAATCGTCAGCACGTCTTGGCCACCATTCTTGCGTGCTCTCTGCCCTGCCCTTCCGCCTCTCCCTTTTACGCCACTCACTCTCCCGTGCTGTGCACGTCATTCTGCTACGTGCTGCGACTGACGGCCGCATCGCAGACTAGAGTCACTCGTTTATTCTCTCGCGAGCCATCATGACCCTCGTCAACACTTCCGATTCGCACCATGGCGAGTCTTTCCACAGAATACGCACTGCTTCGTCCCATGATTCAACTGAGTTGGCACATCCAATGCCGGACCTACAGTCGTTGCAAGGAGCGTATTTGCAAAATGTCGAGCGACTTGAAGAAAGGGCAGAACGCATGAGCGTCGGATCAGACCTCGGAGAGGAGATTAGAAAGCTGCAGCAGGAGCAGAAACTGTCGGACAGCAGTCGTGCTTCTATGTACTCAGCAAACGCCGCAGAGCAGCCTCCTCGTCAACAGCGGTCCCGCAACGTGTCGACCAGCTCGTACGCCAATTCAATCGTGGAAGTCAACACCGCCGCCCGCTCCGGGGGATACTCGCCTTATTCGCCCATGGGGTCGCTGAGGTCAGGCAGCTGGTCCCAGGTCTCACGTCCTGTGTCGAATCCTGCACGGTCCATTTCTAGGTCCTCTTTCTTGGGCATGATGAGCACGCCTGAGATGGCAGAATCAGAGGCTGTCACTCCGAATGAGGCACAACAGACGTCAAACAACACCTCCATACAGCATACACCCCGACCAGAGTCGAAGTCAGAAACAGCCGCACCTTCAGACTCGACAGAGATGGAGGAAGACACGCGAGCGAAAAGAATGAAGCGGCTGTCGACGGGACGTCTCCCCAGTGAAGGCTCCTTCTCCGTGATTTACAATCAGTTGGTAGAAGAGAACAGGAAGTCAATGGACATATCCGGTATACGGGTGGCTAGCGATACATCTTTCACGGACATCTACGATCAGATCGCGAGTGAGATCAAGAACTCGTTGAACACTTCGGTACAAGGAGCTCAAGAGAGGGAAATGAAGAGACAGTCGTTGAACCAACCACCTCAATTGCAACCCGCTTTCGCTGAATCACCAAAGAATACGACGAAACCATTCAGATTGTCCCAAACACCACCTCCACTGCCACCCCAGCACAGACAGCTACCCAAGGTTGAACCCCAGGATGACTTTGGCATCAACTTCAGTTTCACGACTTCAACCAAAGAACCTCAATACGTGGAAGACCGCAGGCCATCGGAGCCTTTGCAAATTCATGTACCTCATGACGAGCGTGATGACAACCACAGTGACCGTCCGTCGACTGCGCGTTCGCAGGATACATACCAGCAAGCAGATGGCTTATTTCAAGACTTTGACGGCACGCATTACGCTCCAAGCATGCTCAGTAGACACGGTAGCCTGCGCGATACAAGTAGGGGATCGGCTTTCCCAGTGGATAACCCAAATCGATCATCCGTGCTCAAAGATGCGTCCCAACCTGAGTCTATGGCCTCGCTGGTGCCCCCGCCTGAAGACGGTATGGTGTATTATCCGGCACCGGTCCCCCGCATGCTCAACCTTCCTCCGAAGATATCGCAAAATCCCTCAGCCGCAGCAATAGCTAAGAGAAGAACACAATTTGTGAACGCAATTCCAGAAGATGCACGAAAATCCGCGTATTGGTTACCTCAAGGCGGAGGACAAAGGGATGAGGACACAGATGCAAGAGCGAGCAAGTTAAACTTGGCCGCCCTACCTCCACAGTTACGCGCCAGCGTGTTCTTTGACTCTGGTGCCCAGAGACAAGACATCGAAGTTCGAGATCAGTCTGCCATGCGCACGCTAGATGATCTTCTCGACGCGTCAGCCCTCGCTCCAGTGAGCGCCTTCACTGACCATCCCATCGTCGGAAAGATTGGCGCAAATGTATACAAGAAATCACCTGACGCGCGTGCCTCGACGCTAAACTTACCCCAAGCACCCACTGCAAAGAAGGAACGAAAGAGCAGTTTCTTAGGTCTACGGCGTTCGTCCGTAGGCTCAGAGGATGCTTTGGGCGGTGGGAACAAACGGTCATCCACACGTGGAAAATTAGTCAAATCGAACAGTGCAGTTTTGGATGATTCAGCGCTTGCTAGAGGACCGAACGGTGAAATTGGAGCGGGCGGAAACTCAGGACGCACTACTCCCGCTCTAGACCCGAACGGCGTGTACGGCGACCTACGTGATGAGGATGCCAACGAGACGCAAGAAGCGGGTGGGGTTCAGTTGGAGGAGGAGAGTGATGAGGAATACGTTGGCGCGCCCACAACGCTACTTGCAGAGCTCGAAATGCGTAAGAGAGAGCAGAAGAACAGAAACAAGACGGCCTACACCGCGTTTCCAGATGGCATGCACGCGACGCTACTGGAACTAGATGATGTAGCACAACTAAAGAAGGCAAAGAGGAAGAAGAAGCGTGTCGCTCTTGCTTGGGAGGATCCTGCAGTGAGAGCAGCAGATGAGATGGGAGAAGCGGATGATGATGACGTGCCACTGGGCGTTCTTTATAGCAACAACGAAGCTGTGGCTGCCAAGATCAAAGAGCAAGGCATGGCCGAGGGTAGACCACTTGGTTTGCTGGAAAAGAAGGAATTGGAGGATAATGAGCCTTTGAGCAGAAGGATGCTTCGTCTGAGAGGCATTAATCCTAATAGCGTTCGTCCGCCACCAGTAGCCATCACGAATGCAGAAGGCGAGTCAGAAACGGAAAGCGAGCATGAAGGAGAAACCCTGGGACAACGACTTAAAAGACTTCGCGACAAAAAGGCTCTCGACGAGGCGATCACCGAGGTCGAGGGAAGACCTATCAGTGAGACATTTTCAGCGGAGATGCTGTCTCAGCTTGGCGTTGAGTCGAAGGACGAGAAGAAAGCGACGCAAGAGGGTTTGCATAGCCGCAACGTATCGGTGGGACAGATATCGACAGGCTCTGCCCCCAAGAGTCCTGGAGGTGGCATCCTCCCACCAAGCAGGGCGAATGCGACAACACCAGGCGCCGAAAGCGAAGAAGAAACGCTAGGACAGCGCCGAGCACGTCTACAACGGGAGGCGCTTCAAGCAGGCATGCAACAACGACGTCAGAGCCAAATGACACTCAACGGACCTTCTCGAATGTCCACCATGCTCTCCCCAGCCCCAATGGAACCCAACATGGCCCCGGGCCCATCACGCACGCCTCCTCTGCGCGCATCGCTTTCAATGGCTGACTTGCTCGCTGCTAATCCAACCGGCAAGCATGATGCCCGCAAGGTCAGTAACGAGCTATTGCTCGCCACCGCGCCACAAGGCAGCCTGCTCGCTCAGGATGCAGAGAAGCAGGAAGCCCGAAAGGCACGCATGCGTCTCTCGTCCGCAGAGGTTTTCCAGACCCAGCGTCCGGAAATGCAGCGGCATTTTAGTGGTGTGACGGCCAAGAGCGGCGGGATGTACGTGAACCAGCAGCAGATGCACGGCATGTGGCAGCAGAACATGATGCAGCAAAACGCAATGCAGCAAAACGGCTATGGGAGCCTGCAAACGTACTACGGCATGAATGGCTATGGCGCTGTGGGCAATGCTAACATGTTCATGGGTGCGTACGGTGGATACCAAACACCCGCATATGGCGGTATGCATCCAGGCTTCGGTGGCATGGCACTGCAGCAGGAGGCATTTCTTGATCAGAAGACCAGGAGTAGGGTCGATGCTTGGAGACAAAGCATCGTGCCTTAGCGCCGATTTTCTCCTAAGAGTTCGTGTAACATGGAGGTATTTTGTTGTAATATTTTCCTAAGAATACACATAGGGGGTCGTAATACCTTGTTCAGTACACAATTCAGCATCGCGATGGTGTTTCTTATGTAATTAGCGTAGCATGGGGGCTTGAATATTGACGGGAATAATATTGAGAGATAATTAATTATTCATGTACAAAATGGCATATCACAGTGAACTATCTCCCATAATTCTCCAAATCATAATCTAGTCACCTATCTCGGTGTGTCATAATGAAACGCCGCACCAAGATATTCACTATCTAGATCTTTAACCTTCCTCTTCAAGGATGTGGGTCAACCTACAAAAGGGTGCCGCAGCTTGTTCACAAGGGGATACCGCAAGCAGGGACCTCGATCATGAGCGACTTCGGATGACTCAAGATTGAGCCATCTTTTCTCTGTCCACAAAGGTATTCATGCCATTGATCTCATTTTTTTTTGTCTGTCTAGATCCTGAAAGTTGATTTAACTTCACCAAGACCCAGCAAAGAAGAGAATGAGCGCGGGGAATAAGCATATTGTAGTGATCGGGTAACCTTTGGTCTAAGCTCGTGTGATATACAAGTACGCGACAAGGCTAACTCTGCTGCCAGTGCCGGAGTCATCGGACTCCAGGCAGCCATTTCGTTGCTCGAGGCAGGCTATCAAGTCACGATCATCGCGAAGCACTTCCCCGGCGATCTGTCCGCCGAGTACACATCGCCTTGGGCCGGTGCTCACTGGAGAACTCACGCCGCGCCTGAGGATGCGAGACAACGAGCCTGGGATGTGGCGAGCTATCGAAAATGGTACGAAACCGTGCAAGAAGAGCAAAAAAACCCGAGACAGACAAGAAGTGGGCTGGGTGTACGTGACGCCAGGCCGGGCTCGTGTGACCAGTTTCCAAGCTGACGGGGTGACAGATTTACAGCTCTAAGTTCTACTGGTGAGTGGCCGACTGCTTTGCTCCGAAGTGGAGTTCATCCGTCTCAGCGATCTCGACGTAGTGAGGACACTTCGCCGCCGTGGTTCGCCAACGAGGTCAAGGGCTTCCGGATGATCGGTACGAGACGGATCAACGGCAAGGTCCTGACCGGGCACGAGTTCGAGTCGATCATGATCAACGTGCCCAGATATCTGGACTACTTGCGCCAGAGGGCGGTCGAGCTCGGAGCACGTAGTCTCAAGACGACCCTGCCCGTCTCAACGACGCTGGCAGGGACCCTTCGGCACGCCGCCGAAGTCGTCAGGCACGCAGTAACCGCAACGCCCATCGACGCGTTCGTCAACGCCACGGGCATATCCGCTTCCAGGCTGGTGCCAGACTCGGCCGTGTTCCCGATCCGCGGCCAGACGGTCACGGTGAAGGGCGAGGCGAAGGGAATAACCACCGTGGACGCCAGCCCGGACAACGTCTCTCCCGCCAGTCCGAACATCACGTACGTCCTGCCGCGCCCCCGCTCGGGAACGTCCATTCTCGGCGGAACAAAGCAGGCCGGCGACTGGGCCGCCGAGCCCGACCGTCTGACGACGCAGGAGATTCTGGACAGGGCGAAGGAGTTCGCGCCCGAGCTGCTCGACGAGCGTGGGGAATTCGAGGTCGTCAGCGCCCAGGTGGGCTTTCGGCCGGGAAGGAAGGGCGGCGCGAGAGTCGAGATCGAGGAAGTGCGCCAGCCTGGCGGGGTGGGCGAGGCGATGGTCGTCTGTCACTCCTACGGGCATGCCGGTGCTGGGTACCAGAACAGCATCGGCAACGCCGACGAGGTGGTTCGCTTGCTCGAGGGGTACTTCAAAGGCCGGTCAGCCAGCAGGGCAAACCTATAAAATTTAGAGCTGTCTAGTCTAGTCTAATCGCTGACGCGGACGCGTCTATCACGCAACAGCAGAGAGAACCAATCCGTCACCGTAAACGCCATCATCCTTCTTATTCTCCACCACTCTGTTCAAGGTCCCGCGCCATCTCCGCCATGGGCGCCTCGGCTCCCTGCGTCTCCGCAGGCACGTTCTGACTTGATGCCTGGTCCGGGTCCATGGTCGTCTCGATCTTTCGCAGCATTCGTGCCGGGTTGCCGGCCACAACCCAAAAGTCCGGGACGTCCTGCTACATTGTCAGCGCGAGATGGTTCTTTGCTTTTTCCTTATTTTTTTTTGAGTGCATGACCCCCAGCCGAAGGGGGCTATTTTTTTTTTTTTTTTTTTTGGGTTGGTTTGCCGTACCTTGGTCACAACGCTGCCGGCGCCCACGACAACGCCTCTGCCCAGCTTGACGCCGGGAAGGATGATGGCGTTGCCGCCGATCCAGCAGTCCTCCCCGATGGTGATCGGGCGGCCTAGCTCCGGCCCCGCCGTTCCCCTTCTGACGGCGGGATCCAGAGGGTGCGTGCCGCTGAACAAGGACACGTTGGGGCCGAGCAGCGTCCGCGCGCCGACGGTGATGGTGCACGTGTCCAGAAAGGTGCAGTTGAAGTTGATGAAGACGCCCTCGCCGACCTTCAGATTCGTCCCGTAGTCGACGTGCACGGGAGGATGCACCCAGGGAACGTGCTCGAGTAGCTCAGCGTCCTTCTCGGCATCCTCGTGCGGTGGCGGCAGCGGCGACGTGTCCTGGACTATGCTGTTTTCGTGTCCGTCAACAAACTCTGTTCTTTTTCTTCTCTCTCACATACAGTGGATAGGTTGGCGCGGGGGGAGGGGGGCCTACGCCCTGTCTCAGCACCCACACGGAGCGAGGAGCCACTTACTCCCTCCACAGCTCTACTCTCTGCCGTCTCGTAATGTCACCGGCGGTGTTGAAGCGCTCGCAGGCAAGCTCTGTCCTGCGCCGAGCCGCGACCAGGTCTGGCGTGAAGGCGTAGTACAGTTCGCCTTTTTCCATGGCGGCACGGTTCTTGGCCGTGTCAGTCAGAGACATGGTTCTTACAAGTCGACGAGCTCAGCGCAGCTCGCTCTTGCGACTCGGGCACGTGTGTTTGTACAGCGTTCAGCTTTTCAAGCGTCAACCGCCCCCGCGAAGATTCTCAGCCGTTGACGATGGTAGTCGAGACATCGTCTGCACTCCGATGACGGTGCTACAGTAAGTTAGCGCAACGGAAATGGAAACCAGTACTGTACTTGAAACAAAAGCCCATTGAACACGCTAGCAGATCCACAGGACACAAGAGAGAAAAAGCAAGATTCTGCGGTGAGGTCAAGTGCGAATATATGTTTGGCACGGTCTGCCATGGGCTTCCGTACTGAATAACTGACTTACTGTTGCTGGAACCTGCGTTACCCTACCGACCATGCTCGTCGAAACCAACCAAACTTTGGGCGCTGGACGGCCAATTCATGTATTAAAAAGACTGAAGAGCCATTGCATACGGACATGAACTAGGTTTCATTTCTCGCATTCATTAACTTAAGACTCCAAATAAACCGAAAAAGATCCAACGTCATCTCTCTAGTTAGAATGTAAAAAAAAGGAAAAATGTCAACGCTGCGGGGCATGCTGCCCAGATTTAGACGGGAGACATCAACTGTCCTGAGAGCACGCTTCTGGAAGAGAAGCAGGCTCGTTGGCACGGTAGAGTCTCGGTGGAGTCTAAGACGCGAGAACGGTGCCGACTACTTGAGGGTGGTAGTTTTTTGGATAATGCTTTCTTTCTTTCTTTCTTTCTTTCTTCTTCTTTTTTTTTTTTTTTTTTGGGGGGGGGGGGGGGGGGGGGGGATGGGAAGAATTGTAGTGCTCGTCTGGAGGGGGAAAGGTAGAAGAACTGAATGATAGCAAATGCGCACAACGAGGGGACTTTGAAAAAGACACCAACAGTCACACCCCAACTTCACGTTGATACGAATAGTCAATTTGTCCTCCGCTTCCTTCGCCGTTTTCGTCTTCCAATTTTTGTTCATTCTCCATTCACTCCTTTGTTTCTGCTCCCTTCGCATCTTCTCCTGTTTCGCTGCTCTTCCCTTCACTCCTTGTTCAATCCCAGCAACACGAGGAGCGCCACGTTCAAGACAGTAATCATGCCCCATATGACGAGGGCGACAAAAGCTGTTATCCAGCTGTTGCGCATATCAACATATCGACCGTTGGCCTGAGTCTCCTGGCCTCGACTGGAGTCCAGATCGACGACCGCTGCACTCTGAGAGCCGTTCTTTTGGTCGTTTTCGGTCCTCGTTGCGGGCAGGGCGTTTGGTCTTGCCGTGTTTGCTCGCTCCTCGGTCCACACGCTCATAATCTTGCTGCGACAGGTGAACCAAATCAATGGCGCACTGACGAACGGTAAGATGATGCTCAGGCAGACCTGGCTAGCCTCTAGCGCATTGCTCAGCCCGTTTCTGCCAACAGAACCAGCGATGATGATGCTCGGGGTGATGCTGATACTTCTCGTGATGATCCGGCGCACCCAAGGTTTCACCTTCCAGTTCAATTGTCCCTCGCTCACCATCTGGCCAGCGATTGTGCAGACGATGCCGGCGCTTGTGCCGGAAAGGAGCAAGGCGAGAGCGAAGATGGTGCCTGCAGCAGGTGCAAGCGATGTTGACAGGAGGCCGTGAATGCTGAACAAATCGGCGTTGCTAATTTGGTCCTCGGGAAGGTTGGACAGAGAAGCGCCAGCAACGATGAGGATCGCACTGTTAATAAACAGCGCGAACGTAAAGAGGCTGATCGCCAGCTCGATGATGCTGTAGCTCAGACAGGACTTGATGGCCGCAAGCGAGGGACGATACTTTTCGTCCTCGGATTCGGAAGACTGCCTCGCAGTTTCGTTTGTCGCTTCGTTTTCCATAAGGCTGAACCGGCTTTCATTTTGGTGCTGCAAGTCAAAGTCACGCAGTCTGTTCTGAACGATGCCGCTTCCTAGGTACAAAGAATGAGGCATGACTGTAGCGCCGAGGATGCCGCAGGATTGGTAGAGACCTTGGGACTTGACCAAGGCAGAGGAAGGCAAGTAGCCGCGGAACACTTCGCCTACGCTGACGGCCTTGATCAGGCTAAGCTGGAAGCAAAAGCACACGGCCACGCCTATGACCAGCAACGCGACGAAACATTCGAAAATGCGCAGCGCACGCATGGACATTCCGGTCGGATTGTAGAAGAAGAGAATGATGAGCACATCCAGGATCGAAATCGCGCACCCAGCCACGAGTGGGACGTTGATCAGGATGTTGAGGGCAATCGCGGTGCCGATGACTTCAGCGATGTCCGTGGCGATGATGGCTGACTCGGCAAAGAGATAGAGCACGAGATTGAGCCAGCGAGGCAGGTGAGCCTTGCAATTCTCGGCGAGGTTCATGCCCGTCACGGAGCCGAGTTTGATGCACAGCGACTGCAAAAAGATGGCGAAGATGTTGGAGAGCAAGATCATGAACAAAAGACGGAAGCGGAACGAAGCTCCAGCGGCAACATCGGTCGCGTAGTTTCCTGTACAGAGCAGAGGACGAACGTGTCAGTCGGTATGCGCGAAGGGAGATGAATTGTCTGAGCGGGCACAGCGGGGATCTGTCATACCTGGATCGATGTACGCCACGGAGACCATGAAGCCAGGGCCGATGAACTTGGTGTACTTGACGAGTTTTCTTCTCATTGTCATCACCGTACTCACCCATCCATAGCGACCCGATCCCGTCAGCCCCGCAGAAACCCTCGTCTCGTTTTTCCCCGCCGCCGCCGCCTCCTCCACCTCCGCCTCCGCACCCGCGGGTCGAACGCACCCATCCTCCTCAAATACAGGCGAGATAGACTCTACTGCATCATGGCACCCGTCGCCAAGATGTATTTGTGACGCTCTTCGTCCGTGTGTGCTGTTTCTTCTCCCATTGAGAGAGTGGTTTGTGTTGATCTCGTTGGCCATGTCAGAGGGGTTCTGGTTATGCCCCTCGTCCGGCAACGGATCGACGCGAATTGGGCAATTCATCCTTGCTTTTCAGAACTCTTCACGTTCAAAATCGCATTGCAAACCAGACTTCCGCCCTTCAAGATCGGTTGCTTGACCTGGGCTGTTGCAGTCCGGCGGTAGAAATGGTCGTGGACTGTTCGCAGAGGCTCGCACAGAGTTGGAGACGGTCTGTGCGTGTGAATGTGAGTCTGCGGCCGTTCCAGGCGGTCTACGGCTCCAGCCGCGTGTCTTGCAAGGACCAAGGCCTTGGTGTTTGAGGAGAAGTGCCAAACTGAAGTCGAGAAGCAGTGCCGCCAAGATGTTATAGCGCCCTGGCGAGGAAAGGGTTGAAGGTTGCTCAGAGGTTGGCTGCGGGAGAAATCGGCTGTGGTCCAGACGTGTTGTAAGGCGCCTGTCGAAGAGTGACGACAACGCAGGTCAAGAACGAGGAAAAAATTCACGATCCTGGCGGTTGTCACAGCCGCGGTGCCTAGCCTTCCTCATGCTTCGGGTATCTCAGGCTCATTTTTTTTTTCTCTGCTTTAGTCTGTTTTAAAAGAAGACTTGCATCCCAGCACCCTCGCGCCTCCATTTCCCAGGCCCAGCGTCGTCGTCGCCCACAACCGCCCTTGCCAGCTGAAGCGTCCGAGTGACTCCAGCCAGGCCAGTCATAACGTGTGCTTACGTTTGCCTGCGCAAAGAAAGGGGCGCTGAACGACGTCGTTCTTAGCGTACCGGGACCCGTTCTCCAGCGGTGGGAGCGAGGGAGGGAGGCGGGATCGTTCGAGAATCCAGATGTGTGTGGGGAAGGGAGGGCCAAACGTCAAACGGAAACCGATGTTCCGGCCCGGACTTCGAGCTCTTTCGCTCTGCAGAAGCGCCACCGACATCAGGTTCTTTCTCCTCCCCCAGGCCGACCCCATGCACGGCAATGCGGAGTCCGTTCAGGAACAACGCGACGTCTGTATGCCTGCTTGGCCATCGAGGTGCGCGGCGGTTCGGGCACGATCGGAGGACCCCTCCGTGTTCCCCGTGCCAGCTTACGGTCAACCGTGCTCGAGTCAAGCGTGGGATGCTTTTCCTACTATATAAGAGAGAGAGAGAGAGAGAGAGAGAGGAGAGGAATTGTCTGTGCGACTGCAATGTGCAGGTGTCGCACGGGAGCAACGTAAGAGTGCGGGAAAAGGATGATGACCTGGCTGCAGGACGCTTTGCCTGCTGCTAGAGTCGAGGCCACCACGTGCAAAGGGAGCGGTCTGACATGCACCTTTTTTCATGCGGCCAAATGGCGCGGCGTGGTCACGGACAGGTGGAGTAAGCATAGAGCGATGAAGGACACAGGCACAAAACGGACACGGGAAGGAGAAAGGATCTCAACGAGCGCTGGCATTACTCTATCCATGCGAAGATCTGAGCTCATACCGCGATCCAACCAGCCTGCGAGGCAATGCAATCCGCCCAATCCCATCGTGGCAGCAGCCTTCTGCTTACGTGACCTTCGTCGTCAAAATGCATATGCAAGCACCTCATCGCCGGGAGTCTTAGTATATACCTTGCGTTCTGTACTGAAACGTGTCGTACCTGTTCACAATGACATCAGCCTCCGGCCCGTATCTAGACGAAAGAGCTAGAATTAAAGAAAAGAAATATCAGCTTCGAACTCACAGTCTCGTGTAATAGCTCCCTGCACTCTTTTGGATCAGCTCCTCGACATATGCATCTGCCTCCTCTCTGGACAGATGCAACACAAACCTGGCTCGCAAGCTGTTCACCACCGTGCCAACCCCGCTGGAAAAGCAAGGCATCTTGCTTCCTTTGCCCATGACTTCGACCAGCATGACAATCTTCTCCGCATGCTTCCGCAGCGCCTGGAAAGCTTGCTTGCACAGGGATTTGTAGTCCTCGAAGCCCGGAGAGCCAACGCCTCCCAGCACGTCAATGTACTCTTGCGTGAGCTTGAAAGGGGCCGCCTCGAAGCCCATGGAGCCAGGGGAGTTAGACAGCATGAAGCCAAAATCGATGTGGATGATGTGACCAAAGTTGTCGATGAGGATGTTGCCGTTGTGACGATCTTTGAGTTGCAGAATGTACGAGATCATGCTGTACGCCGCAAGACTCTTCTTGAACGCGTCGAGACCCGCAGCGTAGCTATCGCTATCCACGTCGCCAAAGGATTTGACGAAGTGGTCTCGCAGCGTAGCGATCCGCTTTCGTGGATTCGTGTTGGCCGCGATGCTGGCCAGTGTCAGGCTTCGTTTAAGGGAGTGCAGCGACACGCCGTTCGTGATAGTTTCGATGAGACCCGATGATTCACCCGTCACAAGGATCTTCATGTCCTTGACCCAGACGGGAACGTTCATGGCGTCCCATATCCGCGCACACACGCGGATTAATTGGCACGCAAATGCCTCTTGGCGCAAGTCAGCACCCGTTTTCACAATCACGCTGACCAAGTCCCAATTCTTCATCCATCCGTACGGCGAAGACTTGCGTATGCGATCCTTTTTCGCTGACCACTCTTCGCCAAAGGTCGCAGCGCTGGGATCATCACGATCGCCTCGGCGGCTGACACCACCGGTCTTGATGTCATTTTCCATACGCGCTGCGCCCGCGCCAGAGTTGAGGTTCGGGTCAGGCCCTGCTTCGATGGCCTCGTCAAAGCGATCAGGATCAGTGTTAACACTGTCAGCCTTTGCAATGATGGTATCGAACGTCGGCGCGTTGCCGTCCTCTAGGAAGAAGCTTTGTTCCTCGAGGGTCTGCATACTCGCGATGATCTTGGCCTTAATGGCGGCCACCTCTGCCTTGGGTCGTTTCGAGCCGCTTTGTTCAAGCTGAGCGAGCATCTGGGCGGCGGTACGCATATGCGTCGCTAGAGCAGACACGTCAGGTTGGTCTGCTCCACGAGCTAGTGGAATGGTCGACTTTCGCGGCAGTGGGCTGCTAGACCTGCTGAGCTCCGTGTTAGATGTTCTGGGTGTAGATATGGCAGTGAGCGAGGATCTCGCGCCAGTGGTCGCTCCTGAAGATCTTGCGGCCATGGCCGCTTTCATTGTCGAGCCATCTGGCAGAGGAGACTTCGATCGCAAAGGGTACGACACTTGATCTTCGTACAGGAGAAGAGGTGAGTTGCCAAGATCACCGTTCGCAGGCTCGAGCACGCTGTCCTCCACAACTTCATTTGCTTGTTCCCTTGACGCTTCGGCTGCCCTGCCCTGATCGGTGATGTCGAATAGTCGACGACGCCTGCCCTTTTCCTGCAGGATTTTTGCAAGAAGGTGTTGATTTTCGTCCGTGTCGGGGTCAAAATCGAAGTCCTCGGTGAGGATTTCAACCATAAGCAAGTACGGCACGCGCTCTGCGCTGTTCAAGCTCGTCGCCTCCGCCGGGTTGATTCGCACAATTCGATGATGCTTGCTTCGGGCGGGTTTGCCGTCTTCAAGAACAGCAGGACAGATAAGAGGGATATCGACTTCGGCAGGTAGATCTTGTGCAATCAAGGCCAGTTCGGCACGCAGAGCACTCAGTCTCGCTGGTTTCGGTACGATTACTAAGCGATTCGATATATCCTCCAGCGCTTGGAGAAATGCCGTTTCATTTCGGAAGTAGTTTGACCTCAGCATGCGAATCTTCTGCTCGCGAGTCAACGCGGAGGGCGTGAGGGCTCTATTCGAAGCCGTCGTGTTGCGTCTATTCAACCTTGATGGACGCATGCCCGCACTCGCGGGGGGCGTTGGGAGTTCCACGTTGCCTGAGAATCGGATGTCCGGCAACGAAGATGTGCTCATTCTTGCCTCGTCTACCAGTCCGGTTATGTGCCGTAGTTTTGGAGGTGATCGCGCAGTCGCTTTGCTGCTACCCGGCCTCGGATCACTCTTTTGCGGCGATTTGGCAGGTTCATCTGCGCTCTGAGATGCACTTCTTCGCCGGTCTCTTGCTTCCGTATCAGAATGGCCTTGGATGGACGGCCCAGTTGATTTCCGCTTCGTCCTCGGCCTTCCCGTACCAGCGACTGTGTTGCTTCTTGACACTTTTGCCATGTGCACCGCGTCAGAGATGACATCGTCCGTAGGCCTTGGTCTTCTTGACTGCGCGACGGCCAAAGGTCCAGCCCATTGTGGTAATATCGGCGCAGCCACAGAAGCAAGTACAAGACTGGCCAGCACCGTCACGGGTAGCACATTCTCCTTGATCTTCTCCCTGTGTAAACCCTCCGAAGCGCCAAACACAATCCGCTGCACCTTGTTGTATATCCGTCTCGTGGTCTTGAAATGCACCGACTGCGGATTCGACGACAGGTCATGCAGATATGTCTGGAAGAGCCAGAAGGTCAACAGCGCTGAGTTGACCGACTCTTCGCATAGGTCGAGGATGAACTCCTCGAGTGCCATCGACTCATTGTCGATGCTGACGACGAGGTGACATAGTTGCGGGAGGAAGAACTCGAGCTCCTCGTACGTGAACTGGCGTAGCTTGTTGCACAGCACGTAGTGTATGCCGACATGTTCCGCGTAACGACTGCAGAGTAAGCCGATTTGTTAGCTTGGGCAAGGTGTCCCCTTGTGTTCAACACTGATCAAAGACTGGAGGGCGATGATGGCGTACGATAGATATTCTATACACAGGCTCGGGTCCCGGTTGAAATGGTCACTTTCCAAAAAGCGCTCTAGGAGATTCCAACTCATGAGTGCGGCGCCCGAAGCGTCATTGGGGGCTCAGTCTGGATCGAGGGTTGAGAGACGACAGGATGGGGGAAAGGAGGAAAAAGGCTAGACGTGCGCTGGCGCTATCATGAGAATACGAGAAGGGAGGATGCTAGCGCAAACAAACAATCACCATGCTGCCATGGTGTGGAACGACGGTAATTGGGGGAAGGTAACTTGCATTTGGAAGCTCGAGCTTTTGGTGGAGGGTGTTCGGACATATGAATTATTGGTCCATTTCGCGACGCATAATGCTAGCCAAATCTGGCACGCACCTCAAGGGTCCGCCCAGGCGGGTGGTGATGACTCTGCTGTGTGCACCATCGACATGGACTGCGGGCAGCGTGTCCGACATGTGGCTCAGGAGCGAAGCGGCACGCACGGGGAGCCTGAGCACCGCTCTTGGGCACCGATCAGCGAACGACAGCCACGAGGGCCAAAGACGCAGAAGGTCCCTCGTCTGGACTCTGAGCAGCGGTTCCGTGGCACGGAGGGGCGAAGAGCGAGTGTGCAGCGGTGCCCTTGGCTCAGCCTCGCCGCGCAGTCGCCGTGCAGCAAGCACGAACATTCACAGGAATTCCAGCAGGACCGCGGGTCTGTACGGGGTCGCCACGGAGATTTGCTGCCACGAGGCCGACGCACTGCACGATGCAGACGGACGAGACAGCTGGTACTCATGCCGGCGGCATCAAGCAGGTCGCAGAAGCGTTCACGGCTGGCGGAGGCACGTGACGTGAGGCCAGCGGAAACAACACGTTGAGCTTAACTAAGCTTTTTGGGCCTGTCGACACAGGCGGGCACAAGAAGGCGGTCACGTGCGAGCCGGCCATGCCTGCCTTGCCTGGGTGCAAGGCCGCCCAGGCAGCAACGCCTCAACGAGGGCCCTTTTCTTAAAAATTTAGTTGCACGACGACGCTCGCACTCCAAGTCAATCCACAAAGTCAAGCCGTCGTCACTTGTTTCTTCAAAATAGAGTATTCTACGGGTGCTCTACTTTTGCCCCTTCCCCCTTCAAAAACCCTCGAGTCGCAGTAAAAAAAACTTGGAAAACAATCAAAAAAATTATAAAAACCCGCCAAACACATCCACCCGAAGTCACCCTCTCCGACCTCACACGACTGACACGTTCAAACTTTCTCGGTCGCGACATCAGCCCCTCGTTTGCTCAAGGGACTTTTCACTATCGTGCGCATCCACGAGAACGCCTCTCGCCGCTGCACGCTCCCTAACGTATAGCGCAGACGCCGTTTCAATCGCCTTGCCAGTCACGCACCGACTGTACACCGCAATTCACGGTCTCCCGACATTCAAAAGCGTCAGTTTCTCCTCCTTGCCTCCCCTTGCATCGACGACAAGACAACGCGACCCAAGATCGCAAGCGCAAGTCGAGCTGACCTTTGCTCGTGAACGACAGTACTGCAGCCATCGACCCACGTCGCCGTCCGCTCAACCAAGATGTCTGACGTCGCTCCTTCCTCCGTCACCGCCGACGCTCCTGCCAACGGCACCTCCATCAACACCGATGTCTCCACCACGGCAAGCGCCACTGGCGATGTGCCCACCCCTACTTCGGCCGCTCCTTCCAGCACCCATCACAACTCGGCCTCTCTCTATGTCGGCGAGCTCGATCCCTCCGTCACCGAGGCCATGCTCTTCGAGCTGTTCTCGTCCGTTGGCCAGGTCGCCTCCATCCGTGTTTGCCGTGACGCCGTTACCCGCCGCTCGCTCGGCTACGCGTATGTGAACTACAACAACTCCGAGGACGGCGAGAAGGCCCTTGAGGAGCTCAACTACACCCTGATCAAGGGGAAGCCCTGCCGCATCATGTGGTCACAACGTGACCCTGCCCTGCGAAAGACGGGCCAGGGCAATGTCTTCATCAAGAATCTTGATACCGCCATCGACAACAAGGCTCTGCACGACACCTTTGCCGCTTTTGGCAACATTCTCTCTTGCAAGGTTGCTCAGGATGAACAGGGCAACTCAAAGGGCTACGGATTCGTCCACTATGAGACGGCTGAAGCTGCCAACGCTGCCATCAAGCACGTCAACGGCATGTTGTTGAATGACAAGAAGGTCTACGTCGGCCATCATATCCCCAAGAAGGAGCGCATGAGCAAGTTTGAGGAGATGAAAGCCAACTTCACCAACATCTACGTCAAGAACGTCGATAGCGAAGTCACCGAGGAGCAATTCCGCAAGCTGTTCGAGAAGTACGGCCAGATCACATCGGCCTCTCTAGCGATGGACCAGGAGACCGGCAAGCACCGAGGCTTTGGGTTCGTCAACTTTGCAAACCATGCTGACGCCGCCAAGGCGGTAGAGGAGCTGAACGACAGCGAACTCAACGGTCAAAAGCTGTATGTTGGCCGTGCTCAAAAGAAGCACGAGCGTGAGGAGGAGCTTCGCAAGCAGTACGAGGCTGCTCGTCTCGAGAAGCAGAACAAGTACCAGGGAGTCAATCTCTACGTCAAGAACCTTTCTGATGACGTTGATGACGAGAAGCTACGCGAGATGTTTGCTCCGTACGGCACTATCACTTCGGCAAAGATCATGCGCGACACCATCCCGGCCCGTGAAGGTGAAGATGACGCCGAGAAGAACGAGGAAGAGAAGGAAGGTGAAGAGAAGAAGGAGGATGGGGAAGATGTTGAGAAGTTGACCAAGGAGATGGATAAGGTCACCATCAAAGGCGAGAAGAAGATCCTGGGCAAGAGCAAAGGCTTTGGCTTCGTCTGCTTCAGCAATCCCGACGAGGCCACAAAGGCCGTGGGTGAAATGAATCAGAAGATGATAGACGGTAAGCCACTGTACGTCGCTTTGGCTCAGCGCAAGGATGTGCGCAAGTCACAGCTCGAGGCGACGATTCAGGCTCGAAACCAGATGCGAATTCAGCAAGCTGCCGCTCTCGGCTCAATGCCACAGCAGGTCAGTAGTGTGATGACCATGTTCATGAATTGTCGGACCATGCTAACATACAGCAGTCGTTCATGCAGCCGAACATGTACTTCCCAGGCCAGCCAGGCTTCCCAGGAATGCCTCCCGCCGCTCGTGGTCAAATGCCGTTCCCTGCTGGCCTGCCTCAGCAAGGCGGACGCGGCTTCCCGGGTATCCCACAACAAGGCGGACGTGGTGGGCCAAACAGCCAACAGATGCCACCAATGTATGGTCTGCCACCCAACATGCCTGGTGCCTACCCCAACTATCCAGCCGCGTACCTCCAGATGGCCCAAGCCGCTCAAGCTATGGGTGGACGTGGCGGCGGTCGTGGCATGATGGGTATGCCCGGTATGCCTCAAGTTCCGAACATGCCACAAGGTGGCATGCGTAGCGGTGCAGCCGGCCAGCCTGGTCGTGGCGCTACGAGCGCTCGCGGGCAGATGGCCGGCTTCCCAGGAGGTCGTGGTGCTGGTAACGGCCCAGCTGCTCCTAGTATCGACATGAATGTTCTGAATGCAGCGCCACCAAATCAACAGAAGCAGATGCTTGGCGAGGCTCTGTATCCCAAGATCCATGAGCAGCATCCCGAGCTTGCTGGAAAGATCACTGGAATGTTACTGGAGATGGACAATGCCGAACTCGTCAACCTGATTTCTGATGACAATGCTCTCCGTAGCAAGGTCCAAGAGGCACTCACTGTCTATGACGAATATATCAAGAGTAAGGGTGGCGAGGGCGAAGAGGGCGCTAAGGCTGCTACCAATGGCGTTGATGCTGACAAGACTGAATAGACGGACAAGTCTCTTCTCTTGCCGCTCCCGCGATGGTCTGCGTCTAACGGTCCGACTTTCTCGCCCTCTTCGGCTTTTCCCCTCCGGCGTTTTCCATTTGGCGTTATAGTAGACGGATGGAAAGGCAACGGCGTCCAAAAGTTTCGAATATTCAGCGGCTTTTCGTGATCGGCAGCCCGACCGAAGCCCCAAGGAAGCTGGTACTTCATTTTCATTCGTCCTGACCTGGAACGTAGCTTCTCGCTTTCGACGGTGATCGGTTACCAAATCCAGATCCATTCTCCTTTGTTGTTTGTATGCACTTTTTACTATTACCACCATTTCCCCTCCCCAAGTGGACGTTTTGTTTTTTTTCTCTCTCTCTTTTTTCGCCGTTGTTTGATTTGCGCGATACCCGATGAACCTCAACTTTGCCCACCACAAACATAGCTTTTGCACATGGGAGGCAACTTAGTTGTTTAACTGGGGTTCGACGGCTTTGGGTTATTTGTGGGAAAGGGGCCCAGGTATTCAACAACACAGATATGCTCTCTTATCTTGCGCAGAAGTATTTTGGAGGTTCGTAGTCTGTGACGGTTGTTCTCATAAGTTCAACTGTCACTGGCTTCTTGATCTTTCGATCCCCCACTCTTGTATGAGCATATCCATCTTCATTCTACCTACATCACGTAGTAATGGAGACGAAGCAGTGGGCTCAAGAAGTTGGGAACTGTGTGGATCTTTCTTTCACAGAAAGTTTGTATTATAGTTTATGATCACAGGTGGTATGGAGGCGGCGGTTGTGGGCAGCAGTATTTGATAGACGGTGTGCGTGGTCAGGTAGGATGAATAAGAGACTGATCATCTTAGATTCCTTAGCTCCTCTTTCTTGTGTTGTGCTTCTGGAAATGCGCTTCTAATGCGAGGTAAGATCAATCAATCGCGAGTGTGAAAAGTGACAATATTTGCGTCTCAAAGAATAGGCAGGAAAGTGATACGCTCCTCCTACTACTCTCTTTTTTCTCTTCTTTTTCTTCTCAGGCTCCGCAGCTACTTGCCACGGCTACCCTAGATGGTTATCCACGCGAAAACGCGCTATAATATGTATAAGATGACCTTCGGACGGGTTAATAATATTTCATGACTACCTTTAACTTAAGTTCTTTTAATCTCTAGGAGAATAACAAAGTTCATTGCAAGAAGAATAAGGGTACAATTATACCATCGCAGGACTGAGTTCGTTCAGGTCGACTAACACCCAACCACTCTGTTCACTGCCGCATGTCCATCAGTTACTTGAGTCATAGGAAATAGACAATTTATTCGATTTCGATGCAGACGGCGCAGGTCCAAAGCATGATTCACGAAGGGTGCAGGGCGTCGTTTAGTTTCACAATGAGTGGATTTACGCGGGACTGCATGTGACATCGCGCCGACTTCGCATTTCGAATTTGGTTCTGGTCTATCGTAACATCCAATCCAACTTTAAAGAGTCTCACTCCAGCCCATTGACAAATCGCTTAATAAATCCACGCTTCATCGAAACGTATAATTGATAGACCTTAATCTTGAATTCCTACGGACTAGCGCAATACACCACGCGTTGACGGGTCAACATGAATTGGTGGTGGTCATCAGACTCCAAGTCAGTCGCCTCAGATACCTCTGATCAACCACCAGCATCGGCGTCTAAAACAGAAGATTTGTCATCCACGTCTCGAAATACGGCTGAAATTGGTACAAAGTCTGGTGCCAATACCGACACCGTAGAGAATGAGCTAGCACAGTACTTGCCAGGCTTTGCGCCTTCGCAGTCAGCCACTTCAGAAGCGCACAGTGATGCAGGGCGAGAACAACCACGGCAAACGGCATTCGAGGAATCAGTTTATCCAGAGACGATGTCATGCCGGGATGCTTTCGACCAGGCCATGCACTGCCGAGGACCGGGCGGTCAATTCCTCAATCTATACCGATACGGAGAATTCAGACAATGCAGCGAACAGTGGTCGCAGTTCTGGTTCTGCATGCGCACAAGGACCAAGCCGGCCGCCGTCAAGCGCCAATTGATCAGAGACTTCTACAAGCAAAAGGAGGAGGCCAAGTATGCAGGCAAGCCAAGCAGCGAGGATGTTTGGGAGGAGAGGGAGACTCGGCTTGTGAGAGCATTTGATGCAGATCTCAGCCAAGTGGACACATTACCGCTGGAAGACACTCGAGAACGAAGACGTCAAGCGAGGATGGCTGCTGATGCAGCAGGAAGTTGAGTCGGAGAAGCGTCTTGGTCGACACTTGTTCCCCGGTTTTTCTTTCATCGCTTGGATACCATAGAAGGATCTTCACTCTTCAGACCTTTAAAATTGACATTTGGCGTCTAATGAGCCTTCATTGCAATAGATTCTTGCGCACATGCTCCCAAATTTTTTGTTTGGATGGTCAGCGGTCGCGTTCGAGATGTGCATCAATGCACACGCTCCAACACACCTGCGGCTCGGAGTTTCGGGCCTTTTTGTTTCACTGTCATTTTCTTTAAGACTCCTTGGACACGAGAGAATGCGCGACATTAGATCTTGTCGAACGCCTGATCAGAATCGCGCCGGGCCGAATCAGTCGATATTTCTATGCACAAGCGACGGGCAGTTCTGCCCCAGGAGTCAGGGGAATTGGGGAATCCGCAACATTTCATCAGCAAACGTGAAACTTCGTCACCCGCATACCGCAGCAATTAAGCTATGGGCACATCCGACGGCCACCATCAACTGACCTTTGTGATTGGCGGGCGCTGTCCGGGGTTGCAACATCGATGTGTGACACCCGTGATTAAAGCGCCTAAAACGAACTGACGGCTGGGTACAACATCTCGATCACGTTCTCGAACTTCAACCAGAAGACCGGCCTGAGACATGATTCCTTCAGATATCACCGCGGCAACTCTACTCGCCATTCAAAACACCATTTCGCGATACTGCATCGCATTAGACACCCGTGATTTCTCCCTGCTCAAGCAAGTCTTCACAGAAGACTTGAGAGCGGATTACAGTGCCGTATCGCCGCAAAACAGGGACATACGGGGATTAGACTCGCTAATCGACAAGCTGATGGTCATTCTCGAGGGCAAAGTTACTCAACACGCGTTATCAACTCAGACACTTGATTTCGTCCCAGCGAACGGCAGAGGGGCAGGCTACGAGTGTCGAGCCGTGACGTACTTCACCGCCAACACGTTTGTCGATGAGAACAGAACGAAGGAAGGACTGGACCACGTGACAGTGTATGGCCGATACGAAGATCAATTGGTCGAATTGTTACCGGGAGAGTGGAGAATAACCGAGCGGAAAGTTTTGACGTTCGTAAGTATATGTATCACTCGCCCTGTTTAATGTAGGATCATGCTAAGATTCTTCGCTGATCACGATCACTGCAGCATCCGCGAATCCGAAACAAAACCACCTTGCCTTGAAAAGGCGGGCCTTTGACGAGTTTTCGGACACGGCGAGCTTTCTCCTGCCGTCCAGCCCCGAGACAGATTCGACAGAAGAATTTTGATCCTAGGACAGCACGTTCGAACTTTATTTGAGCGTCATGTACGATTGAGGCCTCGTTGGAACTCGGTGGGGAAAAGTGTTTTTTTTTTGTTCACTACTGCAACTTGTGGTGCACTTTCGGCACTTCCGTCATATATCGGATAGGTGTTTGAAGTTACAGTGATATACGATCAGCGTGCCGTGCAGGCGGCTGAGCAAATGTGCTTCAGTCCATGTATTGATCATCTAATCAAACGACCAATTTGAAATCAGGCGGATAAAAACTATTTCAATTCTTTACCCTAGGAACTTCTTTCCTACTCAGTCGTGTTCCGCTCGAGGATGTTGTCGACAGCTTCACCAACCTCGCTCTCTGTGCCGGAGAGTCTACTCTCCAGATCAATGAAGCTAAGGATGGGGCATTAGCAAATCAGTTTCGTGGAGGAAACAGACGCTGCTCCAACTTGCCAAGCAGAGTAGATTTCTTCTCAAGAACATTGTCTAAGAATTGTTCACTTCCTGGACGGTGTTGGAGACCGTAGAAGCCTAATCAATCGAGCCTCCGAGCAATGGCTCCGCAGCACATTTGTCAAGGATATCAAACACAGCGATTTCGATCTCCCGAACACTATCGGAAAGAGTTCAGCGTAGATCAATCGAACCCCCAAGAGAGCCTTACATCTATCGAGGATATCAGAGGCGGTGCTATCCACCTCGCCCAGTATTTCGCCGACATTATTCTTCACGTTCACAGCAACACCGAGCAGAGCGATCTTCGTGCCTTCAAAGAGCTCAGCGCTCGAACAATTTTAGATCGTTAATGATGTTAGCGTACTTGGTTGTGCGGCCAGAGTGAACGAAGCCAAAAGGATGATCGAAATGTACTTCACTATGGCGTGGCTTGGTACTTATATATGGTTACGCTATGGGAAAAAAAAGAGGTGAGCGAGTGATGTCAAGGCAAAAATCCTGTTAGCGGTGCGAAGAAGTAGAAGAAGCGATTTGAGAAAGATGACACATATAATTAGGATGCCAGAACCGAGAAAGAGGTTCTTAAGTGCACTCTTCCGGACAATGCATGGACCCAACCATTAACTTCTCGGTGTTTTACTGCATGAGATGAACGAAACGTGACTATTTATGCTTGAAACCGATCTAAGAGATAGCCCATTGCGTGAAACTAGTACAATGAATATCGAAAGTGGTACCTCAACAACCGCGCCTCGCTGATGGGCTAGTAGAGTACAACGCGAGATCGACGAAACAAACGGACTGCCGTTTCGATGCCGTGGTGTTAGGAGATGGCATAGTACCTCAAAGCGGCGCTGCTGATGCTCAGGTCTGTACAACAGCATCTCGACGTCAAGAAGGCCTTGCTTGGGGAAGGCCCTCAAGCTCCTGACCTTCAGCTCCTGGCCTTCAAGCTCTTGGGTATTGTTGCGATTGTGGATTTCATCGATTCGTGGTGATACGTTGTGCGTGCGAGGAATGCGTATTTTGGTACGTTAGCTTCAAGTATTGTGGCGAAATGCTGATGAAGAACAGAAAGAGCAAGAAGAGGAGGATGAGGACGGGAGCGAAGCAGGAAAAGAAGACGAAGATCAGGAGAGGACTCCATCGTTTTAAGGAATAATTGACATGAGCCTGCAGAAGCAGCTGTACTCTCGTATGAGAGTCTCATTTGGGAGCGCAACGGCTTGGGAAGAGATGCACGCATCATACCACTAGCCAGCAAAATAACATATTGAGCGAGATCTGTGTTTATGCTATAAAAATATCAATAGATCGTGCTTGACAGAGGAGATCTTAGGAGCTATCTAGACCTAGCTAGGTCTGCTGTGGAGCAAACTGTAAATGTCCGATCTCCACCAAGCTGCGACCAGGGAGAGCACGATTTTATCTTCCATGGAGTCTGGCTGATCGTATCCCCTCTGTTCGCCAATGGTCAACTCGTCGCGGAGGTTTTTTCCCTGCACCGATCTGCCTACACAACATTGTGTGAATCATAAAAAGCAATGACAGATTCCAACTGTATTCATGTCTTGTTGACCTGAGCGACAGCGCAAGTCAAGCCGTTCTCTCTCAAAAAGCATTATGACAAGCAAGGGAGTCTTGCTCGCTAGGCGGCGCCGTAGTAGCGCTCACTCTTCGAAGGTGGAAGCTACGGTATGCCTATCATGGCGTAAACCCGTCTTCGAATCTCCCAAGCCCAAGCGGAGCAACAAAATGATTGACAACGCTTAAAAATGCACAAGTCACGTTTGTGCTCCCTTTCCATCCCTACTTACAAGTAGAAAAGATGACGTACACCAAGGCGGTAGGTAGCTGTTGTGGAATGAGGCCGGGAAACAACCATCTGAAGTGTTGACGAAGTGTTGGCATTCACCGTCATTTTGCACGACCATACGTCAAGGGCAAGAATTATGAAAGACGCTTTTTCCTGCAACACGTATGGTGTCGACTGATCTAGTACTCCGTTACGAAGTAGAAATCCGGCAAGGGTGAAGCCCATTGCGAGGGTGGCTGCCAATCACTGTTCATTGAATCCGTAATGCGACACTTTTACATACTACTCATTATCGGAAGATGAAAATGTCAAACATCGTTCTGTATGCAGCACGTTGGATCCAATCAAAAGGCAATAACGCACTTCCTGATCGTTAACACAGCGGTTCAAATTCAAATCCTCAAAGAACGCCTACAGATTATGGTGATGACCATGTCTCCTGATAGGTAGTAAAAAATATCCTTCTTGGTTTGAAACTCATGGCATGAATGTGTAAACTGTTCGGCACCGTTATGATAGCAAGCAATGTGTCATGGCGTTACACTTTCTGTATGCTTTCTCCAACGCGATCTTACTAGAAGTCAGAACGTAGAGTTTGCTATGCCACTTTGAGGAGTCATGGATCATGCAAGAAGTATTATGTTCATGAGTTTGATCTCTGCTCGTTCTCTGTAATGTTCATACGACATAGTCGGGAAGATAGGTGGTAAAGCCCACTCGGACACTTCACTTTTTGGTTTCAATAGTGAAGTATTGGCCAGTTCAGAACTGCAAGGCAACGAACGAAATAAATACTCGAGAGGCGCTCATTCGATAGCCTGTAGAAATTTCCCGTGGAATTTTCTACAAAACATAGCCGGAGGCTTATTTTGAGCTTCCGTGAGCAAGATTAGCTCATGCGTATCTTACAAACTCCGTTTTCCAGTACCCGTCGCCGTCGAACTCTATAATTTTGTGCCTGGCCTCAGATAGCTCTGGGCAGAGTTAAGCACTTCGTAGGCCTCTTGAACAATCTCACGCACGATGTCGCCTGCAGGCTGATCTCGCTTCGTAACCAAGCCAGCAACAATACCCATGGGTCTGTAAAGCAGTCAGCGTGATTTTTCCCTTGCTAAAACATATGGAGATCCAGTCATTCACACTCAGATTAATACATCAGGGAAATGGAATGACGGATCGCGTGATTTCATCGTGATCATCTTGAGATTCTCAGAAATGTTTGGCTTTGAAGATGCACTTACCTTAGTTTCGCCTCATCTTCGATTTCCTCGGTCAACTTCCCTTCCGCGTGCAATTTATCCAATTCGTGATGCAGAGGTACGATTCCGCGGCTTGTCAGATCTTTGATCTCTTGGGCGCGGTTATTCTCCCAGTCGTCCACATACGCATTTCTGCTCGCTCTCAGCGGCCTTCCGGACCAGATCAGGCTCTTCACAACACTGTCGAAGCCAGCATTAAGAACCTCTTCTTTCGCACGCTTCGTGGCATTGCTCTCTTTGGCTGCAACGAAGCGAGTTCCGACCCAGACGCCTGTGGCACCGAGCATCAGGGCCGCGGCCAAACTGCGACCGCCGGATACACCACCAGCTCCGACAAGGAGAACAGGACGCTTGAGAAGGGGTGAAGTATACTGGCTGCACTCCTTGGCGCAAGCGGGTAGAAGGATAGAGAACGGAATATCGCCAGTATGTCCGCCTGCTTCTCCGCCCTGCGCAATGATAATATCTGCTCCAAGCTGGCACGCTTTCGCCACATGCTATGATATCTAACATCATGCTCTGTTCGCAGATCTCTAGATACTTTGAGACTTACCTTGGGATGTCCTACCATATTTGCGTAGAGAACACCATTAGCATGTAGCTTTTCGACCACCCATTTCGGCGGCACACCCACAGCAGAGACAAATAGTTTCGCCCCGCCTTCGATTATCACATCAATAAGCTCTTTGAGCTGGCCTCTTGTATAATCCTCATTGGTCTTTCGTGCAGATCCACCAACCTGAGGGAGCAGTAGATCAACGCCAAAAGGCGAGTTTGGATCTTTGAACAGAGCTTTTGTCTCCGCAATCATTTCCCGTAGAATTCTTGGAGTATACGCAACACCACCTAATGTGCCAAAGCCTCCAGCATTGCACACTGCTGCAACCATTGCGCTTCCAGATGTGGTGTCCATGCCAGCGAGCATAACTGGATGTTTTACCCCTAGGGCTTCTGTCAGCGGAGTAGAGAGAGACATTGTGGCGAATAATTTGTTTGCTCAAAAAGAGAGAAGGAAATCAAATTCGTTATTAATTCTCTTGAATGAAATAAAGCTTGCAGAAGTAGCCGTTGATAGATATTTCGAAATATGCTTGGCTTCTTCGGCAATTTCAGCATGAGGAGTAACCGAGCTCGTGGGGTCAGCTAGGCTTAGTAAAGTCAGCCAGGCTGACTGCGGGCAAAAACTAAATTCCGACCAGGAAAATGCCTAGGCTGGTAAATTGGAATTAAAGAATGGATTGGATTATAATAAAGCAGTAAGCCACAAGTAAATTTTTAAAATTTTTTCAAAAGTCAGCTGCGACATGTCAGGGTCGGTCAATCAACCAGTACGGAGCGGTACTTACGGTATCTATGTGCGTGACGAGGGGGAATACTAAGCTGTATTGTGTTTGTCTAAGCTCCCTCTTCTCCTGCGCAACACTGTGTTCCTTCATCAACTTCAGAGTCACTCGAAGCGCCACTGGATTTGCGTCCTGCTTTGCGCTGCTTTTCGTTCAATACAACGCGGCCCACTAGCGACCACGCGCTAACTGGTAATTACCTATTCTCATATTTGAAATCCATTGAATTGCTTAGATTTCAGGTCCTCGACAAGCTGAAGAGCCATTTTAGCAGAGTTGGAACCAGACTGCGAACCACATTCAAACCATCGACGGATGATTTCATCCTGGTCCTCCTCCCGGCAGAGCACAACGCCTTTGCTCGACATCGCTTCTCGGACCCAATCTCTGACACTTTTCCTATTCCGGAGCAAAGGGCTGTCATCCAAAGCGCGCCGCAATCTTAGGTCTACGATTTGGCTAGCAAGGCCTTGCTTTTTGAGCATGTACAGCAGGCCGATTTTGTAGCAAGCTTCCGCATGCCCGCTGGCCGCCGCTTTCATCATATACTCAAACCATTTGTAAGGAACGAATCGCATCCACATGTTATCAAAATTTTTCTCAAGACAAGGCTCTGTTTGTTTCGTGTTCCTTGCCAATTCTTCGAGATGCATCGCAAGTTCGTAGTACGCGTTAGGATCATCATGATCCAACGCCGCGATCTCCCAGCTCTTGATAGCGTTGTCTTTATCACTTCTGATGTAGTACTGGATCCTGGCCAGTCCCATACGAGCTGAGACCACGTCTAACTCTACGTCTTTGTCTTCGACCGTAAACTTCTTAGCCACGACTAATCCGTCTGGTTCTGAGGCCGCATATCTCTCTCGCAAGCCCTTGGCCAATCGTTTGATGCGTGAAAAGTTTCGATCCAATGGCACGTGATCAATCACTTTCCTGTACATCTTTTCTGCGTCATCGTACATCGCATTTTCATAATACACATTCGCTTGCGCAACTTGAGCGGGCAGAATAGGAGGCTCTTGCGAGGCCAGTTCTTGTAGATGCTTGAGTGCAGGCTGTACCTCTTGCTTCCCAAGTTGCTTTGACTTCGTAGCCGTCTTGACAACGTAGATAGTCGCTTTTGCTGAGCCGAGGGCAGAAGCCTGTAGCAAAATCTGTCGGCCTCGGTATTGATCAAGTGGTCCTGGAGATAGAACCAATAAGCGTGCTAATGTGTAAGCAGCGTCGATTGATATACCTAAATCTGCATCGCAACCTGTGAGCGCAATTCCTTAACTCTTAGGCCTCTTTGTACGTACAGGCACAGGCATTTCGCAAATTGTTTGGATCATTGTCATTGCCAAATTTCGACAACTGCTCGAGCAACTTGGAGACGAGCTGTGGGCTGATCTGGAGAGCACCGGATGCATGAGCTGCTTCCAATAAGCTCATACCTTTCTCCCTACTGAGGTCGATTGCAAGTGTAGCATCTGGATCGCCGTACTCGCGGCTACTTTCGGGAGGTCCAGGTACCCTTTGGACTTCTTGTGCATGTTTGCTGTATTTGGTCCGTGATTGGGAATCTACAACTCTATCCGTGTGCTTGCTTCTAGTGGTACATCTTGGAACAAGCGGCGCTTCTAAAGGTGTTTTCACCCGAAGCTGGGGCTGGATTCTACGGGCGTGTAAATGGAAGAAAGCATTAAAAAAAGAGCCAGAAACACTGCTTGTTTCATGCAATGATCTGCTCTGACGGGCGACGCTGCGTGGAAACATTGAAAGTGCTAAAGTTGTCAGAAGTCGGCCTCACGTGGAGTGAATGCTCGAAGGGAGACAGGGTACAGCTAGCGCGACGAGGCTCGTGTTAAACGTCAACCCCGTGAACGTCCTTGCAATTCAATCCCCTACTCGCAACGTGAACGTAAAGAAAGCATTAAATTATACTGTCTATGGCATTTCAGTTCGCACTTCAAGATTTAGAGCTGCATGTGGGGTTGATGACCAGATGAACTTGCGTGAGCGGCGCGCAGGATTAAATGGGTTCCGGTTAGGTTCATAGTTGGACGCTCATACAATCGTGAGCAGCAGCAGTTCGCGAAGTTCTGATATTCACGTATTCTGTAATAGGAGCCTAATCCCTGCATATTATTGGGCAGTATATGAATTCTAGCCTAGAATATAAACAGACCATAGTGTTTTGAGAGTCATGTTGGGTTCACGGTATATCTTACCAGCGATGCGGACTTTAAGACAAAACGCAGGGTCCAAAATGCCCAGAAATATTTTTTTGTACGTTGGTTAGCTGCAGACATAACGTTTCTCTTTTGTCTCACACATCAAAGAGCCCATAATCGTGCGCTCAGCGTCTTGAAATATCCCAAAACTTAAGCCTTATTATTGGCAACCAAATTAAACAGCGCTATGTCGCCTCGAAAGCGAAGTGCGCAAGGAGATGAAGCACGCAAGCTGCCAGTTCGTCAGAAGCGAAGAAAGACGAATGGCATGGACGGGATTGACAACCTGGAAGAAAGTCTCTTGCACATCGATCAGCCAATTGCAAAAAGAGCTCTGCGAAGTAGCCAGAACTCTGATGTGGCCGTGCGTCTCAATGATCACGGTTCACCAGAGTTGGCACAAGAAAGAGTACCTTCTGCAAATCCCAGGAGATCACATGTCAAGTTCGGCAGTGAATCTCCTCCACCGGCAGCTGAAAAGGAAAAGACGTCGCAGCTTGAAGTGGCAAAAGAACCTGACGACGATGACGCGAGCGATTCGAGCGACAACGATGAAGCACCAGAGGCCATTTCCCATTCACTTGCTGAAGCGAAAACAAAGGCAGCACAGGCGGAGGAAACACGACTGTTGAAACAGAAGGGACAAATTGAGAAAGAAAAGAGACGGAGACGTGACGCACAATTAAAATCGCAGGCCCAAAGCTCAGAGAAGCGTCGAATAAGAGCAGGTATAGAGCAAGAGAAGGCAGATGTAGAGACTGCTGAACCGATCAAAAAGGACTTAAAGGTCGACATGGACAAGCTCCCTGAATTCCTGCCGGAGGAGCTTCTTGCTGTTGAGTCGCCAGCGCGGCCACTTACACCTCCGCCAGTGACACAGAAGAACAACACGAAAAAATTCATGGAAGCCCTCCGAGGAGATCATGACGATGAGGCACCGTCGGATGTGCTCCATCGGGATCAGAAAATTCGTGTCCTGCAGACGACGAACCAATTGTTGCCGCCAAGAGGGAATCTTGGGCCAAAGAATTTGAGAGAAAGCTGGATGCAAGGACGAGCAGCATTCCAGAAGCTTAACAGAAGAGGCAGTAACATGCCGGCTTATAGAAGACGAGCAGCTCCACAAGCATTTGTTTCGCGATACTGAAGGTAACTACATTTGAACCTGGAATATAAGTTCAGAATCGTGAACATTCTGATTTTCTGGTTACATCGTGACCATGCGCAAAACATGATTTCTGACGTGATCGCGATCATTCCCTTGGAAGTCACATTCATTAAGCCTGTTTAGCTTCAGATACTTCCACGTTAATGCTTGTCCTCGCCTCCCTCTCTTCTTCTGCTATACCCATGATAATGTCAAACTTGGGTCCCTGAAATCTTTTCCCATAGACGATCCAATAAATGCTTAGTACCAGCAAGAAAATACCGATCACAACAGTAACATAGTTCATATGATTTGAGTCTACTGGTAGGGTCGGCGGGAAACAGAAAAACACGCTTGTGATTCCTACAAAGAGCACAGCGGCCCAGTTGCAGATGGAACCAAGAATTGAGCCGAGCTGAAATGGAGTTGTGCTGGAGCGGAAGTTTGCGAGAATTGAGCGACCGCGGATGCAGAGCACAAGGACTGGAAGCGCAACAGATATGTTGAGGAATATTGTGCAGGAAGAGACATAGGCGTTAAATGCGACGCTGGGTCCGAGATAGAGCAGCCCGAAGCAGAGGTTGAAGATATAAGTTAGTAAAATAGCTTCAAGTGGAACATCCAATCCTTTATGGATGCGCCCAAAACTATATGAATATGTAAGCTAGAGGATGAGGGGGAAAGAGCCTAAAAATTACTCACAAGGAGGGGAATATCATGCCTTTATCTCGCGCCATCGCATAAAGTAGTCTACTGGAACTCGTGATGCAGGACATGGTTCCATTAATGAAGCATACGCCGAGCATGACCGTTAAAAACACAGATGCTCCACGATTATGTGTAGCTTGATATATCAATTCCGTGATTGGCATATTTGTCGCTGTGCCCAGCACAGTCTCCGGATCCGTTAGGGAGAACAGCATGACGATGATGAACACGGTCCCCGTCACTCCGCCAACCATGATGCTATACATTATTGCTCGAGGAGCATCCTCAGACGGACGAGGCATCTCCTCTGTCATATGTAAAGCAGCGTCGTAGCCTATTAGTGACAAGGCAGACTGTAGGAGACCAAGAATCCAAGATACTCCGTCGGACCATCCAGTCTCATTTTCGAAGCTTGTAAAGACAAAGTCACCATCGTTCTTATCTGAGGTGGCAAGGATCGTGATGCTTATCACGATGACCGCTGTAATTGACCAGTATACTGTTACGTTGATCAGCATCGACTCCACGTGAAACCAGCCCGACATTCTTACAGGCACCGTCGTTCCATCGACCAAGCAAACGATTGCCAAATACATTTACTAAAGTACCAAATGTGAGAATAGCAACAAATATCAGATAAGTCTTCCACTGCATGATTTCATAGCCTCCATTCGAGCCCATCACACCCGCAGCCGAAAAGAATTGAGCTGCGAAGAATCCTTCCGTGGTCACAAGAGTGAGCCAGCCAACAATGGCCGTCCAGCCTGTCCAGAAGCTTACAGACTTCTTCCAGCTATCTGTACAAAGAGCCTTGACTACGTCAGCGGCGAACAGTAGACCGAGCAAGAACGACTGACATAGATGAAGTGGTATTGTCCGCCGGCGGTTGGCCATATCGCCGCTAATTCTCCAAGGCTGGCTCCTAGGGCGAGGTTACAAAGGACGCAGAAGACAAATCCATAAACAAATGCAACAGAGCCGCCTGAAGGAAGTACGAGTCCTAAGCTCCCCGCAAGAGCAATCCATGTGCTGATTTTGTTAGTAGAACAATGAATTGATCAAGGAATTTTCTTACTTGAGTATGCCGAAAGTCATCCCAATCATTGTTACCATGCCCAAGCGAGGCTTTAGGTGACCTTCTTTGGGCAAATCCATGACTGTGTCCGAAGGCATTGTGAAACTTGAATGATGAAAGCTCAGCTCAGCGAGGGGGTTAATATATTATAGTGACCGAAGTGTCTTGGTATCACGACATGTCGGTTGAAGGTAAGCGAAGAAACATGATAAAAAGGTTCGGCTATCAGAATATCCGGGTTTTGCGGTCTCACGACACTATCGAGTCCATCGTTTGCACGAAGATAAGACCTCGAGAAGAGAAGCTAAGTCTTCGAAGGTCATTACCGACGGCGTTGCGCTTACGACGTGCTGATTGACTTCTGTCGAGTGCTCAGACTAATAGATCCTTCCTCATGCCAATTCTAATAATCGTCAGAGAGTCTTCTCCACATCGCGGAACAGTGTGAGCATCTGAGCCTCGTGCATAACTTTCTGACAACGAACCAAGCATCTAGATTCGCAAAGTATTACCCAAAGTCTTCCACCGTAAACTTTCTAGGGTGTCTCATAGAACAGATAATCAAGATAGGGAAAGAAGCCCTAGAAACGACGAGCTTAGTTGCCGTATAGTGCGTTACCCCTTGCATCATGAAAAGGAAGTAGAATGCGATCACCAATGACTGGGCAACACACTAAAGACTCTCGGCCAATCGTGGCGCGACTTGCTCGGTTGATCCTTGCCTAAGTCCCCACGAGGCTGACCATTGCAACACCAAATATCCGTTAGTGATGGACACATAAATGTCTAAGAACTGAACGATTGTAGCACACGCTGAGCAATGTCAGTTGCTGAATCTCACACACCTTCAGAGCTTGAGTCTGCATTCTCAATTATTTCCTCCCTACATTCCACTTCTCTGAAGCTCAACGAAATGAAAGTCCGTGTCGGTGCGGTTCAAGCTGAGCCTGTCTGGCTTGACCTGAATGGAAGCGTCGACAAAACAATAGACATCATCAAAGAAGGCGCAAAGGACGGAGTGCAGGTCTTGGGATTTCCAGAGGTCTGGATTCCTGGATATCCGTGGTTGGTCCGTCTGATTCTGTGGGGGGCGTTGGCTAACAAATTCAAGGGGAATATGGACAACCTCTGTGATCGGTGAGTATCATGGTTTGCTGGATTTCCTGGTCGCTAAGTCATCGAAGGAAATGTGGAGATGATCCACAAATACATGGCCAACAGCATGACTCGTGATAGTGAGCAAATGAAGCGAATACGACAAGCAGTACGAGAGGCTGGCATGTTCGTAGTGCTTGGTTATAGCGAACGGGATGGTGCGAGTCTGTATATGGGTCAGGCTTTCATCTCTCCTGAAGGAGAGATTGTGCATCACCGACGAAAAATCAAGCCTACCCACGTTGAACGAACACTTTGGGGCGACGGTCAGGCGGATTCGCTTAAATGCGTAGTTGATTCGCCATTTGGTCGAATCGGCGGTTTGAACTGCTGGGAGCATCTTCAACCGTATGTTTGACTTTTCGTGCACCACGCTGTGTCTCCTTGATTCTAACAACAATAGACTCCTACGATACTATGAATATGCCCAACGGGTGCAAATTCATGTCGCCAGTTGGCCAGCCGAGTTTGAGATGCCTGATCCAGCAAAACAACCCTGTCAGTCTTTCCTAAATCAAAATTGCCTTTGACTCTAACAATAATCTAGGGCTTTACCATGAGACGGGAGAAGCCAGCTCTCGTGCAAGTCAATTCATGGCGATTGAAGGGCAAACATTCGTGCTTGTTGCCAGTCAAGTCCTAACTGAGGAGAACCTCGAGAAGAACAACCTTCTTGGCAATCATGTTACCAAGACTGTAAGTTGCCCTATTTATGAATAACGATAAAACTGACCGTCACAGCCTGGGGGAGGCTTTTCAAATATTTTCGGCCCTGATGGTAAGGCTCTTTGCGAGCCGGTTGATCCAGGTTGGCAAGGAGTGCTTAAGGCAGATATCGACCTTCAAGACATCGACTATGCAAAGACATTCATAGATGTGACGGGTCACTACTCACGACCCGATCTTTTGAGTCTTTTAGTGAATCCAAAGGCTGCGAAGCAGGTTACCGAGATGACATAACTGATCTTGTCTTCATATGAAAGAAGGCATGTAATCCGATATGTCCACCAGATCTCTCCAATCAAGTGTATGATACCGTTTGTTTGGCTCGCATAGATCTACTTGCCGCCAAATAGCCTGAATAATTGACTCAATAACCTCAACGTTTCGTATTCTTCGCTGGTTATTCATGGCCTCCAATGTGAGCAGCACCTTGGCACGATGTTCATCTTGAGTGCACCAACTTGCCAAAATAAAAAGAGGCCACGGTGATGTGCAAAGCACCAGTTCGTCCAATATATGAAAGCAACCATCTATCAACGCTCCAATGTACGCGTCATGAGAGCGCCTGTTGATCATTACTTGCTCAAGGTAGAGCAAAGCAGCTAGTCTATAAAAATCGGCTGTAAGTGTGATGCGCTTAATGTTGAGGTTCCCAGCTGTAATCCCAGGCTGGATCTTGACTGTTTGCTGCAAACTCTGTAGCCTGCGTCGTATCAGCTCCGCAGTTTCGTTGTGTTCAGGTCTTGCTTCCAGTGGAACACTGCGTAATTCATTGATAAGGGAGATGTGTTTCAAAACTTCACGTGAGCAGCCAAGTAGGCCGATAATCTGGCGAAGTCAGTTTACCAACTAGGAGTTGATATGAAGTCAATACCTCTGTGTCTTTAGGATCTGTGACTTCTTCGATCGATGCGATGAGGCACGCTTCGGACCCAGTACCATGGACCAGGGTGTACTTTTGCAGCACATCGTGGTAAGCGAACCAATCTAAGAGAAAGGGCATATGCGAGTTCTTTATTCGCGTGTCGCGAGAACCTTGCAGAATCGTTCGAGCACCCTGCAGATGAATAGTCCAACTGTCATCCGACGCATCAAATACCTTATCATGAAGTCAGTAATAACAATAACTAAAGTCAACTCAGCTATCTTACACTATTGACACACAGCATCATGCACGCGGCAAGTTGAATAGCTTCGGAGCCTGTACCCGCATTTATCGATGCTGATAGTGCTTTGATTGCCGCAAGCTTGTTTTGAATAGCCAACTCATATCGTCCGAGATGAAAGGCTGAAAGGGCAATGGTTGCTTTAAGCAAGGCCTGACTGCTTAAATCCCTAGATGAGAGTGCAAGGGGAAGAAGTACGTTTCTGAAGCCGTTTCCTGCATCATCTATTGTTGTAATCATACGACTTATAACATCTTCATAATAAGATAATAGGGTCCCTTGAGATTCATCTGTCAATAACCCAAGCGTCAGATTTGGTGGCACGTCATAAGAAGTTATTTTGAGCAATTTCTTTGCGGATAATCTCGGCATTGAAATATCCCGGGACGTTGTGTTTAAGAAAGGAAGGCCTTCCTGAAGAGATATGTAATGCTCCGATGCGCTGCGACATTCTAGACTGCCAAAGGGAAGGCTCTTGCGTCTTCGATCATGGTTATCATCCGGCCACGACAACTTCAGTCCGTAGCCTTGACATATTCTGCTACTTCTTTGACAGTTATGACAATTGGGTAGAGTTCGGTCACATCCTATCTTGCGCTCTTGGTCATGTTAGCAAGACTGACAAGCGTGGTGTTTGGAGATAAGAAAGCACCTCGACAAGTGTGACAATTCTTGACGGCTTTCATGGCGATTCATTCGCATCGGGCAAGCTCTTCTCCGTGTTGCTACTCTCAATTTGCTTCGCTGAGTAATATGGCAGAATTCCCGTGGCCCTGATCAGCTGATATGAAAAAAAATGCTGCAACGACGTGCGAAATGCAATTTAGGATTATGTAGCATCAGCTTTATTGATCACAACGGGGCATAGAGCAATCAATGAAAGCAGCGTCTAGACCCAATTAGGTATGTGCACCCCATTCCCTAGACCCTTTTACTCCGGATATACGCTTTAGCTTCACTCTACTGATAACGAGTCGGAACTTAGTCAAAAATTTGTACCGAAAAAAAAAATCAGTTCCTATATATTTCTGTTGACTATTAGCTAGTTCATTTCGACTGGAAATGTCAAAAAAAAGAGCGAATACATACGACAGCACCGTATTCCCATGTGGTCACCCACCATAGTACTAATGGGCCGATCTGAGGCTTGTCTAGGGGTGAGCGGACGGGGACCCGAATTTTCGCTCAGTCTATGATCGTATGTGATTGGATAAAGTGTTTCTTTGATATCTTATAGTCTTTGCTATTGAGCCAAAGTGACTTTCTCGCAGGGTCTCACCTACCATTTGTCTCTGCCTACATTGTTCTCTTCCCATCTAAGCTCGGCTTCAGAAGCATTTGTATCGTTCAACCGAGAACGTAACAAAGGTCAGGTATCCTTGCTGTTATTGGGTCAGGGACAGTGGCGTTCTCCACAGCTCGGCTCTCGGCATGTAATGCATCTTATTGACTTGCATGCCCCAAGATATCATTCCTCTATTTGAATATCAATTTTCGCAATGCCAGAAAAGTGGGAAGAAATAGGAGCCAGGAAGCGTGCGGCTTTGCTCGCTTCTATTCCAAAGGAATGGATTATACCGGAGCATCTCATGCCTCCAGAGAACCAAGTGGACGTCACAATCTTTCCCAAAGAGTCTGGTTGGTTCACCGACCGGGAGCTTGAGATCACAGACTGTGATGCTACTCAACTGGTAAAGCATCTGGCAAGCGGTGAATGGAGCTCAGAAGAAGTGACAAAGGCGTTTTGCAAAAGAGCCAGTGCCGCTCATCAATTGGTAATTGATTGTAAATCCTCATGCCTGGTGCATTCAATTTTGACCATTGCAGACGAACTGTCTATCCGAAACTCTGTTTGAATCCGCTGTTGCCGCAGCTAAAGAATGCGATACATATCTCAAGCAACATAAAAAGCCAAAAGGCCCTCTGCATGGACTCCCAATCTCAATTAAGGACAATTTCAATGTTGAAGGCGTAGACACTACAGTGGGCTTCGCGAGCTGGGTAGGCGATCCAGCAAGTTACAATTCTACTCTTGTCGAGATCTTGAGGGAGCTGGGAGCAGTGCTCTACGTTAAAACAAATGTTCCGACAGCAATGATGATCGCGGAGAGTGTCAACAATGTTTTTGGCAGGACAGTAAATCCGCTCAACAGAAAGCTAACCTCCGGAGGCTCTTCCGGCGGCGAATCCGCGCTTATTGCCTTCAAGGGTAGTCCTCTCGGTGTTGGAACAGATATTGGTGGCTCCCTGCGCATTCCTGCTGCCTGCACGGGGATCTATACGTTGCGACCATCATTTGGTCGGTTTCCAACCCTTCGTGCGAGAAGTGGTCTTGCTGGGCAGGAAGCTGTTCAAAGCGTTAACGGACCTCTAGCACGAACTCTACAGGACATCGAGTTGTTCAGTCGAGCAGTTGTGGGTGCCGAGCCTTGGTATCATGACCCACGCTGCGTACCTCTACCTTGGCGCAACGTAGAACCGAAATCGAAACTGAGGCTTGGTGTAATGTCTCATGATGGCATAGTAAGACCGACACCGCCTGTAGCATTGGCGCTTGAGAATACTGTAGCGAAACTCAGAGCTGCCGGCCATGATGTTATAGATTGGGCTCCTGAAGGCCATAAGGAGATTCTCGATATACTTGCCAAATTCTTCGTAGCAGATGGAGGAACTAGTTTGCGGAAGATCCTTGCGCCAGTCAACGAACCATTTCGTCCCGAGATGAAGATGTATGAAACTGCGAAGGACGAAGGCGTATACGCATTATGGCAAGTCCATCTTGCACGTGTCGAGCAGCAAAAGAGGTACCTGGACAGGTGGAATGCTGCTGGAATTGACGCCATCATCTGTCAGTAACTGGAAAGACCTTTTACAGGATCGTTTAGTTCTAATCACGTTTGCAGGTCCAACTACGCCGTACGCATCCGTTGAACATGGCGACTTCAAATATGTTGGCTACACGGGCGTTTTTAACATCCTGGATTACTCTGCTGTCTCATTCCCGACCGGTTTCACAGCATCAATTGACCAGGAACCACATCCACCTGAAGCGTCACTAACAGAGCTCTGTCAAGATGTGCAACAGAGATGTGCGCTCTGCCCCTGTCTAAAATCTATGACCAATAGCTGACGAATATTTAGACAATCCTGAAGCAGTACGTGGAATGCCCGTAAGCTTGCAACTTGTAGCAAGGAGACTCGAGGAAGAAAAGGTTCTAGCAATGACTGCAACAATTCTCGAAGCTTTGGGACAAAACTGAAAACGTAGCAGATATTCAGATTCACAAAACAGTATCAAAGTCTCTTTCATTTGACTAATATCGCTGAATGCTCTATGGGGTATAATGCGGCAAATGAATAATCGTTCCAAGGTCATAACCTCATGCTTGTCGTGCTCTTAAATCACCCCACATTTGATCCACTACTTGAAAAACCGCTGTTACCGCCCTCGAAGTCTCCTCGTCCAGCTTGTTTGCACCAAAACGTTGCTGCATCTTGTCTGGATGCCATCGCACACGTTCAACTTTCAGGACGCCCATGAGATCCTCCTCTTTGGGCACTGCCTTCTGGAAGAAATCCTCCACTTCTGTTTTCTCAACATGTTTCCATTTCCCACTCTCCACTGGCCAGGGGATGATGCCTCGTGAACTTTTATCAGCTAACGAGCCTTCTTCTTTACTCTTTATTTCAAGTATATTCTTGAAGCTTTCCCAGCCAGTAACATAGCGCTGCCATGCATCCTGCCACCGCTTCTGAGCCTTTCTTTCTTCGCCTCTACGAAGACTAGCGTCTATTTCTTTCTCAAATGCACGTCGTTCTTTCCGTGCTTGTTCAGCTCTCTCCTCATTCTCCCAGAACCGGTCTTCCTCAGCCTTTCTCCGCTTACGTGCCTCCTCTCGCTTAGCACGCTCTTCAAGTACATGTTGATGAGTTTTCTCCCACATTCTCTCTCTTACGTACTCAGCGTACTCCTCGTCAGTCATCTGCTCAAGCTTGCCCTCTGGGCCCTGCTTTGTGTTTGGATAGATATGGATGGGCTGGCCGTAGACTCCTTCCCAAAATGCTGCACCTTCATCATCGGCCATAGCGTCAAATAGCGATTCTCGAAATGCCTCTTCAGGATCGATGTAATTGCTGGAACTCGCGTTGTTCGTAAATGTGTCGTCGTAGGCCGATTGATCATCGCTTAACGGCTCATGCAATTTCCTTTCCTTTGTTTTATGTCTACGAGATCTACGTGACTCTTTATCCTCCTCATGTCGTCGTTGCTTTGTCCCGCGACGTAGGTCATCTTCATCTCCATTTTGTCGCGATCTTTTCGCTTTCGATTTAAACTTGAACTTCGTACTGCGGGTTTGGTTGTGCAGTCCAGCTGATATATTATCCGTGCTCATTCTAGCTGAGAAAATAAGCAAAGATGATTGAAAAAGAGTGAAGGTCGTACTATAGGGTAATCCATGATGAGAAAAAGTAACTATTCACATATTCCGAAGTGGTTCACTAGTAATTGCTAGGAAGTTGCGCCACACTGAAGTCAGTGGCTGTGCAATGCTAGGAAACCTCGACTTTGGACTTTCACAGAAGACGTCCTAACTTCGCGCACAAACCAGGCAATGTCGTTAAAGATCGGCTTTGGTGCGTCAAACAAGAACAAGAAGCCATTGCAAAGCTCGAAGGCTTTATTTGGCGACGATGAGGAAGATGAACCAACACAGCAAGACAACACAGAGCAAGTTGGCGGACTTCCTCTTGACCAGCTTCAGCCATCCAAGAGATTGGATGACGCGGAGCTTCCTGGTAAACCTTCACTGAAAGCGAAATCAAAGCCAGGGCTACATACCTTGCAATACGGCGACTTGTCTGCTCAAAGGTCGAGTTTAAAAACGGTAGAATCTGCGCTTCAGGTCGACGCTGCCATCTATGATTATGATGCTGCTTTCGACGCCATCCACGCTAAAGACGCTGAACGTAAAGCCCAACGAAGGAAAGAGGCCGAAGAACGTCAATCGAGGTACATCGAAAACTTCATGGCCGCAGCTGAAACGCGTAAACAAGATTTAGCCCGTGCAAGGGACAAGCAACTCCAACGTGAACGCGAAGCTGAAGGGGACATGTACGCTGACAAGGAGAAGTTTGTAACAGAGGCATATAAGAAGCAACAGGAGCAACTTCGTAAAGCAGAGGAAGACGAGAAGAAGAAACAGGAAGAGGAAGAGAAAAAGAGGAAGGCTTTGGGTATGCAGGGGTTTTATAAGGCTGTGATGGATGAACAAGAGAGGCGGTATCAAGAAGCGATGCAAGCTGCGGAGGAAGTTACCAAGTCAGGCAAGAAAATCGAGGTTCCATTGGAGGAGGAAAAGACGGATGCACAGATTGCAGAGGAGCTTAAAGCGCAGGGAAAAAATGTGCTGCTCAATGACGAAGGCCAGATTGTCGACAAACGTGAGACGCTGTCTGCAGGTCTCAACTTCGTTGCCAAACCAAAGCCTGCGGGCACAGTCAAGACTCAGAATAGAGCACCCGTACAGCCGGCATGGCAGAACAAAGGCATTGGAAATCAAAAAGCCATGCGAGAGCGGCAGACGAGGATGATAGAAGAGCAACTAGCAGCAGCGGCAAAACGAGCAGCCGATGAAGAAGCGGAAGAGAGAAGAAGACTTGAGCACGCAAGTAAGAGTCGCAAAACGGCGGCCGAGGTGGGAAGTGCCAAAGAGAGGTACTTGGCAAGGAAGAAAGCGGCGGAAGAGGCGAAGAAGCAGCAGAATGATGCCAGCTGATTCGAGGTGCGACTCCGTTCACTACTGATACTCACTTCGCCCGGTTCAGATGCTATCCTGCATGCACCCCTTGGTCACGCCCAAGGCCACCAGCTCCAGTGAGAATGACTTGTCTGGTGGATTGTAAAATGCCAGCAGTGAGACACCGGCACTGAAGGTACGTCAGAACTTTTCACAGTCAGTCTGCATTTTTTGCGGGCATGTTAGGGATGGCGCTGTGTCCATTACAACATGATGCAACCGTATCAAAGACTGCCCAAGAGAAAACCAATTTGATCCTACGACGTTTACGTTATTGCCTTCTTGTCGTCTTTGGCTCTGCTGCATTTCTGGCTTTGCTGTGGCGATTGGATATTAACCAATGTCGACATTTGTACTACGCATTGAACCTCTAAACTGCTTAGTCAGGATTCTAGGGCTAACGTAATCAACCACCTAGTGGACCACACCACCTAGTGGACCACCGATCTCGCCTCCATCTCGTCTTCATCTTCAACAGCCAATGGCCACCGACGCACGCCAGGAATCGCTCTATCGAGCTGGCAGACTTGAGCTTGCTATTAAGGCCTATCGGCGAGGCGAATTCGAATCACCCTCGGCCGCCGCAAAGGCCTTCGACGTCGCTCGAAACACCCTCCTTCGCCGCCTCCGAAGCGTGCCTCCGCAACGCGGTTCCGACGCGATCAGCCGCGTTCTTAGCGGTAATGAGGAGGCTAGCCTAGTTGAATGGATTCTCTCAATGGATCGACGCGGTATGCCACCGCGTCAGGCTGTTATCCGGTAGATGGCAATGCTTTTGCTGAAGGAGCATGCAGCGGAGGCGGCACTCGGCAAGAACTGGGTATACAGGTTTATTAGCCGCCACCGCTCGATCAAGGCGGCGTATAATCAGAAGTATGACTACCAAAGAAGCGAATGCAAGAGCCCTGAGCTTCTTAAGGCCTGGTTTAAGAGTGTGGAGACAACGATAGCGGAGTACGGCATTAACAAGAACAATATATATAAACTTTGATGAAACCGGCTTCTAGATAGGCGTTATCAGTACTGCAAAGGTCGTCACCGGTGCCGATAGAGCTGGAAGGCCTAGGAGCACTCAGCCTGGGAACCGAGAGTGGGTAACAATCATTAAAACAATCGGAATACACGGTTCTGCAGCGCCACCGCTCGTTATCCTCAAGGTAGTAATGCACCAGAGGGCCTGGTACAAGAACGGCGCGCTCCTGCTCGATTGGATTGTCGCTGTTAGCGAGAACGGGTGGATAAATAATGTAATCGGCCTGCACTGGCTAGAGCACGTATTTGATAAGCATACTTGGTCTCGCACTCACGGCCGCTATCGCCTATTTATTCTTAATAGCTATGGCAGCCATATCTCGCCTGAATTCGACCGGTACTGCCTTGATAATAGCATTGTCGTCCTCTGTATGCCGGCGCATTCATCGCACCTGTTGCAGCCGCTCGATGTCGCCTGTTTCTCAGTGCTTAAGAGCGCCTATGGTAGGCTTATAGAGCAGAAGATGGGCCTCAGTGTTAACTACATTGATAAGCTCGACTTCCTACAGATATATCAGGTGGCGAGGGCGGAGGCGATCACCTCTAGGACTGCTAGTAGCGGCTTCGCTGCTACTGGGCTTATTCCCTTTAACCCAGATCGCGTACTTAGCCAGCTTTAATCACAGTTCCGAACACCAACTCCTCCGCTTCCACCAGTAGTTAACCTGGTAGTAGTGGCGGAGACACCGCATAATATACTACAGCTACAGGCTCAAACCGAGCTACTTAAAAGCTATCTTAAATATCACTCTCAGAGCCCGCTATCGCTATCTAATCGAGCGCTAGCGCAGTTAGTTAAAGGCTACGAGATGGCTATGTATAGTGTTGTTCTTCTAGCGAGCGAGAACAAGAGGCTCGCTGCCGAGAATGCTAGACAACAGCGGAAGCGAGCTCAGAAAAGGTCTTATCTAGCTAAAGGAGGCATATTTACAGCGGCAGAGGCGCTTGAATTGGCTAATCATCAGCAAAAGGAGTTAGCGGAGGCGGTTCAAGCTGAGGCATCTGAGCAGCGGAAACGAGCGCCACCGAGGTGCAGCTGGTGCTGCTCGCTCGAACACAAGATAATAAAGTGCCCTGACTATCAGGCTCATCAACTAGCTGTAAATAAGAACAATTAATTGACGCGGTAGCTTGCTGTTGAAGGCGAAGACGAGATGGAGGCGAGATCGGTGGTCCACTAGGTGGTGTGGTCCACTAGGTGGTTGATTACGTTAACTGATGGAAGATGAGAAACCCCAAGCCGGCACTTAGAAGGCACTTTGGAGAGGGTCCAACGTCTTTTGGCTCGTTTAAGAACGATATGTCGGGCCAATATTTTGCTCCTGCGGTTAGATAGAAAACACGTGATTCGCAAGAAAACAGAGACCAGACTCTGTGACGTAGCCCTTGTGACACTTGTGGTGGAATCTGCTCAATCATGATTCGATGGATGGGACGGAAGCAAAAAGCAAAACGTAACGCACATTACAATTTGAAAAGCCGTCGTAACTCCATGATCTCCTCACTGCTTCGAGCTTTTTATGACAAGTCGCCTGACTCACTCTCTGCCTGAGTGGTGGGCTGATGCAAGCGGAAGCGGGTCATTCCCCGAAAAGGTCTAGCGCAGCTTCCAGTCTCGAACCTTCCGATGCTCGCCGCCAGCGGTGTTCGTCTGTCGGCTTCATCATCCATCTGTGGCCCACCGCGGCCATCGAACCGGCAACCAACTGTCGTCAAAAAGTTCCAGCTCTTCATTAATAGCACTTCTTTTGTGCATTTGCTTTCCTTTTCTTATCTTTTGAGGCGGCTTTCCGCCAACCGCCTCACCATCATGGCTTTTGTCCAAGGGCCTGCGCTCCAGGTAAATAACCTCACGCCGCATTTTCAGCTCGCTAGGAGCACTAACGATGGGACAGAATGTCGCATCTGTAGCAGTCGATGTTTGGCCTTCGATTTCGGCTGCCTTTCAGACGCCGTGGCGAAGTGCACCAAAAGAATCTCCTACGCGTTCCAATTTCCGCAAGACTGTGAACATTTCTAATCGGATAGATGGCACCATGCGGAACGTAGGCATGCAAGGCAGAGCATATGCGACGGCTGCTACTGGATCGCAACCACTCGTGTCGTTACCAGACTGCCTGTCCGTTGTCTCTCGGTCACACCTCACACCGCAGTTTGCGCCTGAGGCCTTGCGAAGTGCGCCCTCAGTTTTTGGCATCTTTGGGGCACTAAACAGCGGGAGTCTCTCTCGATGCAGCCCGATCGCACGGCGTCTTCCTCCTTTCCAAATGCGAAGTCACTACTCGACGACGACAAAATTCGGCCCTCTGACTCTTCATTCTATGCCCCGTACAGCGCAGCTCGACGGCATTCAACGACGAAATATCGTGTCGTCCAACTCGTCCTATAATCTGCTTGCCCATATGGAGGCGACGGCAAACAACAATCCTGGTAGCGCTTCATCACAAAATGCGTTCTATTCAGCACTACTTCGCGCCGGTCGACCAGATCTAGTCGTTCAACGATATGAAACAGGTCGCTTCGCAAGCAATCCTGCCTGTGAAACACTGTACATACGTGCACTTGAAAGACTGGGACAAGGCCAAGAAGCGCAGAACACAAGCGCGAATAGCCAAATTCAAAACAATACAAGCATCGACAATGATCAGCTCAATGCTGTGACGCAAGCTGTCGCTGCTCGAGTTCGTGGTGGAAATGTTGCCATGGCCAAGTCCGGTTCTGGTGCAAAGGACAGTCCACTCTATGTTGTGGTTGATGAGTCTATGGGAAGTGCCTTGTTCCGCTGGATCAAGCTAATTCTGTGGTTTGGCTTCGCTTCCTGGGTTGTTTATATCATTACAACCATGATTTTCGAAGCTGGCGGCATGCTAAGACGAGTCGGCGGGCAAACACATTCGGAAGCCAAACCCGAGCTGCAGAAGACGAGGTTCAGCGATGTTCATGGCTGCGACGAGGCAAAAGAAGAACTGCAAGAGCTGGTCGAATTCTTGAAGGCACCAGAGAAATTTTCTTCTCTGGGTGGCAAATTACCAAAAGGTGTCTTGCTTACTGGTCCGCCTGGTACAGGAAAGACTTTGCTCGCCCGTGCAGTAGCTGGTGAGGCTGGTGTGCCGTTTTTCTACATGTCCGGGTCCGAGTTTGATGAAGTCTACGTTGGTGTTGGAGCGAAACGTGTTCGTGAGCTCTTCCAGGCCGCTCGTGCTAAGGCACCTGCCATTGTCTTCATTGATGAATTGGATGCGATTGGCGGCAAGCGCAATGAGCGTGATCATGCATATGCCAAACAGACTCTGAATCAGCTTCTTACAGATCTCGACGGTTTCGACCAGTCTGCTGGAGTTGTTTTCCTTGCTGCCACTAACTTTCCGGAACTTCTCGACAAGGCACTTACTCGACCTGGACGATTTGATAGACAAGTTGCGGTACCCTTACCGGACGTTCGTGGACGCGCCGCAATCTTGAAGCACCACATGCGAAACATGCAGATCGGTACTGACGTCGACTCGTCCGTTCTTGCACGTGGCACGCCAGGCTTCTCTGGTGCTGAGCTAGAAAACATTGTCAATCAAGCTGCTGTACATGCAAGCAAACGCAAAGCACAGAAGGTCCATATGGTTGATTTCGAGTGGGCTAAGGACAAGATTTTAATGGGTGCCGAGAGGCGCTCGGCCGTTATCCAAGAGAAAGACAAGATCATGACAGCCTACCACGAAGGTGGTCATGCTCTTGTAGCAATGTACAACAAGCACGCCGATCCTCTCTACAAGGCTACGATTATGCCCCGCGGGCACGCACTCGGTATCACGTTTCAACTTCCTGAACTTGACAAGGTCTCTCAGACTAAACGTGAATATCTTGCCAAGATCGATGTCTGCATGGGCGGTAAAGTAGCCGAGGAAATGCTATACGGAGAAGATGCAGTCACAAGCGGCGCGAGCAGCGATATTCAGCAGGCCACAAGTCTTGCCTACTCTATGGTCACGAGGTTTGGCATGTCAGATCGCCTTGGCAATGTCGATCTCGCATCAGACTATGCTCGTCTCCCCACCGAAACAAAGCAGATCATTTGGGAGGAAGTTCGTCGCATAATTGAAGAGTCTAAGAAGCGCGCAGAAGCACTGCTGAAGTCTCGAAGAAAGGAACTCGATCTGGTGGCGCACGCTCTTGTTGAGTATGAAACTTTGAGCAAGGAGGAGATGGAGAAGGTCGCAAGGGGGGAGAAGTTGGACAAAATGAAAGCAAGTGAAGGTGTTCCAATCAAGCTGCCTGAGTTAAGCAAGGGAAAGGGTATGCAGCCTGGTTCGACTCCGTCCCCGTTCCCGACTCCTCCAGATGAACCCAGTGGAACTCCACCTGTTGGAGGCTTGGGCGCCCCAGCTCCTGTTTCTAACGGGTCAAGTGAACCACCTAGGCCGTTTCCAGCCAGTGGCCACTAGCTCCCGCAAACAGGAAGCATCTCTCCTCTCGTTGATATCATGGAATGGCGCATTTCTCCTTCAATGGAACGGAAGGTTCTGAATTAGCACTTTGTCAAGCGAAGGAATTGTCTATCATGATATATCATTTTCATGGCTTTCTTTTGTAAAATTTAGGGCTGAGCAGTGTAAGCGAGAATGTAAAGCAACCGTTGTTCATTGTTTAAAAAAAATTACTATGGTTTTTCTCACGCCAAAAACATGCCTTGCCCTTGGTGAAACGTACAGAGTCGTAAAGACGGCTATGAGCAGACATGATAAATGACGTAGATCATATGAAGAGTCAACCTAAGCAATGCTGACTACATGAATCACAAGATTTGCGCATGGGTGGAGAACCGGAGAAGTGCACGACTCCGAAAAGCTGAATTGGCGGTCCTCCTATTGGCCAGCGAGATCGGAGCCGAGCTTCTGCCTCTTGCTCTCCTCTCTCGAAAAACTCTATGGAGAGAGCTCATTTCAACGTCCCTGTTACTTCGAAACAACGATCGAAAAGGGCAGAAAGGGTGTGAGTCAACATGAGCGGATAAGGATATCGCAATCGAAATTCAATTGGCATCACAATTACACGATATACGGAAGCATGGCATATCTCACTCGGCTCACAGGTCTCGTGAGACCAGCGGCGGCAGCGCGAAGTAATTGCTTGTATGATGTTGACGACCATATATCGAAAAGGTTGTGAGCGCAATGCTGATTTGCGTATTGTAGGAGAGCAAGCTTCAGCACCACTAGCCAACGTCGAAATGCGAGCGTCAAGGATGAAGCAGTCTTAAACAAGGTCAGCAGAAACATTACGCAGCCAAAGAGTCAAGGCGCATCGCAAGCCATGTTGTATGCCACTGGCTTGAAAGAGGAGGATATGAATAAGGCGCAGGTTGGCATTAGCAGCGTTTGGTACTCTGGCAATCCATGCAACATGCATTTGATGGACCTGAACAACATGGTCAAGGAAGGCGTAGCTAAGGCTGGTACGTGGCATGTTATACTTCAAAGTAGCTATGGGGTCTGACTTCACACAGGACTCATCCCGATGCAGTTCAATACTGTGGGCGTCTCAGATGCTATCTCGATGGGCACAAAGGGAATGCGTTATTCGCTCCAGTCGCGTGATCTGATTGCAGATAGCATTGAGACCGTCATGGGTGGGCAGTGGTATGATGCAAACATTTCCATTCCTGGATGTGACAAGAACATGCCGGGCGTAGTCATGGCCATGGGACGTGTGAATCGCCCGTCGATTATGGTGTATGGAGGTACTATACAGCCTGGCTGCGCGAAGACCCTCGGTAACCAGACGATCGACATCGTCTCAGCTTTCCAGTCTTATGGTCAATTCATCACAGGCGAGATCACTGAAGAGCAGAGATTCGACATCAATAGACATGCATGTCCTGGTGCTGGTGCATGTGGTGGCATGTATACCGCGAACACCATGGCAACAGCAATTGAGACCATCGGTCTCACGTTGCCTGGCTCATCTTCTAACCCTGCTGAGTCAAAGGCAAAACAAATCGAATGTCTTGCTGCAGGTGAAGCGATCAAAAACCTGCTCAAGGAAGACATTCGGCCGAAGGATATCATCACGCGGAAAGCGCTCGAAAATGCAATGGTTGTAACCATGGTTCTTGGAGGGTCAACAAATGCTGTGCTTCATCTGATCGCCATTGCGGATAGCGTTGGTATCCCTCTAACCATTGACGACTTCCAGGCCGTCAGCGACCGCACACCTTTCCTTGCCGACCTCAAACCATCTGGCAAATATGTCATGGCCGACGTCTTCGCTATGGGTGGAACTCCTTCCTTACTTAAGTTCTTAATCAAGGAGGGTGTCATTGACGGTTCTACTATGACCGTAACTGGCAAGACCATGAAAGAGAACGTGCAGAATGTACCAGATTTTCCTTCGGATCAGAAAATCATTCGTCCGTTTTCCGACCCCATCAAACCCACTGGTCACATCCAGATCCTTCGTGGGTCGCTGGCTCCTGGCGGATCCGTCGGCAAGATCACTGGAAAGGAGGGTACCCGGTTCAAAGGCAAGGCCAAGGTCTACGATGCTGAGGACCTATTCATTGAAGCTCTCGAGCGCGGTGAAATTAAAAAGGGAGAGAAAACTGTAGTCGTTATCCGCTATGAAGGGCCAAAGGGTGGACCAGGCATGCCAGAAATGCTAAAGCCATCATCGGCTATCATGGGTGCTGGTTTAGGACACGATTGTGCTCTCATCACTGACGGTCGCTTCTCTGGCGGCAGCCACGGCTTTTTGATTGGCCATATTGTCCCAGAAGCACAAGAAGGAGGCCCAATTGCGCTCGTTAAGGATGGTGACGAGATCGAAATAGATGCCGAGATCAGGGAGCTCAACCTTTTGATTAGCGACGCCGAAATGGAGAAGAGAAGGAAGGAATTCAAGGCACCACCACTCAAGTATTCAAAGGGAACCCTGTACAAGTATGCGCGAAATGTGGTGGATGCCAGCAGAGGGTGTATTACTGATGCACCTGAGCCTTAAGTGATTCTCGGAGCTGGGCAGCTTCATTGCGGAGTTAATGGGGAACGTTTAATTCTTGAACTAAATCATGTGGTAAAAAACGTTAGGTCAGAAAGTAGTTGATGCTGTTAAGCAATATGTTCAATTGTGAGCGGCCGACACAACCTTCACAGTGTCCAGCTCTTCAGCTCCTCCATTGTCCAGTCCCACAACCTTTTGGAAGCAGCCTTGTCTTCTAAAACTTTCGTCTTCCTGCCCGGAACACCAACAGGATAGTAATACTCACCATTTGTCAGCTTTTCCTTCTCCACAGTTGCGGCCCACAACGAATTATACGCGCCCTGCGCCGGGGTGAGGATTTCACCACTCTGTGTTATGTATGCAGAAAGCTTGATCACAGTTTTCTGGAGTGTGGACTGTGATTCGATCAGATGCGTGCGAACGACGCCAGGATGAACGGAGACCGAAGTGATGCCTGAATAATGCTCCGCAAGCTGCTGCGCGAAATATACATTGGCGAGCTTGGATTCACAATACAGAATTTGCGTGCCGCCCAGGACGGTACGGGACTTGCCGTCGGTCTTAAGCGCTCCGTAATCAATCCCGCGGGCCATCAACGCAGCTGACGAGCTCACCACCACTATGCGTGTATCCCTCGTTTTGGCGTTCTGCTCCAGAGTCGGGAGGAGGAGCTTTGTGAGGAGGGCGTGTCCGATGTGATTCGTGCCCATCTGAATTTCATACCCATCCGCTGTCTGCGCCGGGGGGACGGCCATGATGCCAGCGCTCAAGATCAGCACGTCAAGGCTGTTTGACTTGGAAAGAAAATCCTGTGCGGCCTTCTTCACGGACGCGAGGGAGGCAAGATCGCATGTGATAACAGTGACGGGCGTGTCTGGGGACCTCTTCTTCAACTCGGCTAATGTTTGCTCAGCCTTCGCCGTCGAGCGCGCCGTGAAGTAAAGATGGCTCGGCCCGTGTTGTGCAAGAGCAAGAACAGTTTCCTTTCCGATACCTTGATTCCCTGTGAACGGTGTCAGCTCATCGGTATGTGTGCTGCCCGTAGAGCAGACTTATCATACCTCCCGTCACCAGGATGATCTTGCCTGATAGATCGGGTATGTTTTTCTCCGGGTCGAAGCTTTTGATCGCGGGCATGACGAATTGCGGCTCTGGGGCGTCCGGTACGCTGATTGCGATCAAAGATACAAGACGGGGAGAAGGTGGATTAAATAGTCATGTCACCCATAACATCGCCCATCACGCGCGGTTCAATATGAATCCGTTTGATCGTTGGGCCGCCCAATTAGGTGAAACTTCTGGTGTTTGCCTGGTGGTAAGAAAACTCCGTTTTTGATCGAGGATAGTCTGTATCTGGTACATGCGGCGTACTGAAATTTCGCCTCATATGGATGTCACCATTCGTCTACTCCACGACCTGGCAGCAATTGCACAGGCGTATTCTTTCCATTTGCAAATCTGAGCTTTTCTTACTCCGATCTCAGACCCGATTTGTCTGCAGTTTTACCCTTTCAGAACTAATAATCACTTAAACCAACTTTCTCTGACAGTTCTGCGACTTCTTCAGTCCGGCTAGATCGTCACGAATCTTACCTTCGAGTCCTAACCAGTGGGCTCGTTGGTGCTATCGCCGAGTTAAATCAGACGATAAATTTCCGCCGGAATCTGTCCGCTGATTTCTATCTCTCCGGTCGTGTTTGGCACGTGACTGTACTCATGTCATTCAGCCTGTGCAAATTCAAGTGGAGTAACCATCATTCACCACGAACTGATTTCACTTTCCACAAGTTGCGATCGTAATCGACTTGCAGAATGCAGTTGCTTGAACAAAAGTACAAAAATCCAGTGAATAGAGTGTCATTTACCATCAGCAGCACAGGTCTGTTTTTTTAACCAAAAAAAAAAAACAAGTTGCACACATCGCAGCCGCTGTATAGTCGTGCAATGCAATAGTTATCACAAATTGCCAATCGCCACTTGCGCAACAGGAGGTTATTTGTGGTGGGATATATTAATGACATCGAGGAAATACGTCTATTTAGCTTCTTAATTTTCTTCCCACGAACTCTTCCAACAGGCTGTAATGTATCGCCATCCTCAGCCAAAGGGCACATCACCGTTCAAAGGAATTGTCAGCAACGATTGATCGGGCTTGGAGGAATGATACGGCATGCAGGGAACTACATGTGCAAGGGCAATCCGATCATGTGTTTTTGCTTGTCTGCATCGAAAAGATGACATTCACGACGGTCAAGCTATCAAGGGCTCTGCTCATTTCTCGCGAAGCCGAGCACACACTTTGAAATCGAGTCACTCCTTAATCTTGGACATCGTAGCTTGAAGGCAATGTACACGCGTCTAGTCGCAACCTCCGAAATTAATAACCTGAGCTTCTGATCATGTCAGATGATTGAAGTGCGATCATTGGGTTAGTAGGCGCCGCAATAGAACATGGGAGGGAAGGTGCATATACAAGGGTAACAGGATGCAGCAGAAGTTTGCATTTGATGCGACTATATACCGATTTGCCAGCTAAAAGTCCATGTAGAGAACAAGAGGCGGGCCACCCTTGATCAAGGGTTTGACCGTTGCCTTGAGCTCTCCATGTGCTGGGCAGTCGTTGTCGTAATATTTCATGTCGTCCAGGCTTGCGAACACGGTCCGGGCCGCCAATGTGTACCCTTGACTCCGTTCGTCCTCGTGGAGCTTGTATGCTTTCATCTGAAGGATGTAGGGTTTGCCATCCTGTTGGAGGGCGGTTAGCAAGCCAGGCGTAGTGGCATGAGACTAGCCAGCTTGCAGCGTACCTTTTGATTGTTCGCTTCGAGCTTCGCATAGGCGGCAAGAGCCTGGTCGAGGTCTGCAGCGTCGGGAATCTTGAAAAGAGTCAATCGCTGGATCTGCGGCATAGTGGTCGGCAGGTCTCGGTTCGAACACTAAGTGGGTGAATTCAAAGAACGACAGAGCAGCCAGCAACGATTGAACTCGACGGACGACTCAGCAGCAGATGATGGGCAGTAAGCTCATTTTCGTGCCCCAAATGCTCAGCCGACGACGATGGGGCGAAGTCGGACCCGAGCATGTCGTGCGGGGATGACCCCAACAGCATGCCGCAAGAAGAGCATGGACAGCTGTGCGCCTTATTGGGTGATTATATTAGCAGAAGACTTGTGGTAAGGCTGACAGGTTCAAGTAAGGCACCACCAGTTCGGTCGCCGTGGTTGTCAGCTGTGAATGGACAGGTCTCTCGGAAGGTTGCGTGCCACTGGGACGACCAAAAGACGATCGTAGTTGACGTCCAGCGTATCTTGATCTCGAGAGCCGTAGCGTTTACCCCAGTCTCTTGGACGCTCCCGCCGTGCAGTAGCCATCAATCAGTACCTTTGCTGGTTCGCTTCACCGCTATCTACTCGCCGCTGAGCCCTGACACGGCAGCACCAGCTGGTGGCTGTGGGTTTTGGCTGTATTCCAGGAAAAGCATGGTTTTTTTCGCCGTTGCGCCCTTAAAAACGGTTCCGGTACTCCCTGCTCGCATCAGTAGTCCACCACGCTGCCAGCTATCTTTTACGTGCTGCCATTACGCGCATCATGTGGGTAGCCCTTCGCCTTCCAAAGGTTTTCTCTCAAGTTCGGGGACGATGAACTTCCCGATTCGTAAAGACAGCTGCAGCTAAAGGATGCCCGCTTCATGCGAGTTTGCTGGCGAGAACCTCGTGCTGATGCTCGATGCAAAGAACTGAAACAACCAGGCTTTGATTTCCGGTGAGAAGCTGCAGTCCTACATTCGAGCCGATTCACTCTGTCGAATATCAGCCATGGGCGGCAAGAGACGCAAGCAGCTCCAGGGATCTCCGACTCGACTCGAGACTGCCTGGTGAGCTTCCCCATATTTTCAGGGAGCGGTTGATGCTCATGCATGCGATTTATAGCGTGAAGCCGTTGCAGTTTTGACCGCATCAGACTCGATGGCGTATCGATATGCGTTGCCAACGCATCATTGCAGAATTCCCGACCAGGGACTCGTACTACTAGGATCTGACTACCAGCCGCCATGCAGCGAACTTGCCCGCCCTCTACGATTATTTTGCAATATCATCTCTAGCCAAGCCCAAGGGGGCTCCTGCACAGTGCGGTGGTACGCTTTCGCAAACCATGCACGTCCGTCAAACGCGAGGTAGCGTGTCAACTTCCCCTCCACTCAACCTTGCTTCGAAGCGCCCCGACCGCCTTGAAATTGATCCTAATCTCGACAAACGTCGTGAAAGGTCGAATCTGACTGGCTCATTACAGATAGCCGCCGTGTTCGACGTCAGTCGGGGATGGCTTGCTTCCCATCATCTCAGAACGGAGCCGAGCAGAGAGCGCGCATCACCGCGGAACACTACTCCCACAAAACTTTTGCGATTTTCCGCCCGCTTTCTTGCAACTTGGTCGAAGCTCCGTCTGCACAATGTAGAGTCCGCAGGGCCTTTGACTGCCCTGTCAAGCATCTTTGATATCAACCCACAGCTGCCTGGCAGGCTCTCTGGGTTGGTATGTCGAATGATGTTTGATGGTCTATTCCACCTCGGATCTCGCCAAATCCAAAAGGACTGATCTTCTCAGCGATGTCCGCCGCGGCGCATGCGTTACACTAGCCTAGCTCCTACAGCGCGTCGCGGAAGCAGAGTTATTCTCTCATCGCCACGAGATTGTTACCTCTGCGGCCTTCAGCTGCTTCGATCGGCACCCGTGTTTTTACGTTGTGGGGAGCTTCCAAAGTAGCTCCCACTCTGGACCCTTCCGTCCACTGGCTCAAACATCGCCAACGCATCACCCAGGTCTTTTGCTCCAGAGCCTCAGTACCAGCTTGCATGTGTCCTTGAAGCGCTAAATAATTGTCATTGGCTTACCGCTGCGCCGGTCTTCCCTCGGTGCAGGTTTCAATGCTCCGCCATATCCATCGGCTGCAATTTAATCCATGTGTCCGCCGTTATTGCGGTTGCCATTCCCTTTTGTTCCTTTTGCAGACCACTCGACGTTTCTTATTTTTCATACTGTAACTGCTCTTTTCAGACTCGAGACAGCTGGCAATTCCTCTTTGGACAAAGATTGGAAAATTCTCCTAGAGGACATTTCTCTATTGCACGACAGCCTCCACGAGCAATCCGTCGCGCTCTCGCCTTTTCGTCGGCCTTTTTTGTGTGGCTAAATTGCTCACGCCACGAGACTTCCCATACGAATTTGGCCCTTTGCAGTCGCCTCTGCATCGTTACTGATCTTTATCTCTGCTATCTTCACATCATTGGCAAGATGTTCTATATCATGTATTTGACGAGTGAGTCCATCCACCCAATCGGAAAATCACAACATGAGATCGGCCAATGGTACGCTCGAGGAAGTAACTGCACGATGCTACTGGTCCTATGGCCTGGTAAAACTTTGTACGCCATTCGAGCAAAACGCATCGGGGTATCTCTTAAATGCCACGAGATCCTTGCCCGACTTGACTGCCGGTAATCTCGTACTGACGTCTTCAATCCCAGATCTATGCCACCGGAGACGGTGGGCGGACCCACTCTTTGAAACCCACCACACTCGACGGGGCTGGACCTGCCGCGTACGAGTTAACAACCGCGAATACACGTGCGATACTGCATATGCAAGTGAAGAGCTTGCCCGTGACAAAGCAGCAGAGTCCGCGTACATGATCTGCCGAAACTTTTCCGTCAACGACGGCATGTACCCCGGTCAGAAGCAAGGACAAGCTGGCGTCGTCCAAGGCTTACCAGTGGCAATTGGCACGGGTCGACGTAGTCGATACAAAAATGACTACGAAAGTACCAGCAGCTACAGCGGGAGCAGTAGTGGTGACAGCAGCCCTAGAACCAGTGACACCGAACTAGATACAACTGATGCCCGAAGGCCAAGTGCTTCGACAAACGCCGTTCCTGCAGAATCTGCAACCGTGTGCTACTGTCGAAGAGCATACGTCAGCCTACACGGTCGATGCGAGTACTGCGTGCGTGAAGCACAATGGTACTAGATACTTTACAGCCTTCCGCAAACAAGAATACCAAGACAATGACGATTACGAACATGACGACGAAACGACTTTTGCATTAACCTGTTCAGCCACGAATCTCATTATAGACTGCCAAAGCTATGGATCACTCCAGTTTCCACCTTAGCCATCCGAATAAACGAAAGGACGATTAACGGTGTTCATGATCACGATGACGAACCTTTCCTTTGCTTCTCCAGTTTCCGCGTCGACCCTAAGACGAATGCATGAATGGCTGTGGCAGCGATGCCTCGGCTAAAATGTTCTTATGATGCCACTGAATCTTTAGCATTTTCGCAAAATATCAACGATCTGTGCGCTCGAAGCATCTTGATCGCCAGCCAAGGAGCATCTGATGTTTCCTCCTTTGACTGGTTAATGACTGGTGGAGAAAATTTCCAGCGTTCAACGACATCAGCATGTGTCTGGCGGCTATTCTTTTGAGCGAATTGAAAACATCCCCGAAAATGAAAGGAAAAATGTTTCTTGAGCGTCAAAGGTTGCGGGTTTACATGATTTTTTTTTTTCTTTTTATTTTCCTTTCAAAATGGCTCTTCTTATCTCTATCTGGCGCGTATGCATGGCTGTGACACTTCGCGAGACAGAGTTTGAACCCTGGGGAATGATGATACTAATGTTCTCTTGTTTCGAGCAGACAGCGTATCCTTTTAACGATGAACTGTATTTACAAATGATCTGAGCACTTCAAAGGGTCTTTTATTCAAACTCGTGGTCTTAATCTTCCTTTGCTTGTCTTCGAATGTGCTTTTCCTTCACCCGATGTCTGTAACTTTATTTCTTGCTTGCTTACACTTGACTTGTCTGATCGACATAGAATGATCAAGTTAGCTGGCCGTGTATGGATTTGAGTAATTTTTCCCAAATAATGAAGATCAGTCATCAAATATTACAGAACTTGTCCGCCTTTCCCATATTCCATCCTAGTGACTATATGTTACGCTGATGCACTATTTTCAAAGCGGTTGGACTGTAAAATTGAGCGCCTCATCACTATGTCAATCTCGACGATTACTTTTTTGGTAGTGCAACCCATCCTTTGTTCGTCTTTTGCGCAGCTGGTACCAGAGGCTTGAGAGTGGGCTCTTGACGATACCTACCGTGGGCAAACGTAAGCGTTCATGCAAAGAGGCTTCCATCAGCGATTTCGCCTTGATGACTAGAGCGAGAATGTAAACTACATGAATATCAATGCTAGTCGGCTGTTCGGAATAAGCGCGAAGAGTCTGAGCCAGTTCATCCGGCTCGGAAAGCAGATTGACGTTGTTGTTGGTGAACTCGCCCCCAGAACTAGGATTAAAGGAAGTGTTTCCCTTTTTCCACAGACTACAATCATCCGCATGCGCAATACCTTACGTCATGTAGTTAATTCGATTATCATCATCATCATTGCATTGACTCCTCGTCGTTAAACTTTTAACTTACTCATGGATGTACTATATTGAGGATGTGATTAGGAGAGCGGCATCCGAAATATCAACGTGCAGCTTAGCTTTTGGGCTGGGTAACCATTTTAATTGTCATACGTTATCCTTTTTCCGTAGGTATAATTGCTGTTGTAGTGAAACTGCTGCACAAGAACGGGCAAATCTGAGCACAAGAGGCGTAGAATTCAGAATGCCCTAACTCGCTTCCCCCACCTGCGGCAACCAACATCTCAGTGGTTGGAAACGAGAGCTAGGCTGCGTCATGTGCATTGCCTCTCAACCTCCCGCGCGTCCAATACTGCAATTCCAATTCCCTCGTCGTTCAACCCGGTTCTGTCCATCGTACTGTGAAGAGTCAACATGTGGAATGACGAGGAAGACAATAACCCGTACGGCAGCTTAGAGGACGGACCCACATCGCCGAGCAGATGTATGGTTTAACTTTCAGGCAACTTTGAACATTGAGAACGAAAGCTTAGAGACATACGCAGTTTATAACCGACCCTCGACTCCACCCTCGGATCTTTCATCCCCTCATGATTCGCCAGAGTTCATATCGCACCCCCGAGATCAGCAGTCATTGAGTGATGTCGATGTTCATGAGAGTCGGCAATTTGAGCCTAAAAAGGGGGGCTATGACAGTCGCATCGAGCAGATCTTGTGTGAGAATCCGGACCTCGAAATATTAATTACCCACGCAGGACGGAACTCGGAAGGAGGAGGGAACTACATAGCGTACACAATCAGGACAGGCGTACGGAGACGTCATCAGCTGCCGAAGACAACAAGCTAATACGTGGAGTAGGACCTGGAAGTGCGGCGAAGATACTCAGACTTTGACAAGTTGCGCGACACACTTGTCAGATTGCATCCAACGCTTATCATCCCCCCAATACCGGAGAAGCATTCGGTCGCCGATTATGCTGCGAAGCCGACCAAGGCAAAGGAAGACCAGGGAATTATCGAGCTTCGAAAGCGTATGCTAGCCGTATTCTTGAATCGCTGCAGACGCATGAAGGATATCCGAGAAGATGGCGTATGGTGGCGATTCTTGGATCCAAACGCTAGTTGGGTACGCACAGTTATCAGAAGTCTTAGATCATCCATGCTAACATGATCACAGACTGAGGTCATGAACTCGAGTATAGTACAATCGATACCAAAGCAGATTCTGCGAGCGCCGCCCCTCGACGCGGCTAACCCCAAGCCTGGCCACGCATACCTTCCTATCCCGGCGCAGTCTGCGAAGCTAAGGTCGGTCTCGACTACCACACCATCTGGGACCCCCATATCTCCTCCTGGAAATGCTGGAATGCCATCTGCCGCATCCCACAGCGTCCCCGGTCCACAATTCGCACGTTTTCCACCTTCGTCACAGGATCTCTCCGAGGAACAACTCGATCCTTATTTTACGCAATTCGAAGCGTCTTCGAAGGAATTAGAGACACTACTTCAGGGATCAATGGAAAAGTCGAATAAGCGCCTGTTACTGCATTACTCGGGACTCGCAGAAGATCTAGCTGAACTAGGGGCACGATACAACAGCTTCTCGCTTTCGGAGCAGTCGCCGACGCTAGCAACCGCAATCGAGAAGACCGGTCAAGCGGTAGATCAGACATACATTGCCACAGCTGATTTCTCTGGACAGCTAAGCGCACAATTCGCTGAGCCGATGCGAGAAAGTGCGCAGTTTGCTGGTGTTGTAAGAAGCGTGTTGAGATACCGGATCTTAAAGCGCGTCCAAGAGCAAATGGCCATTGATGAGCTTGCAAAGAAGCGTGCTCTGCTTGCCAACCTCCGAGAGCAGGAAGAACAATCTGCACGCATGGGCGCAACATTAAGTCATTATTCGTCCACGTCCCCTACAAAATCACGAACACCACGCAGCAGTTCAGAGCAGTCGCGGAGGGAAGATGATGTAGCCTCCATAGACTCGGATTTTCCGCCTACGAGAGGAGATGCAAGTCCTCCAAGTGCAAGACAGGGCATCCCACACAATGAACCTTCAACCCCAACAAACAGCCACAAGAAGACAACTAGCGGTAACTTTACGAATAAAATATTTGGACGGGTTACACATGCGTTTCATGGGATGATAGACAGTGACCCTGTAAAGACGAGGCAAGACTTAATCGGGAAAACAAGTGAGCAGGTCAAGCAGGTAGGATTACCTCACGTCAGCGATCAGAGTTGCGCTAATGAACGGACAGTTGGAACAAGCCGTTGAAGTCTCACACGTCGATGTTAAGGATGCAAGTGCTGGAGTGCTTCGGGATCTTAAGAGATTTCAAGGCGAGAAGGAAGAAGATCTCAAGAGATATATGGTACGCCCATATTCCTCCCCTCTGCTCTCACGTACCTAACCTGTTTCAATCCAGATTGCTTTCGCCAAGTGCCACATTGAGTGGGCGCGCAGAAACCAAGCTAATTGGGAGGAAGCCAAGGCGGAGGTAGAGAACATTGAGATACCCGAAGTCGCCCAATAAAAACGCTGTAGCTACCTGCCTTGCTTCGTTTCAACACATAAAGTGCGCAAACGTGCACTCTTGTACCTATATCCACGGGTGTAGTTGTGCTAGACTATGCGTAATGAGGATGACTACGGGTTATAACTTTTGTTTATAGTCGCAACCAATTGTCTCCAGATTCACCGATCGATGACTGCGCGGGAACTAATGCAAGAGTCGAAGTCAACAAGTATTTCAAAATACAGTGGCAACGCTTGAATAATTTTAGTGTTAACACCACGGCTAACACATTCGCTAATGTTACATGTCTGTTCATTCTGGTCATATCAAAAGTCATTGCTATTGCTCTCGTGTCGAAGTGAAGGACTTTGTTCCAGGCCCATCAGGCTCATCAGCGTAAATGTATCCAACAACGGCTTTGCCTAGCTTTCTGGGGCCCCTCTTGACAGCATGACCGCAGGCGGCCGTGCTCCCAACGCTTCCAAGGCTGGCCATGCTTCGAACGCTCATCCTTTCACTTCGCTCCTCACGCTCTCGCATCGCTTTCCTCAGGTCCTCACACGCCACGCCAAGCCTCTGCTGGCCCAGTGCGAGATCGCGCACCATCTCCGCGTTGGACACGAGCGCCGCCGTCAAACGCTCCAGATTCGCAGCCTGGACGTGCTCCAGGCTCCGGAGCTGCAACGCATTCGCATCCATCAGCTTCTCGATCTTCGCCAGGTTCTGCTCCAAGCGTTCGAAATCCAGAGCCTTCTCGTTCCCGCCTGCGTCCGGCGACATCGCCGGTGCGGATTGACTCCTCTCGTGGCTCGGGCCAGCGAGCGGTGAGGAGGGCAACAAGATGCCGCTGTCCCGCTTGCTCGTCCTCCTCAACTGTCTGGCCATGACCTCCTTTTCGCGGGGACCCAGACTCTCCGCGAAGCTGCCCGCCCTGCTCGGTGCTCTTTCCTGATCCGGCGTCGCGGCCCTCACGTTCGAGTTGGCAGGCTGAACGAGGAACCCTCTCTCGTCCTGCAGCGGTATGATCTCTTGACCCTTTCCCATGGCACCGACGGCGTCTCCGATCTGGCTGTACATCCACTGCGTTCTCAGGTGCGCGAATGCTTGGTGCTTCCACGCGCGGCCGGGGATGTCGTCCCCCGTGAAGGAGAAGAACTGAGGGCCCTCCCGCGTGTTGGCAGCGGGCCCGCCAAAGTGCCGCTGGATCAGAGACCACCACTCCGCACAGACGCGCGCGGAGGCGAACGTGAGCAGGAAGCGCGAGAACCGTGGGTCGTCGGTCTGGCGTGGTATCAGCAAGAAAAAATCACTTCACGGGGAGAGGAACGCTGGTGAGTGACGTGCCCGTCGTGCGTACGCATAGAAGAGGTTCTGCGCCCATTCGCCGTCGCATTCGGACTTGGGCAACTCATCGCGGAACGCGGTGTGAGTGCTCGCAGCGTCATTGTCTGTCCAGCCGGCGGCGTTGAACCCATCCTTTGCAACACCACTATATTCAACTACGTCACCATGCTCTTCTTCCTTGCGATCTTCCTCCGCCGTCGGTTCCAATGTCGTCCGGGGGCTCGCCTCCATCTGAGCTCTAAAGACCACAGGACTGGATCTCGACCTTCTCAGACCAGAAAGGTGCCTCGAGGACCAGAATTGGCGACGTTTTCGCTTTTCTGGTGAAGATGTTGCGCCTTCAGCCACCATAATGATCTCGGAGGTGTTTGCTGCTGGGGTTGTTGCCAGGATATGGACCTGTTTGAGTGGACCATTACAGGGGACGGGAAAGCCAGCGCGACTGGCTCTGAACAAAGACAGCGGCAGAGAGAAGAACGGAAATGAGAGGAGATTATTGGCGAGGAAGCACCGAGAAAGAATGGGCGTGCGTCTATATTCGTGTCGCAAGGACGTGAAGCGGGACGCGTGCCTTGAGTTAAGGTCCTGGTGTTGAATGTGAAACGAAGATGCGCTGACACGACATGACGGGCATTGCCATTCACCCAAGCTGCAGGATGCCGAAATTCTAGACGAGCACAAAAATGCGATGATGATGATCACCTCGCTTACAGGAACGTGCCGGTTTGTGGTACACGATTCTGCTACGTTAATTCGTGGACTGAAAGATGGGAGGGGTAAGCAACGCGATTTCTCCACGTTTGACTACGCGCATCCTGCCCATTCATCAACTCGCTCAGCCACAGCGCACGCGCACGCTAAACATGTTGGATTGTGAGTACGTAAATGACGTCGTTATCGTTAAGCATGACGGACGAAACGACAGACTGTCTTGTTCCAAGAGGAGAAAAAAACCTACTCTCACATGTTCGTCGTCATTCCTCCTTCGCCATGTTCGTCAACAATCCTCCTTCGCGAAGGGATATCAAACTGGCCAACTCTACACCTACGCGGGCGGATGGCCCACCACGTGCCAGTCTAACCATGATTGTGATCTTTGCGATATTGTTTTCACTGTCTGTGGTCACTTAATCCCAGATACGCCGCGATCAGATGCCGTCCAGCGCCTTGCTCAAAAAAATAAAATCAAAAAGAAATATGTGTACGGGAAGAGTGGACCAAGTTGAATGCTGCGCGGTGGCTCTTTTGGAACGCTTTCTTAGCGAGAAGCAGAGTCACGAAGTCTTCGCTCCAGTTCGTCCGCGACACTCTGATTCTGCACTGTCTCGTAGCCTGGAGGTGGCTCAACAGGTGGTGAGAATGACTCCTGCGGACCACACTGTCCTGGAGCTTGAGGGGCCCCGTTGACGGTCGGCAAAGGCGGTGGTGACTGCAGATTATCTAGCATATCCCTTGGAGCTGTAGCTGCATCGTATGCCGGCAGCTCGTCGAGATGCACGGAGTCCAGGTTGACAGCGTCCAGCGCCCCACCTCCTCTGCCGGCATTGGACTCGCTGCCATCTCCCACCAGCTGCCCGCTCTCTCTGGCCACCTCGACTGCTTGATGAAGACGCTCCTTTATGCGCTCAAATGTAGTGTGGAAATCAAAAGCACCTCCATCCTTGAAGGTAAGCTTCAACTCAACGGCAGGGTGCTCAGGCGGTATGTTGCCACCGGGAACTGCCTGGACGATGCCTGTCCAGACATTTGGTCCGAAGAACGGAGCAGCGACGTGCGTGTCATGTAGGTTCAAAATGGGAGCGGTGAAGGACTGCAGCGCCGGCGTCGATACGCTCGGTAGATAAACTAGCTTTTGTAGTCGTCAGCCCGCAGAATCCCAGACAAGCACAGGCGTAGCATGCCGCATACTCTTCGATTCGTGAGATATGCCGTGCCAGCAGAGCTTTGCAGAGTGAACGGTTGCTTTCCGGGGAATTTGTTGACGCTTTGTATCGACAGGGCGGTACGCGAGGGTGACGTATACAGGCGCTGCTCGCCCGGCAGAGGAGTGAAGCCTCCGCCGTTGTCGTCGAGCATTACCCAGCTGTTGGCGAGCACACGATTTAGCTGCGCCTATTGCATATGGATGCAGGGACCGCACGCTAGGTGGTCCGGGGAAGGGGAGGAAAGACTTACTTGATGGACATGGTGGCGCCTTTCGTCGAGAAGGGCGATGTTGTCACTAGCTAGCGAGCAAAGTACAGTGCTTGGAGGACGGGAGACTTGTTGGATGAGCGGGAGATGACACGAAAAAAATCGTATGTCGTATCTGCTTTGGGGTCCGGGCAGGCTGCAGCTAATATCGCGGAGGATTGCTGCAGGTCACAGGCAAAACAGTGGTAACGTAGAATAGTTATTTTCGCGCTAGCGTCGCTTGCGATATATACACACAGACATACACAGACACGCACACACGCAGAGGCACAGCTCACCCGATCGGATGCCGAGAAGACGCAACAGATGACGGTCTAGAAGTGCGTCGGGCAGATCTTTGGCCGCGATTCGACACGCTCGCTCACCAACTGGCCGCGGGGTTGGGGCTCGGGAACGCTTGAGGTGGGGGTCTGCCCCTTCAGAACTTGCCGATTATGTAAGCGGCAGCCTTGCCGCTCGGCCTGCCTTGTGCTTGACGTCCACAGAGCATCCTGCCCCCGTGCAAGTGAAAACGATCAGATAGAAACTGCGCTCGTACTGGACCATGAAATCGGATCCAGCTGTCCTGGTGGGTGTTCTTTGGTATGCATCATATCCCCAACATGTCCCTCGCAAGTCTTCCACTGTCATCTCACTCGTGCGTCAAACTGCCGTCCTCCTGCTCCGCTTCTGCTTCCGCCTTCTGCTTCAGCCGCTCCTCTCGCGCCTTCTTTTTCTCAAGCAGCTTCTTCAGGTCTCTCGCCACGTTGAAGACCCCGTTCGTGCCCGCGCCGCAGGCCGCACAGTCCGGCTTCTTCCTATACCTCTGCAGCGCGCACGCCTCGCAGAAGTAGTGGCCGCACTTGGTGACGATGGGGCTCGTGTACGGTTTCTTGCATATGATGCACGCAAACGGGATCTTCTCTAGAAGCTCTGCGTCCTCTTCGTCCTCGTCTTTGTCCTGCGTGTTTTTGTACATAGATGCGACAATCGTGCCGCTCTGCTTCTTGCCCTTCGTCTGCTGCTCCCAGTCTCGATCCAGCGCCCAGCCCTGCTTGTAGTCCTCGCGAGCGTGCAAGAACTTGCAGCTGTCCCCAAAGCCGCAAAACCCAGTCGTCTTGTAGTCCTTGCAGACATCGGGTGCGAAGTCGGTCATCGTAATCGTGCGAATGTTGGTGGCCGCCTTCATGGGTCCGAATTTCCGGTCCGGCGCATCGGGGTTCTTCTTGATGAAGTCACTGTAGGCAGCAATGCCCTTGTATTTCCCGTCCAGCTCTTTGGGCTCGTTGGCGTCTTGCTGAGGCTTTGAACGAGTCTTCCCGAGCAGACTCTTTGAAGATAGATCGTCGCCTTTGCCCTCCTCGTACCAATTCGACTGCTTCGTCGCGTCGTTGCTGGACTCGATCGCCTTTGAGCGGTCCGCAGCATACTGAGTTGTTGTAGATAGGTCCTGCGTGCTGTTTGGCTTGCTCAAATTCGACGAGGCGACGACGGCCCCAATCTTTCGTCTCCGCTTGACTCTTCTTCCCGTGTCGTCCTCTGATGAATATTCCTCCGAATCTGAGGCCAGTGGCGGTGTCGCTGGACGCTTCCGCAAATTCGCGTTCTTGCTACGCTTCTTGAATGTCACGGCAGGCGCCGCAGCCTCGCTTTGTGCTTCCATGATATATGTGTCCTGGAGACGCTTCGAAATTCACATCCAAGCTGGGGCGAAACGCGAGCGCACAAGATGTGATGGCATTGATGATGAACTGTGGCTAGTGACGGAACGCCACAGAACGTTTGGCGGACGACGCTTACTCATCGTCTGTCTTCTCTTGAGATTCGCCGCCTCTGTGCTGAGCCACTGCATCACTGCATTCACCCATGCTCTAGCCGGCCGCGTTTACACTCGAAATCAAGAGCAAGTCTGAGATGGAATTCTCTTTCTAACGGACGTGCTCCTTTAGAGAACCATGTTGGCTCTCCACACTGTGTTTTTGGTGTTAACTTCACACCGCCAGAGCAGTTCTTGGTTACCTTAATCCACTTGATCTCTTATTGAAAGCCACACTGTCGACTCGATGCAGGCGTTGACGCCCCATCGCCTTGCTTCGAGGCCGCATAGAGTCAACTGCCACCACTTCACTGCAGGTCGAGGCTTCTACTGTCCAGCATGTATAATGTCGTGACGTCTCCTCACATCAGGTTATCATCTTCATTCCCCCAGCGTATCACCATAGTAAGGTTTTCAAGATGTATTGCTTCCCCTATCCCTCTTCGTCCGGCATCACCCCACTTCGAGTCCGTTATTGGGGAAGCTGCCCTTACTCGTTGACCGGTCCCTACACCTTTGATACATTTCTCGACTTCGCGCTCGGCGTGGAATTGCTTTCTAGGTTCTTTTCGCTTTCGAGTGTTCCATCCAACCGTAGACCCGAACTGAACGTCGTAGCAGCAGTACTGCAAGCCTGGCTCTTCTTTGGATTGGCCTGTGAAGCTTTAGGCCGCGATGTTGACCATAACGAGTTTGTAGAGTTAGGTGATGGTGCTGCACCCCAAGGCACGATCGATCTTCGCATGCCTATACGATTCTGGACTGAACTTCAAACACGATGGTGTGATCTACAAGCTCGACTGTCAGAGGCCGAGTTCGAGGGAAAAAAAAGCCATCTTATGCGATGCCTGGAACTGGCTGAAACAACCATGTGCAGACAAGACCTCAATGGCCAGAACATGGACGACGAGGACCTGGCACAGGTTCTGCTCTCTATACACATGCTGATGTATCTTATTAACAATGTATTCGAGTCATACACAGTCCTCCAGGTGACCCCAAGATCCAAAGCAACCCAGCTTCTCGTTCGAAGAATGGTCCAGAATGGCTGGTGCAGGAAACGACTGAACTTTGTTCAGACCACTCCGATGCTTTATCCGGGCCTTTATTACATGGCGTCATTTCTCCCGCCGCGAAGTGAGTATGAAGATCACAGCTCGTGCACCTCGATCAAGTGCTCTATCACAGGTAGACTTCTGGAACCGTTTCATCGCGATGAGAATTGCGCGTGTAAAGATATCCACGTGCCGCTGTGGCAGGTCGCCAGGATCGTCGCAGATGGTGGTATTCCCTTGGTAAAGATTGTGCGTTCGGGTGGCAGGGAATTGAAGCTTGAGGTTGTTCCATTCACGCGAACGAGCCGATTCACTGCCATCTCCCATGTCTGGGCCGACCGACAGTTTGGCTCGACGAAAAATGCCCTTCCGACTTGCCAAGTAGAGTACCTTGACTCTCTGCTTGCCTCACTTCCCAAGCAGGTTGAACATTGGGGCTGGAGCGATTGGTGTCATATCAGGTCTCCTTCAACCGACATGATCGAGCCGCCCAGCAGAGCCTACGACCTGTTCTGGATCGACACATTTTGCATTCCCCAGGATGCTGCACATATAGACCTCAAGCGTAAGGCTATTGATTCTATGAACCTCATATATGCTACTGCGAGTCAGACCGTCGTATTTGACAGAGGTCTACAGACACTTGATGTAGGGCAGCGGCCGGCGTCCCTCGCCCATGGGGGTCGGCCAAACTTCTATTCGCCAAACGACCATAAACTTCTAGACGCTCTTTCACATATCGTCGCCTCCAATTGGATGGGCAGAGCGTGGTAGGCCATGCGCATACTGTTAAAGATTTTGTTCTCTGATCATGGGTATGCAGGACTTTGCAAGAAGGCGTTTTGTCCGGGTCTCTCGTATTTCCCTTAGAAGGGTCGTTAGCTTACCTTCGACTCCTGTGGCCACACTTTGACGAAGGTCTCAACTCGTCGAACATGCCTCTGCTTAGCAAGGCAAGATACTGGTTTACTATCTTTTGGCGACTAGGTGATCCACATACGCCTGGAAACGGCGTCATGACTGGTTCTAACCCCTTCCCCTCGCACATCCGTGCTCAATTGTTTGAGTTCGTCAAATCTTCACTCAACGTCGACGAGCACAAGTCGTACATAAGAGGCGAGGTATCTCTAGGCAAGCCTTCAAGAAGTAGAGAACATGCTACTGACGAGAAGCAGGCTGATCGTGCGGCCCGGTTCATTAGCTCGCACAGCCTCCTGCAGTCGCGCAGCACGACGCAGGTCGAGGATCTTCCGTTGATCTTGATGAACATGTCTGGAATGAACGGAAATTCAGTGCCACGGTCCAAAAGCACAGACGGCCGCATGCAGCTCTTGTTCTACGGGCTTGGTACCCTCCCAGTCGAGTTGCTCTTTTCCGAGTGCGCCAGACCTCCGAATTGCGCCGTAGATTGTTGGATACCAAGGGAGATCGTACCAGAAAAGTTCTACGAAAAGCACAAGTTGAAGCTGACTCCCAAAGGGTTCGTGTTCGATAGCGAACCGGGGTGTAAGCCCCTTCAGTTTTACCTCCTTGCTCCCTTCTCGGTCCATCAGGACGGCTTCATCATATACGTGCCTTTCGAAGATGCAAAGATCAAATGCTTGGCGAAGCCTCGACCGTCCAAAAGCGATGCGGCACAATTCAATCCTGCGGTTGAGCGATGCGTTGTTCTTTCCGATGCGCCTTTCGATCGGCGCGGTGCTCTCTTTATCGTCAGTCGCACGGTTGACAACGACGTGTTTATGCATTTCGAATGTCCAATCCTGTGTTCAACCGCGGACGAGGCCGACGAAGACGACGTTATAGACAGGGCTCACGAGGCGATGCCCGTGGCCCGGCAAGCTGTGCCCGGTACAAACTTCATCATCGAGAAGAGCAACACGCCGCAAACCTTGCGCCTCGCTCGTCCTCAAAACCCGGAGCAGTACTCCGATCGTCTGATCGTCATCCAGCAGTTGATCTGCATGGCTTTGCTGTATTTTGAGAGGCGCCTCGTCAACGAGGAGTATCTGTCCAGCAGCTGGATCCGGTTGGCGCTCTGGGGCCTGTTCGTGCACATGCAATTCCGCTGGGTCGACGGAGCGCTTCACATGTTCGTCCATCACGCCTGGGTGAGGACGTACTCACCGACGTGGAACCCGGACGGCCGGTGGAGATGGTTCTGGAAGTTATCGAACTACGAGCCGCCCATCCCGTTCAGGACGATGATGAAGTTCTACTGTCAGGTCCTCTTCTTCACGTCGGCAGCTTTGGGATTTTGGAACGGGGTGGCGATGGTCACGACGTACTGGTGGCCTCTCTTCCCTAAAGATGAGCTGGGACACATGTACGTTACTGCGTCGTTGGCTAAACTCGTGAGCAGGCTCATGTTCTGAATAATTAAGATCGTGACGTTCAAGACGGGACCGTGATGGGGAGGAGAACCTTAGTGGTGACATCGAGGCAATCCGCACATCGTGGGAGAATAGACGTGGAATCTAAACGATGGCACCTTTATTCATTCTATCTTCTTCTCTCTTGCGCCTTTCCTCCTTCCTCTGCTCATGTTCCCTCCTCTTCTCCGCACTCTCCATCTTTCTCGCAGTTGCGCGCTTCTGCCGCCTGTCCTCCCTTCTCTCCCGATCTTCAAGCCTCATGCGCTTCTCTGTCTCGGCGCTCAGCAAAGCCCGCAGTTTCTCTTTGGAAACGACCCAGGGTCGGCAAAGCACCTCTCTCTTGAACCTGGCACACTCCTCCCATTCCGCGGCCTCCTCCGCGGTGCTGCGCAAGGTCCAGATTCTCTTCAGCTCCAGCTGGCGCACGTTTCTAAACTCGCTGATCGTGCATTTGACCTTGACCGCGGCGCCGATGGACAGCGGAACTCTGTTGACGAGCACGTCGTAGCGACCGGGAGCGACGACGACGTCGACATTGGCAACATTGGTGTTTGAAGAAAAGGAAGAAGAAGGGGAGGCGGCCGACGCAGAATCCAGGCGCGTGATTTTGACGACGATGAGGGATCCGCTGCCGTCGTCCAGCTCGAGAAGCGTGTACCTGTTCAGCTTGTCGTCGATCGAAACGACCAGGCCGGTCAAGCACACAAAGCGGATTGGGTGGTTCTGGTAGAAGTAGACATTCTGGCCTTTTCACGCGTGTCTCTCGTTAGCAACATCGTCCGTCATCACTCTCCAGCAGCTCGCCGAGATTGCGGGGGGGGGAAGGCGTTGTATCACCCTGGAAGCCAGCCTCTTCCCTCAAGCCATGAACGTCGACGGCCAAGAGCTTCACCCACGTGAACCACGTGGGTGACTCCTTGAACGCATATGCCGGATATATGGGGGCGGGTTCCTTGCTCATGTCATGGTGACCGAGCGTTCAGAATCCGTTGTGCGGGGCGCGGTTTGAGGCTTTTCTGTTGCTTTTCTCAGGCGACTCGAGATGGGGAAAAGAACACGGGGGGGAAACCGACGTGACCGCTGCGCTTGGACCTGTCACGCGTGGGCACGTGATGATGATCTTCCTCCGCTGCCTTGTTGCGGGAACGTCGAGACGATGGGACGTCGGCACTTGGAGTGCAATCAGGACCAGATGTCGCCAGATGTCATCTTTGTGCCGCGCATGTGATAACGTATGCAGTCGTACGTGCGAGCCATCGTCTTTGACTTCGTGTGTACGCTCCACAACAGGTGTGGCCTTCGAATGGCATTTGTCGAAACGTGCAGAAATACGTGAACCAGTGTGGAGATAAGAGGTTGACGCGGACATGTAAGCTAGCTCAACAGCTAATTCCTTTCGTGCGTTTGTGGTGCTAATGCCTACGTTGGATATTGGACTTGAGAACACGCGCACAGCCAAGAGGGCATTAAAATTCACGCATTCCCTGCTGCGTCTTCTTCATCCTTACTCTCCCTCATCCCCGCGACGCTGGAAGCGTCATTCTGCCTCCTTCTTTTGTCGTCTTCCCTTTTTCGTGCCCCAGCCTTCAGCTGCTCCCACTTGTCTCGATAGCGGCCCACGGTCGTCGTCAACCTCCTGTTTTCGCTCTCGATCTTGCTGTTCCGTGCCTCCAGCGCCTGCTTCTCCTCTCTCTCAGTCTTCAACAACGCCTCCAGCTGCCGTATGCGCTCTTCGTCAGCGCGACTGGCCATCTTCTCCAGAGTGGAAGGGTCGGTGCCCACGCTGGGCAGATCTGGGCGCTGCCGAACGGCGCGCATGCTCTGCTGCAAGGCCATCGACTGGGATTGGGAGGACATCTCCCACATTTGCAGACGTTTGGCCTGGGTGTCGAGAAGCTGTTTGAGCACCGTGATCTCGAGTTCTAGTTCTTCTGGCGTTTTTCCGCTTGCCGTTGGCAACGCAGAGTTTGGTCTTCGCCCATCGCGTGAGGTGACCGGAGACACGCCTTTTCTACCGCTGTTCCGTAGCGATATTGGCGACGGAGGACCCATGCTCTCTTTTGCATCGACAAACTCGTCGTCATCCTCGTTCATAGTTTCTGGCATGTTCGATCCTCGCACCCCGCTGACCATGCCCGCATAAGAGACGGTGCCGCCTGTTGGGGGAACTAGATAGAAGGATTCTTGCGGACCAAAGGAGGGACCGACGTTTTCACGTATGGCTTTTAAGGTAGCCGCGGAGTAGATCTTGGTCAAGTCCGGCTCGTCGGACGAGCTAGCTCGTACCTTGTCCTTTGCTTTGTCCTTTTCGCCCTTCTTTTGCTGCAACTGCTGCGACGGAGCATCATTTGTGTCCCGTTCTGGTGTAAGAGGGAGACCTGCGAAAGCGAGAGGTCCAGACAACTTCTCAAACAGGCCACCAAACGTGCTGTAAAAGCGCGAAAACGAGTCTTCGCTTGGCTTTTGAGGCTTTGCATCCGCAGCGGGAGCCCCGTCAGCGCGGTCTTCCGTTACTGTCGGCAGAGTCCGCGTGCTCTCTGGAGACCTCTGCCGGGTGCTGTTGTAACCTGGCCTCTCGATGTGACTCAGGATCCTGCCTCCTGCCTGCAGCGTGGACAGCTCTGGATTTGCCGGCAGGCCTCTGCGCTGCCTAGCCAGATTGTCCGCGATCGACGACGAGGTTTCTCTGTGTAGACGTCGAGTCCGCACAGGCGATGTCGAGGTTCGCGCGACGAGTTTCGGAACGTGCAGCTCCTTTTCCGCGGATTTGGCGGCTGCTAAGACCGGCGTCTTGTCCTTGCTCGCATCGCCATCCCTATCAGACGTAGAAGCTTGGGCGGCAGTCTTCGGAGGAGAAGAGTGCGACTTGATGATTTCGGCGAGCTGGCGGTGATGCTGTTCGAGCAAGTCAAGGATGCGAAGGGCTTCTGAGTCCTCCACGCCATATTTTGCCTTTGCAAAGTCCTGCGCAGCAAGTTCATGCTCTTCTCTTGCCCCGGTGAGGTTTGGGCTCTGCGAAAGCGCTGCGGCCTTGCGGGCATGGGCGTGCGCGTCAGTGAGAGGTGCGAGATCCATTAGGTATTTTTTTTCCCGTGTTTGCTGGGTATATCACAGACAGGATATCAGGCGTTGGCCCATTTTTCTTCAAGGGTTATTGTGTCTGCTCGCATTACTGTAGATAGTCGATGAGGTGTTGTTGCGGTAGTGAGTCAGCTTCCCATGGACGCCAACGATCAGCCATCCGATATCGTCACATGCGGGTTCGACGTCACCTCTGTTGACCGTGGAGACGGGCTGTCTGCAGCATTTCTACGTCTCAAGGTACATGGGCACTCAGCAAGCCAAAGCGCACCTGCACGACTGCCAGGCCTTGAGTGTCGCGGAGCGATGCAGAATGGTCCAGCGGTATGGATTGGCGACGGCTGGCGACGCCAGCACGCAGTCCGCTCAAGTGGTGGCAGAGGCCGAGGGCGGCTCGCACGTGAGGGTCGGGGCATCAGACTTGCGGCTGAGCAGCCGGGATGAGATCACCTCGACTGCAACTCGACGAAACATGGAGCAAGAAGGCCCTGTGTCGTCCTGTCCGCTTCAATGACGGCGTGAGCCCCCGACGAAAATCTTGCCTTCGCCATTCGCACACTGCAGCATTGGCTTGCCTTCGTGTCGGCCGCAGTCGGTCGTTTGTCTCTCGTCGTTGGCCACATTCACCGCTTCGGGCTCGCGACCCGCTGCGCCGTCCTCGCCCTCCCCGACCTCCGCGCGCCCGTCCGCCATGGCGACGGCCAGCGAGACCGACGTCAATGGCACAAGCAGCTGGAGTCGAACGAGTTTCTCCAAGTCGTTCAAGCGCAAGGGACGCAAGAACAAGGGCTCGGAGACGGGTTCGATCGCCAGCAGCGGCGGGGGTGGTCCTGGTGACGCTGCAAGTCCGCAGCTCGAGCCGTCGGCGTCGCGCCGCAACAGCAACGACTCGTCGCGCATGCTGTCCATCAAGCTAGGCAACAAGAAGAGGAGCAAAACCGGCCTGAGCCGGACAGGAAGCGAGAGCGGCGGCTCGGAGGCGCTGTCTCGAGCGACGGCGGACGAGGCGGCTGCGAACGAAGAGGATTCCAGCAACTACTACACGGAAGAGGACGAAGAAAGGTGAGCTACGTGTTTGTTTTCCGCAGAGCCACCAGCTACCCCATCTACTCTATCACAACCCTCCGATTGCAGCGCCCACAGATGCGCCGTTGGTGCTGTAGCTGCCTGACGTGTGTGCTGCCAACCGGGCTGATCGTCGCCCAGCACGGTCTGGGCCCACGCGCTGGGTGCGCACACGAGCTCGAGGCCCAGGTCGACTGCTGCAGCTCGGCCGGGCCTGCACCTCCTGCGTGTGCATCCGCAAAGAGCATCTCGCTCGCGCTCTCGCGTTGTCCCCCAACCATTGCAGTGCCCTCTGCCGCTTTGAAATTTTTAGTTTTTTTTTCTAACCAAGTTCTCGCCCGGCTTTTCCTTCTCTTACGTGCGTCTTCGGCAGAACTTGGCGTCTGTTCCGCCGAAAGTCGTCGACAACGGACGAGGGTTGCGCGTTCACTAACATCTCAGCCGCATCAGCTCCAGCATCGCTAAGCGACCCACCCTTTCGGCACGCAACTCGCACCTTGGCCATTTGGCATCGTCGTCGCCTCTGATTACGACTGAAACGCTAGATCCCTCGCCATTGTCTCACGTCGCCACCGCTCCGGTCTCCTCCGGTGCGAAGTCGAACTCACTCCAAGCGCCGTCCCCGAGCCAGCGACGAAGTCCTTCGCCGGTGGGGAGACTGAAAGAAGCTTTCAGCAGAAGTCGCCGGAATTCGACCGCTCCCGCTGCTGTTCCGGAGACCGCCGCCGCAGAAGACCAAGAGCAGAAGGACAGCGAGGAAACAATTCGACAGGATCGGGGGCGGGCTGGAACCGGCAGTCCTGGGCCTGTGTTCTTTAATGAGAAGGAGCTTGTACAGGAGCCTGGCGAAAAAACTCCCTCGCCAATCAAGACTAAGACGCCTCGGCCGCTTATCACGAAGCTGCCTTCAACTCCGCCAGGTTTTAATGGACCGTCGACCGTGGTAACTCCGCCTACTCCGACAGACAACCCCCTCGCGCGCAACTCTTCGACGCCCAGTGCCTCTGTAGGTGTCATAAAGGCTCCTGAGAGCGCTCACACAGCATCGCCCCCTCCAGACTCGAACGGTGTGCGAAAGCAAGGACTGCAGCACCGTCGCGTAAAGTCAGCAGGGCAGCCGAGCAAGCTCTCGAACACCATCACTGCCCCACTCACGCCCGCGATTGAAGAGGTCAAGACTCCCGGCGGGACGTTGACGACGCCGAACGTGGCTGGTGGCTTTTTCTCGTCTATGTTCTCTGCTGCCCAAAGCGCTGCCAACACGCTAACGAACACGATCACAGCTGGTGGTGGGCAGAAGACGAAGAGCGACACTGATCCGAAAGTAGGACGTACTGGAGGCGAAGAGGTCATACTACCTCCAGGAAGTGATCAAAAGCAGGACCCGCCTGCCGGTGAGCGCAAGCCGCTAGCCATTGAGACCTTGGGATCCGGCAATCTTAGTCTTAGTCATCTCGGCATATCAGAAAATTCAGATGTTAGCCCAATGAACTCAAGCGCGGAGTTGGTGTCTAGCCTCCGCCGCGATGAGGCAGCCGCGCGTGCCGAAGACGAGTCGGCCGCAAGAGCGGTGTCAATGGCGTACAGCGAAAAGACGAATGGCGACAGAACACACTCAGCAACACCCTCCGTTGTCGAGAGCACGGAGCACGCTTCCACTCCCGTCGCCGCGGAGCACGAGGGCAACAGCCTACGACGAGCAGGTAGTGTGCGCAGTCGACTCAGCGGCCGTAGACGAAGAACAAGAGGAAGTTCCGCAGCGACTGGGAATACGATGGCGCCTACGATCAGTGGACCTGGATCGATCATGCACAAGCTACCTGGCTTCTCCGTAGCCCCGCAAAAGCGTCAGCGCGACTTTCACAACCTCTTCCGTAGTGTACCGGAAGACGACTATCTCATTGAAGACTACAGTGCTGCATTGCAGCGTGACATCCTACTCCAGGGCCGGATGTACATCTCAGAGGGCCACATTTGCTTCTCTTCCAACATCCTAGGTTGGGTTACAAACCTAGTCATGAGCTTCGACGAGATCATCTCCGTAGAGAAAAAAGCTACGGCCATGATTTTCCAAAACGGTATCATTATCCAAACGCTCCAGGCGAAGAACACTTTCGCCAGCTTGTTGAACCGCGATACAACGTACGACCTAATCATCAGCATATGGAGGATCACGCACCCCAACCTGCGGAGCACGCTCAACGGGGCGCCAGTCGAGGGACCGGGAAGCGGAGATAAGACGGAGAAGGTTGGTACACCCATTGAGGAGGAGTCTGCGTCGGAAGAGGTCTACGATGAAGATGAAGAGGACGAGGACGATGCAGAAGAAGAGGCCCACGAGAGCTTCGTGGAGCCCAACGAAGGAAGCACTGGCATGAGCGAGGCCGGCGACACTACCAAGGCCGCCAAGCGGCTCTCCTCCAATCCAGCAGGCACACCCGTCACAAACGGATTAACGAAAACCGTTGACGCAGTTGAGTCCGTGCTCACCGGTGCGACAGCCACTCTCGACTTCCCCGGACCTGCAACCCACGCCCCAACTAGTTGTGGCGACAACAGCTCGCACCTGGAGAAAGTGCTTTTGGAGGACTCAATCCCCGCGCCTCTGGGAAAAGTCTACTCGCTCATGTTTGGCCCTGCTTCTGGCAGGTTCATGCGCAAGTGGTTGGTTGAGGACCAGAAATCCATGGACTTGCAGCTGGATGAGAATGCACTTTTAGACAACGAGCACAAGAGCATGACCTTTTCGTACATCAAGCCTCTGTCCGGGTCAATCGGTCCTAAGCAGACCAAGTGCATCATCAACCAGACGCTTGAGCAATTCGACCTCAATAAAGCCGTCACTGTGGCGTGCTCGACACAGAACCCGGACGTACCCAGCGGCAACATCTTCGTCGTCAAAACGCGATATTGCTTGTCGTGGGGACCGAATAACTCAACCAAGTTCTTGGCTACGTGCCAGATCGAGTGGTCAGGCAAGAGCTGGCTCAAGGGTCCGATTGAAAAAGGCGCAAACGACGGGCAATTGGCTTACCAGAAGGACATCGTGGCCGCCCTGAAAGCAGCCGTAGTGGCAAAGAGCACACTCAAGGCCGGTTCGAAAGGAAAGGGCAAGGGAAGCAAGCGAAAGAAAGACTCTGCCGATATCACAGGCGATTCGTCGACGCCGACCACGAGCGAGATCATCACCAAGCCCGCCGAGCCAAACTGGGGCCTCTTCGAACCTCTTCGAGGACCACTCTCTCCAGTCGCCAGCATGGTGCATCCCTCTTTTGTAGTTGCCTTCCTCATGTTCATGGTTTTCTTCCTCTGGTGGCGTCTCAGCGTCGCGGGTACCGGCGCACATGTCATCGGGTTGCCGCACGCACAACGCATAATTGCATACGAGGAGATGTGGCGGCATGAAGAGAGCGAGCTTTGGAAGTGGCTGGAGAACCGAGCAGGGCTTGACGGGTCCGTGCCTAGTTTTCTCAATGGCGGCGAGAACATCGAGCGTAAAAAGTGGCTTGAGAAGCAGCGGGTCAAGGAGATGAAGCGCAACCTGGATGGGGCCCCGGATCTGGAGGAGAAACAAATGAAAGAGGCAATCCGAGTTACAAGAGAGAGACTCCAGGCTTTGGAGAAGGCTGTTCTGGAACGAGAAGAGTATCCTGAGCAGAAACACGTCTTCTCGTGAGGGAGCAAAAATGATAATGTTTAAGCCATTTTTTTCTTTCAGTCTGGAAGAATATCCTAACACGGCGGTACACAGTCTTACAAGCACTCACGTTTCCTAGGCGAGCATATGCTCTCTCACCCTCCCTCCCTCTCTCTTTGTTGGATACACCTTTTTGTGAATAGACACCTAAACACACTAGGAATCGCTTGTACTAGTACTGAAGATAAGCGGAATGTGAAAGTGAAAGTGTCCTACGTGGGCCTGTGGGTTCGATTCCCTTTTCTCTTTTGTGGTTCACATTTACTTCTTGTGTCCAATTTTTTTTCCCTCTAATTTGAGCAACGTGCAGTGATGCCTCCCAACCGTCCACAACCACCACTACCTCCTAGAGAGGAAAACCTAGCCCAAGCGTCTGCGCAGACAATGCTACCACTACTAAAGGGGACAGTTCATGAGCAGCGAAACAGTGCCTTGGCTCTGGCTGCACAGTTACAGACCGGCTTGCACAAACGACTTCTGAGACCATGGTCTCCTCCATTTGCCCGACTCCGACAGCTACGACGAGGACTACACCACCTCCGTATGTAGATCACGGATATGCATCTGTGTTTGGAAATACGAGCACTTTGCACTTTCACAGCACTAATCAACAAGTCCATCATTTACTAGTTAATCCAGTTTACGCAATTTATTGCCTATGTTACAGCAGAACGATGCCACTTTGAGAAAAGCATCATCTCAGCCAATGAACCATGGTTTTTCCAAAATATTAGGCTCTCCCGCTGATTGATAACGAAATTAGGAACATCCAGGCAAGAGGAAGACAACTACCAGGACTCTGCCGATTGACTGTGATTCGCCTGGATTCGCTTCTACAAATAAGCATGATAAGACCGCAACTGTTCTCGTGGGTTTCATCAGTCTGCACACCGACATATCACCTCGACGGCCACGGTTCCGTGAAATAAGCCGCCATATACTTCTGCTAAATCCGGGACCGATTCGGTAGGTTTTGCTATTCAGAAAATGGACGTGCACATGGAGTCGATGCCATTGCATATGTTGCGTAACGTATACGTTTTGTGCGAGACTGACTGGTAAAGGTTACTGTCCTCATTGACACTTCCTCGCAGCAAGTTACAGTGGCTTCTAACGTCTGGATCGAATGCGATAGGTCAGAATTCCCCTACGCACAAATGGATGGTCCGACGGCGACATTTTATCCAAGGCGTCCCAAGCTCGATGCTCATTGACAACCCATACTTCATCACTGGAGTGCGCAGCAGAGGCATATACATCCACCGGGAAGTATGACAGCGATTGCAAAAAAAAAAAAAAAAAAAAAAAAAAAAAAAAAAAAAAAAAAACCGTCGTCATCCGAGTTCCGTTGTCTCATGCGCGCGAGACCACATGAAAAACGCTCAGGAATTCCTACAAGTGAGTTTATTCGCCAAATCTTTAACGACCACGACGCTAGTTCTCCAACGTCAAGTATAACGGTTGGGCAGCTGGGGGGCCCATCAATTGAATGCTTCGGCAACCATAACAACCGCGACAGTCCCGTATGCAAAGTCTGGATTCTGGATTCAATTCCCCAGGAACGGGACAGGACAGTGTGACAATTGTCATTGGAACTCCAAGTCCAACCCCCTCCTTCGACAGAAATCCCAACGACATTGCCCACCACGCAGCCAGGATACACATCTACAGGATAAGACGATACGCTTCATTTTGATCACGACATCTCAATTTAGCTTCTGGGATCTAGCCCTGGCAGGGACGAGATCGCCGTTGTGATTGGGACACCGGCGGCACACCCACGTACGGTGACTTCAGCCTTTACTCTGCCCTTCACCCTGTCAGGTGAGCAACTGATGTCTGTTCCTTGACCTCTTATAACATATTGAGCATTACGCACAATAGTTTATGTTGGAAACCCTATCCCCGAGAGCCATGTCGCGTTGAAAGGCATGCGAAGAAGGGTCAAAACATGGGAGGTCATTTGCCAGAGGCTGCTCGTGTTAGGTGCTTACAACAGCATGCAGGATATACTTACGCATTTACTGACACGACGGCTTCAACAGTCATCGTTGTCATCCGTAAACCCGGAAAAAGTCCAAGACCTGGAAAACCACAGAAAATGACCACTTTGACGACGATCTCCATCGATGAGCTACCTTATACTTCAACCATCGTGGAACTGATATAGTGGCCATCATTGTTGGAACACAATTTGCGGTAAAAACTGTAAGTCATAGTCTTCACGGATCATGCTGTCCGTGCGAGGAACCAGGACGTTAAAGAATACCAAGCTTTCTAGGGGATGGCCACGGAATGGGGCTTTCATTCTGGTAACACATGAAAGCGAGCCGACAACAATAGCACGCCAGGATAATCGTAGCTGACAGCATCCTAGTTGACTACAACTGTCACGACAAGCATTCAAGCAATCGCATCAGGTTACACCTCCACCGGAGAACCGAGTCCAACAACCGATCGGGCAACACTGACAAAAACGATTACTCTTGGTGTTCTAAGCACCACCAATACACAACCTTTCACCAGCTTGCGCTCGGCTACCCCTGGCTGTTCAACCGATGTTAGGTCTACGCCTCCATGCCAGACCGAGCCCCCCAAATGGCCCAAAAGGATCCATGGGTACCGTGCGGTGTTCTGAACCACAAGGGTAACGCCTTTCGTCTGCGGAACAAACGTCATATACGGTACCCAGTATTTCGGAAATCTTTTGAGTGCAACATGTTCCTCTCGGTAAGCTGGAAAGGCTTGTGTCTCCTGACGGTATTTGAATTGCTTACTAAGTCATACGGGATCAACCGATACAATACCGTTGCTCTACCTGGATCGATCCAAGGCTGCCCTGGTATACTTATGACCTGTCATCCTCAATTCAGTTGTCGTATTCCAAGGAGGCTGCAACGTTGCTGGATACGTCATGGATAAAGATCGCGACATGGACGCTCGGTCGCTCCAGGTTTCGTTAGCGACCTAGTAGGCAGTGCAACCATGAGCAATTGCACATGGACAGATTCGGGAGTGAGTTGGCTTGTCACACATCCAGTGGCTCTACTACACTTGACTGGTTGGATACGATCAGCAACCGGGTTATCGATACAGCGATATGTGCGAAAGTCCAGCTGTTGACGGAAAATCCGTAGATGGAGGATTCTCGGAGAGGTTCTGCACCACTTATGAAGTATTGTACCTTTTGCGTTGTGATGTCCGGGTAGCGTTTTGATTATCCGGGCCCAAGGAAAAAAAAAGTTTTCGCGTTGGGAGGCCATGTCATTAGTTCCCCCAGCTTAGGAATACGTCCCTTGTCTTTTTTACGTTTTGGTTTCCACTTTTGTAGCCGCCTGTATTGAACGGGCAGATTACGGATCCATGTAGCTTTGACTAAACTTATGAACGTCGGAACAGAGTCGAAAGTGTCTTGCGGTGAAAAGCAGTTGACTCACGCCCTCGACTCGCATCGTGTCGCCACGAGAGCCCGCGGAGATGCAAAGCTCGCCTCTGAGCATCGTCGACGCGGGCGAAGGGGTGATTTCAAAACAGCCTTCCCGAGTTGCCGAAAAAGACGGCCACTCACTTGAAGATCAGCCTGAACCACGGGTCGCGTCAAGAAGGGGAACGCGGCCTCAAAGCGCAGATAACCCGCGCCGACACTGTGGGAAGGGAGGGAGGAGAGGGTGAAGATATCGCGGGGCAGATAAGCGTGCAGAGAGTTAGCTCTGGCTCCTATAAGAGGGCGTCCAGCATCGCCGATCACTTGTGCTATCGAAGGAAACCATCTGAATCCGGCTTTTGCTTTTTCTCCGTCCTTTTTCGGTGGTGGTGCACCGAAACGTGACGTCGTGGGCCTCCCGAACCATTATCAATTTTTTTTTTTTGGGGAAAGGGAAATGGGGGGGGGGGGGGAAGTCCAGCCCTGATTCGTGGCGTGATATCGTTGCGGGTCGAGCTCGCGAATCAAAAGTCGTACGATCGGGCAGACGAAATCAGTTTCGGGCTAACTGGGTCACCCGGAGCAGTAAGGAGCCGTTGCTTGCCCCATTGCCCAAAAGAAAGGGACCCAGGTGAAGTTTACGTCGTTCAGATATGGACCTCACACCCATTTTCCGACTCGAGCACGCTGCTTTCTGGTTCTCCGTGGAGTTGCTCGTTGCTGCGCTTGGGGGAAAAAAAAATATTCGACGCATGCGCTGACTTTCGCTAGCCTGTTCTACCCGACGCGATCATGCCATGCTTGATCGATGCCGTCAAGTGCTTGGACGTGCTTATGGAATGTTCGGGCGCTAGGTGCTGAAATGATGCATATAAAAACGTGGTTTCACGGCAGCAGCAGCAGCAGCAGCAGCAGCTAGACTTAAGACATTGAATTGAGATACCCGCACGACTCCTAGAAAGAACCTTACAGTTTCTCACGATATCAGCGTCCTGCCCTCTTTTGCTGCACTTGGCTTATACCACCTAGACTACTTCTGTATACTCTTTACTGTCCTGCAACACCTTCATCATGCCTCTGACCCCCGAACAAAAGGCTCTGGTCAAAGCCACCGTGCCTATTCTGGAGAAATATGGAGAGACGATCACCGCCACCTTCTACAGGAATCTTCTTCGTGACAACCCCTCCTTCAGGAACATTTTCAACTCGGCGAATCAGGCACACATGGCGCAGCCCAAGGCGCTGGCGCACTCGGTGTACGCCTACGCAAAGCATATTGACGACCCTTCAGTGCTTGGTCCCACAATTGAGCTCATAGCCAACAAGCACGCGAGCTTGCTCGTCCGAGCAGAGCATTATCCGATCGTGGGGAAGTACCTGCTCGGGGCCATGGCAGAGGTTCTCGGCGATGCACTGACCCCTGACGTCGTGGATGCTTGGACAGTGGCATATGGCGAGCTTGCGGACGTCTTCATCAAAGTCGAACAGGATCTCTACAACCAGACGAACGGCTGGACCTACTGGAGGGAATTCAGGATCACGAAGAAGGTTGTCGAGAGCACCGAGATCACGAGTTTCTGGCTGGCGCCCGTGGACGGTCAGTCCCTACCAGAATTCAAGCCAGGTACGTATGGCACGCGTCCGTGCAACTCGAGGTTGTGCACTGTGCGGTCCTAAAACGGAAAATAATTGGGGTCCACAGGTCAATACGTTTCTGTCATGATCGATGTCCCCAGCCTGGGACACGCCCAGACACGACAATACTCGCTGAGCGACGCGCCGCTGGCGGACCACTGGCGCATCAGCGTCAAGAAGGAGGCCGGTTTGAACGCCAACGACCCTGCTTCTGCCACGGCGCCGGGTCTGGTCAGCACGCTGCTTCACGACACCAAAAACGAAGGGGATATAATCAAGCTCAGCCACCCCATGGGCAACTTTGTGCTCGACAGTCTCGATGCGACGGATGACAAACCGCTGGTTCTGATCTCAGGAGGCATTGGGCAGACCCCGTTGACGTCGATCCTCAACTCTCTGGTGTCACGGTCCGTCGAGCGACCGATCTCGTGGATCCACGCGGCGCGGGCTGCCGATGTCCGAGCCTTCGCGTCGGACATTGACAACATCGCGAAGACGAAGAAGAACGTTCGGGCCGTCTTTTTCGACGCAACGCCTCGGAATGGGGCCATGGGCGAGAACCTGGCGGCTCGCCAGGAGGGCAAGTTTGATCTCAGCAAAGTCGACAAGCAGGAGGAGTTGTTTCTGTCTCAGGACAAGACCGAATACTATGTGTGTGGGCCGACAGGGTTCATGCTGGAAGTCGAGCGCGCTTTGGTCCAGTACGGCGTGGACCCAGGTAGGATTCACATGGAGTTGTTTGGGGTTGGAGGTGTCCCTCGAGTGACTGCCTAGAACTGGAACGGACGCCGCGACGTTTGCCTTTATTTTGCCTTCGTCTTCCTTGATCAGTATAGCGACGGCCGATTCTTAACAACGCCGGGTCAACGAGGTGACCGCAGGTACTGTAGTATAGATTAGTATAGCCTTCTTCTTCCTCGCTCCTCATGAACGAATGTAACGATGCGTGTGCAACTTCTACGTGCCAAGACTCGTGCGCAAAAATTGGTTCTTAAGATGAAGGCGTAAAAAAAATTTTTTAAAAAAAAATAAAAAAAAAAATAAGGACTGGAAGCCGACGGCTTCCGACCGTGGTTTCTGGCATCACGGACTTTGATCGCCGCAAATCACACCGTGCGTTGCCGCGCTGCGATGACAGCTGACGGACTTGAAGGTTTGACGGTGAAGCATGTGCTGGAGGCTGCATGGCCTCGATAGGGCATATGCGCCGTTTTGAAGCAGCCGCAAGAGGAAGGTCTCGCAAGGACGATTTCTGCGGCATGCGCAGAACCAAAAGCTGGCTCGGTCACTTGTCAGCCACGATCGAACGGAGAGACGGCCATCTGCTGCCGTGGCAGCTCGAGCGGGAGATTGACTTTCCCAGTTCCCCGGATGCTCATCAGACAGCAAAGCAAAGGCACATGACAAGGCTGAGAACGTGCCGTGGGAAGCGGAAGGGTGTCCGCTCGAGCGGTTGAGCGGGTCCGGCAACGAGGTGTGCCCTTGCAGCACGCTCGCATTCAGCCGGCATCGAGGCCCGAGGCAAACCGGGCGACGGAATGATGACTTGCCAGCTACGTTTCCCGACTGGTCTCGCTGTTGCAAAGAGCTACGTAAGAGCGAAAATGCCTTCGCTGCCGGACGGGATCCGCTCGCAGTCGCCCGGGGGGGTGGGCCCCTTTGTTGCTGGAGCAAGGCCGAATTCTGTCCGTTGCTGGAACGGGGATCGAAAAAAACACGGCTTCGTCGCCATCCACGCTGGAAAGAAAAATGACCCACACGCTTTGCTCGAAATCGAGGCGATCTCGAAAGGGAAAACTTCGAGAAGGCTTCTCGAAAAGAAAACGTGTCCAAGGCCTGCCATGTAGGGCACGGTTCAACGGGTAGACATGCTTTAGATTACTGACATTGCGATAATCAGCCTCTGCATGCCAAGACCGTATCAGATTCCTCGCTGCCATTGTCCAGGGGTGAGATGGTCGCACTCTGAAACGTGCGGCGTGTCCCAAGACAAGAGAGATGTACGACTCGTTCAAAGTCGTCTTGCACACAAAAAGCTACATTTGTAATTCAAATGTCACGCCGGCGTAACCAGTCCCAATACCGATTTCACTGGCCGCGTTGCAGAGGTGGTTTGGCTCGTCTTCAACGCAGATGTGACACTGTTTCGTCCGTCGCAGTAAAGAACGTTCGCCATGGGGAGAGGCAGTTCAAGTTCTTTTTTTCTTCGATTTGAGCTCTTTCCTGCCCGTCGTGGTTCTCTATCCACGGCGTTGGCGATGTGAAACGGTCTTTGCTCGACCAGATCTCATCCGCCCGCTTCCATGATCCTTCGAGAAGCCGTTAAAGCGACTGTTGTGGCTTGGTCTGAGTTGGAACGCCATCCGCCAGGTCTGACCACCCTGCAACCCGGTCATGCTTTGAAGATTCAGCGCCTGGCGGGCTCTTCGTCTCGCCAATAGAACGCTGCACGGAGCCCGTTCATCTTCGCGCCAGCCCAGACAAAATGGTGCCAGCGGCTGTGGAAGGTTGCACCCAGATCTCGACCGAGCTGTACGTCGAGGGAGACGGTCGAAATCACCGATTCGATCGTGATCTTTCCTCCCCACACTCCCTCGTGTAGACTTGCTCGACGCTTTTGCACGCCTTTCTCAGAAGTTTGGTTGATTGTGATGAGAAAAACGGTGCCATGCGTTTGTGACCAGTCGACTCCGCCTCGACCGGGGAGGCGCGCAGTTTGCCAACGACAGAGAAATGCACGAATAATGCGCAAAATTACGCTTGAGAAATGAAGGCAGGGTACGGCGACTGCAAGCATTAACGAGATGTGGCTTGCCCTTGAAAGCGCATGACTTTCTGTTCGCGGCATCCACCTTCGCATGCATGATTTTGGGCGGCGCCCAAATGATGCAATGAGTACCAGGAGTGGAGATTTGAGGTTCCACGAACAACACGTCGCGAGCAGCAAGCGCCAAAGAAGAACGAAACAAAACAAAAGAAAAAGAAAGCCCTGCATCCGTTCATCACGCACGACGAGAAGCGGTTTGCTTTCCATCTTTGCGGGGTGCCGGATGCGCGGTGGGATCACAAGTGCAGCCATGGCTTTTGCAAAAAAGGGTGACAGCGAGCAGCGCGACACACACAGCGAGACTGTTCAACGTAGGAGGGCATGAGACTCCTGAACATGGGGCTCTCGTATAGTGCTGGAGCTTGCCGAATCCTTCAGAGGCTGTAACCAGGCGGCCGATTGGATGACGTGGAGGAGCTCGAAACTCGGGATGCCGTCTGGGCTGGCCTGCAGTGTAGTTTTGGGGTTCGCGATTGGAGAGCTGGTGTGGTTTTGCAGATGGCGCGCATCGCCGTGCACCCTGGGAAAGCCACTAGAAGCGGTAGAAGGTCTATAGAAGCGTCCTTGCGTGACGCCTCTCCCTCAAGGCGTTGGACCAGGGTTTCGAGATGCGTATGTGTGTGCAAGTGTGGGTGCGCGGGCGTGGATGTGAACGCATGAGAGAACGGCTTGCATTGACCCCATTTCGCTACAAGGGCAGCGCTAGGCATGGGTTCTTGGTTGAGAAAAGGCAGTCTGACGTTCGCGCTCGCTAATACGGGTCTGTCAGCGAATGTCTGATTGCTGCAAGCTGGGCGCCCCGTCGAAGCACACTTCAGAGCAAGTTGTGAGAGAAAAAGAGAGTGGAGCGAAATGACCAAGCCGATCGTAGGGTTATCGTGTCCTTGAATTTCCCGCCCATTCCCACGCCGCAACCAGCAAGCCACCGGCCGGCGAGCTTGGGCACCGGATGATAGTGCTTTTCTTTTTTGATGCGCTCGACGAATGTGTACGCTGAGGCGGAGGGGCTTGCTGTCCAAGGTTGGCTGGTCTAAGAGTACATATTGGACTCTTCTCTCTGAACCGTGATTGTCACAAGCTTGCGATTTGCATCGTAGTCATCCTACATCTCTGCTGAACACGGGGCACCTTTGTGTGATTTCCTCTCTCTCGGTTCCGTTGCTGCTCGCTTTTGAAAAGACGAGGCACAGTCCATATACTCGATCCAACCACAAAGGCGGTAATACTCGGCCCATACAACCATTCGTAATACTCCTAATACGCGGACGTCGTCCAGAACACAAGCATCCGTCACGAATCTACTCACGGCGACATTCAACCAAGCTACGACGAAGGAGCACCTCAGCGAGGGCTTGTCACGAATCCACGTTCACCATCAAACCACAGCCAGCTCAGCAATCCTCCTCAATCAAAGCGTCGCCGCCTGGCTGCCGTAATCTGCTGACGCACATCCGCCCCTTTTACCGTCAGGAGCCGAGCGTGTCTCCTGTGTTGGTCCAAGCTGCTATATCAGGCAGCAAACGCGAGTCCCGCACGGAACGGCCTGTCTTCATATTTTGAGGCGGTGCAAAAGTCAAGCACGACAAACCAGCATTTTGGTTTCGTTTCTTGGCAAAAGTGCTGAAACGGGAGTCCGACACAAGCGTCGAAGAGCCGCGTGGGATCGCACGCCGCTGATTGGCCACGCCTCGCGTTCTGGAAAGGAAACAAAACGTCTTGCTGTCGCCAGGGCGTCGAGAAAAGGAAAATCCTGCCGTTTCAAGTGGGTAATATTAATATTATTTTTGGAGCTTCGCCTGCAAAAGAGAGGGAGAGGGTCAGAGGGATACAGAGTTGGAACAGAAATTCGAGGCAGGTCTCCTGGACTTTTTACGAAGAAAGGGCGGCGTGCAAGGCAGAGTGAAAAAAAAAGATCTCGCCCCGTTCCCTAATTGATCAAACGACACTGGAACTCGGACCGGCTCTGGCTGAAGCCGACAGACTGGTGACGGCACATCGCACACGTATCTGAGCACTTGAGATCTTGGGTGCGTGTGAACGAGTGGCGCAGAGAAGAAGAGAAAGGCCGAAATATCCTGCTGAGGGACACTCAAGAAAGCACTTTCAGCTGCCGCAACGGGCATAACGTGCATCGACCTCCCCGAACATCGTCGAGGTCGTCATCGTCGTCATCGGTACCACTGCGCCCACCGTCGCTGAACAGACGCATCGCTGGGTGAGCCGTTCGTTCGGACCAAGAAAGGGAAGTGGTAGCAGAGGCATCAGCAGCAGCAGCAGCAGAAGAAGAAGAAGAAGAAGAAGAAGAAGAAGAAGAAGAAGAAGAAGAAGAAGAAGGAGAAGGAGAAGGAAGCAGGATCAAGACGTACTTGGATTCGCTGTTGCTGGCACTGCTCAGCAAGGCGATCGTCATCACCGGCAGCGTCATCCTCGGCATCCTCCTCACCACCGCCGCCCCTGTCACGGCCTTTTTGTCGGCGGCGGCGCTCGACAACAGCAGGACGTCTTCCTGCTCGACACGGCCAGCTGGACTCGCGGCCGAACATCGTTACGGCGGTCAGGCCGGTCGTGCATCCACAGTGCGTCGCTCTTCCTGTCGGGTTGCAGGGGATTCCCAGGCTCCGGCCAAGGCGGGTAAGGATTGGTCTGCTGCCGAACTGCGCTAGTCCCACACAGGAAAGGACGAATCAACCAGCGCCAAAAGGGCCTCGAGCGAGGGAAAGTGCTCACCACCGCATCTGCGTCTCTCTCGATTTCTTCGCCGCCGACCTCGACTTCATCACTCTCCTTTCTCCATTTCGCTTTGCCAACTTCTCTGGCTTCCCCAGCAAGTCGCTCCCTCTTGCTCAATGTGAGTATTCCTTCCCTGCCTTTATTCGCTCCCTTTGACCCCCATCCGCCCGTGTCTTCTCGCGTCAGCTCGCGATCGAACACACTGTCCTCTCCTTTTCCCTCGCACATGCACCACCACTGTCGGCCGCTTCGCCCTGGCCATCCATCTTCTTCCGTCTCGCATCGCGCCCTCGCATCTCGTCGTCCTGCTTGCCGTCTGTTCCTCGACTGACTTTCCCTCTCGATAGTGTTGCTTGCTTGCACGCAGCTTTGACCTGCCAGCGGCCCGACCCTCCACCCAAAAGAAACCCGTTCGTCCTCAACCCTTGTCGGCGAGTCTTATCCGGCGTCGAATACACCCCGTACGGCATTCACAGCTTGCCGCACGCACACTTGCTGCACGTCCTGCTCGACGCCATAGACCTCTGCCAGGCTCCTCTCTCGCACATACACAACACGTGTCGCCCGTGTACATGCATCTACTCGAAACCAACCTGGCCAACACGGTGCGCCTTCTTCCCTCCCAGCACCAGCTTCACCACTGGTCTTCCTCTCGTTCATCAACGCCTTCGTCCGACATCTTGGACGGCGTTGCGTCCTCGTTCACTCGCAAAATGGAATTAGGGAACATCCTCAATACTAAGATGCCTTCAAAAGCTTTAGCAGGTACCTCGCTCACCTACGACATGAATCACGCCATGCAGCACCAGGCTCATCCCCAAGCCGCTTATCCTCCCCCTTATCTCAACGGCGCCATCAAGTCTGAAACCAACTCAGAACGAGGCGTATCGCCGCATCCGTCCGACAACCGCTTTCCGGCTCAACCGCAAGCCATGGCGTACCAACCTATGCCAAACGGCTACGATCAGATGCGCTATCCATCGCCCTCGGCCGGCCAGATGGGCGTGCAGAGCCAGCTGCTTGCTTACAATGCTAACGCGCAGAACGATCCCTATGGCCAGCAGACGGGCACGCCGGCGTCGACCAGCGGGCGACAGTCTGGTGAGGGAGGCCCACCGAAGCAGTTTGCGTGTTCAACATGCGGAAAAGGCTTCGCGCGACGAAGCGACCTTGCTCGTCATGGTACGTGTCCAAACTCACCCAGCTGCTATCATACGTCGTCTTTATGAACGGACTTTCGCTAACAGCTTTTCCAGAGCGGATCCACAGCGGTATTCGACCACACGTATGCGACTACCCGGGCTGCGGTAAGCAGTTCATTCAGCGTTCAGCTTTGACTGTGCACATGCGCGTTCACACCGGTGAGAAGCCACATATGTGTGAACGATGCGGCAAGGTTAGTCCTCGCTTCATCCCTCCTTAAAACTACGTGTCTCGGCACTGACCAACAAGAATAGCCCTTCAGCGACTCCAGTTCGTTAGCTCGTCACCGACGAATCCACTCCGGTAAGCGGCCGTACAAGTGCCCGTATGCCGACTGTCAGAAGACGTTTACGCGTCGCACCACCCTAACCCGTCATCAAAATCACCACACCGGAACGGTGGAGGAAGCGGCCGCAGCCACTGCAGCAGCCCTAGCCAGCCGCATGCGCGGAAACAACATGTACGACCCTTCGCAACCACGCGCGTCTGGATCAGAACGTGACGAATTTTCGGAGACAAATTCACCACTGGCAACTGCCTCGCCTCATGACCGCCAACTTTCCATGTCTCCTGCGGCACAACTTGGCTCGGTGGCTCCCTTGCACCGCACAGGATCTGACATGGGCTACGGAATGCCTATTCCAGGCCATCTTCGTACCGAGCTTCAGCATAGTCCACGTTCCTCGCCGTCTCTAACGTCTCAGCCGTACATGGGCGCAGTCCAGCAGCAGCCTGGACGCGTGACCTCGCATCCTAATGGCTATGCCAACGGTCCTCCACAGGTTCTCGAGCCGACCCCACAGAGTCACTCTGGTCAATCGACAAGTGCCAACGGCAGCCCGCACATGAGCGCGATGGGTTGGCAGTCACCTAGCCACACTGGCATGGGTTCGCCGAATCCTGGCGAGCAATACGCATATCCGGACCCGTCTGCTCAGTACGGTGCCCACCAGCAGAGCATGTACTATCAAAATGCCGGCATGCAACGGCCGCAGAGCACTGAGCCAGGTGACTATTCGCGAGCTCAAGGCCAGATATGGGCTCAGCAAACTGTTCAGTAAACGCCCGTTAAAGTCTTCCTACTCTTTACCCCTCCCGCCCACTCCATACATACAACGCACACCCAAACTTCATTTCTTCTTTTCCTTTTGTATCACTGTACCTGTAGCTGTAATCTCTGGACTTGGGCACAAGGCGTTATGTTGGGTCAAGACGCGACAGGGAGTCTATACCCTCTTCCCTTTTTTTTCACTCTCGGTACGAAAACGGTAGCGGTGCGGAGGGCGCATACCGCGACAGCGACATGTCATCTGCTTTGTCTTTTTCATGTTCTCCTGTGTCCTCTTGGCGCTGCATCATCCGTTCACCTGATCTTTGCTTTGGTTTTTGCTTTTACCACAGCACGAGTATTTTCTTATTTTTTTTATCTTGTTTTCGTTCGGTGCGTCTGATCAGCAGATGGTGGCCTCTCCTGTGTGCATTTGGCTTTTGGCAGCGGTTCGATTTACTTCTCGGCGAGCATAAAAAAAAGCGGGCGATGGCTAACACACTGACGTTACGACTCTACACACTCAACACCCTCACACACTCTCACACACATATATATATACATACATACACGCGCACACGCACAGACGCAGATAAAACGCCAAATCCTTTGACACAGCAATGCTACGCTACATACTAGTCACTAATTGAAAGCGGGTCGTCGGGGCTGGGGTTGGTTGGGGCTGGGGTCGCGATGAATGGAGGATTATTAAAGAAGAAAACAGAAAAAATAAAGGCACAGGAGAGTGGGCTCCTGTTGGACGTGCAAAAGGGCGACTTTCTCTGATCCAGACAGGCAACGGTTTCTTTGTCCGCGGTACTTATAGAGTGTGAAAATGAGGCGTACCGGGGGCATGAAGTGCTTTTCTTATAGTATAATACAAGCTCTCTGAACATGAAGCTCGTCACAAAGTAAGGTTCTTTTGTTGTCTTTCGTGTGACCTTTTACCCTCGGCTGCGACATGACGGCGGAACGCGAAGGGATGGAGAGCGCTCGTGGGACTCGGTGGCGAGAGGGGCAGGGCGAACAAGCAGGGCAAGACCACGTTGGGTACATGTGGCGACTTGGGCGCGAACAGCTGTTCTGGTCGTGGGCTACGGCCCAACGAGTACGGCATGAAGGATGGGGAACAAGAAGACGCGTTCACACGGTTGGCGTGGCAGAAATATGTTCGCTCGAACTGGCACTCGTTGCACAGGTGGGTACGCAAGCATGCTCACATTCTCGTCGCCGTCTCTTGATCGGCCATGCTGGACCGACTGAGAGGAGCATTCTTTGACAGACAGGGGGCGTCATAGACGAGTTCAAAGCCGAGACGAAGCGTGCCTCGCCCGCGTCGTCAATGCGTGTGGGGTGGCGTGGCGAGGAGCCGAAGAGGTTCCGTCTTGCCTGTGTTGCCGGCGGGCCGGGGGCGGGGGGAGGGAGCGGCGACAAGATACGTTGGCACATTGAGGGAGGCGGGAGGAGGAGAATGGGGAGAGCGAGCGATGGAGACGGGGAGAGCACGACGGACACAAGCGAGAGGCGGGCTTGCGAGAGCGGATACAGCGCATGGCTACGTAAGGAGCAGGTCATGGACCAAAGGGCGGCGGAGGGGGTCTGTGCGGGCGTTGGGTCCCGGCGCCAGCGGCAAGCAGCTGCGTCACCCGCCGCAACGCACGTCCGGACGTCGCGGTCGGTGTCTGCTCCCCAAGGCCTCGTCGCCAGTGCCGCGCTCGCTTGGAGTCCACTCTGCCGTCTTCCCCTCCGCTGTCGCTCGCCGTTGCTGACCACCATCACCACCACCACTACCACCACCGCCACTTCTTCGCTCCGCCGCGCAACCGCCATCTTTGTCCTGCCCGGCTCAGCACGCGAACCTTCCGACTCCCACAGCCTACTTCTTTCCGCCTGCCTCTTCCCTTTCCCTCTCTCTCTCTCTCGTATACTCCCTCCCCTCGATCCCGAATTCTGCTCTCTCTTCCGGCCCTCACGTTGTGATCCTCTGCGTGTGGCGACCTCTCGTTGCCCTTCCTCCTTTGTTGGGCATCTGCACTGCGAGCCTGATCGTCTTGGTCCCTTGTCTCCACCAGCCCAGAACTACTACCTAACTTGACCTACCCGCCGACGACCACCAACCTTGCCACTCTCGAACGCACTTCGCAACCCTTACCAGTGCGACACCCATCCGCTCACCCTCACCTCACGTCGCCATGTCAAAGGTTGTGAGGAGCGTCAAGAACGTGACAAAGGGTTTGTTTCCGATGCCTTGGCCTGCGGTGGATGCGCTGGGCTGATCCGATCGTGCAGGCTACACGTCCGCCCAGATCAAGGTTCGCAATGGTACGTAGCACCAGCTGCCCGCAATTTCAGTGGCCCGACCTCTGCCGCACACCATCATCCCGTCCCGGCTTCCCGGCACACGCAGAGAGAGGCAGACGGAGAGCTAACGGCGTATGTGCGCTAGCAACGAGCAACGATCCATGGGGCCCCGTGGGCTCCGACATGGCCGAGATCGCGCAGATGACGTTCGGCGACACGAGCACCTTCTACGAAATCATGGACATACTGGACAAGCGCCTCAACGACAAGGGCAAGAACTGGCGCCACGTCCTCAAGTCGCTCAAGGTCCTGGATTACTGCCTGCACGAAGGTTCGGAGCTTGTCGTCACCTGGGCCAAGAAGAACATATACATCATCAAGACGCTGAGAGAGTTTCAACATATCGACGACGACGGCAGGGATGTCGGACAGAACAGTGAGTGCTGACCCCCAAACTTGCGCGTCTTCGCTCGGGTTTGCCTAGAGAGCAGCGGGCTAATCTTCATGTGCGTTTCTGCGTAGTCCGTGTCTCCGCCAAGGAGCTTACGGCGCTGATCATGGATGAGGAGCGTCTGAGAGGTGAGCGCCAGGATAGGAGATCGTGGAAGTCACGAGTCACCGGGCTGGACGAGTATGGACCACCACCAGATCATCGCCACCATCCCAGGCAGCGCAGGCGCAACGACGACGACGATGAGGATCTGCGCCGCGCCATCGAAGCCAGCAAGAACGAGGCAGAGGCGGAGGAGCAAAGAAGGCGCAGGGCGACGCAGAATGACGAGGAAGATGCCGCACTGGCGAAGGCGCTGAAGCTAAGCAAAGAAGAGGAGGAACTACGACGACGAGAACTCGAGGAGGCAAATGCAAACCTGCTTTTCGACGACAACGATACGACGCAGCCAGCCGTGAGCCAGCCCACGGGCTGGAACGGTGGCTACCAACAGCAGCCGAGCGTGGACTGGTTTGGAAATGTCATTGATCCCAATCAGCCGCAGCAGACAGGGTTTGGGATGCAAGGCCAGCCGACTGGTTACCAGAATGGATTCAACACTAGCAATGGCTTTGGATTTCAGCAGCCACAGCAGACCGGCTATGGGGTCGGGTCGCCATTCGGACAGCCGCAACAGAGCTTCTTGCAGCCACAGCAGACGGCGTTCCAAATGAACAACAACCCGTACGGACAGCAACAGCAGACAAACGGATTTGGGCAGCCAGAGCCACAACAACCGGAACAAGCGCTGCCTGCCGGATCGAATAACCCGTGGGCCTCTAACAATCAGAACTTGGAAGCGCTGAAGCCTCTGCCCACAGGCTCAAACAATCCGTTCGGTAGCGCCTTCAACCGGCCGCAGAGCACAAACACAAACAGATTACAGCCCACGCTCAACTCGCTGAGCGAGCAGAAGGCGACCACAACCTTCAATCCCATCACTAATTACCAAGCGCCACAACAACCCATCCCGCGGCCGGCCTCGCAGCCAACCCAGCAGCCCCAGTCAACGGGAATACCAGAAGACCCGCACAAGGCGCGTCTCAACGCTCTGCTAGCTAGTGGCGAAGGTCAAGACACATTCGGCAACGTTGGCGACCTTCGCATACCGGCTCAGCACACGGCCCCCGGTATCTTCGTCAACTCGGCTGGCGCCAACGCCCAGCGTCTTACCAGCCAGGCGACCGGAAACCCGTTTCTGCAGAGTCACTTCACAGGAATGCCCACCCAAACGGGCTTCATTCAGAACCAGGCGCAATCGCAGACGGGTTCCGCGACCGGATTAGGCGCCTCCGGCTTTGGTGCGAGCAACAATCCTTTTGGAGCGCAGAGAACGGCCGCCCAGCAGGGTCAGGGCAGCCTGATCGACCTGTGAGCGGCCAGGCTACGTCCGGTCACGTCGCGTCATGTCTTGTCCATCTTCTCCAGAATTTTTTTTTTCCCCTTTCCCTCTCCAGTCGTTCTTCCCCTCCGATGGGGAGTTTTTTTTTTGTCCCTTTCTTTATTCCCCTCCGGACCGAGATCTGGTTGTGTAGTCCTGCGGGGTGAAAAATTGGAAGGGAAAATTTTGAGAGATAAATGAAGGCTAGATTTGTTTTTGTGCGTGGGTGTTTTTGTGTCTTTTTACTCTACATATATCTCTCTCCTTGCGTGTGTGTATGAGGATTCATCATTCGTTGCCAACCACGCGCACCAACTCGCTTCGGGACTGTCATCTTCACGGTTTTGTTCGTGTCAAATCGTGCATATACCATTCTTTTTCTTTTACGGCACCATCCTGCCTTCATGCCTAGTCATACCCGCGAGACCCCTACTTTGAACCATTAAAAAACCCTTCATGTCTTCGACGCCTACGGAGGGTTTAGGGGTGGGTTCTTGCTTTCCCTTTACACTATGCAAGAGGGAGGGGACGGACTGCAGCGCGTTGGACCGCTCAGGGACGATGGGTACAAGAGGGCGACGTTTGGGTGAGCATCTTAAACGTCCGAACAAAAGCCTCCCCTTTCCCCTCCCCTCCCCCCTCACAATCACAGCTTGAAATTTCAATTTCCTTTTTGTTTTTCTCTTATGTACAATTTGGGATCCGCGACCGATCGGGGGGGGAAGGGGACGGGATGGGAGCTTATGGAAGTTAAAGAGAGAACAGAAAAAGTCACGGGTTTACCCCTCCCCCTGTTCCTTTTTTTTTCTTTTTTATTCGTCAGTTTCTGGTTTTTTTGGTTTGCAGACATGCTAACGCCGTCGCCGTCGTCGTCGCCGCTACGATACCGCTGGAAATGGGATAGCAAACCAAGACGGCGCCTCTCACACGTTGAACTTGATCATTCCGCGTGTTGTGTTTTAAAAAGCAACTCGCGTATGCGCTCGTCCCTAGTTTTGGCAATTTGTTTTTATACCTTTTTCCCCCCTTCGTTTTGAATGCAACCGGGCGCCTTTCCTCGAATTCATGTCCCAACCTTTCGAAGCTCGGTTCGTGACGCGCACTTGGAAGAGAGCGTTGCTGCCTCTCGGCGTTGCTGCCCTTCGTGCACGGAGAATCCATCGCGCAGCCGCCAAGTCTGTCAAAGCAATCTGCTTTTCGTTGTCCGTGTCTTTTCTTTAATTTTTTTTCCCCCTCCCTTCTTAATCGCCCCTGAAGCTGCCCTCGTTCTTTCGGTCCTTTGCGACGTCCCGCTCGTGCGCTGTCTGCGCGTTTGTCCGTGGCGGAAGGGACGGCTCTGCGCGTGCTTTTGTGCCATGCGAGCGGAGAGGAAGCGAAGCCCGTCGTCGCGACGCCCCAGGCACAAGCACGATCGACGGCAGTGCAGGTACGCCCGCCGCCCGACGCTGAACCCCCCTGGCGCGTGCGCGCGCGCGCACGCCTTTTGCTTCAGGGCGGTGCCTTCGCGCAAGCGTTCGAGTGTCTCCCTGCAGCGAGCCGCGCGATTCCTGCAAGCGTGCTGCTGGGTTTCCTGGACGCCAGACCCGACAGGACGGGTCGGCGCCGAGTTCGCCGCGCAGTTCGAAAGGTGTCGTGGGGATGAACCTGTGCTGAGAAGCCGCGCTTCTGGGTGGAGGCCGAAGATGGCGAGTTGCGCCCCACGTGGTTTTCTTTTCCTTGTTGGGGGCATGTGGAGGCGCGCTGGATAAGAACGATGACGACGGCGGTGGGGTGTAATTGTGGATGGAAGCGGGGGGGGATCTAGGAAGTCTGGGGGAAAAGAGAAACGTCGCTCGAGGGAGTCTCACTGGCGGACTGGGAGCAGTACGAAAGGGCATCGAGTGTTCGCTGTGCTAGCGAGAAGAACACCTAGGCGGAACAAATGTACAACGACGGATCGGCTCCCTGGCGTCGCAGCATGCGACAGGCAGAGGGCACCAGAGAGATAGAAAAGGAAAAAAAAAACAAAAGATTGATTCAGGTCACTGGAGCGACGGAGGTTTTGAAATGACATTTTGCTGCGTGCCAATGCGTTTCCGATCTAAAAAGTACATGAACCACGTGCGCGAGAGCAAGATGTCTGAACGCGCGGTGGTGTGCTCCATTGTTGCTCGTCAACGCGGCCCTTGAGGGTGCCCCGGAGCCTCGTGGTAGCCCTGTGGAGGAGGTGTTGCCAGGTACTGGGGCATTGGCTGAACGAACTGCGGTTGCGGTGAGGCCGTTGGAGACGGGTAGCCTTGCGGTGGGGGGCTCATCGCCGGCTGATATGGAGGTTGACCTGTGTAGATGGGTGATGCTGGCGTAAAATGAGAGTCGTTGTGTTGCGGCTGCATTGGCTGCGTCGACTGCATTGCAGGCGGTTGATAGTTGGGGTAGGCTGAGGGAGCTGGCATTTGTGCCGGTGCCGGTGTTGGTGCTGGTGATGGTGCCTGCTGAGGCGGCGCTTGATACTGCTGTGCACCAGGCTGCATCTCGATCTTCTCCGGGCTTACGTTACTGGCGCCGAGACCATTGTTTGTGGTCCCTCTGGAGGAAGTACGGTGACGATGAAGGCGCGCGCCAAACATGATCAGGGAGATTATGAAGAGAATCCTGCGCGCGAGGTTAGGATCGGGCTTGCTGACAAGCATCAAAAGGATCAGCTCACAATTCAATAGCAGAAACACCAGCCGCGCCTGCAAGGATGGCAAGGTATGTGTTACCGGCCCAGGCGTAGTAATAACGTTTTGTGATTACGCGCTTGTAGGTGGTTATGGTCACGGGAACCGTGAATGCGGCGCGGAGCGCAGCCATAGAGCCCATTGCAGAGAGCCAGAAGATGACCATGAGAATGTCCAATGCAAGGACTGCCCACATGTTGTAGGCTGCCTTCGCGGCCTTCTCTGCAACTAGGTCGTAGGTGACGATGATGAGGGTCAAAATGCCACAGAATATGCCAAAGGCGGTCGCCTGAGGGTTAAGATCAGCCTCGTCCTGTCGCAATCGTGTCACTGGAAGTAAAGCTTACGCTAAAGACAAAGCCAATCGTGTTTGAGATCAAAAATGCAGTCAAGCCCACGACGATGAGGGCGAAAACGATCTGCAGTATGCGCACGGCGAGGAAGCCTTTCGGCATGGGAACTATGTGGGAGTCGCCCATCCCGATAAACTCGATAGAGAACAAGAGGGCTGCGATGAAAGAAATTTGGTTATGAAAGGGTAAAGAATTGAATTGAATGATGCAAGAGAATGTGAAAAGGAAGCAACGAAAGATCAGGATGGAACGGTGGGAAAGTATCCCCAGCAATTTAACATGTTGACCTGGCTGAACAAGAGCCTCACACCCACTGGGCTGAGTTCTGCAATGGCGTCAGGTCATGATTCAAAAGATGGCTTTCGGCCCCTTTCCCTGACAATATCCCGTTCGTTCTGCGTTCTGCATGGACGAAATCCGCCAAGTGGCGACTCTCGCGAACGAGACAGGTTAGTAGCCGCTGTGGCATGAAGTCTCTACCGCGTGTGCCACTTATGGAGAAGTTTTAGAAGCCGATGGCGCTTCCAAGCTCTTTCGCTAAACATGTTGTACAGCCTTGTTGAAAGCGGGCCAACATCGTACGACGGACAGGGACAAAGCAGTCCCATGACTGCACAACATGGCGGTCTCTTTTTCGTTGACGAGCTCTGCAAACGTGCATTCCGGACGCCTCGTTCGCTTCTGCTCACCGGTGCACATGGGCAAAGTAGTAGTGGAGATGAGGTGTCTTTGCAAAAGTAAAAAGCTGCTCGACGCGTCTCCACAGGCACAGGCACAGGCACAGGCACAGGCACAAGCACAGGCACATGCACAATCCAGAGACAATCAGGTATAAAATGAGGCCAAGCACGCAGGAGGCTCGTATTTTTAGTGCTTTCCAGATTAACCTAACTTCTTTGGGGCCGGCAAGTCCATTCGTATCGAAAACAAACGTTCCAACGCCGCACGACGCGATAGGCTGGGATCTCCGATCATCTCTTTCTCTTCGGTCTGTTTTTGTCGAACTATGCACGACTCGATAGATGGGCATCGTTGACCGGAAAATCCAGCAGTCCAGGTTGTGGTGGCGGTGATATCGATGAGCCAGCCAATCAATGAAAGAAGATCCCACAGTCTTCGGACTGCCTCGCTAAATGCGCAGATTATCGACAGCCACGACTTTCTCCATGGATCTTTTGACAGCTCGCGAGACCAGTATGTCGTGCACCCGCTCCATCAGCGCTTTCTGCGAGAAGGGGAAAGTTATCATGTACCAGGACTGAACAGGAGTAGATGGATGCTTCGCACGACGGACCCTAAATCTATGCTACCATGCTTGTAAACAGTGCTCTGTGGGCTGTCATTCTCGGATGTACCTACCATTATCGTCAATCTGTGCCTTTAGACTAATCTTATGTTCTGACCCATTGCTTGTTGTGCTGTTCCAGAGATTGGAAGTCGGCCATCAGGTTCACGTATGCTTGAAAGATGGCATTCAAAAACGCCAATTTTCTTGCTCTCAAGAATAGACCCGAGTCATCTTACGTGGAAGCTACGTACATGAAGAGCAAGTCGAGAGGATTTTCATCAATACCCGTGGGCTTGTCTGTATCCTGTCCAGTGGTCTTCTCTTATTGTCTTCCATGTCCTGTGTGCCCGAGCCTGAGCGGCCTCCGGACTCAAGCAGGAGATGGCGTGCGTCCCACATCAAAGGCCTTGTCATTCACCGGAAATCTTACCATCTGACAGTGCTCTACCGTCAAGAATTACTTTCCTGTGGGGAAAGTAAGTTAGTACCATCTCAACCTTTTAAGGCCCATGGCTTGGTGCGGCGGGAAATTGACTTTGCAGCATGGATTTTTTTTACCGACGCAATCGAGATAATTACCCTCACTTTGCTGATAATAATTTCCCATTTTCCAGACGAGAGGATTCAATCTGATAAACTTGCTTTCTAAGCCACCCCTTCTTGAAGCGCGAGGCGAGATAGCTTCAACATGTCAAACGTTAAGGGCCTCTTACTGACTATGATTCATCTCAGCTTATTGTTGCTCCAAAAGTCTACCAAAGAAACCTTCTTCCAGCCTTGTCAGCTATAGCATAATGACTGTACGTCTCTGAAAGTTGACGTTCTAGTCAGCTACATACGTGGTCCTATATTTCAACCAGTGAAGGCGGTGGTGAAGCTTCGCAACGGGCTTGCGCAACCCGTTCAATAATTGTCCAGGAGCCATCTGGATCTTCTAAAAAACGTACTCTTGGATAATGTGTTGGGAATCGCATTTATCGCCAGGCTCCGAACTGTGCCCTGAGCGATTCCTTCCATGCCGCAAATAATTTGGTTCGTCTTCGTCCTTGGAGCGGCAACCCGTCGATGTGTGACCTGAAAGTGTTCAGACGGCGCAAGGACTCATTTCTCATACTTCGGAGAGCGTGGCAGCGGGACGGGCCATTTTTCAGCAGCAGATGCTGACTTGTTCGTCGGAGCTGAATATTTCCTTCTATCATATGCGGCGAACACAATTAGGAAAGTATTCCGGCCATACAAAAGCGGAGCGGAAAATCTGCTTGAGAACAAAGACGGAAGCCACGGGCGGCATTGTTTTCCGATGTTAAGTATTGTTTCTTCGTTTGCTAAAGAGAAAAGCTGGGATGTCAAGAGTCTGTCAAAGTATCAAGGTAGACCTGCTACTGACGCTCTGCCCATTACTCGGGGTGGCCTGCATTCAGGTGCGTTAATTTGCAATTCTTTCACAAGGACAAAGTCGCATGCACGAAAAGTTTGAGTCATCGTCCTTAAAGGTAAGAAGTGAACATAAGAAAGAGCGAGTAAAGGACGGGAAACATGGCAAAGATAAAGAGCGACGTAGATGTGTAATTGGTAAGAATCAAACACGATTGACTTTCCAGCTCGTGGGTGGAAAGATCATTTCCTTCGCGTTATCGAAAACCTGAATTACTGCAGTTGCAGAGTGGCACAGATACTTTTCCTCCAACTCGCAGGAGGCACGAAAGTAGCGGCTGAGGCTTCACGAGCAGAATCATGACAGTCGATTCGGTAGAACGGTTTGGTGCTTACGTGAGAAGTGTTCATTCCGTCCTCCTAGCGGCGACAGCAACCTTGAGTGGAGCGTCACAATGTGATAAAACTCTATGGATGCTATCGCGATGCTCTTACTTGTAACAGTTTGGCTTCATAACTAAAGTTTGTTGCGTCTGCACTGCTCTCTTCTGGTATCATCATGTCGCTTCGTTGCCCACCTCAGCTAACCCGTATCACGCCTTTCCTGTCGAGCGACTGGAGTATGTACTCATTTTGGTCGCCTGTCCCCCTTTCAGCTGCGGTGTAGCTCGATGTAGAGCATTTGCTGCTCATATTTACTTGACCGTGATCTGGCTCAAGTGGACAGCAGCTAGCATGTCTCTGCCACCGGTGATATTCACTCAAGCTAGGATTCCTTCCACATCTACCACGACGCAGAGGTCTCCTCACGATGCGAAAACCCTCACTGTCATATCGACGCACGCTGTAGCAATCACGCATCGAATCTGCACCTTGTCGTCCGCCTTCTTCGCCGTTCCGTTCGTCGCGCCATCCCCGTTCGTCATCGGCGCCGCTTCTTTCACCACGCTTGGTGCCCACCTCATCGCGTTGACGAAGTGGCTATGTGCGTCTTCCACCGTCTTAACGCATTTTCCTTCCTGTGTGAGATCCCAGCACCGTATTGTCTTGTCGTCTCCGCACGAGAGCAAGTATTTGCCGCCCGGGTGGAACACCAGACCTCTCACCCAGTTGTCATGTCCAACCAATGTCTTGATGAGGGTGCCACGGGCATCCCACAGCTTGATGGTTTTGTCCCTGCTTCCTGTAGCCACAAATTCTGCGGAGCTGCTCGCCGGTGGGGGTTTCTTCAGACCAGCCAGCGAAGCAAGATGCTCATACGTGACAGGAGGAGCTATGGCAACACATTCGACCACGTGATCGTGTCCCAGGAAGAGACCTTTCTGCTCGCCGCTTGACACGTCCCAAAGCCTGGCGGTCTGGTCGCTGCCACCGGAGACCAGCCACCTTCCGTCGAAAGAGGGCACCACGTCACGCACCCAGTCCGAGTGGCCCTTTATCGTCTTGACGCAGTATCCAGTTGTGACGTCCCATATCCTAAGTGTCTTGTCTCGCGATGCAGATACCAATAGGTTCCCTGACGTAGGACTGCCTGCTGCTCCAGATGGAACAAATCGTATCGCCGACACAGAGTGATCATGTCCGGGAAGCGTGCGTATGTTCTTGTATTCGTCGCTGGGATCCCACAGCTTAATCGTCAGATCTGAGCTGCAAGATGCCAGCAAAGTACCCCCCCTTGGTCCACCAAAGTCGACATCCAAGACTGCCTTCGTGTGCCCCTTCAGCGTTCTTTCCAGCTCACCTAATTCCCAGTCCCAGATCTTGATCGTGGTGTCATCTGAGCCCGAGGCAAGCGATGAGAAGATGGGGTGAAAGGCCACACTTGTCACAGACTGTCTGTGGCCGGACAATGAATGCCTAGCTGGAGCTCGAGGCAGCCAACTGCTTGGGTCCTGGTTCTTGCGTAGGAGCGAAGTTGGTGTAGCTGAATCCAGCTCTTGTTGCAAAGCAGCGTTCCGTGCCTCAAGCTCGAAGATTTTCTTCTGCAGTCGTACTACGCTGGTCCATTTCTTCTCCAGGAAGCTGGCATACTTCCTCGCTGTTGCGTCATCGAAATTTTGACCGATCCCGATTTCGTCTCGCAATGCGGCTGCGCTGGTAGGTAGCCCTGCAACGGCAAGGTAGCCAAGGATGGACTTGTTCCTACGATGCCTCGTTAGCGGAGCGATCCGTGGACAACAGTTGGGAAAGGCTCACAGCTCGTCTGCCTGCGACTTGGTGAGTGAAGACATGGTGGTTACAGCGCCGGCAAGCGGCAGTGCGAATCGTTGTGTCCAGCACCGGAGGGATTAAACGACCTTCTGCCCAGAGACCCAGCCTGGTATCTCGTCTAGGTGTGGACTGTGTCGAGCTGCAGCTATATTTTTTTTTTATTTCCTTCAGATCCTATAGCCTTGGCGATATTGAGGGAGTTGCAATGCGGGCAAGGGACAGTGGGCATGCAGGGGTCCGGGGTAAACACAGAAAGGAGACAACCAAGTGCGAAGGGAGGGGTTGTTAGTTGCTTGAAGCAAGATATCACCGTGTGCAAATGTCTGGTGAGATTATATCAATTGCTCGCTCACTGGTTCATGTCGCTAGAGTAAAAAGATAAACTCAGAAAGAGTTGCGGTGGCGGCTGCGACCTAATTCGTCAAGACGGTTGCTGGGCCGGGGTCACGGACAACAAAACGTGTGCCCAAAATACAGCGTCACTCCGCAGATCAGGTCGCACATATCAACAACACCATATTACCCTTACAGCCGAACGTTATCAACTCTCACCCTTACGCGAAGAACATCGCAACACATCGGCGACAAACTCACAACACAGCTGTTCGCCGTACACGCCCATCATGGCGGAGCAGGAGGAAGATTTCAGCCAGCTGCCGCTACCGGACCGCTTTACACATAAGAATTGGAAGGTTAGAAAAGAGGGCTACGAAGCCGCCGTTAAGGTCTTCGATCTCGCACAATCAGAGAACGATCCCGATGTTCGGCAGTTCATAAATGACCCAAATTTGCTCAAAGGCGCGGTCGCCGACAGTAATGTCGCCGCCCAGCAGGAAGGCCTGGGAGCGTTGATATCCTTCCTCAACATAGCTGGCATTCAAGGCTGCATGAGGTACGGACCACTTTTACAAAGCATTTTTTCGCGTGTTTTCGCTAACAAATCCCGTGCAGGACGCGTGGACTAACCATAACGCCCATTGTTGAAAAGGGTCTTGCTGCAACGAGGCCCGCGGCGAAGCAGAAGGCTCTTGAGGCCATACTACTCTATATTGAACTAGACAAGGCAGATCCTATTGTGGAAGAACTTCTTCCTCTTTTGTCACATAAGCAACCCAAGATTATAGCAGCAACTCTGGCGTGTCTACGGGAAATCTATCACGCGTATGGATGCAAGGTTGTGGAGCCAAAACCGACGCTCAAGCTTCTACCAAAAGTCTATGGGCATGCGGACAAGAATGTTCGTGCCGAGGCACAGAATCTTACCGTAGAGCTGTATAGATGGCTAAAGGAGGCCATGAAGCCGCTGTTTTGGAACGACCTAAAGCCAGTTCAACAAACCGATTTGGACAAATTGTTCGAAAAAGTGAAGGATGAGCCGCCACCGAAGCAGGAGCGGCTTCTGCGGTCTCAGCAGGAGCGGATGGCGGCTGCACCAGCAGCTGGCGCTGCGGATGGCCCAGGCGAGGAAGATGAGGGTGAAGCAGAGTTTGACCTCGAGCCTGAGTACGAGGCCGTCAACGTGATGGCGAAGATACCGAAAGACTTCCAGGAAAGACTCGCGTCTTCAAAATGGAAGGACCGTAAGGAGGCGCTGGATGACCTGCACCAGGCTGTGAATGTGCCTAGGATCGAACCTGGACCATTTGATGATATCATGCGCGGTCTGGCCAAGTGTATGAAGGATGCTAATATTGCTGTCGTTACCGTGGCAGCAAACTGCGTAGAGCTGTTTGCCAAGGGCCTGAAGAAGGATTTCAACAAATATAGAAGCACGGTGATGAATCCCATGCTCGAGCGCTTAAAGGAGAAGAAACAATCCGTGACGGATGCTCTCGGAGCTGCGCTTGACGCAGTTTTTGCATCCTCAAATGGCTTTTCAGACTGCTTGGAGGAGATTATCGAGTGCCTGAAGCACAAGAACCCTCAAGTCAAGCTTGAGTCGACGCGATTTCTCATCCGGATACTGGCTTCATCCAGAGAAGCGCCGCAACCACCTGAGGTCAAGACGATAGCCGAGAATGCAACGAAGCTTTTGACCGACTCAAACGCGACGCAACGAGACGCGGGCGCCGAAGTCCTCGGCGTTCTGTGGAAGATCATGGGTGATCGAATCATGAACGTGCATCTCGACGGCCTCGACGACATCCGAAAATCTAAAATCAAGGAGTTCCACGACAAGGCTGAGGTCAAGGCGAAGTTCAAGCCAAAGTCTGCAGCACCACCGCCAAAGCCTGCCGCGGCTCCAGGCCCCGCCCAGAAGCGAATGGGCATGGTGGGCAAGAAACCTCCCGCTGGCCTTAAGAAGCCAGCGGCAGCCGCTCCTCCACCATCATCGCCCCCCGCAGAAGATCCACCGGCACTCGCTCCACGTCCAACTACGCGTCCAGGGGCGCCTAAACTTGCCGCACCGAAGTCTGGTCTCGCGGCTCCAGGAAGCGGACTGCGACCACCAACCGGCCTGAAGAGGCCAGGCGGAATCCCTGGGCCATCGGGCATGGCATCGCCTGCGCGGAGAGTTGCTTCTCCAGTTGAGGAGCCGCCAGCAGCGGTGCCTCAACCAAAACTTGGACTAGGTCCTGGGCGCGGTCTCGCAGGACGACCTCTGGGCAAACCAGTGAACCGTGCACCAACCCCAGACTCAGTACCTACCACAGCAAGCGGTCTTTCCGGCCTAAGCTCAGCCGAGCGTGCGGAGCTCGATGAACTCCGTGCAGAAGTCGACCGGCTGAGGCGAGAGAATGAGCACCTTCGCCAGGAAAAAGCACGGCAAGCATCTCAGATCCACGAGCTCACAAACCAAAACGCACAGCTTATTGAGGACCATACACGTGACGTTCTTAGCATCAAGGCAAAAGAAACACAACTTGTGCGTGCTCGCTCCGATGAGGAAGAAGCTCGCCAAGCGGTCGCGCACGCCCAACGTGAGATTGATCGCCTCAAGCGCGAGCTCTCGCGACAGGTGCGTGCCTCATCCCCGGCTCCCCTAGACATCTCCGAGCACATTGACAATGCCACAAATGGTGCGTATGGGAGCATCATAAGCGGTCGCACGCGAAGCTACGTGACCAGCCCTACGGAAAGTTTAGGTAAGGAGAACACGTTTGGGGACCACCCGGCCAGTTTAAGGAGCAAGCTGAGCAGCCCGCCTTTGACAGGTGGTAGCTTTGGAAGCTCCGGGGGCAGCCCGAATCGCAGGAGCGTGTTGAGCTCTGGGGGAGGCACACAAGACAGTATTGGAAGTGCGGGTACCAGTGGTGCGGAGAGCTGGAGGCGAGCCGCAGAAGTGACGCAGAATCTTAAAGCAAGGATTGAGATGATGAAGGTATGATTTCCTCATTTATCATAAAAACTGTTTTCTCTCAGAGAAATGCGCTGACGTGGTGTACAGGCTAAGCAAGGTTTGTCAAGGCCTCACTAAGGCTCTGATCAACGCTATCTATGTTTTTAATTTTTTTTTTCCACGACTGACGCTCTGAAAATTTCATTCAAGCGAAAGACGGGGATTGGCTTTTTTGAAAGACGTGTCAAAGCATGTTCTGATGGCGTTTTCGCGCGTATGTTTGTGGGCACTATGATACCTTTCCCGAGAGGGGTTTTACACCTAAACCATACATACTGTCCTACCGTAATGTTGACGATGAGCAAACCCCTGCCGGCGGCATGAGATGGAATCCAAGACTAATTGATTTTTTACTTCACTACTCCCTTTGCTTGCCTTTGTGCTCCATTTGTCGGATATACGTCAAAATGAGTTTGTTCCCGCAGCACAAGCCCAATGTCATCCTGGCCATCGTCCTCAAGCGTACTAATCTATATCAGCTAGTGGTCATTTACAAAATACACACAGTATCGTTCTCTGGCAGACGCGTTATTGGAGGAGCACCATTCTCCTCTACAACGAGCGAGTATGGTCCATTATTCTGGAAAACCAACAAACTCTGGATCGTCTCCAGCGCGCTCAGCTGCTGTCCTAAACCGGACGTCCCATCCCATCCTCTTAGGTACCATTTATGGCCACAAGTCACACCATTTATGCCGCCTGAGCAAGACTGTGCTGCAGCGACTGCAGAGGCCTGTAGAAGAGGCAAAATGTGATCGTGCGTCCATGGAGCGAGAACCATAGTTTTAGCCAGCCATCGGGACATGAATGCCTTAAAGCTGTACTGATCAATGTTGCACGTACCGGCAGTCTCACACGCTGACTCGAACATGACATTGGTTGCGTTAGCGAACGGGCTGAAGAAGTTTGAAGTCAATGCGGCCAGGAGGCCGTCCACGCGCCGCGTCCAGACGGGATCGTTGGTGAAATTCCACAGTGCAGCCGCGCCTTCGAGAAAGATCGCGGTGTTGTACGTCCACTGCGTGTGGTCCAGCTGCGTGCAATTCAACTTATCGTTTGTTCCGTCAAATACGTCGTAACTAGGAGAGATGAGACCCACTGATTCACACCAGTTCCAAACTCTGGTCGCTAGATGGACGTATTTGGCGTCGCCTGTGTACCGAGCGAGGCGGGCCGCAAGCTGAAAGTACGCGCCATTGGAGACAGAGTTTTTGTAGTCGTATCCGTAGCTGTTCTCGGGGTAAATCTGCCACTTGAGGCCACCGCCGCAAGACGATGTGTCCCAACGCTCAGTTTGGTTCTCGAAAAGTGCAGTGAGGAGGGAAAGCCAGTCTTGTTCTGAAGCGTGTGGTTCGGGCCACCGGTTCTCAAGCGCAGATATGATACCCAAGCCCCAAAAGGCTTGATCATCGTTTCCTTCGTCAAATCTGTGCGCCGGGACTATGAAATTGTTGTCGGGCCCTTTCTGCGCAAGAAGAGCTTCCATAGTGACCTCTACGTAACTAGAGTCACCGGTGTAAGTGTAGTAGTCGACCATGGCAGCCCATGTGGCTCCGCTTTCCCACCTTTCGGTTCACAATTGAGCATCAACTGAATAGAAACCTTGTGGAGAGCACTTACCAATAGTATGGCGGGAATGGAAAAAGGCCAACATGCTCTGGATCCGTATCTGAGGCGTTATTCTTGTAGTAATGGAAGATGCCATCTGCAACGGTACGTGCTGCTGCACGAATGGAATCTGGAATGACTTAGTATCTTTTCTCTAAAGCCATTTTGCTTTCCTACTTGTATTGTTCACGTCTAATTCCAGACAATTTATCGCACAGCTAAGAAAACAAGGCAGGAGGCCAAAAATGCCAACTGCTTTCGCCGCCATGATACCAGACCGTTGCCGAATAATCTTTTCAGAGAATGGATACTTTAGTATTGGATCAATGCAACGCTTTGTTTGTAGAAGTGAGTCGTGATTCAGTGATAACTTAGGGTTCCACCGTTGTCATGAACAACGGCGAAGCTCATTGTCACTTCAAGAAGTATCATTGATGCAAAGATGCTTCACAAAAAAAAGCTAAACAATATCCTTAGTCATAGAGTGTGACGCATGAAATGCAAAGCCCATGCGTAATGCAATTGTATGCACATCGTGTGATTCATATGCCACAGGTAGAATCACACGTGCAACGGGATGCTCAACCCTCTTCACGAATAATGTCATCTTTCAAGTGAACAAGGACTATCAATTTTTCGATTTCTCGATTCGCAAACGCCAGGTGTGTTAACAATCAACCTGATTTCTCGTGATGAAATCAGAGCCTTTCGTCCTCCATGTACAGTCATCCATCAATATTAGGATGGCTTCTCGCTGAATGCGGAACATGCTCTGAAGTGTAGTCATGTCTTTCGTCTGCTGATCTTCATGCAGGAATATATCTTTTTGACCCAATTTCACATATTTTACCCTCCCTCTCGTTGCATACATAATCGTACTGAATTGACGAGCACAATTAGATATGCGGATCGGTTGACGAGTACGAGTTTAGGTAGAAAAGAAGGTCTGCCAATCATTTAGAGCAGCCTTGCGGCCTAGACAGCAGTCCTGAAATTGCCTCGATGATCTGTCCGTGCCGCAACTCTCATGTCGTCGTGAAAAGAGTATCCTCTTCCCTTAAGTACTCGCCAACATCCGCTTGTCTGAACACTGTGATGCCCGTTGGGTCAAGCCTACGCGCTTCTGCTGTTGATCTCGCAGTGACGCCAAAGCCCTGAGACGTACTTAGCATATACCAACTACGTGAGGAAGGCAAGAAAATTACCAAAGGTGTATCATTCATACTCAGAACAACCACCCCCTGATGCTCAGGGCAGTCCTCACTCCATCTCCCAACATGTGCCTTGACTACATGTCCCCCGTACAAAAACGGCATCTCTCCATTTGGTTTAATCCACACCTTGAACCTAGCGTGCGGTGCAATTATATCCAGAGCCGTTATGTGCAGCCTAAATTTCCCACTTTTGGTGAACTTGCCTAGACAGGTGCCTAGGGACAATAAATTATCTCTCGCTACAGATACAGCAAGATTGGCTAATGATTCTCGGACATAATATACTCGCGAACCTTGTATGCGAAAGACATGACGATCTGGTTTGGCGTTTGTGGATGTTGCGGGTGGGTCGATGAGATGGGTGAGAGAAGGTCCAGTATAAGCAGCAAGTTTTTGGAAGAGTGTCTTCGTCTCTGGTTCTGTAAGAGGGCGCATCTTGTCTTAGTGTATGAGAAATAGTAATTGAACTCGTGGTTGTGCAGAGCGCAAGTCGGCGACAGAAAATTTTCTGAAAGAGGCAAGGCGCCAAAAAGTTTCAGGATCTCCCACTCTGCCTTTGCAGTCCGCTACAATTGCAAGAACATTTGCCTCTTCCCTTTAAATCGTAAACATGTCACAATTCAAACCAAATAAAAGGAGGAAATTGTCCCCTCCAGAGGGTGAAGATCAAGTTGCCGAGCGATTAAACGGCGTGAAGAAACGGCGGTCAAAAGTCAACGAGGACGACTACGATGTGGAACAAGCCTACGAACATCGCGCAAAAAAATTGAGAGGCAAAGAATCGACTAGGCTGCCAATTAGGACATCTGAGGGCTGGATACAACCAAAAGAAGACGAAGCAGCAGAAGCAAATGACGAGGACAGCTTTCTGGATAGTGGGGATGAAGAGGGCAGAGAACCACCAACTAGCAAGGAAGACGACGAAAATGAAGAGCAAAAGATATCACCGCGACAGCAGATTTTAGAGGCGAAAGAAGAACTTGCTCGGCTAGCTGGATTGATCAATGAAGATCCTGAGGAGCATCTTGCCTCTTTGAAAGGGCTAGCAAAAATTGCTGAGTCTCAAAACCCAACAGTGAAGAAGCTGGCCTTAGCTACTCAATGCGCTGTATACAAGGATATAATACCCGGATACCGAATACGGCCTTGGACTGAAGAAGACGTCTCGTCGAAGCTGTCGAAAGAAGTACGAAAGCTGCGAGCCTATGAGCAAGCCTTGGTCACAGGCTATCAGAATTACGTGAAAGAACTTGAGCGATTGGCGAAGGGTGTACAAGATTATGGCGAGAAAGAAGCATCTCAATTTGCTTCAGTTGCTATTACTTGTGCCTGTACTCTATTGAAAGAAGTGCCGCACTTCAACTTTCGTGGGGATTTGATCAAGATTCTCGTCAACAAGTTAAGTCGCCGACATATCGACAACGATTTCAATCAATGCATTCAAGCCCTGCAAGATTTGTTCGAGAAGGATGAAGAAGGACACCCGTCAATGGATGCTGTATCACAGCTCACAAAGATGATTAAGGCACGCAATTATGCCATCCATGAAAGCGTTTTAAATACGTTCCTGCATCTACGGCTACTCTCAGAGTTTCAGTATAAGGCATCCCACGAACGGGTTGACAAATTGAACCCCGAAGAACAGAAAGCCAAACAATCCAAGAAAGATCGGCAGTTCCTTACAAAGAGGCAGCGGAAGCAGCTGAGGGAAAGGAAAGCACTGGACAAAGAGATGAAAGAGGCAGATGCTGTGGTCAGCCACGAAGAGCGCGATAAAATGCAGGCCGAGATGCTAAAACTTGTGTTTGCAACGTATTTCCGCATTCTCAAGGCCCGCAGTTCAGCATTGATGGGCGCAGTCTTGGAGGGTCTCGCACGTTATGCGCATCTAATTAATCAAGATTTCTTTGGAGATATTCTGGAGGCACTCAAGGACCTGATCAACGGTATGGAAACTCCAAGCGACGACAAACGCAACGAGAACGAGAAGGACAATGATGATTACACGAAGCCCGTTCGTAATGTTACACGCGAGTCGCTTCTCTGTACCATCACGGCGTTTGCTCTTCTCGAAGGACAAGACGCTTCAAAAGCAGCTACCACTCTCCATCTTGATCTGAACTTCTTTATCAAGCACCTCTACCAAACGCTACATCCCGCATCTCTCAACGCCGACATTGAGCTAGGGCCCAAATCTCTTCGTCTGGCAGATCCTCTCAGCAGCAGGGAACGTTCTTCCCAACCTGCAACGAAGGTGAACGCCCAGACTACTGCTGTCCTGCTCATCCGCAGTCTCTCGTCGGTGCTTCTGCCACCCACAGCGATACGAAGTGTGCCGCCTGTACGCCTGGCGGCTTTCACCAAGCAACTTATGACTGCTTCGCTACAACTTCCGGAGAAGTCGTGCTTGGCTATGCTAAGCCTCTTGAGCAGCGTGTCGAAGGTCCATGGGCGGAAGATCGCGGCTCTTTGGAATACAGAAGAAAGGAGGGGAGATGGTGTGTTTGATGCTGTGAGACCTGAGCTCGAGAGCAGTAATCCGTTTGCGGCAACTGTATGGGAAGGCGAGCTGTTGAAATTTCATTACTGCCAGAAGGTCAGGGAGCAAATCCAGGTCGTAGAGAGAAACATAAAATCTTGTCAGTAGTGATGAATGACGAAATATCAAAGCTATGTGGTTCTATATCATTTGCGCTGCGTCGACCTAAAGACGCACATCTGTCAGTCACAACATATCCAGAAGTCTGCGATATCAATAGATAGCTTGAGATCGCGCTCGTGAACCCTGCCCCAGTTTTACAATCTACGAATGTGCAATTTCATGTATGGATGTAGAGCATTTTGGCAAGTCCCAAAAATCAAGTTTGCGGACCTCATTACAAAACTTTTAGCACGATATTTTTATCATGCATTTCAAAATCGTCCCTTGACCTTCGCAAGGAAGCACAAGTTAATCGATTGATTGAGTCCTTGATTACTGAAGGCATGGAATGAATAAATGAGATCCCCAATTGTCGTCTTAGCTCTTCCTGAGATACTAGTTGACACACGTCTGTTGTCAGTGATGACTTTTATAGTCTCTTGTACAGAGGCTTCGAAATGTTACTAAAAATAATCTGCGTAATATGACACATAGTCTTAATGTTCTTTGAAAAACATGTATTCCATTCATGAATTAGCTCGCAATAACAATCCAAAGTGCTGCTTTCATAATGAACGAGATGAAAATTATACAAAGACTCCACAGCCACCAATGAATCTATATTATTTTGTTCGCTTGCGTGTTAAAAACCTTCCCGGACAGACAGACTACTGCTTTGTTGTGGCATGTTAGTGCTGTGCACAAGACAGTGTCACCTGAATAATCTATGAGTGTTTTGTCTAATCGTCTCCATGACGTTGATACATATCCTCAAAAGGGCTTAGCAATGTTCGTGTGACAAAGCCTTAGTAGTCATATTCCGGGACGCACTGGAATAACAAAGATCACACTGTGCCTTTTAGATAAGGACGTAGGATTTGAAGTCGCTCAACAAATTGTCTAACTCTTTCTTCCCTTGTAGATGGCTTTGTCAAAGAAAACATTGAGTATTGAAGGCATACCCAGGCTCTTAGCTGCCACTCGACACTTGAAACTCAACAGTCTGCAAGTCTGTGTATTTGAGCGATTCATTGAAATGGATGCACCAGAGAAAACACAGAGAACTGCGAAAAAACGTCTCCCTGAGAACAGGCCCCAAGTCGCAGGAAAGGGGCTGTTGACCGATGCCAGTGTTCCAAATAGAAGTGAATTCTCGTCGAGACCGGTATGGATAATAAAAAGAAAACTGGCAGATGCTACGGTGTCTCTGTATCAAGCAAATACAGGCGGAGAACATAATAACAATTCTAAACTAGATGGTAATGCAGTCTCGACAGCGGAAATAGGAAAGCCCCGCAAAGCTGCCAAACTTTACTATACTCACGATGTCAGCGAAGCAAAATCGAAAGGGAAAGAAAGCTCAGAACCGGAGAACGACGAGCACCTTGACTCGAATGATAAGCCAATTTACAGATCTACTCAGAAGCCCATTGGCACTATGCTCTGCGAAAGTCCAACGGGATCGTGCTGGAAGGTGTCTAGTGACGTTTCAGTTGCAGGGTCATCCATATTGCCGGATCAAGGAACAATGGTCGAGTATAATCTATCACAGATGAATCACCACTGGATCAAGATCTTGGTCAGAAATCTCAAGGACGTGGCACAAGTCAAGTGCAGCGTTCGGGGTTGGAAGAAAACATTACTTTATAGCCTCGGAGCGGCGAACATACCAGATCAAGGAGACATCGAGCTGGAGAAGAGAATTGCGCAGGTGAAGAAGCAGCTGAGAAAAGGAAAAGTCTCCGCAGCAGATGCCGACAGTCGACTCCAACGATTGGAAGAAGAGCTCGATTCCTGGGTTCCTGGATGGCAGTGCGAGCCGCTCTATGAGTTGAAGATCTTTAGGTCCATGTCTGAGAATACGCAGATTATCATTGTGCAACTGTCGTCCACCCATGGAGAGCTCTTTATCAGGACTGAGCGGAGCTCAGCCACGTGGATCAAGTTTTTCGATTGGTTGAATGTCAAGCAGGCCAATATGCATGGCTACAGTTCGAGGCGCAAAGCAGCGGAATGGAATGGCTTTGAAATTGAAGAAAAGCTACTAGTGAATCATCCGTCTATAGTAGCTCAACTCATTGAGATGGAGAGATTATTCTTGCGCTATCAGTGTGTGGCGATTTGGAAAACGAAGCCTCAGAATATGGGGGTTGAGTATTGACACGTCGATGCTTGTTTTTGCACTTTAATAAGAATGCAAGACACATACTCCCAATGCCAAATATGTAACAATTGTCATTATGCGCAGTCCGTATATGAGAAGCTTAACGACAAAGGCATGGTCCTTGTCTGGACGACGTTGGCTGACGTCCAACTCGTGGCTGACAAATAACTGCGCTTTACCTGTTTTGACTTGGTACAGCCGTGTTCGAGTCTTCGCGCTCCATCCAGACTGCTGGTTGATGATATAACATTCGATTCACAAATGCGAGAAAGTCGGCTGCGTTGCATACCATAGTCGGCAGAAATGGTCTGTTATATCCCGGAAGTCTAGAACACGCAGCTCTACTAACGACAATCGAAGGCACGAAATTCAGAAAAGGCGCAGTCTATGCTGTTTCGCTTCCGGGCAGCGCAAGCAGCAGACCTAGGCATCCTTGATCTCGGCCGTACCAAGCGTCCCAAAGCCATCACTACAATTGAAAGTATTCCTGTCTGTGAGAAATGGCGTGGACAAGTTCTGCGCGAGATCTCGCGCAAAGTAACGAAGATCCAAGACCCTGCACTGAGCGATTATCAAATTCGCGATCTAAACGACGAGATCAACAAGCTGATGAAGGAGAAGTTTGTGTGGGAGTTGAGAATAAGAGAGTTAGGCGGACCGAATTATATGAGAGGAGGGCGGGTGGTGGATGAAGAAGGGAGAGAAGTTCCTGGTGGAGGCAAAGGGTATAGATACTTCGGACGAGCGAAAGAGCTGCCCGGTGTAAAAGAACTATTTGAGGCCGCTGCTAAGGCGGGTAGACCGCCGGAAGAAGGTGAGAAAGGGCCGACCAGGGCCGAACTGAGCAAAAATGTCGATGCAGGGTACTATGGCTACAATTTGGACGAAGAAGACGGGAGCCTTCTGAATTACGAAGAGCTACAGGAGCGAGAGTTCGTCAGTAACCTTTTAGAAAAGGCGCAATCAGAGAAGGAGAAGAGCACTCTTGAGATCCTTCCCGGCGACATTGGGGACGGTGTAGGCTGGCGGCTGCCAACGACTGAAGAAGTGCAAGAGGAGCTTGTCGAGCGCAGGCGGCGAAGACTGCTCGACAAACTTGGATGAAACCGTGGCTTAGGAAGAAAAGCAGACTTTTGTCATCACCAAATTAAATGCTAGCGGAACAGCTGTTGAAGTCTAGTACTCACCATCCGCAAAGACTGTCCTCGGTTCTGCACTTCGTCTGTCAAGGATACCCCTAGTGGTGTCGTGTACAAACGCAGAGTCACGCGTTGGTTGGGAAACACGTCGATGGATGCAACACCTCTCTGGGCCGGGAAGATGTGTACAACACAGAGTAGTTCTTCATATCTGGATATTTACCTATAAATGCATGCATCCATACCTTCAGCAAACAGAGCGACTTGTATCAAGGCGTTAATAATTCATCTTCGCTGATGCTTAGGAGCATGGTAATTTCATTCCATTTTTATTTTAGGTTCTCCTTCCGATGCCAGCAATTTTCTAAGTTGATATGTCAATTGCTGCTTCTTCCACAACATCGGATTCCAAATGTGTCCGTGTTTGGCATGAATGTATCAAACTCAGACCAAAGGTCGTGCAAAAAGGGCTTAAATACGACCAGAATATGCAGTACGTGAAACTTAATAACAGTCCATTCGACCGCAATGTAATCGTGCCTTCATTCCTATGCCAGACACCATTGTGCAATAATGCGTCTATCTACCTGATAGACGAAACGACTCGACATACTAACTCTACCTTCGGGGCTATCTGAAAGGAGTAAAAATTTAATCATCGGCAAAGCATGGACGGAAGTTGAGCATCGCGAGCATGTAGTCTTGAAATTTCCATTGTAGGACCATCAAGCAATTGTGCTCGATAGACGGTTAATATGGTGATAAGTTCTATGTGCAGTCCGTCGAGTGGTACAGGAATGCTCTCGAGATGCATTGCGATGGTTCACGTGATGGATGTGGCATAGTGCCGTATTCAGTGATTTGACAGTGCAAGTTTGTGAGAGTTGCACTAAACCTGGAAGAGACTAGTCCGTACTTCTTAGTTTCAGCTGGCAGTCTCAATTTCCTTACTGTATATCCAGCTAGCAGTCATTTAAGTGCAATCCCGCGCTGAGTAAGAAATTGAATCAAATGATAGCGCGCGTCGCCAAACGCTCGGATATCTTGTGACGCCGAAATTTCCCCAAGACTTCATTCTAGACCCCATGTCCGCCAATACCTTCGTTGTCCTCGTCACAGGGGCCAACAGGTACAGTATACGCAACTCATATGCATGTCATAGCATCATGTGCTAACGCTGTTAAGTGGAATCGGCTTTGCGATATGCTGTCGCTTGATCGATGAGTTTCTAGCCACCCGAGAAGCAACAGAAAAGCTGTGCCTGATCCCCACGACGCGATCGCAAGAGAAGGCTGAGGCGACAGTGTTACGACTGCAAAAGCATCTGGAGAAATTTTGCCAAGATGTGGAGAAAGCAGAGCCAGGCGTTGCAGCACAATTGAAGAGTCGAGTAGTTTTCGAGCCAGAGCTTCTGGACCTTTGTAATATCCTAAGCGTGCAGCGTGCAGCAAAGAGACTAAGGCGGAAGTACGCAAGAATAGACTCGGCCATTCTCAATGCTGGAATTGGAGGATGGGTTGGCATCGATTGGGTGAAGGCGATCACGCAATTTTTCACCCAAGGCATGAAATTCGTGACGAGGCCAGAATACAAGATTGGCTCTGTGGGAGAGCGGTCGCCAGTGCAGTTTCCACGGGCAAGTGACAACGAGGAGGCGAATGAGGCCAATGGCAAGGGCGATGCGAGGAAAGAGCCAGAGATGGGCGCAGTGTTCACGGCAAATGTTTTTGGACATTACCTGCTAGTTCACTATCTCATGCCCTTGCTGTCACGGCCGGCCGGGCAGGAGGCTGGTCGAGTTATTTGGGTTGGCACTCTCGAAGCTTACAAGCACACATTTTCTTTGGATGATTTTCAAGGAATGCGAACATCGATGGCATATGAAAGCAGCAAGCGCTTGACTGATCTTCTAGTCATGACGGCGAATGCCCCCACTTCCAAGCCCTACACAACCTCATTTTTTGCCTTGGATTCGACGGAACCGCCTTCCTTTGCCTCTTCAACCTCTTTGGAAGAAGATCTCACACCACGAAAGGCTTCTTTGCGAGCATCGACGCGGGCACGAAGTTCAACACCAAATGGCAGACTTGGTTCACGAAGTAGCAGCCCTCGGCGCGGATCAGCGTCCTCGTCGTCAATGACACCGCCAGAAATGTACTCAACTCACCCCGGCATGGTTGTCACCGATATCATCGCCCTCCCGCACTGGCTCCTGATTTGGGCGTGGACGGCAGTATTTTACATTGCACGGTGGTGTGGTTCGCCATGGCACAATACCCAGCCTTACTCAGGGGCAACAGCCATGACACATCTTGCTCTGGCACCTAAGGAGCAATTAGACAAGTTTGCTCGTGGCAATGCTAGCGACATAAAATGGGGAAGCGCGACTAATTGGCGCGGAAATGAACGAGTAAAGATCACCGAGGTTGAGGGGCTATACAACGACAAGGGCGTGCCTTACTCTGATGAAGAGCGAGAGAAGTTTTTCCAATTGGGGAGGGAAGTATGGAAGAGAATGGAGGATCTGCGTACTGAGTGGGAGAATAGGCTGAAGGACGCAGGCTTTGACGAAGGACTTGCTTAGTTTGGACTATACCGTGCTTACTCCCCCGAGCCTGGCTGTGAAGCAGTAGAGTAAGGTCTCTCGGCGTGAATCTTGCGTTCGACGGAGATCTGAACAGGGCCCAGATAATGGCTGGACATGATGTAATTCCTAGATGTAATGAATGGACAGGCCACCGATGTGCCGCTGCCTCAAGCCAATTTGCGTTTCATGCTGTGACTCCGAAACAATGCCATCTTGGATGCTCAGGCTAGGAATCGCGGCAATTCACACAGAAGCAAAGCGCTTCAGGCGTGCGCGGCCTAGGATTGCATTTACTCGCTCCGCAGTGGCCTGCTGGCGCCATGCGATATGCGAGTGGCTGGGGGCACAGAACTGCGGCGAGCCAACCCACTTCCATACGTCGGAACGGGTGTTGAGCATCGGATGAAGTACCGTTTCGGATCAAGCAGGCTGCCGGGCCCACGACGAAGGCAAGCTGCACGCGGAGCCCCAGACTCCTCCACAATCGTCCGGAGTCTGGATCTCGACAAGGGGGACTTCATGTGTGCTGGCGAACCGACCAATCGGACAGTGATCTCCCGTCTTGGACCGCAGACAGCCAATCAGAGCGCCGAGCGCGAGGCGGCCGCCAAGAGCATCCCCATCCTCTTCGTGGCACCGACGCTGCAAGTCCTGGCCGTTGTCTTCTTGGCTTCCGCAGCGACCAGTGAGAAAGTCTGACGCCGCACAGGAGCCACAATGAGGGGTTGGTTTCTTCGAGTCCACGGCCATGCTTGGGAATCCCGAAGACTGACGTTCGAAGTGCCGTGTGATGTTTGCCAGCTTCAGACGAACGACTACAAAAGAGTCCCTCCAGGGGCGCCCTTCGCCCTGCTCACGGCTGGTCGACGACAACCGTGGTCGAGACAACTCACTTCGAATCCGAAGCCTGAATATCTGGCTCCCCGACGACCCGCAGCCCGACAGAGGCCTCCCTGACACGTGCGACACAGTGTTGTGGGTGCTGAAGGATCCTCCATCGAGCTCACAGGACCCAAAGCACTCAAACTGTAACTCGAGAGGCACGTGCCAAAACGTCCTCCGACTTGGCGCCTTTCCTCCCAACAAATCCACAGCAAGGAACGACTGTCTCGAACGATGACCACCCCAGCCTACGCAGACGAGAAGGCCCTTCCTGCCCGCGACTCTGACGTCGTCGTGGACGGAGGGAAAGGGGTCACTATTCATGAAGAGAGCGCACATGAGGCTGCAGTCCGTGGGCACGCAGCCACGGATCGGTCAGTTCTTGTACATGTCCGATATTTATGTACATCAAAGTTGACCTTGATAGATATGGACGCGCCCTCGTGCACTTTGATCCAGCTGCTGAGCGTCGTCTGCGGAACAAGATTGATCTCATGATCATTCCGACCGTGTCACTGTTGTACTTGTTCTGCTTTATTGATCGAGCAAATATTGGCAACGCGAGGTTAGCAGGCTTGGAGAAGGATCTCAAACTCGCGGGCTACGACTACAATGCCGTGCTCAGCACTTTCTACATCAGCTACATCATTTTTGAGGTCCGCTACTGCATTAAACATAGCCATATCTCACAGCGCTAACTTCAGCAGATTCCGTCCAACATCTTATGCAAAATTATCGGACCAGGATGGTACATTCCAGCAATTTCACTTGGCTTTGGCATTTGCTCGATTGGAACCGCCTTCGTTCATAATTTCTCCGCTATTTGTGGTGTTCGATTCCTCCTAGGCGTTTTCGAAGCTGGTATGCTGCCAGGAATCGCCTATTACCTCTCACGTAGTATGTCATCATCGCGGACATATATGCAAGCTTCAATGCTGACTGAAAGTAAAGAGCACTCCTCTTTATTCTCTGCGGGCACCTGAGTAGCCAGTGTCTCCAAGAAGCTTGCTTTTGCTTCATTACAAGACCTTCCAGATACTTCTCACTATAAAAGCCTTCGTGACTGGCAACTAACGTGCAACAGGATGGTATAGACGAAGCGAGTTGGCCTTCCGTCTTTCACTGTATATCGTGATGGCCCCTCTTGCCGGTGCTTTCGGAGGTCTCCTCGCCTCTGGTATCCTCAAACTTTCACACTTCGGCAGTTTGCACCAATGGAGGATGATTTTCGGAATCGAGGGCATCATCACCTGCGGTATCTCACTTATTGCTTTCTTCACCCTGACCGACCGTCCAGCAACTGCTAAATGGCTAACGGAAGAAGAACGGGATCTTGCGATCGCCCGTGTCAAGTCTGAACGTGTCGCAACCACTGAAGTGCTTGACAAGATTGATCGCAAAAAGATCATGCGCGGACTCTTGAGTCCCGTTACGATTGCCGTTTCTTTCATCTTCTTGCTGAACAACATCACCGTGCAAGGTCTGGCTTTCTTCTTGCCGACAATTGTGCGCACGATATATCCCAAAAACACAGTCATATATCAACAAGTCAGGACTGTACCTCCTTACGTAGTTGGAGCATTTTTCACGGTCCTTTTCCCTTTTCTGAGCTGGAGGTTTGACAGACGTCAGATCTTTTTCATCATGTCTGCTCCCTTGATGATGGCCGGTTATATCATGTTCCTCGCTTCGGAGAATCCCCACGTCCGGTATGGAGCCACGTTCCTCATCACGAGCGGCGCTTTTTCGTTCGGTGCACTCTGCAACGCCCAAGTTTCCGCCAACGTAGTTTCCGATACCGCACGATCGGGAGCTATTGGCATGGACGTAATGTTTGGAAATATTGGGGTAAGTCTCGGCTGTCCTCATCAGATTGGTGTCGGGCTAAATGTTAGACAGGGTTTGATTTCGACCTGGGCATTTCTCCCATTCGATGGACCGAATTATCCAATCGGCAATGGCCTTAACCTCGCCACTGCATCAACGACGTTGATTGTATCGATCCTGTTGCTCTTTTGGATGAAGTGGGACAATAAGAGAAGGGAGAAGCGAGACGTGGACGCTGAGCTCGAGGGCCTTGATCAGAAGACGGTACAGGACCTGGACTGGAAGCATCCTGCTTTCCGTTGGCGACCTTAATTGAGCTGAAATCCTACGAGTTACTTTAGGACAACCACATGTCTCCAATAGCATCCTTGGCCGCGATCATGCTCACGCTCATGAGAGCTAACGTTATGTTGCTTAGGACCGAGGTGATTACTCATACCCACGCGTGCCCCACTCAAGCTACTGGCTGCACTGATCATTTCTTTTAATTCTATACCTTGCGTCGCGCTGAACATCAAACAAGTAGTAAAGTAAAGTTAATGCTATATCGATTCACATGCCAAAGTATTTGGGTTACGGTGCCATCACACTCGCCTCATCGCGATCGACTCCATCTGTTGATCTACTTGCGAATGGTTCGTCAAAGCGCTCTCGCCCTGCAGCAGAAACCTTTTAAGGAATTGCACCTCTGAGTTGCGAAATTAATATCTATTGCTTCTTTGCGCGTGCGACGGTCTCAAGTCCCATCTCCTTCGTGCCGGGCGTTTCCCTTCCTTCACAACACGGTATGAATTATGTGGTTCTAGCTGAATGACGGGGTTTTCTCCGAAGGCGTTACTACCAAGTCGACGGTTCGGTACTGTCGACAGTCTTTAACCCGAGCGCTGGTTCCCGCAAGAGACCACGGCCGTGACATCCTCGCTCTTATCTTCGCATGCATGATGCATTGCAGTGATAAAACCGTTGATCCAGGTGCAGCTTTCCAGGTCTAGCGAGCCGTCTGTAATGAGAAAACCTCTGGCTATCCTCAGCGAGTCGCAAGGGCTTCAGATGCTTGGGCAAATTCCAAGTTGGTGGATACGAATTGTGAGCTTTGGAGGACCCGATATGTCACTCCCAGGGCCATGGTACCTGACGATTCAATGTCCTCGGCGACAATTCTGCTATCAGTCACGTACCCCGATGTCAAACCACCGTGACGGGTACATGCCACTGACCGCCAATCTAAGGCGACGCAGCCACAGGCAAGGGGTGAACACAAGCCTGGGCAGCAGCAGATACCGTAAGGAACCACGTGGAGGATTCGTGCAGGGAATCCTCGGGCGACACCGCTCACTACCGCTGGCGCCGTATGAGGAGGCCAATGCCAGCGCCATTGTCGCGGCAGATTCTTATCACGCATCTGGAAATCTGACTCAGAAGGAGCAAGGAAGATAAGATCCATCTTTCGGTTTGCGGGCCGTTAGTCTGCGGCTAACAGCCTGAAGCGAGGCAATAGATTCGATTTTTGATCGGATACCTATCCTCTTCGGTTTGCGATGCCACGGAACCGTCATAGACGTAAACCCAGCCTGCGATGCACTGAGTCGGGCGTTATGACCTTCACCTATCCTTTCCGTCCGGTTTCTACAATTCACCAGTTTGGACTATCATCCACTGGCTAGGCCGACGTGGTGCTTCGTGAACAAAGCTCGGAATCACCGTGTACGAGACGTCTCCAAATGTTTTTTTTATGTGATAGTGTTTGCATTGAACGTAATAGATTTCTGTTTCTTCCATGGAAACGAAACAGCTCGGGACCACTTGCTGGTATTGGCTGGGGAAAGTGGAAGTAAAACAAGGACAGGCCATGTTTTAAAGAGAGCGCGGCACAAAAGGAGTTCGCAAATCCTTTCTAAGATCGGCCCTGTGAGGTGGTAAGCTGCCTGTTTAAACTAGCTTTTCGTTCGTTCCCCTAATCATTCGATGCCCCCAGCTCATACGAGAGTCAAGGCGTCGCGCTTGACCCAAACATGAATTTCAATTCCGGTTCTTCCCGTCTACCTTGCGTTCCGCAAAACCATTAGTATGTGTTTTCGGCTCAACTTGAAAGTGTTTGATATGCTACATAGCAGAGGACATCGGAGCCGATAATCCAAAGTGGACAGCCTGGATGTGGTCGAGGACAAGGGCTACCTCGAAGCGAGCAGGATGCACTCTAGCGGTTTCAGCCTTATCTTGGCATAGCAACGTTAGGGTAAACCGTTTTATGACGACGGCCCGGCGATGCGGTTCTGGGAGAGAATTACTTGCATAAATAATGGTCTGTGCCGTGTAGCAGGAATGCCCAAAAAGCCTTTTGCCTCGTCGTCATGGGGGGTCCCACTTTCGTGACGAAGCCTCTTGAAAAGTTCCAGCACCGTTTCGAGGCAGAGAACGGTACTGCGTCCAGCATTCAAGGATTCTCGCTGCATTTCATTTGCCTCGGCGAATCGGGGGTTGTGTTCCTGCAGGTGAATTCACAGGATTTACCCAAGGTGTCAAGTGTGAAAAGCAGGGATGGTCTTGTTCCTCTTTGCCCATGGCAGCTCGTGAAGACGACAATAGTCACACAGCTCCACCTCGCGACTCTGAAGGACTCGGCTCCTGCCGCCTCCCGGTTCAAACTCGCCTCTGCTTTCGGTGGGGTTATGATGACATCGGCTGGGCCCTTACGTTATTATCATATCTAACAAACGAGCAATCGATCCTCTAGACGCGCTCGAATTTCTCCTAAAATCCCTCACATCCCTAATCCGTTGTTCATGTTTGCACAGGTCTACCGTATAAATCAGTGCTCACAGCCCGTCCACTCGAGACGGATGTGGCACTAGAGTGGATCAGATCGATATTTGGTACCTACAGTAGGCCTCTTTCGCGTGTCTGCTTATCTTGTTCAGGTCGGCGAAACGTACCACGAGTTCGGGACGCGCAGGGTAGAACACCCGGCCTCAACGTCTTTCATATGGCGAACCTCTGCACTAATGTGTTGAGACACAACTCGCGTCCACGTTCGTTAACCAGCCTTGCATTGGCCACGATTCCAGCTCCGGCCCTGATTCCCGTGAATGCGGCTGCATGTTTGGCACCATGAAACGCCTCGGTTGTGCTACTCTGGAGAAAGATTTCGAGTAGGACAGAGAGTTGAACGAGTCTCGGCACGTCGAATCCCCGTCGAGTAGCATATAGGCAACTTGAATTGAATTATTATGGAGTTATACTGAGTGTGAAGGACGGAAAAATCATGGTTCATATCCGCTGTCAGAACCCAAATCGGACGTACGTCAAACCGTCCTCCGTAGACCCCATTTACCGCAATCTCGTCTACAACGCCAAATTCATGATAAATTGGTAAACCCGGAAAGTGGTATTTTGCTTTTCTCTATACCATGCGCCTCGCCAGTTCCCCAAGGTAGCGCTTCTGGTGGCTAGCCGATCGATGTCTCGCCATTGAAAGCCATGAAATATTAACAGCCTAGGAGCTGATGGGTATAATCTCAAGGCAGTGACCTGCACTACCTAGCTTTGCAGTGTCTCGTTCCTGTTTGTATTCTGCTCGGAGAGCATCAACCTCGGTAGCAGCGGTTCGGCAGCCGGGAAGTGCACAAAGCTAGTGTAACTTGTGTACCCTTGTGGACCTAACAATGGTAATGTTAGTCTTTGCAACTGGATTCTTGGATTGCTTCGGCTCGCTAAGTTACGATTCCTTGCACACATCGAAAGGAAGGACCCAGCCCACATGCTGTCATAACATGCTGTCGCATCCGGTGATGTGAAAGACGGAAGCAAACTCTGGAAAAACACGAAGCCAGAGGTTGCAAGGACGGCAAGTACCTGGCCAAACCCATCCTTCCTTTACGGTCGCATGAATTGGGCGTAATACACAAGAGTGAAGGCATTACCTCGAAGCAGAGGGACCCTTCGCACTTGAAGTATCTCGACAATCGCCTTGGAGCATAAGTTTTAGTCTTAGGATTCCAGATATGTTGGTCGCTTCATATATGCATACCGCATTTCTCGTCCAAGCGATATTCTCTGGTGGTTGTTCGTAGACGTGTCAGATTTTTATGTCACACAAGATTTGGGGAAGTGATATTTTGTGAGTGCTAATACCTACATCGCGACCACATTTGCTGGACATCTTTTATGAGTTTCTTGGTATTTTGTGCACCAGGCTTTTACGGTGTAGCGAAGATGGCCGCACTTGTATTCGACTTGAGTATAATCACACATTTTGAAATGGCTACTAACGAATGTGATGGAGAAAATCGACGTGTGCTGGAGCTGTTGGAGCGTAACCTGACAACGATGTGAAATGAAGAGCTTATTTTGATGTGTCCGTGAGAAGTGAAGAGAAAAGGAACTGAATATGTACATGTGCGCCAGGAAGTGCATGTATGTATTTCTCAGAACCAATGACTAGGTTTGTCATAATGAGGAGAGTTTACTAACGACGTGTTCCTATCTGCGGCTATGCGGGACGGAACGAAGGAAGAAAAACCCGTGGGTACTTGCCGCGGACCCAGGGCGAGGCGACACAGGGGCAGTATTACGATGGTAATTCACCACTGCGCTCGTTGATGATAGCACCGGCTAGTCGGTGCAAAGATTGCATGTTGGATCTTGACCGTGAAGCAGTGACAACCCGACGAGTCAGTTTCATGGAACAAGGGATAGAACTTTCCATGCTATGCACGCCAGGGAGATGGAAAGCCCTTGGAACAAGGCTAGTATATTCTATGCTCGTCATCTTTAGGCCGTCATCGTGGGGATTGGCAGGTGCGGCTACGAGTGGTGAGACCGACGTTTCAACCTCGGAGGCAACAGCACTCTGGTCAGGGAAGCGCTAGGAACTTAGTGCTCTTGAATTAGTTCATCGGCGGAAGGTTGGTTTTGAGAAATAAATCCGCTAGCTAGAAGTTATCGTCCCTTATCAATCCGTGCGGCATCAGCCTCGTTGCTCTATAGGGCGGGTAAAAGGTGCGGCTTTGTTTTGGTACAACACGTGAAGTTTATTCCAGAAAATCACTGACAGCTGAGTTAGCGTGTTCCAGGTGATCTTAAGATCTTAAAACCTCTCATAGAACACTTCAAAGCGGCCTTCTGACCGGCTTCTACATCCGTCTCTCCCGTTCATAGCATTTTGCAAGGGTAGACCTGGAAAAATAAGGGCCGAGGCGGCCGGATCGAAGCAAAATTGAAGAGAATTTCTAGGATCAACGCTTGAGCAGCCCTCAAAAGCGTTGCACTCGTCACCTTCTCTCGGCACCAACCGAGAGCGCCAGGAGAAAAAAAAAATTTACGTCGTGCCTGCAGGACCGCGTTGATAAAGCCATAGACTGAATCTTATCGAGAAGCCCAAGACCTGAAAAAGAAGCAACTTCAAGGGCTCCTAGAGGAAGAGATCGACGTTGTGTTTGATGAGTTAAAAGTAACGATCTGATGAGCCGTGTTTCATTTTCGACGAAGTCTTACAGCGCACGTCATTGGTCTGTTTCATCGATTTATTCCCTCTCGGAATAAGTGGATTTTGATCCTTTTGGGTATGGCTCGACAATGATGGTCTCCATCGTGGTTGACAACGATTGACTGACTGATTCTTCGCCGTTGCTTGTCAGATATTTGCGACTCGAAGTACGGCGGGCATTACCTGTGTTCCGCATTAGGGCATACCCCAGCATAACTAGCAAAGACTCGGAATGAGCCGATTCGGGGGGAAGCGGAGAATGTTTCCCCGAGCGAAACTGATAATCAGGCTTACCACCAAAGGTTCATTCTGTATACAGTAACATGGTTGCCTTAATGTCGAAGTCGCAGCAGCCGTAGATAGTTTTTTGCCAGCAAAGCAACTTAGTGAACGTGCGCATGTCTCGGAACTTTACTATTATGAGATGAAACGAATGTCAGCGAAAATCATACTATCAGTATCGACGACACGTGCTCGAGCTTTGAATGCCGAAAGCGAGGTTCGAGCTAAACACCGATAGAAGATTGGCCGTCCATATGATCGAACACTAGAGGTGGGACCGTTGTGTGGGAGGAATAGCTTGTGAATCTTATGAGTTCGGTCGAAAGGGAAGTTGAATACAAAGTGTCTAGGGACGTTTCAAATCCGGATGAGTCTATGGGCCGTCAGTTAACGTCTCGTCTTCAAGCCAGCCCTTGCACATCTCCACTGCCCGAGTCCACAATTTATACATTGTCGCACTTTCAGCCTCAGACTTTTTTGGTTTGAAGGTCGTGCGATCGTCCTGATTGATTTCCTTGAGTTCTTCGAGATTCTTCCAAACACCGACTGCAAAGCCGGCAGCAATAGCAGCACCAAGGGATGTCGTCTCTCTCATTGCCGGTCGGACTACAGGAATTCCAATTATGTCTGCCTGGGTCTGCATGCACAGGTCAGAGTTGGACATGCCACCGTCTACAGCTAGTCGTGCCAGCTTTTGTCCACTATCCTGCTCCATGGCATCTAATATAGCCTTGGTCTGGAAGCATGTCGCCTCGAGAGTTGCTCTTGCGATGTGACCTTTTTGTGTCTTGTGAATCCCAATCAGTAGCTGCAATCAACCCATTTACACTAACCAAACGAGCAAACTCACATGTGCCGTGATACCGAATATAGTTCCTTGCGCATCATCTATCCAGTAAGGTGCGAATAGTCCGCTGAAGGCAGTAACGAAAACACATCCTCCATTGTCTGGCACAGACTCGGCTGTTGCGGATATTTCCTCGCTGTCACTGCCAATGCCAAGGTTGTTGACGAGGAATTTTACTCCGCTGCCTGCCACCGCAATACTGCCTTCTAATGCGTAGACAGCAGGCGCATCTTTCCCGAATTGATACGCTACTGTAGCTAGAAGGCCATGTCTGGAGATTACTGGCTTCTCTCCAACATTATAGAGTAAGAAGCAGCCAGTTCCGTATGTATTTTTAGCGGAGCCAGGTGTAAAGCCTTGCTGACCAACAAGAGCAGCGGACTGATCGCCCAGACATCCCGTAATTCTCACTCCCTCCAATGCTCCCTCGGTTATTTTCCCATAGGCTCTCTCATCCGCTGAAGGAACTATCTCGGGCAGCCTGATTTTTCTCAGGTCGAGGTCAAAAAAATTCAGTAGTTTGTCGTCGTATTGTCGCGTCTCAAGATTCATCAGCATCGTCCTACTTGCATTTGTGACATCTGTCACGAAGCGACCGCCGTTCTTGCCTCCAGTCAAATTCCAGATTAACCTTCAGATGTTAGCTACTAGCTCAAAACATGGAAAGCACTTCTGGGCAAATCTAGTGGCAGGCGAAGACACTCTCAGCGGCGCTATAGAGAGTCGATTCAATGTGAGGCAACTCTGTAAAATTGTTAACTATTTGTTCCTCATGAAGGAGATCAGCGAGCTTACTCACCACCATGTATCGACAGTAGCAAAAGCTAACTTCCCTTCGTCGTACTTTTTTTTTACCGTATCCACATTGTTGAGCAGCCATAGCAGCTTTACAGCACTAGGATACGTTGAAAGTGGCAGGCCACAGATGTCTTGAAGCTCATCAGCGCCGTTTCTGGCTTTCAGATCTCGAACAAAAGTTGCCGTCCGCGTATCCGGCCATGCTATGGCGTTGTACAGCGGCTGACCCGTATCTTTGTCAAGAACAATTGTCGTCTCTCGCTGATTGGTGACACCAACGCAGGTGATGTCGGACGCTTGATGGCCCTGCTCTACGAAAGCAGCAGTCGCTTTCTCAATACACTCCCGAACAGAGTCAATGAGTTCTTTCGGGTCCTGCTCATGGTGTCTTGCATGGTCAGCGCCTTTTCCACCATTGGGTTCTTGGCTATTCGTCAAAACTCACCCTGGCTGAGGGTATTTCTGCTCAAACTCAATCTGGTGCGAGGCGACTGGATCTCCCAGGCCGTCGAATATTAAAAATCTCGAAGACGTGGTCCCCGCATCGATCGCTCCGATATACACATTTTTGAGCTTCTGCTCGTCTAGGTGTGGATGTGCGGAGGTAGGCATGATGGTTTGTAGTTCTGTATGAGATCATATTCTCTCGCAGGAGGGCTGCGTTTAATGCTTGTTGCGGGATCACTTGACAGCTGAATTTCACGTCGGATCAACAATTTTCATGACCGTTTGGGTCAAGGCTGTGACGTCGCTGGCGAGCAAAAACAATTCCCCGCAATCCTCCTTCAGGATGCGCAAGGATGACCAACGGTACCAACTCTGGTACAAGCACGTGATAGCGTAGTCTCTAATACCCTATGTTCTTCACAAAGTGTTTGGCTACTTATGAAGCATGTTTGATGTACAGCGACCTGTAGCAACTTGCGGCGAGGCCAGATCCCCATAAATTTTGCCCGTGTTGTTGTTGATTGCGCTCGAGATTCCGTACGCAGTGGACCAGTTTGGGTAGCCATGACGTCAACGCGTCGCCAGCTTTTCATTGGGCAATTCAAGAAGCTGGCAAGCTTCTTAACCTCCAGCTTCTCCGCTTCGGCTTGAGTGAAGAACGTTACGCTATAGCAATAAGTCCAGAGTATTGGTCCCATCCATAGAAACATTCACGTACGCTCCACGTTCATGTTCTGTATGCCATCACCTTGAGAAGGACAGTGGTGAACATGTTCCGGACCCAAGCTCCTCGCGGAGTCTTCCGCTCGTTGTCTTCGCTCTCGAACCAAGCTGTTGTGCCCAGGAGAAGAGCTCCTTTGCTGCCGAGCGCCCAGTGGTCTTCAGGGATATGCACTGCAGCTTCGAAGAGGCCTCAACTATGGACAGCATTGAGCAAGAACACCACGCAGGTCTACGTACGACACCAGGGCAAATACGACAAGCCAGATCTCAAGCACGAGGCGGAAGTTGCAAAGCAAAAATTGAAGGCGACTCCTGAAACAGTGTCTACATCGTCGAGCATACACCCGATCCTACATGAGCAGCAGACTCCATCGTCCGGGGACAAATTGCACACACACGGAAGCATTCGAAGCGACTTGGTAGGTTGGCAATTTCAGAAGCTGCAGTGCTTAAACTAATTGCGCACCGTCAGCAAACTATCCGAGAAACGTTTAATTTGTCTGAAGTTCCCCGAGAAGCATACGTGCTTGGCCTGGCAGGCGTGATACCTTACCTCGCGACCTCTTTATCCACACTGGGACTAGCCTACGAGATTAAGACTGCACACGACGTAGGCACTGGATATCTTATGAAGGCCGAAACGGCCGAGCAACTTTTGAACCTTCTCGAACCTATTCAGGTCGGCTATGGTGCCGTGGTATGTGAAAGGAAGCAGAGTGAATGAGTAAACGCGACTGCTAATTTTATCTAGATCATTTCCTTCCTCGGCGCGGTGCATTGGGGCTTCGAATGGGCCGGCTATGGTGGTCACAAGGGCTACCCGCGGTACGCGATCGGTGTCGCCGCGCCCGCCATTGCCTGGCCTTCACTCCTGCTGCCTGTGCAGTACTCGCTCATCGCCCAGTTCCTGGCCTTCAACTTCCTGTACTATGCTGATTCTCGGGCAACCCGACGCGGCTGGGCGCCGCCATGGTACGGAACGTACCGTTTTGTGCTGACATTTATCGTGGGGGCCACGATTGTGCTCACCCTCATTGGGCGTGGTGAGCTCATTGGCAGGGTTGACAGATCGCCTGGCTTGGCGGAGAGGGCGAGGGGCATACAGATGGAGATGCAGGCCAAATTTAAAGCGGAAGAGGAGGCTCACAGGCAGCAATTGATCGCACAGGGAGAGGCTGATGATGAGAGTGTCGAGAGCTTGGATGAGTTGAAGGACAACGACGACAGCGAAGAAGAGAAGAACGAGGGAGGAAATAAGGAAGGGAAGCAGGACGAGGATGAAGATCAGAAGAAGAAGAGCGGAAAGGAGAAAGAGTAAACGCAGATGAAAGACAGAACTTTACCTGCGTCATTCCTTAATTGCTTCTTTGCTGATTGGATGCAGAACCACCAGGACAATTGACAGAACATGTACTGGGCTACAGCGTTTAATTTCTGCTCAATGTTTAGGATTCTACATACAGGCGCACTCCTCCAGAGTGTTACGTCCGCCTGAATGTTCTTGTGCATGGTGGGGATTTGAGCAGAGTTTGTTCCGAAGTACTGCTGTCACATGTTGTTTATAGGGTTGACCTTAAATTATTCTCAATTTGACCAGCCGAAGGACGGAATGTTCAATTACACTCTGTCCAAATTTGATGTGCACACTTTTTGGTGAGCAAGTGGCTGTATCTCGGCTCTGCCCGGGGGCGTCCGAGGCTCAGTTGAGAACGGAGTCGTAGTAGGCTTGTCAACGAAGCGACGAAGCCAAACGTGACGCTACCACAATTGCGCGGTTTCCGGTCCTCTGTGCAAACCCAGCCTCGCCAAGGAGTCCGCTCAGAGATGCGGCCTGTAGCTGGGCGAGTCCTGAAGCATATAGTTCTCCGGAGCTATCTGCGGAGCTTAGCCTCGAGGTACGCTACGACCTCTGGCGTCGACGATCTCTTCGCGTCGTCCAGGACGTGCGGGAGCGCAGCGACATCAGCACCGTGCTCACACAGCATCTTCACGACGGGCAGGTGGTTCTCCTTCTCGACAACGAGATCAAACAGCACCGTGAAGCACGTCCCAAACCTCGCCTCGTCGACCATGCCGACCAGGCCGGGATCGACGTCCAGAAACGGCTGCAGGACCTCGCAGCTGCCCGTCGCCAGCGCGTTGACAACAATCTCCCACTCGAGAACGTGCAGATCGCGGGCGGGGAAGGTGTCCAGCAGATATCGTATGACGGGAACGTGCCCGCGTGTCGTGGCCGTCTGCAGAAGGTTCGAGAGCCGGATGCTGTCTTGCGTCGAGAAGGTCTGGGCCGCAGATGCGTCGCCGGCCGTACCGCGACCCCAGGCTCCGGACAGACAGGCCTCGCGGAGCGCTGGTGCGTTCTCGAAGAGGCCGCCTTGCGTGACGAGCAGGCGCAGGGTGGAAAGGTCGTTGTCACGGCAGGCGCGCTGGGCGGCGTCCCAGCGTAGAGACGGACGCTGCTGCCGAGTCGGTGGGGGGGAAGGCGGGCCTGGCATCGATCTCGGCGGGATGGGAAGCGGCGTCCCCTGGCACTTGCCCTCTTTCTGTTGCTTGGTCAACACGGCGCGTTGTTACTGCGACGACATTCCGGACGCTTCTGTGTGGCGTCCGCGCTCACGTGCTGCGAGCCGGTTTTCCGCAGCGCGGTGGGGCTTACAGGCTTGTTCTAGCCGATTGCGACGTTCTGGCTGCTTGTGGACTTTGGCTTCTGCTTCGAATCAGGCTGAGGTTATCGTGATGTTGCCTGATGGTTGTTGGGCTCCAACCGCGCACATTTGCTACGTCAGTGGGTCAAGGGTATGAGGTTGCACCTGTTCCATGCTTGTCGCCCGCCTAACGTCACTCGACAGTCATAGTGCAGCGCTGTTCTTTTCGTCGCGTTAGGTGACACATACGGGCCTGCTGTCGCCTCACCCGGCCACATTCTCTGGTCTCTCTTCCTGGATCGCCAGCTGGACATTTTGTCGTGCGTGGTTAGGCTGTGTGTGCGCTCACGTGAAATCCTTAGCCTTGTCGCCTGACGACGCTTCGGTTGGTGGGGTGACTGGAGGCCCAAGCTCACACATGACGTCTCGCCTGGTTGCTCGTGGAAGTTGAGAAAGAATTTCGACGGGCGGAAGACGAAAAACTGGCTGCGTTGTGCGAAGAAGACGTGGGAAATAGCTGCTCGCAGAACTGCAAAGATGCTGCTCGTCGCTCTGTGAACATACCAGCACCTGGACTCGCCGATCCATTGGTCCCGTAGGCAGCCGCACGGCGCGATTGTTGTCGTTTGGTGGGGCTGGCCCTGAACCTGCCCGCTTCCGCTCCAAACTTCTGCCGCCTTCTAGCACTTTCGATGAAATATTTGCGTCAACAATAAGAGCTGCCAGCTCCCATCCGCTGTCCTTTGTTTCTTCATCCACACAAACTTGATACCCTCTGCATTCTGCAAACGAGTCTGAGAGCTTAAGCTCACAACTTTAACCTTTACCTTTCGATTCAACCACGATTTTTTCCCTTTCTATTCCGCACTCACACACATTACACCACAAACACACACAAAATGGCTCCAGCCGTAGGTATCGATCTTGGAACTACCTACTCATGTGTAGGCATCTTCCGAGATGACAGAATCGAAATTATTGCCAACGACCAGGGCAACCGCACAACGCCCTCCTTCGTCGCCTTCACCGACACCGAGCGTTTGATCGGTGATGCCGCCAAGAACCAGGTCGCCATGAACCCCGCAAATACCGTCTTCGACGCAAAGCGATTGATCGGTCGCAAGTTCGCCGATCCAGAAGTTCAGGCCGATATCAAGCACTTCCCATTCAAGGTCATCGACAAGGGCGGCAAGCCCATCATCCAGGTCGAGTTCAAGGGCGAGACCAAGGAATTCACTCCAGAGGAAATCTCGTCTATGGTCCTGACCAAGATGCGTGAGACAGCCGAGTCGTATCTTGGCTGCACCGTCAACAACGCCGTCATCACTGTTCCAGCCTACTTCAACGACTCACAGCGTCAAGCGACAAAGGACGCTGGTCTCATCGCAGGCCTCAACGTTCTCCGAATCATCAACGAGCCAACCGCCGCTGCTATCGCATACGGTCTGGACAAGAAGGGTACGGCCGGCGAGAAGAATGTCCTCATTTTTGATCTCGGCGGTGGTACCTTCGATGTGTCTCTCCTTACCATCGAGGAGGGTATTTTCGAGGTCAAGGCTACTGCTGGTGACACTCACTTGGGTGGTGAAGACTTTGATAACCGCCTTGTGAACCACTTCGTCAACGAATTCAAGCGCAAGCACAAGAAGGATCTCACCTCTAACGCTCGTGCTCTGCGCCGTCTTCGCACTGCTTGCGAGCGTGCCAAGCGTACTCTGTCCAGCTCAGCTCAGACTTCGATCGAAATCGACTCGCTGTATGAGGGCATCGACTTCTACACCTCAATCACCCGTGCTCGATTCGAGGAACTGTGCCAAGACCTCTTCCGCTCCACCATGGAGCCCGTTGAGCGTGTCCTGCGCGACGCAAAGATTGACAAGTCCTCTGTTCACGAGATCGTCCTCGTTGGCGGTTCCACTCGTATCCCCAAGATCCAGAAGCTTGTCTCCGATTTCTTCAATGGCAAAGAGCCGAACAAGTCAATCAACCCTGATGAAGCCGTTGCCTATGGTGCTGCTGTCCAGGCCGCCATCTTGTCCGGCGATACATCCTCCAAGTCGACCAGCGAGATCCTGCTTCTCGACGTTGCTCCCCTCTCCATTGGTATCGAGACCGCTGGTGGTGTTATGACACCACTCATTAAGCGCAACACCACCATCCCAACCAAGAAGTCCGAAACCTTCTCCACTTTCAGCGACAACCAGCCTGGTGTGCTGATCCAGGTGTACGAAGGTGAACGTGCTAGGACCAAGGACAACAACTTGCTGGGCAAGTTCGAGCTCACGGGTATCCCACCTGCTCCTCGTGGTGTTCCTCAGATCGAGGTCACATTCGATGTCGATGCCAACGGTATCATCAACGTCTCAGCTGTCGAGAAGGGTACCGGCAAGTCGAACAAGATCGTCATTACCAACGACAAGGGCCGTCTCAGCAAGGAGGAGATTGAGCGCATGCTTGCTGAAGCTGAGAAGTACAAGGCTGAAGACGAGGCTGAGGCTGCCAGAATTTCGGCCAAGAACGGTCTTGAATCCTATGCCTACTCCCTGCGAAACGTATGTTCTTCCCCCTCCTCCCCCTCCGATGGATCTTATGCTAACATCGATTTGCAGACTATCAGCGAGAGCGGTGTCGATGAGAAGCTCGGCAGCGACAAGGCCACTTTGGAGGCTAAGATTAACGAAGTCGTTGAATGGCTTGACAATAACACTCAAGCGGTAAGCAACCACCCACCCTGAAGTCTAGAAATTGAAGACTTTTGCTAACTTTTTCTGCAGACCAAGGAGGAGTACGAATCTCAACAGAAGGAGCTTGAGAGCGTAGCCAACCCAATCATGATGAAGTTGTATGGTGCTGGTGGTCAGCCAGGCATGGGTGGAATGCCAGGTGGTGCACCAGGCGGCTTCCCAGGTGCTGGTGGGGCAGCTGGCGGTGCAGGTCACGATGATGGCCCGACCGTCGAGGAAGTTGACTAAATGCTTCAACCCGATTAAATTCACGTCATATTTTCATGAAACCAAGCCTCTGCTAGACGCGGCACGCGAAATCGGGTTATCGGCGTTTTCAGTTTGGACTGATATGGGAAATGGCATTTGCGACACGGAGAAATGGCTTTTGTGGCCTTTTCGTTCTTCCCTCTCTTTTTCTCAATTCCCTTACTCGATGAGATACGAGAAAGATGACGGGGTAAAAGATACGAAAGGATTCTGTGGACACGAAAAGTTGATTACAGGAGAATTAGATAGAGAACTGGCACCGCTGCCGTGGTGACCGGAGAATGATTCTCGATAGTTTAATGCATAACAGGAATTGTTTTCCAAATATTCGTCCAAGTGCAAGCGCTTTTTTTTCATCCTAAACATCCATTCCCAAGTTTGAACCCGATGGTCTATCTACTTTGAAGCATATTCAAACCGCGTCTTTGATATCTTTATACATGTTTGCGCATGCGAGTTTACAGAAACGAGGTGACAAGTTGCCAAGATGCAGGCTGGAGAAATTAAATTATTACGGACGCGGCGACCACGTTCATTTGCTGGGACATCAGCTCAGAATCTAAACGGTACAATCGCTGGAGTGACTATTCGTTTGACTCTCACAACCTTGCTTCACCATCTGCACCGAAAGTAAGTATGCATTTTCCCGCGTGAGCTTCAGAATCTTGGACGACAGCAGCCTTAGGGGTGCCCCGTCGGCAGAATAGATAATCAAGGGCAATTATTGGCTGCGCAGGACATTTAAGGTATACAAGAGCAGGATGCTATCTTATTTGGGACCACAGGACCATTGATGCAGCACAGCTACTCTGCAGGTCTCTCTGATCGACTTGTTCTCCTAATACATAAATTCGCATCCTCAAGGTTCCAAAAAGCATCATTCATCATATACCACGTCTGAATCATGCTTCTGCCCCAGAAGTTCCTGAACATTCATGCCCAAAAAGGTGATGCCATGAGTTTCAAAGACGTGTAAGATTAGTAGTGATATTTCTAATGCTCTTACGCCAAAGGTGGCGACATTTCAGGTTACCTTGAAACGTTTCTGTAAACTAGAATGCGAAATCACGTCGTTTTTACGGATCAGATACTGCTAGATTGTACATAGTTCCACTATGTATACTACGCCACACTCTTATCAGACTTTGCCATGTCCTCGAGCTTGGACTGAGACCCCTTTTTCCACCATCTTTTTTTTTTTTTTTTTTTTTCACCTCTCGACGATTTAAAGGGCCCGGTTCCAACAGAATAAATAATACGGGGGAAACTCAACCTCTAAACATAGGAATGCTGATTTTTTTCTAAGTAGGTACCTTGATATGGTGGAAGCGATCCAGCAACTATATTAAAATGATATATGGATAACACCACAAGGCAATATCACACCCGTCACAGCACTGGCAAAGATAAATTGCATCAAGTATTATCGCAAGTTATCCTTACGCAAGCGGGCAATCTATAAAGCTTAACAGATTTTTTTTTTTTAAAAAAAAAGGAATGCCTTACGTAGATAGTCACTCTCCAATCAAAAACTCTAGTGCCTTATGATAAGGTGGTTGCAAGCTTCGCTTCTTCTCGTTATTCTGCGGAAGACGCAATGAACCCTTTGCCATTAAGCATGCTGCTCTTTGTAGATGGTATGCTTTAGAAGCCCTAGCTGGAGATTCTACGTGTAGCTGAGATCGCACAGAAAGTAAACTCGGCAGTTAAAGTAAACAAAAAGCCAACATCAAGGCGGTCTTGCGGCAGACAATGTATATGTGTGCGGTGATCTAGAAGAAGAGAGTATTCCATTTACCCCTTTCCCTTCTCGAAGATGGAAGGAAGAGCGTAGGGGGTAGAGCCTGCGCAAAGGCGATGAATCCAAAGACGGAAAAGAAGGAACGATTCAAATCGGACGAAAAAGAGAAGCGTGTAGTTATTACAGCCAGATACATGCCGCCATTCAAACCCGTGCCCAAGGTCATCGAAAACGCCCGCGATCGAGAAGATGACGCACCCTGCGTTGCGCGTTCTGTCATAGCTTCATAAACGCCATTTGCATGCCAAAAAAAAAAAAAAATACAAGAACCAAATAAAGAAGCAGGGTTTTTCCCCCCCCCCTCATATCCTATTTCGCTCGTCGAAGGAATCTCTGGGGTCGAATGGGTCTCTCAACTCGCTGCTTGGCGTTCCGTACCCGGTGCTCGTCTCTCTGCTTAGTGCGGCGCCGTACTGATTGCTGTACGGACTGGGTTCCCTCACGTTTATTCTCGGAACGTCCACTGGCGGTGCGGCCTGTGGATTGCCTTGAGCGTGGCTCAATAATCCCTCTTTGTCGCCATGTTCGTCGCTCATGGTTCTCATGGGCGGACCAGGTCTCCCCCTTGAACCGGCACGCATTGTGCCCATCTCTTGCTCTTCCACCAGGTCGTACGAGGGTGGCGCGCCACTGTACGCCGTGTCCACGCTACCAAACTTACCCCCAGGATGCCGCATGCTGCCCTGCCGACTGGTTTCGTACGAGATGTCCTGCTCTCTATACCGCGATCCATAAAACAGCCATTTGAAACCCCTTGCTGCCGCCTTGACAATGTCCCACACATTGAACGCGTCCCACAGCGCTTTCGAACCCAGGAATCCGCCTTGGTAGTGTATGGCTGGGTCTGGATTTTTAGTAATGTCGTACGGCTTCCACGAGAAGGCGAATATGTGAAGGACGGCGAAAATACTCATCTCAATCGCGAGGAGCATGGACGGGATGCCGACTTGAATATCGGGGTATGCGACTTTCTTCGTAGGCTTAAGTATCGCGCCACCGGGGATCACGGAGGAAGAAAGCATGGAGATCAAGATCTGTAAAGCAAAGTGAGCCGGATACGGCCATGAAGAAGAGAAGCTGATACGTACAGACTGCCAAAAGCTAAAGAAGATGACTAGCTTGATACACAAGATCTTCAGGAACGGCCTGTACTCGGCCAGATCGTCCTTGAGTTGCAAATAAAATTGAATGAGACAGTACATGGCTATCGTGACTGACAAGGCCTCGAATGTCATGACCCAGACGTGGCCAAAGGCCGGGCTGAGTGAAGATTCGCAATAACGCTTGAAGAGCTGCGTGATCATGGCAACGAAGCTGAAGACGACGCGGATGAAGCAGTATTGGAAGACGCTGACGTAGATCACCTATCGGTTGCATTAGCACCCCAGTTCGCAGCGCAACGAATCTGACGGTCGCACTCAGGCGTTGAACGCGCGAGCGAGATTTGGAAGCCAGGACGAAGTGTTCGAAGCCCGCGAAGCCGCCGTTGTGTCACGCTCATGGGGTCAAACTCACATTGAACCACGTCAAACCACTTCTCGGCACTCTAAAAATGCCCTTTTCCGCTCCACCCGTGCACTTTTGAAGCCACGAGACGGGCAAGATCCAGTTCCTCAACGGCCTGCCCGCGGCTCCAAAGCGGCGGAAGTACTCCTTCTGATCGTGCAGGTCCTTCTCCAGATAGTGGCACAGCAGGGTGAAAAAACTGGCTATGGCGAACGCCTCGTAACAGTCCCTTAGAACCTCCCAGTAAATTGCGTGCTTGTAGTAAACGTACGAGACAAAGGATATGCAGGCATAAATGGGTATCATGAAGAGGATGCGAATGATGTGCTTCTGTTGGTGCGGGACCGAGTAGTGGGTTGCGTGCATGAACATGAGGCCGAGTGCTATTACAGTAGCAACGAGGGAGAACACGGCGGTCACGCTGAGGCCGACGTGGTGGAAGGTGATTTTGCCGAACAGCGGCTCTTCTTCCTTTACTGCGGGTGGATCAGAACGGTGCGCAAAGCATGCACAAATCGGACGTGTGCGTGTGTGTGTGTGTGTGCAGAAGACGTACCCATTTCATCACCGATGGTGACGAGAGAAGTATTACAAACGACCATATTGGCGGTGCGACGTTGAAGGCCAAGCGCTTCTGCGCACAGTCGTTGGAAAAAGATCCGCCGTTGGGTTTCGAGATGCGTGTCGTGGTGGAACGGCGGCCGTGACGACAAAAGAGAAAGGTGGCCGGCTCTATTCAACAGATGGCGAGACAGCACGACGCAGCGCACATGAAGCTAAACACCGTAGCTCGCGACTCTTTGGGAGATCGGGCTTCGTTTCAGAACGGCAGGCTGGCAGTTGCTATATGGTGCAGAGCGCCAGGCTCAGCCGCAGCAAGCTGCAATTGGCGCTCGAGTTGGAGCGGGCAAACGGCGGCGGCCACAGGACGGGACGCGGTGTGGGAAGGACAAGAGGAGACGGAAAATGCGCGCAGCCCGTCGCCGTGGATAATCGGACAGAGCGAAAGGTAAAAGAATGAAAACAGCGACAGCGACCGCGATGGAGAGAACGGCGAGCTGTTGTGGCGCTCCTTTGATTTGGGGAGTGGAGGAGGACGAGGAGGAGGAGGAGGAGGAGGAGGAGGGAGACGACGCTGGCGTCTGTGTCGCCAGGGGGCCCAAGGAGGCTGAGGCGCACGCGTCGATCCGCTAACGTTCCTGCTAAGCCCTTACGCTCTTACGGTGCCAGTACGTACTCCTCCTCGACACTTCCCTCGCCATTTGCTTGCTGAGCGCGACGTGCACCCCGCTGTTCGAGGACATGCCCAGCATCCAAGCCACGGGGCGCTTGGATCCAACAAGATTTCGATCTGTCGTCTTGGTTGGTGCTTAGCGCGACTCTCGACGCCGACGACAGCCCTTTCTTGTCCGCCGGGTTACCGCCTCCACCCTTTCGACGGGCGTTCTCCAGCCCTGCCCTTGGTGGACTGCGTGCGCTCCTGTGCCTTCGGCATGCGCGCCTTTGCTGCACGCGTCCAGATCGACCGACCCGGGCTCGAAACAAGCGCACAAAGGTCGTCTTTCGGCTGTGTTTGACATCCCGACACAGCCTGCCTCTTGGCACTCCACTGCTCGTCTCGCCTAGCAGTCGAATGAGCATGGCTGATCGTGCTTCGTCTGAACCCTCCTCCTCCTCCCATTTCAACCACCACCGCCAGCATTCCCGCTGGGGCTGCTCATCAGGCCCGCCTCTTTTCCCAACAACGTTTTGGCCCGTGGAATTCGAGCAGCGCTTTCCCGGTCGGTCGTACGGCGCAGTCTCACACGGCTCGCTGTGCCGTCTTCACTGCAAGTACAGCCTTTGGTGCCATGTTGGACCCGGGCGACGCTCAAAGCCGCAAAGCCTCTTGTGATTTCCAAGTCACTCTTTCTATTCCTCTAGGCCGTTTTTTTTTTTTTTTTTTTTTTTTTTTTTTTTTTTTTGAGATC